TTTTCTGAGAAAACGGTTTTTTTGCAAAGCATTATAATGCTTACATTTTCCAAGAAAGCAATGCAAAAATATCAATTTTCGATAAAACTTGACAATAAACCTTTAATAATAATAATAATAGGTTTATTCACTGCATACTGTTGGAAAAATAATAAATAAAAATAGTTCAGAATACGAAAGCAGCAGAATAACCAAAACAGGGAATTAGTCCACCCTAACGAGTAGACTATGACCCGGGGATAGAAAGGAAGTCAGAGCAAACGGGAAGGAATGGATTCGAAAAAAAGGCAGAGTTAGGGAGATCATTAAGTTTAACCCGTAGCGCATCCGTAGAGACGTTAAAATTTATTCTAGAGGTAAGTTTATTCCATAATGGAATAGTTTTGGAAAAAAAATCTTTAGAGAACTAACCGGAAGTGCGAAGTCGAAGTGGATTCCTCTGTAAAGGAGAAATAGTGAAGAAGTCATTGCGATTGAGAAAGTGGTCAGAGCCGCAAATTATTTTATGAAGAGAAATAATGTCGTTAATACAACGACGTACAAAGAGAGGTTTAAAGCCAAATTGGCTGAGACGATCAGAATAAGAACTGAAGCGAACATTGCATCTTATAAAAAAACTTTTCTACTGAATTGGCGTAGAAGACTCGAGTTTGAAGCATTCCTCAGACGAGATAGAGGGAGAAAAGATTTCACTACAATATTCGAGAATAGGCGTCACGTAGGTTTGAAACATTCTGAGGTAGTGCAGGGGGAAGAAAACTTAAAAGGTATTTAGTATTTGATTAGACCGTAATGTAGCAAAAGGCAGAGATACAGGGAAATATGGTCTTTGAAGGAGAGCTTCTCATCAATTTGAAGGCCTAGATCACGAACAATTGATCTTTGTGGGATTTGAAATTGATCAAGAAAATAGACCGTTTGAGGATTGTTAGAGCCAAAGTGAAGAGAAAAAGTCTTTTCAACAGCAAGTGGAAGAGACCAAAGTTCTGACCATTGGAAAATACCATTTATGCTTCTTTGAAGCGAATCAGGGCAAGAGCTATAAACCTTGAGGTCATCAGCAAAGATAGAGATCGAGGATTGAGGATCAATAAAATTTTCAATATCATTGATGAAAACGAGAAAGAGAAGGGGGCCGCTGACCGTCCCTTGAAGTACACCCTGAAGGATTAGAAAAAAAGAATTGTTAGAAAAACGAGTTGTTAACTTTTACAATGGAGGAACGGTTAGATAAAAAATTGGAGAACCAGCGACAGAGAGTATCATTAAAGCCGAAATTGGACATCTTTAGGCGTAAAAGGTTATGATCTACTTTATCGAAGGCTTTGGAAAAATCGAAATAAACAGCATCGATAGGAAGATTAGATGCCAAGGATTTTTTTGAATGGAGGAAAGGGAGCTGATTAGAGAAAGTTTGACAATAAATCCTTGACAATAAATTGAAAAATAAAAAAATCATAGATACAAACCAAACAGCGTCTAGACAAACTAAAACGCTCAAAATAACATCAAAAACCCTTTTCAAAAAAAAAAATAACGTAAGTTTGTACTCTTCGTTCTCAAACCTTTTTCTCAGAATATGTATAGATCTAAAACTACAATTTTCTCGTTTATTATCTGAAGTCAAATGTTTGTAAAGTTCTGCTGGATCTTTTTTAACGTGATTGCATGAATAAATTCTTCAAAAAAAAAACAGACTTCTGAAAAGGTTTGAGGGCTCAAACAAGTGACCATCTATTTTTCTTTCGCAAAAGATTTTTTTTGCACAGAAAAACACCAATGTTCTCTTTGCAACTGAACAGTTGGAAAACCTACAGTTCATACTTTCCCACTTTGATTGAACTTTTTACCGAAGAAAAAATTTGGTCGGTTGGCCCTTGAGCTTTCGCTCACTCCTGGCGCGGTTATTTGCCAGGCCTGCCCGTGCGTCTCCCGCCGAACAAACAGCCAAGGCATTGCTCCCGTAGGTCTCACGCAGCTTCTTTCATTTTTTTTCTTTTTTATTAATATAACGCAGAATTTTTTCAAGTGAGGTAAATGATATTACCGTAGTTTTTCCAACCAATAAAAAAAGTTTCGGAGTACAGGAAACATGAGTCACAATCAACACCGCTTTACGGTTTCATCACCTTTTTCTCACGTCCGACAGTTTATTTTATATCACAAGGCGTTTCTCTATAAATATCCCTTGTCTTACCTCATCACGTTTTTTTTTTCTTTTTGCAAACTATAAAGTTCTCTCTTTTTCATTGGAGTTTTTTTTTCGAACTTTATGTCATTTATTGACAAAAAAAATTGGATGGCCTTTTTTGCTCTTCCCAACTTCTGTAGAAGCCTATGAAAAAAGTTTTTTCCGAAGAAATATGATGGATAAAAATTTGCGAAATGAAAAAAATATCAAAGAGATTGAACTGTGTTCAGGCAAATCCAAAAACATGGAACCCGTTCCACTGCAGTCAGTATCAAGAAAACTACTGTACCATTAAAAAGTGCAAAGTTTGAAATGGGGAAATTTTTGACCTTTTTAAAATTTCATTTCAACCACCTTCATCAATTTTTGGATCTAAAAGTTCAGGTTTTTTGGTGGCTTCAATGTGAAGAAACAAGGACTTTTACCAGTCTTAATTCATCGTAAAGTTTTTTCAAGCTAATTTCTTGTTTTGAAAGGTTTTCCCAACCTTAATCTCATGCTTCATTGCATGTTCCTTGAAATGTTACCTACAATCAAAAAATCTTTTGAAAACTCTTTTGAAAACTTCATAAAGCTTCGAATTAGATTGCAACGGATTGTTTTCCTCGCGCAAGTATCGATCGATGGATACAAAAGAGGCGTGGCGCTCTTTTTCAAGAGAGCCGTCTGACGGGGCAGCTGCACAAGCCATGTTCTTGTGTGCCAGCTAGCACCTCGCCACACATGTAATTTACAGAATTCGGACTCTGCTTGGATCGATATTATAACTGGCGGCCCGTCGAAACCTCTTTTCCGAGCGGACTGGATGAATCATCGTGATTCACGTCGTTATATTCCGCTTGAACGGTTCTGCCGCCTCTTCCCAGCCGCCTATTGTACTTTTTTGTCCTTTCGGTTCTGTCTGTGACGTGGGCTCTTCGATGACGTCATTTTGAAGCAGTAAGGTCGTAAAAGGAGCTGTAGTTGATCCTCGCCGAAAAACTTGTGCTGGATTCTCAAAAAACGGTTAAATGAATCAACTTAACCGTAACCTTTGCTTTTTTGATCATTTCAGTCAACCCTTGATGAGCTGAATATAATTAGCTATTTCTATCGGTCTGATCTGAACCGACGGCTGTTCTTTCCGAAGAACTTCATTAAAAGAATGTTCTCCTCTGATCGTCAAAAAGTCCTTTTTCGGGCTCAAAAACTTGAAGCTTTCTCTTTGAGACACAACCTCCCTCGAAAGTGATAGTAATTGTCTTCATTTTAGCGCTAGAAAAGAAAAAAGCGTCTCCATATTGATTAAAAATACTCACCTGCTGTCCGGCGCTCGCCAAAGTCTTGAGCTTTCGAGAGCGCAATTATAAATGGACCTCAAAAACAATAATTAGCAGTATAATTCTACCTATTGATAGCTTCACGGCGTTACTGCGCTTTTTGGTTGGCCTTAACTTGGAATTGTGAGGCCGCACGAACCGGTCTGCCCGTGATAATGTGATTGATTTCCATTTTTGGCCCGGCGTATGTTCTCCAACCGCCGTCTTTGTACCTCGAAATTCGCATCTGCCACTTTTTTTTTTCAATGACGGATTCGTGCTTTGTTTAAGGTTGCGAGTTGGCACTCGGTCATGTCTTCGTTTGTCTTTCTTTCAAAACGAGCCATTCTGAACGGAAGAGGCGCTTTCTGGCCTCATTTCTGGTATTCGAAATTGCAAAGTTTTCTGAGATTTTTGAATCAAAATTGATTTTTCCCATATATTTCATCTTCCAAGCAAAGCGAAAGGTCTACAGGAGAATGGTTCGTTCATTTTTAAGTTGATTTAGATCAAGAAAATTCGTCACTTCCGGTTTTGGGGAGCTTATTGAGGTTAAATAAACGTTTCTACGTAATTTTATACAGGTGTTGAAACAGTAATCCTTTTTTTCTGGCCAAAATGAAATGCATTACCTTTTTAGAGTCCATCCACCTTAATTTAAATTTTCTAGCTAAAAAAAATTGCCGTTTTCAGAATCATTATTGAATAGTTAACCATAATAAACCCCTTTTCAATAAAAAATATACTGGTTTAATCTTATTCACGGTTTTCTGAGCCATATTCTTCATTGAGTTCCAAAAAAGAGACAAGGTAAAATGGTGAGCTAGAGAATTGTTACGGTAACCCTCAGCGAAGCGAATGTGCTCGCTCATTCGGCCACGCCCCTGCTTCTACTTCTTCGAGCGGCAGATTTCCTGCACCAACACTTTGTTTTCATTCCCTTTTCTTCTTTTTATCAAATTCAGCACCAACGTCTGGAAGGAACGCGTTTCAATGTTTTCAAACGCCATCCACGATTTCTATCTGATAAGATAAAATTTTTCCGAGCGGCGCATTCTCATAACATAAAGTTGTTATGAGAACGCTCAATAGAGACTTGAAATCCTTCCTTTTTTCGTTCATGACTGTCGTTCGGATCAGTCGCAAAAGCTTTTGCGGCTTCTTTTGGCTTACTGTTGCTCTGAAGTTCAGTCCACGTGCACTTCAACATATTTGTCGGATTTTTTGGCGATCGAGATTGAGATTGAGATTGAACGGCGGCAAACGTTGTAACACTTATCGAATAAATAAAAACTGGTTGCGAAAACTTTGGTGTTGGATACGTTCTTTTTTTTGGGCGCTGCCGTCCTTTCTCATCGTCCTACGGCGATGACCCGGCCATTTTTCTCCGCCTCTCTTCTCAGGCGCTATTCCGCTCTCACTCATTTGTTCACCGCATTCTTTTCTCTTCGCTCCTTTTTCAAATTGTGTTTATTTATTTGTTCACTTCTTATTCTTTCAACTTTTCAGCGATGAAGTTGGGTATACTGCTGGCCGGTTTGCTTATCCCCATAATAGCGTCTGCAGCGTACGTCGAGGTAAGCATTTCCGAAGGATTCTGAATAAGTAGTAGTTCGTAAAAAGTAAACTTTAATGGGTATCGATGGCTCAAAAGTTGAATTACATTCCTTTTTGATGAGGTTTTATTCAAAAAATCGGAACGTTTCCTTTGAAAAAATTCAAAAACTTTGTAAGACTTGTCTTTTATATAATGATTTTTTGAAAAGTTCCTCTCTTTATGTCTTATCCAAAAAATAAACCGAGAAAAAAGTACGAATGTGAGATATTCATTTTCGAGTTGTTGCGCATCGGGGAATTTGATAACATGAAGGATCGTGTGAATAAGTCATTAGGGCCGCGCGGCTGTCTGAGATTCCCACAGATCCGCTACTTTTTACACGCTTTATATGAGCTTTACGGATTAATATGGATCTAAGAGAAGAGAAATTTTAGCTGTAGTTGTAGAGAAGATTTGTTCAGATAAGCACTCGCCGTGGATTTCAATTTAGTTTAGTGCTGGGAAATCTCCTCGTGAGCTTCCAGTTATAAGAGCTTTTCAGCAGCTCTTCTTTCTCGTGAAGTTTCCTGCAAAAGCTAACTTAATGTGTGGATTTCATTTGAAGTAGAAAAAAAAATCAAACCCTTGGTGAAAGGGATATTTGGATGAGAATGTTTTCAGAGTGCCGCTGCAAACGTCAATGGAGTCTCATCCAAAAGACACGAAAAGTTCGTGCCAATGGTGACATTCAAGTGCGGTTTCCGCAACCAGTACCTCCAAGAGGATGGAACCTGGAAGTCGGATGAGAACCGCTTCGCGACCTGCTTCTCAGGCAAACTCGACATCTTGAAGTATTGCCGCAAGGTATGTCAACTCCTTATAAATGCTAATGAGGTTCAGTTTTCTGCTGTTTCAAATATGATTTTTTTTTGTGCAAGTAAAGACACAATTTTCAGGACTTTTGGTTTGAGATTAGAGCGAGAAAAAAAAACTATTTATTGCACTGTGTGCTACAAAATTTAACTACAAGTAAATGCTAAAAAACTACTGATATTGTATGAGCTTCAATAAGCCTTCATCGTACCGAGAGCCGTTCCTTTTGCTCCGTGAATGGATTAGTTTGAGAGGAGATTTTCAAGAGCTCCAATTCTGGAGCAACATGTGCCACATTCCCCGCCGGGAATATACGCGCATCGTATGAGAACGCAGTATTCCGGCTAGTTACTTAAGCCTCGGCATGCAAAAGCATAAAACAGACTCCCATAGCGGCCTTCAAAACTCGTCGAGCTTTCCATCCAAAGATTGTAAACCACTTGCTCACTGAAGCGAAAGGAAAAAAAAACCGAAAATTGTTCCAAATTTGTTTGGTTCTCTTTTGTTCTGAGGGATTATTGGCGAGGAATTCAGTGGATGGATGGCGGCCGTAGAAGCTTCAAAAAAGGCGAGAAGTTATGTCGGTTTTTTCCGACAACACGGCTGAAAAGTTTGAAAAATGAGAAGCAGAGCCATTTGTCTCAGCGGGGCGGCCTTAGACGGTGGTCTTGAAATGTTCTGTTTTGGAGAAAAACTCGGCATTTGACTGATGATTGCAGATGTATGTAGTGAACAAAAGTTCTCTTCACTTTTACTTTTTGGGTTGACCGAAAATACAAATTTTAATTTCCAGGCGTATCCCAGCTTGAACATCACGAACATCGTCGAGTACTCTCACGAAGTGACGACAGGCAATTGGTGCCGCGAAGAAGGCTCCCCCTGCAAGTGGACTCAAACCACTCGTCCATTCCAGTGCATCGGTAGATCGTTAATCTGCTATCAGTAACTGAAATGAAAAGAGGATCTTCGAGCTTTGGAGCTCTGAAAATGACTGAAAGTAGTTATTATCAAATTCAAAGCGTTTATTACAGTTTTTATTTTTAAAAAACAGGTAATTTTTAGGTAAAAAATAGCTGAATAACAACTTCAAACCAGAGGTTACCTGAGGGAACCGAAATTTCAACCTTAAAGAAGAATGTGTGAGGAATGTTCTAGTTGACAATTGGTGTTCGAAAATCGCAAAAGATTTTAAACTTAAAGTTTCTGTTTGTTGATCATACCTTGTCGAATGATGACCCTTTGATATTTCTTCCATGTAGATGCAACCTGAAAAAACTGGAAAAATCTCACGAGGATTGATCTTTTGAACAAATGACAAAAGGAACGAATTATTGTTCCAGACGGCGACTTCCGGTCGGAGGCGCTCCAGGTTCCTCACGATTGCCTGTTTTCGCACGTGAACATCCGCGACCATTGCAACGACTACAGCTATTGGAAAGAAGAAGCCACCAAGCAGTGCGCTTCTAAGGTAACAAAAAACCTGACAGTTGGATATAACGACAAATGGATAACTAAAACAATCCTCAATCATGTTTTTCAGAAAGAGAAGCAAGTTGTTCTGCGTTCTTTCGCAGTCCTTGAGCCGTGCTCGATCGACATGTTCACTGGTGTCGAATTCGTTTGCTGCCCTAACGACCGTAATTTTTTCTTTTTATTGCTCCAATTTCCAATTAGTGTTCGCTTTTTGAACACTCCAGGAGAAGAAATAATTTGTTATAAAAAAGGTTTCCATGGTAACTCGACATTTCACAAGTCACAAGTCACGCGAACCTAGGAAAAAAAAGAAAAAAAAGTTCAGGCTACAGTAATACGTGAGATTATAATTGCATCTCTCATTAAAAACTGCCACGAGAGACTCCCGTAAAAGCTTGGAGTTTTTCAGAGCCGTTGAAAGAAGAAATTAGAAAGCGTCTTTCTGATGATGATGACAAAGATGACGACGACGACAGCCTCGACGAAGACTACACTGAAGACGATTGTGAGGGAAAAGTTTTCATGGAAAGATTATGAAGATGACTTTGCAGCGGATGATGCTGATGAAGAGGCCGAACAAGATCCTTACTTCAAAGCGGCCAACTGGACTCATGAACATGAGGACTTCAAGGATGCCGAAGAGCGTATGGACTCCCGTCATCGTAACAAGATTGACAAAGTTCGTTGATAGAATATTTTTGGACAATAATTTCTCTATTTAAGGTCATGAAGCAATGGGCCGACCTTGAAGCTCGGTACACCGAAATGAAAACCAAAGATCCCAGTGGGGCTGAGAAATTCAAGGAACAAATGACCAGCCGTTTCCAGAAGGTTTTGAGGGATCTATAGGTACATTCTCAACGATTCTTCAGACGGTGGCGTCCCTGGAACAGGAGCACAAACGCATGAAGAAAGAAGTCGAAGCCGTGCACGAGGAACGAGTTCAGACCCTTTTGAACGAGAAGAAACGTGACGTCAGTAGAACTAAATGAAACATCTTAATCGAATGATCGTTCAGGCAACTCATGACTACAGGCAAGCGCTGTCCACTCACGTGAATACCCCCAACAAACACAACGTTCTTCAAAAACTGAAGGTATGGAATAAAAAGGAAAGCATCTGAATTGAATTTTAAGATTTACATCCGAACTGAAGAGAAAGACCGCATGCACACTCTTAACCGTTACCGCCACCTTCTTCGTACTGACGCTGATGATGCTCAGAAGTTCCGTTCCACTGTGCTCCACAGACTTCGGTACGAATCACAAATCTCTGAGTATCGAAATTGAAAAACTTCAGATACATCGACTTGCGCATCAACGGCACACTCGCCATGTTGCGTGACTTCCCTGATCTTGAACGCTATGTCCGCCCCATAGCTAGTGAGTCAAAACCTTTGATTCCCTTTAAGTAAATTAAATACATTTCAGTTAGCTATTGGCAAGATTATCGTCGTGAGAACACCCCTGAGTTGGCTGACGACATGATTTCTGCTCTCAACAGCTTGGACGAGGACGCCAAGAACAAGAAACTTGTCGATCTTTATACCGTTAGTAGTTATAGGGAAAACTAAGAATTCTCATTGCTAATAACAGGAACAATACGAAAAACTTCACCCCCTCATGAAGCTCGACGTGAAGGCGCCGACAACCACCACGACGACCGAAGCGCCAAAGAAGGAAGCTGACAAGGAGGCGCGTCTGCTGCCAACGGAGACTTCAGACTCTGAAGAACAAAATGACGATTTCTATGAAGATGAGGACGATGAGGAGATCAAGAAAAAGGAACCTGTCAAGAAAGTCAGAGTAAGACATTCTTTCCGAGGGATAAACTTGAAACACTAATTTCAGCTTATTGACATTAAGCCAAAAACTGCGAGCAAGAAGGTTGAAGCTCCGAAAATCGTCGTGACTTCCGCCCACGCCGCTGATGCAGATGACTCCTCGTTTAGCTCAGAGTCTGAAGAGGACAACGAAGACGACGTGAATAAACAACTCCGTTGCAAATTTATTGGCGAATTTCAGAAGAGCTTCAAAGACCTCCGCGTCGATATTGAGCCAATCATCGAGGAGCGACCGGCATTCTACCGTCATGAAAAACTCGTTCAATCCGAGGTGAATTTTCATAACTCGAAAAAATTTCGAACACTGCTCTTTTCAGGGAATGCGTGGTGAATCCTTCGCCTCTTCCAGCACTTACCTCTTCTTGATGGTTTCCATTGCCGTTGTCGGCGCAGTTGGGTTCCTTGTCAGCATGAACAGACGTCGGCGTGCCATGAACGGCTTCATCGAGGTTGTCCCCTCTCAACTGCGAAGTAACTAACTGAAAAGCCTTCAGGTTGACGTGTACACTCCAGAAGAGCGCCATGTCGCCGGCATGCAGGTCAATGGCTATGAAAACCCGACATACTCCTTCTTTGACAGCAAAGCTTAAACATAACACTACTTGGCCATCCCAACTGTCTTTGTTGTCCTTTTTCATGTAATCTTTTCGTGGAGATATTTTTTCATGCTGTTGACTTGTAACGTTCAACAATATTCGCCGGTACTTCCACAGCTTCTCCCAAGTTCAATCTGTTAACTCACCTGAAAATCTCAAGTAAACTGTCTTGCAGAAATCATTCCTAAAATCAAAGTTCCGTTTCGTCGAGCTTTTTTTCGAGAAAAGGCAAAAATTGTTTGGGAAAGGCGTGCTTTAGAACTCGAAACCCGTCGACTCACGTCTTCTTATCTTTTGTCTTAGTTGCAAACAAACAGGCACAATGATCAGTTCAACTGAATGCAAGAAAAAAAAAACAATGATCGACAACGACTCACGTGTTTTCCACTCCACACAAAGTTCTTTGAAATAAAAAAAATTCAAATAATAAAATCCCTTTCTTTCACCTTTCATCCGATATTTGTGATAGACTTCTCGACAAATACGTATTATTTTAATTATTAATATGGTACATATGTACGAATTTTCTCTTCCTAATACTCCTGTTCTCTCCCCTTTAGCATAGCAACTGTTCATGTTGAACCCTCTTCATCTCTCATACGCCACCAAATTTGCTGTAGCATCAATCGTCTTGATGAATTTTACTTTTCGAACTTGTCTTCCAATAAACTTTTGAACAAAATTCACACACAGAAAGAAAGGAACCAGGATAGAAAAGGAATCGTAAAAAAGTCTTCTCAGTCTTTCCTGTAGTAACGGGCGGCGGTTCCGGTTGGCATGGCTGGTAGAATGTTTGGTACAATCTAAGAAAGGAAAATATGCCCTTTTCACCCTGGAAAATACTTACTACTTGAACGTATTCGTTATAGTCCGCGGTTGTGTACCCCTTTCCAGTGAAAGGATAGTTCTGAAAGTTGAAATTTTGGAAGGTTTCTCAATAAAAAATGGTAATGTTCAATTATTTTTAGAGGCCATGACCACATTAGGAATGAATCGACTCTCAAAAGACTTTCAATTACCAAAAAAAACTGTAAATTCGCTACGCATTTTGACCGTTCTCTGTTGGTTCATGATATTTCTTTATGCTTTAATAGAAATTGGAAAGTTTTTGCAGCCTCAGGCCTCATAGGATGGATTTGTTAAGGATCTACCAAACGATTTGGGTTTCACCCATACTTCTCGACGCTGGAGCATGAGGTCGAAAACGTAGAGCAAGGCCATCAAGAACTCGATAACCTGAAAAAGTAGAATAACTCTTTTTTTCTGACCAAAGCTCACAGCTGCAGCGATCCATTGACCACGGATGTGTCCGTGTCCACGGCCTTGGTAGTTGACCTTAATAAGACGCCCTATTGCCAGCCAAACACTGTTTTCAATCAGTTACTCGTGTTAGTAATCAGAAGTGGCATTCTATGAAATTTGGGTTATAGAATTGGAGAGCGTCTTGTTTCTTTTTGTCTCTACCGTAGGGCCAGTTATTTTTAGCAGCTAAAATTTCCGACAGGGTTTTGTGTAGAGGTTGACTTGCAAGTATAACTTTTAAAGCGGAATATTTCTCAGCATGGAATGAGACATTTTCCAGAAAGTTTCCTTTAAGCATTGCTAAGAAAAATTTAGTTTTCCTCCTCCGCTTTAGGCTTTCAAATTTCCGATAATTCACTGTATACTGTTAGTGAATATAAAAAAAATTAGAGACACGCTGATTTTGGTCTTTTCATTTTTAAGAAAATGTCAAAAGTCAGATCTTGAAACGTTTCCGCTATCTATGTTAAAAAGGTTGATTTGCCAAAAATTGGACCCCATTGCTCAAACTTAAAATACCCCTCGATAAGACCCAGAACTGCAAGTTACTGAGAACCCAATTAAAAAATCGGATTCGCTCTCTTGAAGCTTGAAAACCAAAAATATTATTCAAATAAAGTTATTTTTAACTAACATGATGTCTCATTTTGAATCAAAGACAGAAACAAAATAGGATACAATTATTTAAAAAGCTTCCTTGAAAGTTTCCAATTTATTTTAGTTAGGTACCTCAGGGTCTCTGGTCAACACAGCCATCCAAGTACCAAGAATGCCGGCCACGAACATGAGAAGAATTCCCAGAATAGCGTAAATCCTCTCCTGGCATATCAATTTATCTCTTGAAAAGCTTTGCTACGATCAAACCACTGCAAGGATCGCCCCACCCAACGCTTTGTGGGCATTCAGTCCATAGCCAATCAGGATAAGTGTGCAGATAATCGAGAGCAACAGGAAGATTAACAAGACAAAGAGCTGAATATTTGACAAAATAGAATAGAGTCTAAGAATCGGAATAAACCTGTCCCATGGCTGTGTATCCAAAAACGTTCATAATCATTGTGCAGGCGTCTCCGCCGCAGGTGATTTGAACAAGCCATTGGAGAAGGAAAAATAAAGCCTGAAAAGTTCATCTATGAAAGATTTTACGAAATTAGGAGTCGAAAAAAATCGATGAATGAGAATACTCACAAGTTCAAACCATCGTAACAATGCCATCGGATGAGCCAACATATTGGGTGTACATTCTATCGGCTCTTTTTCGACAGTCTAGAAATATTCAATTTAATTTGAAGAAAATTTATGTGAACTTCTCGTTTTGAGACAATAGAAAACGTCCTTCTATTAGACACCATTTGATTTTTTCATTTAGTACTCTAAAATTTCGAATATCTCTATATTTTTCTTCTGAAAGGGCAGAGGCCTTGAAGATCTGGAACTTTTCGGGAAGCATACGATGAAACTTTGAGTCACAAAAAAACAAAGATAGCCCGAAAATCTATCATATGATCAATTCTTTCTACAAAAGGTAAAATCGAAAAAAAATCATAGGGAATATTGCTGAAAACATGGTTCTGAAAAAAAAACTCGGCAGACGTAGCCATTTTTCAAAATCTTTTTTAAGTCTATTACATAGTGTACTCAAGGCGAAAAAAAGATCATTTTTGAATTCTGGAAAAATTTTGAACAATTACTCACAAGGGAGGTCATGTAACCTTGCTGTTGGAAATTTCTTGAAGATTGGTCGAAACACTTCTTAATAAACCAGATTCTGAATAATCTAACTTGCAAAACTTCCTAGTTTTCGAGAAAGGACACCTTAAAGTCAAAGGAAACACTAAAAACTCGTTAGGTCATTTCGAGGCTTTGAGCCCTTGTTTCTCGAAAATTATGAACTTTTGCAAGTTCAGAATTCCAGACTCTTTTTCTGGTAAATCAAAAAGTGTTCTAGCCAGTTTTCAGGAACCGCAGACTGAAATGACCTTCCTTGTCGGATAACAAGAAACTTCTGAAAATGACGACCAACCCGAAGTTCCATTTGCCTCGCCTTCGTTACATTTTGAGTTGCTCCATTGGTGACTGCGGCTCCGTTATATTTTGGTGGACTGGTATTATAGTCACTTCCCCACTGGTTATACCTTTGGAAAGACTGATTCTCTTGATCGAAGAGCGCCTTGTCTTTGCCGAACATAGACATTTTGCTGAAGACTCAATTTTTATACACGGAGAAGAAAGAAGAACGAGGTGAACAAATAGTGAAAATGAGCCCCATTCCAAATTATCATTCTATCGATTTGCTGATAAAGTGCGTGGTAGCTTCATGTTGCAGCTGATAGCAAAGTGTAAACAAACGTTGATGATCAGTAGGTTTATAATTAAAAAGAAAAAGAAGTGTTTTTTTAAAAATGAAAAATAGGAAATGAGCACGAAAAACCTTATAAAAAAACAAAAATATTTCACAAATCTTTCATTCTACCAACGCTCGAAAAATTGAATGACTCAAAAAAAGTCCATATTTCCCATTATGAAGTTATTTTTTTAGTAGAACTTTATTATTCAGCGGGTGATTTTTTTAAAAAAATTCTAAGGGTTAGGAAATTTAAGGACATGTCTCATTGGCTAGGATTCAGAAAAATCACACAAACTTACGTTTTGCATTGAATCAACTTACTGGAGAAGTAAATCCATTTTTATTTTGGTGTTATCACAAAAAAATAATTAGAAAAAAGGTGACTTTGAAAAAAATTCATACAACACGAAAGTCGGGTGATGATGGTTATGTACAAAATGAACCAGGAGATCATTAAAGCTCTGTGAATTTCGGTCTTCATGATGATATGTCATGAAAGGCAGCGTAGCTCTCAGTCAACAAATCGAAAAATGCAAAAATTACATGTCTTGGATGAATTTACAAACTCTAAAGATTAAAGCCCAATATACAAAGCTGAATTTCTAATTATAAAATTATCCCGTAGATTGAGCATCGGAAAAAGTAAAAATTTAAGGAAACGGATAATATTGAACTATAAGTTTTCGGTCTCTTCTGCGTTCTCAACAGTCAATGTGAGGTGATTAACGATGGTGAGGTTCTTTTTCTGACGATTTTCTCTGTTACCAGTTATAAGGATCCCTTTCAGGTTAGTGGCTTCTCCGCCGTTGAGGTATGGCTTGACGTCCCCTTAAACTAGAGAATATTTAGAATGAATCTGAAGAAAAAACCATTGCGGAGCTCCCATCGAGTGGCGTCGTCTTGAAGCGATTCCATGCTCATGTACTCGCGATTCTGCATTCCTATCCCGGAACTAGTTGCGAGAAAACTGAATACTCTATATAAAAAAGCGAGAAAAGATATCAAGACCTGCTGGACCGGCGGGCAGAGATGAAGTCGGCAATTGCTGGGAACCGTAAGAGAATATTCCGCAAACACATGCAGTTCAGTAGGAAAGCTCTCGTGTATTCACTGCTAGCCATGCAGAAAACGTAGAAGTTCAAACAGTGGTTCATCACTTCGAGGAGGTTGGAACAGTAGCGATAAACCTATAAAAAAATTTTTTTAAAGTCAAGTTTTCAATTTTGAAACCCTACAAATGATTATCAACTAGGAAACTTTTTTTACCCCCCACTTCCGGTTGAAATTTTGATGAAACTCCGCTGAAGTATACTTTAGGACCTCCTTATTGCAGCACACAAAAAAAAGTTTCTTGAAATATATCTGGTTTCCAAGTTAGAACGCTTCAAGAGCTTAAAATAACGCATTTTGATCTAATTAACGTATTTTGCGGACTTTGAAGCTCCATAACTAGGAAAAAAAGATCTATTACAAGAAATGTTCTCCTTGTTCTGCAATCAGAAGGTCCTAGAGTACATTTCAGCAAATTTTTCATCAAAAAGTTCAACGGGAGGGGTAAAAATGTTTCAAAGTAAGAATATTCTGATCTAATCCGATTTTTGCTATTGGGTATTTTTTTGAGTACGGTCCTCTGAAGAAGGATAAAACTCACCTGAAATCCGAAAACATGCTCCATTGCTTCGTTTTGAAGTACCATGACAATCATCTGAGGAACGTTGCCAAGGATGAAAATAAAACAGATTGCTATCATCAGCACCGTGAGTTTCTTTTCCGTAAAGCTTTTAATCAAGCTCGTGTATTCTTTGCTAGAAAATAATTATTTTTTGTTTCCACCAACTGGATATGAAATACCGAGTACTGCTGACCGCAGTATTGTTGGTTAAGGGTTCAGGGCTAGAACTATTACAGTTGGTGTTGTTTTTTGTCTTCTCATTCTCACAGAGAGGAGACGATCGCCGTACCAATCGACGACGTCTCATCTGAAAAAAAAGGTGTTTGGGAAGTTTGTAAGACCTTCAGACCTTTGTGATTTGAAGTTTGCGAGCGATGATGACATTCAATGCCGTCATCATCACAACACAAAAAAATCGGAAGCACTCCCGAGTCAGTTTATAGTAGCTGTATATGGTCCATTGCGGCTCCCTGAAACTGACTCGATCAGAAGCAAAAAGTCTCCACTTTTATGATATGAAGATGATACAGACGATTTTCGTATTCAGACAAAGCAAGATATAAAAAGAGCCCTACCTGCAAAGCATGGATACATTGTTGACGATCGTGTACACTCCTCCTTCTAACTTCCAAGTGCTTTGCAGCATCATCGGAATGTGCAAACACGCCGAAAACAGCATTATAAGAAATATTTTCTTTCTCGCCATTGGTCGGGGGTTTTTTGAAGGCTTCATGTGAGGTCTGGATAGTAGCAGGTATCTGAATATTTTGAAATGTTTTTTTTTGGACGACTTGTTAGGAACTGGCTATTTTGAATTTTAACAGCAAGTTTTATTCAGTTTTCTGTTTGAATTTTTTCAAACATGATCCAAGTAATTTTTTTTTTATAAGATATAAGAGTTTTTCATTTGAAAAGTCATGGCCTGAAAAAGATTAACCATTCGGAAGATAGAACTATTAAAGTGGCTAGCCAAATAAAAATCAGATAAATTCCTTGCATTTTTGAACCTTTTTTCACCTTTTTCCAATGAATCTGATTTCTCATAAAATCCACTTTTTTCTCTTTTCAAATATTCTCATTCAGTCTAATCATTCTCAAAGTTTCGATTCATAGTCAATTTTGACATTCAGTGTTATTTTAAGCAGTAAATCGAATTGTAACCGCAAAGAACTTACAATTTTTCAAAAAAAAAATCAAAGAAAAATCCGACGAAAATATCTAATTTTTTTAATAATTTTTTTCCGATTTTCTTTCACCTTTCAATAGTCAGCAAGAAAGCGCAATAAAGGCCAGCGACTAAAAAAGTATTGATGAGAGGAGCTTCCACGTAGGTTCTGTACATCATAAGCGTCCATGACATTCTCCATTCCATGATAATAAAATGAAAAAAATGATACAAGACAATGAGATCTGAAAAATGAATAATGTTGTGAATGACTTTTTCAGAAAATAGTTTCAAGGGCTTTTCTATCGAAATTCCATTGATTGAAAAGGTTGTATTCCAATTACTATCTGCAATGTTAATAACTTTACGACTTAACTGACAACATTTTCAAAAAATAGCCAGGTAATTATTTTGTTTCCAGACTTTCTTGAAGCTGAAAAAACAAACCAAGTCAAAAACAGCAAGGGAACGTATGTACATAAAAGGTACAGTTTGAAGAGAAGGGCTCTGCAGAGTTCTGAGATTCAAAATGTTCCCCGTCACCCCAATGATACAAAACGTGAGCTGAAATCAACTTCTTCATTGGAATCAGTAGATCTTTCTTAGAAACCTGGGCATAGGCGAAAATCACTTCGATTCTTCTGAGGTCCTCGCCGAACTCGTCGGTGGAGTTGCGCTTCTCGGGGTTGCAAAACGCCTCCATGTCGAGGATGACGTGCAACTGAAACGCGATATTTGGCCAGTTTCGCTTTAACTTGTGTGCACAAGAGCCGTTTCACAAAACACTTTTATGCGTCCAAGGGTGATCACCGTTTGGCCTTTCTCGTCTTCTCGCTTTAATAGCCTCACTTAAGTTTTCCAGGTCTTTCCCACTGGCATACCTTTCGGGGTTGAAAAAGAAGGCCGACGTTTTTTGAATGACAGAATTTTGAGAAACAGAAAAGTTTCTCTTTATCGCTCAGGTTTTTTTTTGGGAAAATTAGGCTTTTATTCATGAAAGTTGAGAGTGCTCAACGCGTCTTTTTCAAAGGCATACAGTTTGTTCACCACTTGGTTACCAAGTTTTTGTGAAAGCCTTTTGAAAGCCCCAGGAATCGAAAAAATAAATTTGAACTTCACGAACAATTTTCACATTTCCAGTCAGAAAAGTGCCGGTCCACTGAGATTAGTGGCAAAAAGAAAAGAAGGACAACTTCAAACAAAAAAAAATCTCCATTTTCAAAAAGGCCGTGTATCAAAAAGAACATCAAGAAGATGAGAAGAGGTAACGTAAGACATAAACTTCAACAGAAAAAAAATCGGAAGGAGCGGAATTCAAACCATATGCTGCGGAACGTGGGCGAAACACGCTCTGTATAAACTTAGAGGTCGGCACATTTCACCCTGGCATCATTCAGCCAGAACAGACAAAAAAAAACATCCTTTTTTCCGTGCAAAATTAGCCAAGGAGTGTTTCGGAGGTCGCACATGACTGGTAGAGAAAGTGAGATAGTTTCCGATTTAGTTCCTGTTATGTGTATCCGAAACGTTTTCAATGAATATTTTCTGAGAATTTAATAATCAATTAAGAAAAAAAGGACTGTAAAATTCTCTATTTTGTTCAAATTGAATTTATTATAGCTGAGTTAAAGTTTTCTAATCAAGTAGAAAACCCGGAGAAATGGTGGTTGAAAAAGATAAGTTGGAAAAACAGGTGATTTTCTTTTTTTTTGAACTTTAATTACAAATTGACACTTCGAAAAGCACGACAACATCACATCTAATGAGCTTTTAACTTTATAATTGAATCGACCCGAAAAATAACTTACGGTTTCAATAGTTTCAGGGTCATTCAGCCACTCAGGAAATTTAAATTCGTTTGACAGACTTTGACGTAAAACACTTGTATGGAGAACATTTTAAAGAACTTTTTCAAGAAAAATGAAAGTTTCAAATCGGGTCTCCAAAGAATCTCGACTAAACGGTTGATTTTTGCCCAATGCTCTGCAAACCTATGAAAATGGGAATACTAGTGAAACGAGGAAACAAAGGAGGGCTGAAATGCGCTACCACGATGTCGTGGAATGCTCGAGTCGTTCTGGATGGGGCAATATGAGACGTCCTTATGAGAGGACAATTGGCCTTAAGATCGGCGACATATTGCGGAGGACGTGGTGGCCCTGACGCCATTCCACGTGGGCATCGAGCTACGAAAGAAGGAAATTGCGGTCGGAAGATTTTCTGAAGACTTGCCGACGTCAAACAGAGACACTGCACTTTATTACCACTACGACCTTTGACTCTTGAACTAATTACTGAGTAGTTCTATCTCATTTTTGCACTGTTTTTGTTTCATAATGATGAAAAACCGATGAGTCAGTTAAACTCCTCAACTTTTATAGACATGGTAAAATTAGGTCGAAGTTTGATGGAAAATTGAGAAAACTCGTTCTGAACACTGAAAAAAATAAACCTAAGAGTATTACATTCAATTCTATACATGCAATTATACATTCAAATCATCATTAAAAAGTGCAAACTAGAGTGTAGTTTACTGCAAAATTTTTTTTTTTCGTTTCTCGATTTTCAATAAATTTGTGAAGGGTTATTTTTTTGTAATTATCTGTGAAAATTACACTTTCCTCAAAAAAATCTTTTGAATTTTTTTGATAATTAAATAAACAGCAAAGAAAAATGCGATTCAAAAAATCCGTTCACTATTTTTTTTCAAATTGATACGTTTCGAAAAAAACAAGGTTCTATTCTTAATTTTAGTCAATTTTTTTGTTATTATCATTAGCTCAGAATTTTGCTAATTCATCTTTAAAAAAACTTAAAAAGACTTCTCTGATTCACAAGATGATCAAATGGAGTTAACCTTCGAAAGTTAGCTTTCAAAATATATAATTGGTAAAACCGGAAGCCAAGAGTCAAATTTTATTTGAAATGGCTAGGCATACAATTTTTGATGAGAGCATGAGAAAAAAGATTCGAAAAAAGAAAACTTTCACTTCAAAAATTGGCGCATTTCAACAAGACATTCATTACTCAGAAGAAAAATTTTCAAAAACCCAGGTTGGTATTCTTCTCGGAGCAATTGCTTGATGATGAATGACGGGGCTGACAGCGACACGCCACTTCAAACTCATCTGCTTTTAGACTCACCCACGGAAATTGTGGACCTTTGTCTTCAACCGAATCGTTCATTTGTTTGAGGTCGTCGTAACTTGAAACATTGGTGTAGCAGAAGATGGCAGAATCGGAAAGAGTGCTTAGGATAGAATGTTGCCAAAATCGGCCGAAATTGGCTTGAGCCAGCGATGAACCTGATTTCGGAAGGTCACTCCAGTCAGGAAGCAATTTCCATTATCGTCTTCATGGAATTTGGCTCGAATAAATTTTCCACTTTTCTTGATTACTTTCAACTCCAATCTTGTTTTCTGTTCGACCTGAGAGGGGAAGAATTCAAGTTTATTTGCACCAAAAGCATCACAACGAACTAGGTCGAGAACTTTATTTCATATTTGGTACTTCTGCGATAAAAACAATAGGAATAAATAGGTGACCTATGTACTCAGAAGGAAATTTTGAATCAAAAAAGCAATCAGAAACTACACCAGCCAGGGCTCTTCAAATCTCGGCATTCTAAAATCTCAAAGCTACTCAAATTACAGACTCCTGAGATGATATTTACTACTGGAGATTTATGTTGAATACTTTTTGCATTAATCTATTGTTATATTTTCATTCTCAGAGAACTATCAGGTTGGTGGAAAAAAAAACGATGCGCCGATTTAAAGGAAGATTTTTTCGAAAAAACAAAATAAATAGAGATGCTCTCAGAAAGTCTGCTTCATTTTCATCAACGACTCGTCGACAACATCCAAGAAAAATGGATGCCTTGCTTGAACAACTCGTCCGCCTGCGGTTCACATAACTTGGACCCCCAAATTTTGGCATGGTCTGTTTAAAAAAACTGTTTATTGCATCTTCAATGTAAGAATACATGTGCAATCGACTTTCATTGATTTTTAACTGTGTTTGAACGGCGGCAGAAGCTGTGACTTAGGCAGAGAAGTTGTGAATTTTGGCTCGTAGAACATCAGGTACAAGAGAGGTCGCCGACCTTTAAACAAAAAAGTAAATGAATGTCTAGAACTGAAAGTAGGAGAGAAGAGTCAAGTTTGGACCATGTAGCGAGTGAAACAGAACATTGCAGCACGCTAGCTCGCTTTTTCGCAACTAGAACACAATCCTTTTTAAGGATCTATTTTGTTGACGCCTTATCCATATAGTCAATCCATCTCGAATTGAAAGGCGAGGGAGGCGGAGAAATCGGCGGGACGCGTAGCGTCCGCATACGCGGTTCTTGGCACGAGTTCAGTTCAAACGCCAGCAACTATTTTTAAAAAGCTGGGACCTCTTTTTGTATTTATTCAAATATTTTATAAAGCACACTTGAAAACAAGAATAAAAACTGGCAACTCTTTCCTGCTTCTCTCGCCTTTTAAGTCGAGATGGATTGACTATAAAATGATCCTTTGTAAGGCCCCTTTCATACGCGCCGTTTTGTGCGGCGGCCATGCGCGCTTACCATTGACCACAAAAAGTCGTTATGTGCACTCTGCGGAAGCAACTATTCATTAGAACAATTATCATGTTTTTGGAGAGTTTCATCCTGTTCTATTGATTTTGCATGGGAGTTTTCAAAGTTTGCTTTTGTTATACTTTTTTGGTCTACCGGTGACCGCGAACCGCCGCGGCGCGAAAGACGCCTATGAAATCAACTGACTAAGCCAGTTTCCCACTCTCTCTTGAATGAGGTGGTCCTGCTCTCCTACCTGTTGTCCGCTCGTCCTTCTTCGCCTTCACTCGGACATGGGTGACGCGAAAAAGACGTGCTCCGGACGTTTATGGGCGAACCTAGGGATCACTGAAGAGTGCTGAGGCTACTGAAGTGGTCACTAGAATTTCCCTGAAACGTCCGATTCGTGCCGCGTTTGCGTTACCAAGGTCCAAGCAGTTGCCGCTCATTTTGCTGAACGGCTTCTGTTTCTGTTGTAAACTTCTGTGAGCTTTGTCCATGTCGATTTGGCATCAACTTCCTGTTTGCTCAGGTCGACTATTGTATCGCTCCTGCCGTCGGACTACAGTCAACGTCTTCAGCGCTTTCTCCAACGTCATCCGAAAAGAAGTAGACGTTGCCTGGAATCCGATAGCAGTCGCTGTTGGAGCATACCGTTATATTAGGCTGATTCTAGAATGTTCTATAATAATCTATACATTTCTAGTCTACTTACGTCACGGGGATCATGTGTAAAGGTAACTCTTCCAGAAAGTTTCACAATCTTTTTACTTGTTCTATGCTTTTTTAAAAGGTTCCACATTGTTTTAGAATGTTCTACAGCTTACGGGACGGATCTCTAAAACTCAAAAATGTTCTCAAACTCTCTGAACTCCACCTTTATTCTGAAACATTCCATAATCTTAGGGATTTCTTCCCTCAGCATCATACAGCCTCTTTTTTGTTATTGTAGATGGTCTGGTCCAGTTTCTTGTTACTAATAAATCTTCTGCTACAAAATTTTCATTGGCCACCTGCGAGCATAACAGTGGCAGAAAAAACCTATAGACACAGTGCAATCAAATCATAACGGCGTTTTTTCGTTTCCCGTTTTTTCTTTTTATCCGGCAAAAAAAGTATCATTCATATGCGCATTTCTGAGAATGAATGAATTTGGCAAATGTGAAAGAAATTCAGAATTTTCTGCAAAATTGATATTGCATCAAACTGCTGACAATTTTTTTTACAATAGCTTTCTGGAGTTTCTGTCAAATGTTATTGAGAACCTGGCGCAATCGATATAATACCTGGTTTAAGTGTAGGTTTAGAGCCTTTATAAAGACAATGCTGATTCGTCGTAGTTTTTTGCTCGGTTTATCGATTGTTTTCTAATTTTTTGATTTCAGGCTTTGCAGTATTCGATGCCGTCCGGCCCCCATTCACAATTGCGCAAAAATGATTTTCGTGGGTTTTTTTTGTAGGAATATCGGTACGATTTCTCTTCCAAAACTCTATGAAAATTCTCGGTATTCTATTATTGTCGTTTTCTGCTCTTTATAGAATCATGATTTCAAAAATGTAAACGACCAGAGCAAAAAACAATTTCAGAACGGGAGATGGCACAGTCTATTGCCTCAAATTCCGTCAGAGGCGGCAAGGCAACAATTTTTTCGTGATTTTTCCTTTTTCGTTTTTCTTATACATTGTGTTTGATAAGGATAGTACCTCCCTTGATTTTGGACTTTCTGGCAAAATGTAGAAAGATATCAAAAATCTGTGAGTGTCATTCGATTCAGAGCACAAAATAACTCTCAGAACCAAACTTTCATTATCCTAGCGCTTTCCCTACAATAATGTCACCGAAAAAACGGGTTTTGGACCGTTCAGTAAGGATAGGACCAGCTGAAAGTTTCGACTTTCATTGGTAGTTTTTGGTTTCTTTTTTCAATAAGTTGTTGTATATTGTTCTAATATCACTTTTTTTCAAGTTTTCTACGATTTTTTTTCTATATCCAAAAAAATTACCAATGAAAGTCAAAATTTCCAGGGGGTCTTATCTTTATTGAACGGTCCAAAACCCGTTTTTTCGACGACCTTTCGGTAGGAAAAGTGTTAGGATAATGAAAGTTTGATTGTGGGGGTCATTTTGTGATCTGAATCGAATGGCACTCGCAAACTTCTTTGTTTGTTGTTCAAAATCCTGTAGTAAAAGAAAAAATCTTTTGCAATATTGAAAAAAGTTCTTTCAATAATTTTCAAATCAAAAAATTATATTTCTTGTTTCCAGAACCCGGATGGAAGGCAAGGCAAGCAGTGTTGACCAGAGTCGACAAAGCAGAATTGGTCATTAAAATTTTTGTCTGAATAAGCCAGCACGACTGGGAGCCATACAAGTTAGAGTTCTCAAAACCGAACGTTCAAAAAATGACCGTTTGAAAAAAATGAACTTTTTCATTTTTCGATAGTTTAGGATATATCATTTTCAAACGTTCAACCAAAAAAAGTTCGAAAAATCGTTTTTCTTATAATAATGAACGTTTGCTTTTCACATAAAAAAACGGACGTTCGTTTTTTGAACGAACTGTTTTGAAATGGAAAATGAACGTTCACTTTTTGAACGAACTTTTCACGAGCGAAAAATGAACGTTCATTTTTTAAACGAACTTTTTGGAAATGAAAAATGAACGTTCATTTTTTGAACGAACTTTTTGAAAATGAAAAATGAACGTTCATTTTTTGAACGAACTTTTTGAAAATGAAAAATGAACGTTCATTTTTTGAACGAACTTTTTACGAACGAAAAAAATGAACGTTCATTTTTTTGAACGAACTTTTTGAAAATGAAAAAAATGAACGTTCATTTTTTTGAACGAACTTTTTGAAAATGGAAAAAAATGAACGTTCATTTTTTTGAACGAACTTTTTGAAAATGAAAAAAATGAACGTTCATTTTTTTGAACGAACTTTTTGAAAATGAAAAAAATGAACGTTCATTTTTTTGAACGAACTTTTTGAAAATGAAAAATGAACGTTCATTTTTTTGAACGAACTTTTTGAAAATGAAAAAAATGAACGTTCATTTTTTTGAACGAACTTTTTGAAAATGGAAAAATGAACGTTCATTTTTTTGAACGAACTTTTTGAAAATGAAAAAAATGAACGTTCATTTTTTTGAACGAACTTTTTGAAAATGAAAAAAATGAACGTTCATTTTTTTGAACGAACTTTTTGAAAATGAAAAAAATGAACGTTCATTTTTTTGAACGAACTTTTTGAAAATGAAAAAAATGAACGTTCATTTTTTTGAACGAACTTTTTGAAAATGAAAAAAATGAACGTTCATTTTTTTGAACGAACTTTTGAAAATGAAAAAAATGAACGTTCATTTTTTTGAACGAACTTTTTTGAAAATGAAAAAAATGAACGTTCATTTTTTTGAACGAACTTTTTGAAAATGAAAAATGAACGTTCATTTTTTTGAACGAACTTTTTTGAAAATGAAAAAAATGAACGTTCATTTTTTTGAACGAACTTTTTGAAAATGAAAAAAATGAACGTTCATTTTTTTGAACGAACTTTTTGAAAAATGAAAAAAATGAACGTTCATTTTTTTGAACGAACTTTTTGAAAATGAAAAAAATGAACGTTCATTTTTTTTGAACGAACTTTTTGAAAATGAAAAAAATGAACGTTCATTTTTTTGAACGAACTTTTTGAAAAATGAAAAATGAACGTTCATTTTTTTGAACGAACTTTTTGAAAATGAAAAAAATGAACGTTCATTTTTTTGAACGAACTTTTTGAAAATGAAAAAAATGAACGTTCATTTTTTTGAACGAACTTTTTGAAAATGAAAAATGAACGTTCATTTTTTTGAACGAACTTTTTGAAAATGAAAAAAATGAACGTTCATTTTTTTGAACGAACTTTTTGAAAATGAAAAAAATGAACGTTCATTTTTTTGAACGAACTTTTTGAAAATGAAAAAAATGAACGTTCATTTTTTTGAACGAACTTTTTGAAAATGAAAAATGAACGTTCATTTTTTTGAACGAACTTTTTGAAAATGAAAAAAATGAACGTTCATTTTTTTGAACGAACTTTTTGAAAATGAAAAAAATGAACGTTCATTTTTTTGAACGAACTTTTTGAAAATGAAAAAAATGAACGTTCATTTTTTTGAACGAACTTTTTGAAAATGAAAAAAATGAACGTTCATTTTTTTGAACGAACTTTTTGAAAATGAAAAAAATGAACGTTCATTTTTTTGAACGAACTTTTTGAAAATGAAAAAAATGAACGTTCATTTTTTTGAACGAACTTTTTGAAAATGAAAAAAATGAACGTTCATTTTTTTGAACGAACTTTTTGAAAATGAAAAAAATGAACGTTCATTTTTGAACGAACTTTTTGAAAATGAAAAAAATGAACGTTCATTTTTTTGAACGAACTTTTTGAAAATGAAAAAAATGAACGTTCATTTTTTTGAACGAACTTTTTGAAAATGAAAAAAATGAACGTTCATTTTTTTGAACGAACTTTTTGAAAATGAAAAAAATGAACGTTCATTTTTTTGAACGAACTTTTTGAAAATGAAAAAAATGAACGTTCATTTTTTTGAACGAACTTTTTGAAAATGAAAAAAATGAACGTTCATTTTTTTGAACGAACTTTTTGAAAATGAAAAAAATGAACGTTCATTTTTTTGAACGAACTTTTTGAAAATGAAAAAAATGAACGTTCATTTTTTTGAACGAACTTTTTGAAAATGAAAAAAATGAACGTTCATTTTTTTTGAACGAACTTTTTGAAAATGAAAAATGAACGTTCATTTTTTTGAACGAACTTTTTGAAAAATGAAAAATGAACGTTCATTTTTTTGAACGAACTTTTTGAAAATGAAAAAAATGAACGTTCATTTTTTTGAACGAACTTTTTGAAAATGAAAAAAATGAACGTTCATTTTTTTGAACGAACTTTTTGAAAATGAAAAATGAACGTTCATTTTTTTGAACGAACTTTTTGAAAATGAAAAAAATGAACGTTCATTTTTTTGAACGAACTTTTTGAAAATGAAAAAAATGAACGTTCATTTTTGAACGAACTTTTTGAAAAATGAAAAAAATGAACGTTCATTTTTTTGAACGAACTTTTTGAAAATGAAAAAAATGAACGTTCATTTTTTTGAACGAACTTTTTGAAAATGAAAAATGAACGTTCATTTTTTTGAACGAACTTTTTGAAAATGAAAAAAATGAACGTTCATTTTTTTGAACGAACTTTTTGAAAATGAAAAAAATGAACGTTCATTTTTTTGAACGAACTTTTTGAAAATGAAAAAAATGAACGTTCATTTTTTTGAACGAACTTTTTGAAAATGAAAAATGAACGTTCATTTTTTTGAACGAACTTTTTGAAAATGAAAAATGAACGTTCATTTTTGAACGAACTTTTTGAAAATGAAAAAAATGAACGTTCATTTTTTTGAACGAACTTTTTTGAAAAATGAAAAAAATGAACGTTCATTTTTTTGAACGAACTTTTTGAAAATGAAAAAAATGAACGTTCATTTTTTTGAACGAACTTTTTGGAAAATGAAAAAAATGAACGTTCATTTTTTTGAACGAACTTTTTGAAAATGGAAAAAAATGAACGTTCATTTTTTTGAACGAACTTTTTACGAACGAAAAAAATGAACGTTCATTTTTTTGAACGAACTTTTTGGAAATGAAAAAAATGAACGTTCATTTTTTTGAACGAACTTTTTGAAAATGAAAAAAATGAACGTTCATTTTTGAACGAACTTTTTGAAAATGAAAAAAATGAACGTTCATTTTTTTGAACGAACTTTTTACGAACGAAAAAAATGAACGTTCATTTTTTTGAACGAACTTTTTGGAAAATGAAAAAAATGAACGTTCATTTTTTTGAACGAACTTTTTGAAAATGGAAAAATGAACGTTCATTTTTGAACGAACTTTTTGAAAATGAAAAAAATGAACGTTCATTTTTTTGAACGAACTTTTTGAAAATGAAAAAAATGAACGTTCATTTTTTTGAACGAACTTTTTACGAACGGAAAAATGAACGTTCATTTTGGTTGAACGTTCAAAAAGCAAACTTGAACCAAAAGTTTGGTTTCAACATTTGTTCGAAAATGTTTGGTCGAACGTTCGTTCGAACGTTTGGTTTTGAGAACTCTAATACAAGTGGCTTCAATATATACAATAGTTTTTTTGAAAAAAAATTTTTTTTAGAATCACAATAGATTATCTCCAAAAAGGCTAGGCTCACGAAGTTCTACATCAACCCTTCGTGCTGACACAGTGGCGAGGGGCACGAAGTCACGGAGTTCGCCATCAACACTTCGTACTGCCCCAGTGGCAAGGGGCACGAAGTTGGCCATCAACACATCCCACAGTGGCGAGGCTCCCGAATTTCTACATCAACACCGTGCTGCCCCAACGGAAAGATGCACGAAGTTTTACACCAACACTTCGTGCTGCCCCAGTGGCGAGGCGCACGGAGTTGGCCACCAACACTTCCTTCTACGAAAGTATCCTTTTTGAGGTGCGTGCCACTTCTAGGCAATAAGAAGCAGAAGAAAAAATTCATGATTAAATTAACGCAGGTAGGCAAAATGCTGAAAATTATTTCTAAACTTGAACTTTTCAGAACATCGATCTTCTTTGGATCATTGAAAAATCAAGACATGGGCAATGCAAAGGAGAAGATGAACGCGAATATATCTGCTTCGCCCATTCTTATCCACTTCATCACTCAACAGATTGGTTCACAGGTACTCAAAATTATTATAAAAACCAGGTAAAAACGGAAATTCAGGACTTTCTTCTGAGGCGTTTTCTGAGGGGAGAGAGAGATTGAAACAAAATACGCCGGTAAATTTTCTTTTGAAAATTGTTAATGAAAAAATATTTCCTTACAGAATCAGAAGACAAAAAGAGTCTGCTGATCATTGCCAGTTTCGCTGAAGCTTGTTGGACCGGATCATCAAGCACATCAAGCAAAACTGAACAGAATAGTAACAACAACACAACATCTTCGATTCCACACGTCAAATCATGTTTTTCAAGCTGTTTCATTTACATACAGATATGTGATTGTTTGTTTTTCAATCAATAAACATGTTTTTTTATCACTGCCTGTTTTTTAAAACGCCTTTTGGTGAGAACGGAGTAGTTTGGCGAAATTGTGAGATTTTTCAAGAACTCTTTTCTGAGTAGTTTTCTGAGCGATTCGGCGTCCTTGTCTTGAAAGTGGTGATTTCTGCCGTATTTGAAAAAAATTGCAGTTCTTGAAAAAAATTTAACATATCTTCTGAAAGCAGAAAAATCTTTTACAAGGAAAAAACGGCTTTCTGCAATCATGCATTTGTTCCGGATCTGTCGCATGAAATTCCAGATTTGCATTATCTTTTTGAAAAAAATATTCAAAAAGACATTAAAGCATCAGTCTTCTCATCTGTTCAAAAATTACGAAATATTGAACAAAATAGTTTTTTTTTTGTTGATCAGATTTCTCTTCTGGACGTTCCGAATCTTTTGAAACAATGAGATTTTCCGTCAGTTTGTTTTTTATAAGTATCCAAAAGCAGTTATTCGAATCGAAATGCAGAGAATATAAAAATGACTCTTGCTTGGCAGGAACCTTCGAAACAAAATTTTTTCCTGATAAGTTCCCTGTTTGATGTTTTCTGCACCATTAAAAAAACCATTTCACTGTTTTCGATTTTTCAGATCTTGAAAAATTCTTTATTTACTGTCGACAAACCTTTTGATCCCTCAAAGATGCCAAGTAATTAAATTTACCTAAACTTTATTCCGTCAAAAAACGACGATCACGAATTTACACTGAATGTTCTGCAAAAGTCCCAGTTAGGACTACACTCACATATAAAATTCATCACAAAGTAATTAACAACTATTTTATAAAAATCAAGTAGAGAAAACCACAAATATGAAGGAAATGCGCGTGGAATAACGCGCGATTGCGGCTGATAGTGCATACACTGAGTATGTTGACCGCAGTGGAGCGAAGGTAGCCTCGTCGTCCTTTTTTCTGTATTTTCGACGATGGCACGTTACGTTGTTTCTTCTGTAGCTGTTCCGTGAGTTATTTTTCATTTCACCTTATGGAAATCGTGTTGTGGGTTCTTTATTGGATGTAAATACCTTGTTTAACAGTGAAAATCTTAGGAAAAACTTCAATTTCTACGCTTTTTTTATCGGTTTATTTTCAATCTTTTTAATTTTAATTATTGTTTTTAGTTAATTATATTTATATTTATTCAATTTATATACTTCAAAGTGCGTTTTTCATTGTAATATTTGGTCTGAAAAAAATTTTCAACTTTTTCAAAAGGTTTCCGCATCCAAACATTAGACATTAGTTTGAAAAAAACTTAGTGTAAGGTATCAGATTGCGAAAAATTTCTTCTAAATGTTTTTTTATTTCATAGTTTGTTTTTTTAACATATTTTCAACAGGTGAGAGGTTTTATTATCTTTCAGTGATTATTATCTGTGGGGATATATCATTTTTCGTCCTTTTTCAGAGCAGTTTTTGGCGCCTACTACAAATATCGCCATGGACACCCCAATCCAGTCAATATCACGTCCATTGAAGAAGCTGTCGAAGCCTTAAATTCGTATAAAAAGTCTTTAGATGCTGTCCGATTTGTCGAACAGTATAAAGGTAATTTTTGCTAGTTTCTTTTTGGTTTATAACAATTTTTCTTCGAATGAAGCAAGGTGAATGCTAGTTTAAGAATTGTTATAACTGGTTTTCATCAAGGAAAAATGGTGAATTTAGACAAGGCGTACCTACCCAAGCTCCACCCGATTGCTTACGGAGTTTTGGCTCGGAATGGTTCTTCCATTTGCTCACAACTTCCTGTCAGCAGTTGTCTCATCAAAAATGGGTCCTTCGAAGATACTTTGCGACTTGTAAGTTTGACCGAATTAACAATAATTGATTTTCATTTTCAGTTTGATCTCGGTGATGACTGGGAATTCGCTCTTGGCTGGTTGAACAGGTTTTTTCTTATCGAGAAAAATGCATAAAACTAGAATTTTTTCAGAGTGGCTTGCCCCGAAGAGGAACTAAATTGCGCGGAAGATTGGCTTGTTCGACGACCGAGCCAAGTTGAGCGGTTGCGACGTTTAGTTCAGCTTCTCCTGTTGAAATCTGAGGTTGGTCCCACTTTTTCAACAATAGGGTTTAGACGAATATTCTTTCATTCATTTTTTTATTTCATCAAAACTAAAATCAACGGCTTTCGTAGTTTATTCAATTTTTTTAGAAAAACTGAATAAAAAAAGAAATAAATTAAAAAAATGTACATTTTGATAAGGTCTATAACAAAAATACTTTTTTTTCAGTTCAGTTTTGAATATTAATATTATCTTCTAAACAAGATTCAAATGAATCATAGTCATACTCCTGGAACTCATTCCCAGAAATACAACGAGAACCACTTCCTTAACGTCGACCTCGTTTCCTTGTTGTTCAACATGCACAAGGAGTTCAGCGAGACGCACAAGGACATCTCCGTGCTCGTCCTGAAAGTCTTGGCAAACGTCGTCAGGGACAATCGACAATTCGCTCAAGCTACTCTGACTTCTGAGTGGCTTCCTCTGTTGTCCGGCCTCACCAGGAGCGGATCTCGTGTCATTGACCGCCTTCTTGCTCATAAGGTTTGCATTAAAGTATTTTCCTTTTTAGAGTCCTTAACTTTGCCTTTTAGATCATTCAAAACTGCCTCTACTCCATGGGAGCCCTGGATTATTACTTGCCATCGGATCTGTATGAACTGCACGTCTCTGAAAATGAACCCATGGTATTTGTCTTTCTAATTATCTTAATCTTTTTTTTTCAGATTGATATTGTTATGATTCACGGACTTCGGGGTAGTGTCGAATATACTTGGCGTCCAAAAGGCACTGGACTTGACGATTTGACGGCTTGCTGGCCAAAGGTTCTTTCATGAGATTTTTGATGGATAAGAAGATTTTTAGGACTGGCTTCCTTTGGACGTTGAGCAACCATTCCGCATCCTCGCGCTCGACTACCCATCTTATCTGATTCAACTCCGGGGTCCTATGGATACTCTCCAGGTTCATTCTTTTTGTGATGAGTACGAGCAAAAAAAACTTTTCCAGTCACGATCGCAGCGTTTTCATGATCAACTCATCGCGGCTGGCTTGGGCAAAAGACCGATCGTTTTCATTGGACACTCCATGGGAGGATTGCTGACCAAGAAACTTCTTCTTGATTTCAAAGAAGAAATTTCGAGCAAAACGGTGGGGGCTTTTTATCCGAAAGTTTGAAGCATGTGTAGGATGTGATATGAAAAGTTATTCTTGTACTCTTGCTTTTTCTCACCTTTCATCTCAAACCGAAAAGATAAGTTTTCTCGATGGTACTACAAAATCTCAAGTCCGCAAATCTTGTGGACCGTAATCTTGTGTACGGAGATCTCCCATGATCTTGGGAACCACTACATTGGAAAGCAAAAATCAACGCTTTTGCAAATAGATTTTATCAGAAATTGTATTCGGTGATAGAAAACAAGAGAACATAAGTAAATAAAGTGCAATGAATAAGACTAAAAAAAAAGATTTTTGCTTTCCAAGATAACCGTCTTCAAAATTCGCGGACTTGAGAGTTTTTCGTAACATCGTTTTCTCACATCATCAATTTGAAATCCTGGGAAAGTGGAAAATCGCTTCGCAGAAAAAAAAACTTACAAAACTCAAGTAAATCCAAAATTCTCCAAAAATGTTTCCTTAAAACGTGATGAATTTTTCAGGTAGGAGTTCTATTTATTGCGACTCCTCATCGAGGCAGTCCAGTCGCCTCCTGGGCTTACTCCGTCTTCTTTCCAACTGCTGATGTCCTCTTCCTCCACCAAGCCAATCAAATGAACAAGAAGGTAAATTCTAAATACTCTCCCCAATCAGAAATCTTTTTCAGTTGAACGAGGAATTTGCTCCAATCAGCGAAAAGATCCCGCTGATAGTCAGCATGCTGGAAATGAAAGAGTCGGTGGTTCTTGGTTTGTGGCTTTTATGAAAAAAAAAGAACAAAGACTTTAGGAAACTCCACAGCCATGGTCGTCCCACTAGACTCTGCCCTTTTCGGACGCGGTGCTGTGTATCAAATCGACGAAGTTTTTTTATTTTCTTATTTTTGGCATTCTCTTGTTTCATATAAGTTTTCGAAATGGAAGTTTACTATTAGGAAAATTTCATTTTGGACAAATTAATGGCCCAAAATGAAGTCCTTCTATTTATTGGGAAGCGCTTCAAAAATTCGGAATTTTTTTCGGGACTTAGTAAGTTTGAAAAAGGTTTTTAAAGGTGTCGAAATCAAATGTTTTCAAATTACTTGAGGAAAGAAAAAGATTTTTTTCACTAACCGAATGAGAATAAAAATTAAATATTTTTTTGTATATATCCATACTTGATACAAATTCAAATTATTTTAACGCCTCTGATTTTTCAGAGCCACTACAACATGTGCAAACCGGAAAGTCGCACATCCGCTATTTACTCTGTCATCATCAGTTTTCTGAACGACGCTGTGCGCCATGTTCTCAAGCAAGAACAGAAAATCGAAATCGCTGAAGATTTCGATCATCTTGCCGGCTTCGCCGATACCGAATCTTTCTGAAACTGCAATCTGGTTTTTTCATAGTCAACATATAGCTGTTATCTGTGCCTAGCTGTAAATTTACTTGTGTGATTTTTTCAAATACTTGTATACCTTACGGTTATGATTCTCTACTGTCAACGTGTTGAACTCGGTGTCCAATAAATACATTTTTACTGGGGGATTTTGTTTCATAATTTTTATAAGCTTCTGACCAATGAAAATATAAGTGCTTTAGGTATAAAAATTCACGAAAGTATTCATATTTTTTTTTAGTATACTTGAACTTGAACCATTTTCGATAGGGTTAAGTCAAAAAAACCTTTTCAAGCCTTTGAATGAGCTGGACCTCTAGTGCAGTCGTATTCCTTAAGCTATGAAAAAAAAAACGCCAAAAATGCCTTTTTTAAGTCACTTTAAAAGTATACACTCAGGAAGACGACTCCAATAAAAGACATCATCTATTGAAAGTTTTTCACACGACGGATTTGCATTTGTTCACCATTTTCCAAGCACCTTGCGTTCAGAAACAAAGTGAAGTTGCAACAATTTTATGACAACTCCTTTAGAGAGATTGACTTTGTTTTTGTGTCACTCTAAACAATCCAATCAAAGGCGGCAGCAATCGTGTGGTCGTCGCGTGGATTTTCAGAGCAATGCCTCTGTTCGGCGTCCCAATTGGTGTAATTGGTCCGGCTGGTTGCAAAGATTCCTCAGAAATGGGGTTGGATGTTCCGATTCAGATTTTTTGTATTTTAAGCTAGGCAATACACTTTAAACTTTAATGATGTAATGATTAAAAATTTAAATCACCTAAGTATACTCATTTTGAATTTAAAAAGAGCGAGAGTATACCAAAAAAATTGAAAAAAATTGCTTGAAAAATATCAAGCGGCGCCGATTTTTTTATTGAAGCAAACAAATTAACTCGATACACCCGTTGCGATTTTGAAAGAGCCATTTGCCATGAAAAAAAGTTTGAATAGAAGGGGAAAAAAAGTCATAGCCTTTTTTTTCCTTTCTATCTTTTTCAAGAGTTTATCTATTACTTTATTTGGTCTATCACAACTCAAAAAAATATCCAAAAGGTTGATTTTATGTCTTCATAGGTACCTGAAAAATTCAGAAAAATTTGGCAAAAACTTTGATCTCTAATCTTTAGAAATTAAGATTTCTTGGATGCAGGGATTTCAGCTTTTTTTCGGAACGTTTAGGAGATTCTAAAAAAACTTTTTTTCTTATTTCATCTTGTTGTCTTCGATCAACTTTCCTCGCGTTTTTTTATTTGAAATTTTTTTAAAAATTTTTCTCAATACGTTTTTGATATTAAGAGGTTAGAAGGATATCCAGCGGCTCAAAACAAAATAAAGAAAATCTAGGAATCAGTAAAAACCTGCATAAGCTTTTCTATTTTTCAAAGTAGGATTTTTCCTCGGTTTTGGCGAAAATTTTTAGGATCCTTTTTTGCACGAAAGCTTTGTTACATCTTTCATAATGATTCATGTTGCTCACACACCAATTATAAATGGAGGGAAAAAAGCTATTTGGAACCAAAATTTTAGTTCCAGACAATGAATAATACCCTCACGGAACCATTTTTTATTTTTTATTCTTTTCTAGTCTATAGTTACATGTCGCTCAAGTCTATTAAAAAAATAGACAGGGATAATAAAAAAATTTCAAAAAAAGCGGTAAGGATATTTTGATGATGAGAGTTACAAATAGGATTTAAAAAAAACTCTGCCTTCGGTTTGATCTTATGAGTTATTAAAATCATCGGAAGCTATTTTTTGAGATGATCTTTTCCTTTCTGTCCCAATCAGAACGATTCAAAAGTGCTCTTTGATTCTTCCGTGAATGAAAGGGTGGAAATTCTAAGCATATTGAAAATGTACGTTTGGATCGAGCATTGAATAATGATGAACGGCTGGAAAAAGACAAGTCACGTATCCTTTTCCGAGATGCTCACCTAGGCGAAAACATTTCATTGCCTTGCTGTTGCCCGCATAATAGATAGGAGTGAACGAGCGGATCTTTTGCGAAGCGCCCTTTTTAAGTATGTCGTCTCGATTTCCACTCAGGAAGCCGTGCCGTCGCTTGAAGAGTCGCCGGGGCCAGGTGAATATTTCCTTGCTTTCTGGCCCAGCTCCACGAGAATTCGACCGACGTGTTTTGAAATATCTCATTGCAGCTGTCGGTTTTCCATTTCACACGTTCTGCTGGTCATAACACCAGCCACATTTCTTAGCCAGTTTATTATGAATCTCTTGTTTTTGTCCATGTCACTGCCTTGGAGCAAATTTGAGTTCTTATGAGCCAAATCACAAACTTTTTCTTTCCACTTGATCTGAAAGCATGTAATCTGCTGCGATTTAATTAAAAATTTGAGAAACGGGTCAGAAAAGTTTTCTTGAGCTGTCTTCGCCCGGGAAATTCCAGGAACTTTGACTCAAACCTTTTCCTTTCGTTTTATACCCATGGGCTGAAAAATCGCTTCTCAATACTTCAAATTTCTAGTCCGGTGTGATATTAGCAAACCGGATAATCAAACAGCCAAGTATATTGATTGACGTTAAAAGCTCTCCCATAAAAACAAAAAAAAGTTTTTTTACATTATTAAAAAAAGACTAAATCTTCACTTCTCAAAAAAACTGAAATATTATTTTTTTCTGTAGACAAATTTTTTTCTCTTTGAGCAAGCTTATGATCCAATTCAAATCGATAAATCACATCCTGCTGAAAATACAAAAAAATATTTCGTTTTAGAATTCCGAAAGGAATTTCTTCACTGACATCTTCCTTTTGCAAGTACTATTCCACTTTTCTGTCTTAATAGATCTTTCTCCATTTTGAATCGGTCAGACAATCTTGAAAAGTCGGACAGCTTATTTACTCATCTCAATAGTGAGAACAAGCTTGACACTAGAAAAGCATGATTTCAGAAAACTCGAGGACGATTACATAGAGAACTATACACTTTGATGCGCTTCTCATAGTTTTCAAGGAAGGATTCAGAAGTTTGCTCTTATTGAGGCTTTCATTATTCCTTGACTTTTCCTACTACTCTTACCTGTTTCTAGCCTTTGATAAGAACATTAGCCTCTTTTTTAATCAGGACAGGAAAAAATAGAAACTCGATTTACTTGGATTGAAGTCTGGAAACCAGATTGGAATCGATGAAAATGTTTTTGTTTGAGTTTTTGTATAAGGATTGATAAAGGAAGTGACAAGCTTTTTGCCTCGATTTTGGTCTCAATTCTACTCCTACGACTATTTCCTCACCATTATATTTTCTCTCACATAACAAAAATCTATGATTCAAATCCAAGATGCAAGTTTTTTTTGTCAACAATTGTTTGTGATAAAACTCTCAAAACGGATTTGCATTCCGAAAAAAGTCCGATGTTGCAGGATGCCGTGTTAAATGCTGAGAGCGGCTGCCTCTGGCCGCGGCAGTTTCTTTATAGGCGGATCTGGCGCCGCCCCTTTGGGTGTACTCCGGCGGTCCCTTGTCGCCGTCGCCGCATATGTTTGCCTTTTCAGTCATCTTTTGGACGTCGTCGTCTTTTTGCCATTAAATCTTCTTCTTTTGGCTCCCCAGTCGCAGATCCGTGCCTTGCAACACGGCAGTATTTTTCGTCAAGCCGGTCATTTCGTGGTTTTTTGCGTGCGTTCGAAATCCCGAGATGAGCTTTGTTTTGGCTGTAGTAGGGAGCTCCGTCGCGTTCCTTTTTAGTGACGAGTCGTTATTTTTGTCTTGTCAAGAGCCGTTTGATGGATCAGCGATATACGACACTTTCTTAAAACCTACTAAGTAGCTCGAGATTTTCCAGCCTTTATCCAGATGAAATAAATCTTTCAGAAAGCGTTCTTCGGCGTTGCAGAACTTTTTTGAGTTTTGCCATTCATTCTACTTTGGAAATTCAGATTCTATTCACAAAATAGATGGAAATCTTCAAGTTTTTCTTTCTTTCAAATCCATTGTTTCAGTCTATCCTAAGGCTCTTGGGCTACGAGCTCAATGAAATTTCCGTTTCTTCATGCGATTCTCCACTGCGATCTCAATCCGTGACCTTTACCCAGATATTTTTACTGAGGAAGATTGTTGGCCTATTCTTGAACGTCCTCGTATTTATTTTTCTTGGTTCAAATGAATCAGAAGAAATATTTCCTTATCAACTTGATTATTTCAGGGGAAGCCCGCCGTTTATTTCTGCGTCATTTGAACACAAACCTTCTCATTGTGGAAGATCCTAAATGTATGTTTGATTATCGAGAAAGATTCATTTTAAAACTGTGGATATGTTAAAAAAAAAAACAAAAGTGCACTCCACGTGTTCTCAGAAGCTTCTCTCTAGGTCTAGAAACTCTCCTCCTCAAGCGTGTCATTACCGGATGCAATTTACCGGCTCAAGATACCAAATCGCAGATTTCCAGAAGTAAAACGACGGAGACAAAGAAGCGGAAGACGTGACCGGCGGTGCGGTGGCCACGGTCCAAGACGTGACGGCGCTCGTCCCACCGCTGAATGCCGCATCGGATGCACCCGTCACGAACGTGACGCTGTTCATGCACACAAATTCTCCAGCCTTCGCCACCATCCTAGCCCTATTTCATCTGCTGTCGCGACCGTCATCCGCTACTTTGATTGACTACAGGTATATGGTTCCTCAAACTTTCTTCGATTCCGCAGAACAGTCTGTCTCATTGAAGGTTTCTTTGATCCTTCTTTTCTTCTTATCTCAGTTTTCTGTACCAATGCTAATTTGATGTGACCCTGAATAACCTTCTTTCAAAAAGACGAGTAGTTTACCTTTGGTCTGTAAAATTCGTATTTTTTGCTTCTCACAACTCTTTTCAATAACATCAGAAACATCAATCTGATAGAATCATTTGGGATCTCAGTAGAATGAACTTTCTGAAAAGAGAAGTTGAATTTTTTAGAATTAAGTTTTTCTTCAGCTCAACGACCAAATACTGCTACAGCTGCATGTCGGAAGACTTCTTGCTCCACTGGCCATACTTGGATGAGGTTGGTTTTTTTCTTTTCTTCAAAAACTTCCTGAAATTGGAAAAAAAATACAAAAAACTCAATCTCTTATTTGATCAAAAAAAGGTAAAAATCAGCAGCATTTTTAAAAAGACTGGAAACTGTGACTTAATCTTATCGAGTAGAACAGATTCGGATGGTGAAAAATAAAGCTCATTAAAAAAGTTCCTGAGGAAGGCTTGACTCATTTCGATAAAAGTTGAAATTTTATTCAAATTTTGGAAACACGCGCCTTTTTCGAGGGCTTCAGTAGAGTTCGGCGGAAAATTACCAAATGATTGGGCAAATTCTATTTTCCTCTTACAAATGCGCGGCGATGCACCCCCCTCCTTCACAGTTGTCATGCGGTGTTGGATTTCGGCATTTCTTGGGGCTAAGTTGTTCGGCTCTTGAAGGTTGTACGGCTGTAATGTTCGGGGACAAGTCGACTAGAACTTACTAATATTTCATCTTTAGAAGGCGAAATACATTATTGAGACAGTTTTTCGAGTGAAAGTCATGAAATAAACAAAATTATCGACTTATTCTTATTGGTTCGAGTATCAAAAATTCTGAATTTTTGAGTTTTGATTTACTTCTTGCGCTTGAAACGTTTTGAATCATTTTATTAAGTTTTTCAACAAGAAGGTGGAATTTTTTTCTAGTTTTGTTCAGTGGCTGGAATATCATATCAATTTCGTTTAAAATTACTTTTTGGGATTTTTTTGAGGTAAAGGATGCGTCTGTATTCCGTTTGCCACGATTTCCTATAAACTTCATAAAAATTTTTTCTTTGACGTTTGGATCAGAAGGAGGATTCCGTAGAAAAACTAAGATTTCTCGTTCTTTCAAACTTTTCACCAATCAAAACCCATCCCTGTTAATGGCTCAGTATCTTTATCATCAGCCCAGTTTGATCAACCTTGTCAGTTGCAACTTCTCTTGCTTTTTCCATGCACTCACAAAAAACGCGATGACAAAACGTGTCACTTTCCAAGCGACAAAAAGATGAGTGGGCACCTGTGAAGTCGCACTCCTAGCTATTTTCCCTCGAACAGCAAAAGCAGAAGAAGAAAGAAAGAACAGGAAGAAGGGCTCTTAAATATGAGCTTTTCTGCTCTGCTTGCGACTTTTAACCCCGGCGGCGAACCGATTTGCATATTGCATTGGTCGTGTGAAAAACTTCCGCTCTTCGAGGTCAACGTCTTCGTTGTTGATCGGAAAAACCAAACCGGCGTGGGTTTGATTTGAGGCCGCGTCGGCATTACCCTGCCGCGGATTTGATTAAGATGGGATCTCGGATTCGTAATTATGGTCTCTTCACGAGTTGGTCTCGGCTTGTTGGTGGATCAACTCAAAGTTGTTACGCCCTTTGAATGCATTTCAAAACGCGTTGTAAAAAAGTAGATAGCTGAAAGAATATTAATCATCTAAGAAACTTTCAGATCTAGTCTAAAAATTCCCAACAGAAGAAGATTGACCAAAATTTTGAAGTGTTTCAACCTTTTTTGCAGAGAAAGCTGTGATTCAAGATCAAAAAATCAAACAAAAGCTTAAATCTTCAGATTTTCAGAATATGTTATCATCAAAATAACGTATTGATATTTCTCATCCAGGTCAAAAATTTGATATGAAAATGATTAGATACTTTCCCATTCAACACAAGAACATTTTTACGATCTAATGAAAAAAGTTTAGGAAGCCCAAAATCCCTTTTTTTTTCTCATCAAACTTCCCCTCATCACTTAACTTTCTTTTTCTTCTAAATCCTTTCTCTCAAAGTCCGAACTCTTCTAATGATCCTCCAACAATAAACTTTTCCTGACGTCTTCTTTTGCTTTGTATGATCTCTCGCTTTCCAACTCTGGGCGGCTTGGTTTTTTGTCTTTTTGGCTCGGGAGTAAAGATGCGAATTTGCGGTGTTGCCCTCTCGACGACGCGGCCCCTGGAATTCCTTGGAGATCCGCCAAAGCGATATATCAGCGAAGCTGGCCTCTGCTGATTTTAAGCTCTACTCCGCCTCAAAATATCCAAAAAATTCTGGGCCCACAACCAGTTTTTGTTGCGAAAAGATTAAGGAAGAGCCGGATGTGAAAAACAAAAAAAAGAGAGCTAATGATATTTAATTTTTAAGCTCTTTCAGGGAAGTGAGTCACCGGAATTTTTTCTTTTACATATTGGTATCCGAAGATATTCTTTTTTGATGCCTGAAAAATTTTGTGGAGACAACTTTTCCCACAACAACGGACATTATTGTTGAAACCAGATGTTTCATTTTATATGTGGAAAAAAGGCTGTATCTTTTGGTGTTTTTTCGAGATTGTAAAGCTGTCCTTGAGAGAAAGGCTGGAAGTATGGAAAAAACCTGGTAGCACATCCATCACAATCACAGACTGAGCGGTATAAATGACCGGACACGCGGATCCGAGGAGAAATGGGGCTTGATCGATGGAGAACAACACCTTTCTGTTGGTTGACACGTCGTAGGCGGACTCTGGGTGATAAAAAGTACGGGATATACCAAATTCTTCATCGCAAAAAGGGAAGTTTTGGGAAAAAAATTTATTTCGCTAAAAAAATTTTTTTTTGATGCAGCAAGGTGTCTTGACGAGAAATAACTTTTTTATTCTCAAGGAAAAAATAATCATTCTCTTAATAATAACATAAAAAGCACACCAAAAACACCCTAATCACAAAAGAAGGATCAACTATATGTTTCCATTTTTTCAGGTTTACTACCGACCTATCAACTTCACGGACCAATGCTTCAAAATTCCACCGAGGGTAAGTTTTTCATTCATTGGTTTCTTCTTCCAACATTTCCGATTTCAGGCAAACATCGGAATGATGCCGTGCAGCCATTCCATGTGCGTCACCGTGATTGAACCTCGAATCTTGGCCGGTGAGGTTTTGAAGAGTTTCAAAGGCGATCCTGGCTTGAGGGGTCACTTTTTGATTGATTACTCATTACAATTGCGCGCACAAGATGCCGACTCCATTAATCTTGCCTGATCATAAAACTTGCGATTATTGGAGGCTCAAATCATAGATGGGGCGGATGTAAACTAAAAAATGTGAGGGTTCGAGTTTTCGATAGGAATAAAACATGACTGATGAAATTTTTCCTGAGCACTAACCGCAAGAAAAATTTCATATTATTGATTTTTTTCAATCATATAAAATGTGGTGGTAATCCAAGTTGCGGCTGAGTTACACTTCACTCAAAAAGACATATTTTGCCATCATTTGCTCTTCTCAACCCCTTCCAGTTTCGTTAGATTAGTACTCATCCCCTTCATTGAACTCAACTCCAATCTCGCAACTTTCATTTATTTTGGGAGGCTCTGAAGAGTTTGAGATTTTATTGTGATTGTCTTTGCATTGAACGACTTTTTGCACTTTTCTCTAGTTTGAGGGTATCCTGCTTTTGAAAACTTTTACAGGGGTCTTCGATTTTTCAAATAGTGTCGAGGCTTTGAGTTTAGAGAATAATATTTTTCAGCAGTCAAAAAAGCAGGTCCATCATTTTCTTCAGTAGTCTTTTTTCAAACGCTTCTATCGGCATTGTGTTTAAAAAACTGCAAACAAGATTTAATCGAAAATTTTTGAAACTATCCTTGAAATTCATTCCGCTGAATTATTTCCCACGGAAAAAAAATAACTTGGAACCAATCTCATAAAAATTTTCTACATATTCATATACGATTGTTTACGATTACGAATTCAATTCGAGTGATGTGAAAACGCTGTTTTCAACAAATTAGTAAGCATTGAGTATATTCTGCTTTCAAAGTTGGAGAACAGGAGAATCGGCATAGTGGCGGGAGTGCTTTAAGAGGCGAAGACACTTCACCACGCGAGTTCCCGAGCACGACGAGATGTGCAAGTACGCACTTCAATCCACGCAATTCAACTAATTCTTTTCATATTTCACTTGAAGCAGGAAATGCGAAATCTCCTGTTTTTTTCTTCTTCTACTGCTTGTCTCGGCGCCGCCGGTTCCCAGAGGCGAGGGAGCGTCTGCCGGCCTACTCCGTAATTGAGTTGCCCCAATCGGCCAAAAAGGACATCGCGCATTGTGTTCACGTCAAAAAACTCGTACCAAAGGATCGTGCCATAGATCGGATATATTGCAGCAATGAAGATGATAAAAAGAGAGAATAGAAAAATATTGAAAATTGAAGTGATAAAAAAACCTTAATAACCATATAAGACTGATGGATATAAAAACAACGATATAAAAAAAAACCCTATAAAGAAAAAAAGACCATTCCGTCCCTCGAATTTCAAGTTAGAAATGCAGCCAGGGTCCAAAGAAGGATCTAGGATGGATTGCAAAAAGAACAAAAAGTTCAAAAAGGATACGGGTAGTAATTGATAAAACAATTCAAGAAAAAAAATGAAGTAAGCTGACTCTCATTATGCTTTTTGATAATACAAAAATTATCGTTCCATTTTCCAGGTCAACACATTGGCAACAACATCATTCGCGGCTGCTTTTCCGGCGTCTTCAAACACGGCAGCGTGCCAAAAGCTCAAAGCTCGCCGATTTTGGGTTTGGCTTTCATTTCCTTTTTCTACCAAAGCAAAGAAAAATCATGAATTATGGCTTCTCGACAATTAAGGCGATCGGATCGCGTGAGGATGCACTTTTCTGATGACATTTCTCAGCGCATCTGAAATAGGAAGAAACAACTGAATGATTTATATCAGTCAGCAACAAGGCACAGCTTTTTAAATCCTTAGGAAAAAAATTGTTGCGAAATCATTTTGTGAAAATTTTGAGAACGATTAGGGACAAAGAAATTTTTAGCATTTTGGATTTTCGAAATCAACTGGAAGAAACTTCTGAATTTAATAATGACCTTGATGAGTGGCAATTTTTGGTGAAAATTAAATGGTAACATTCCTGGTCAAACATGATTGCACAAGGATCCATCTGATAAGGGAATCATATTGACAATCAAAAAAACTTCAAATACTCCTTTGCCTATTTTCAATCGGTATCATCTTCTCATGTTTTGATAAGATTAACAGAAAATCTCTATAAACTCATTAAAAACACCCTAACTCAATTTTTTTCATAATTAACTTCCTGAATCTTATCAAACCTATCCCACACGTCTTTTCCGAAACACATTATCTGAAAGAATTATGAGAATCGTGTGGAAGCGCGTGAGCCCTATTTCTCAACACGTAACGGCCCAACATTTATCGTGGACCTCATTAGACTGAAAATAAATAAAGCAACTGCTCCCAAGGGTCTTTGTGTAAGGACGGTCAAGCTGATTGCTTAATGCGCTCTCGTTATTGACAGCTTAACGGTTTGTTAGTACAACGATATGTCACTTAACCAATGACTTTCCGTCAAATTTGCGCGTTCAGGTTTCGGACATTGCGGAAGCTCTGATTATATTGGCTCGGGGTGCTGACCCACATTCAAAAATTCATTCAGTGTTCAGAAGGGATTTCCTGCTGGATCAGAGAATAATTGAAGAGTTTTTTGTCGGTTCCCAAAGCTTTCGTTGATCAAAAGGCCCGTAAATAATCATTTCTAGTTACTGATAGTTGCAATAACATCTTTAGCGTATCTTCTTGTATGGAAAAGAGCTCATTCTAAAATAATCATTTCTCAAAAATGAGAAAAAAGGCAAAAATAGAGAGAATCATCAACTAGACACACGAGTTTTTTCACTTGTGCTTTAAAAGCAGGCACCGAAAAAAAGTTAAAACTCGAAGTTTTGAATTTCAGCGCCTTAGACGCTTTTTTCCTCATAAAAAAGTTTCTGTTTTTTCTGCCTGAAAATAAAGCCACAGCAAAATCACAAAATGGTGGTGATTCACAAAGAAAGCATAAATTTGAAAGGGGAGGCTAAAACATGCTGATTATGTAGTAATAAAGAGAAGAGAAAAGCGTAGAAAACAAGCCAACTATCATCGTCTCGAAAAAAAAGATTTTTGAGGATTCTGAGTTTTGCAGACACGTCATGCACGCGGATGCCAGCTCATCGGCTGCTGCCACCGCACCTCGCCGCTCGCAGCAGCAATCGAAGCGTCGAACTGTGTTGGTGTGTCGGCCAACTCTGCAACGACTACCCCAGCGTCGCCATCAACTATCGGTAGGTTGTTTTTTCATCGGCAGCTTACTAGAGAGGTCATTTTATTTCACGATTAGGAGCTTCTTTCAAATCGGAAAAAGTTCACCGATGTATCAAAAAAAAAATATCTTCAAACTTTCCACCTACACAATTTCCTGGTTTTTTGTGGAATGATAGTTCAAAGCCCTAGAACAGCTTATTTTAACGGCTAACGGCTTTGAAGGGTTTTCTCCAACTTTGAAGCTCCCTATCCCAAAAACTAGCATTTTGTGCAGAATGAACCATTCAGGACATTTTTTTTGTACAGTAATGAGAGTTATGGCCGACTTTCAGCAGTTTTCCAACCTGAAATTGAAATGACAATCTTTTAGTCACCTCTTCAATAACCGAGGGAATTGGTCGAAACAAGTTGACCGAAGTTTTGGCTGCTCAAAAAAATTCAAAACTGAAAAAGAGTCTTTCATCAGCTTTTCTAATCTCATCAAACAAAAATTAATAAAAATGGCATGGAGTGTTGATCCTAGCTACGATATTTTTGATCACTTCATTTTTTTTTCCAGATTGCAGCAAAGCCTGACAGATTTTAGTTGCACGAAGTTCTATGTGAATAGTGTTCCATGTTCAAATTTTTATTTACGAGCAAAAGAGAGCTCTAAAGATATGACCGGGTTTGGATGAAAAATTTGACTTTCATCTCAAGTGTGAAAATTGAATGCTGTGAAAAGAATCATTGAATACAGTTTTTTGTGTCTCACATCACTAAAGGGTTGGGATCGATATCACAACAATTTATTTGAGTTTATATACTTCGATCCAATATTTCATGGAGCGAGTTCAATTGGGGTAAATGCAGCCAATAATGAGTCTTGACCTGAAAAAAACTTTGAATATAATTTCAACATTGCCCTGATAAAAATTGCAGCTTAAAAATAATCAAAAAAATAAATTCAGATTTTTTTCCATTATTTTTTTCAGGAGATCTGCTCTGGAGAACGCGTACATTCTCATCGCGGCTTTCATTTTAACGGCACTCTCGATATTCCGGTAGCAAGCAGAAAGCAATTGAAATAGGGTGAAAAATGTGGTGAATTTTATTACTTTGAAAGTTTTTTTTTTTTCATTATAAATTATTTATCTTTTTTTTTAGATCTATGTGATTTCTCTCAAGATCGTTCCTTTTCCCTCTGACGACAGCTCACTAATGTGTATTCTTTCAGTATTCCTACAGTTATGATTGAAATTTCTCTTGTACACAATCACGAGCTTAAGATCTCTGATATTCTTTTTTTATATGCTTGACAAATTGAAAAAAATGAAAAATAAATATAGAAAAGATTGGATAAATTTTTGAACCTGATCGTTTTGAAAATAAGTTTAAATAAAGATTTATTTTCTTCGCCTTTTCCGCAAAAAGAAAATAGCGTGTTAAAAAGTCAACTCGGTCATCTCGAGATTTAATTTTTTTTTTACCATCACGATGTCGTTGGAGATGAAAAACCTAGTGATCATCTGATGGTAAGAGGTCAGGGCTTCACGGTGGATTTGGCAGCACAATCCATTCATAACCGGCGAATTCAGCTTTTGTCTTCCTTGAAACGCGTGGCTGGACACTTCATGTTTCATTTCAAATCATTTACTTTGTTGTTTTAGTCTGATTTAATTGACTAGGCGGTGAACAAAAACTTTAAAAGCTATAACGAACAACCGCCTTTGGCAAAATAGAAGTCCGAACGTGTAGTTGAAAGAGTTGAAAGCATGGTCTTACGGTCCTTCGCTTCGTTCTTCTGCGCGTAGTTCATCCAGTTGCGCCTCGACGAGCCCAGAATGTAGTGGATAGTGTAGCTGGAGCAAAAATAGTTCCCCTGAGTTTCTCCCGCACAAAATTTTTAGAAAGTTCAATCAACTGAAAAGACAGTTTTATGAAACTTTGGGAGTTCTCTGACGGCGTTGAACTATCAGATATTCTGCAAGAAGACTGAAACAAACCAGGCCTGTACCAACCAACAACAAAAATTCGGAAAAATCCACAAGGCCGTTCATGAAAAAAGCGCTTAAATGTTTAGCAACATTGTCATTTAAAATTAACCGAAACTTTCAAAGAATACGCATTTTTGAAAATGTTTTGATAACCGCATAATATACGAATGAGTATCCAAAACTGCTCTGCCGCAATAAAATACGACACTCTAGGGAAAAACTAACGCTTCAACATCGAGGCACTGCGTCGCGGTTCAAATTGAAAAAAACTTGCTTTTTTTATTCAAAAATGGTGTTTGAATTTGGCTTTTTACTTTTTCCAACGTGCAATTTTCATCTGAATTCTTTCCAGAAACTTCGCTTGAGAATGTGGCCGCCGAACGGAGTACTTGAAGAGAAGAAAATAGGCCCAGAACAAGTTTGTTAACAAATTTTTTGAGTAGCATTACTTTTTTTCCTTTTTTTTCACTAATAAGGTAATAAATACTTGTGCCCCAGAAAGAATTAGCTCACGTTTTTCAGAATTCAAAGCAAGTTTTATGCCAATTTTTCAATTTTTTTTAGCTCTCAAACAAAATTTATCCATTTCAGGACGCATGGGATCGCGCATGGGATCGCGCATCTCGGGAGTTTGACGAGTCTTGCTCCTCCTATCGCAAACCAAAGGCTCCTTCGGATCGCGTTGTTTGAATTTTATTATCTTTACTGGAAATTATTATGGCTTCAGACTGACACATCGGCTGATTTGCCGGAAATCGCTGTGATGAATAAGCCTTTCCGGAACTATCAGAAAACACAACTCGATAAGGAGAAATCGGTAATTTGATTTTTGAACGAACAGTTTTTTTCTTCCGTCGCGAATTTTGTATATTTCTTCCTTCCATGCAGCATCTTTGTTTTTTTTTTCGCTTTTTGCGTTTGTTGCTTGTTGCTTTCATAGTGGACCTTATGGCGGTTCGTCAACAAAAACTGAGAAAAATCAACATTCTATGATCTTTCAGAAAAGAAACTACAATAAGGATGAACGGGTTTTATTATTTCACCTTTTTGATCAGAAAACTTTGAATTAGATTCGTTTCAGATCAATGACTTGAAACCCCAAAAAAACGTTAAATAATTCTTTACTGTTTTTTTCAAATATTTAAACAAGTTTTATGTGAAGTTTTCAGTTTTTTAAGCTTTCAAACAAAAAGTCATTCATTTCAGAACAGAACGTATCGCCCAATTACGGACCAGGATAGATTACATTTCTTCCCTCAACGGGTAAGCAGTACAATTTTTCCGGATTGCCGTGTTCAAACTTTGGTTTTTGTTAAAGGAAGTTATTATTCTTTCAGAATGGATTTCATGAAGATTGGTCGCCAAAAACTGAGAGCAATCAACATTCCGGGATTTGGCAGCAAGCTCACTACGATGAAGAAGAACGGGTAATTCGATTTTAAATAAAATTTTTTCTTCCTTCATGATTTCCATATATTTCTTCTTTCCAGGCAGCAACTTCGTTTTTTCCGCATTATGCGCTATATTAAAAAAACAAAAAAAGTCAATTGACTACGATTCCATGAAAAATTTTGCTTTCAGAGTGGACCTGGTGGTTCGTCAAAAAAAACTGAAAAAAATCAACGTTCGATTTGGCAGGAGAACAACTACGATGAGGAAAAACGGGTAATTTATAGCTAATCTTTTGAATATTTTTCACTGCTTTCCAGAAACCAAAAAAAGCTTAATGTGAACTTTTCAGTCTTTTTAACTTTCAAACAAAAGTCATTTATTTCAGAACAGGACGCTTCCTCGAGCTAATGAAATTGTTCAATGTTACGTCTCGCCTATTCGGGTAAGCAATATAATTATTCCGTATTGACATGTTAAAATTTTGCTTTTTTTTGTTGAATGGAGGTTTTTATGCTTTCAGAGTGAACCTTATGGTGACTGGCCAAAAGCAGCTGAGAAAAATCAACCTTCCCAGAACTCTCAGAAAAAATACATGTATGAAGGACAAAAGGTAATGAAATTTCTTAACAATACTTTTTTTAAAAATTTTTTTATATCTGCTACGTTTTCTTAATTCCAGGCAGCAACTTTGTTTTTTTGTCCGGTTTCTGGGGTCAAATAGAGAAACAATCCCTTGACCAGCATTCCAAGGATTCCTACTGGCGAGAATTGGGTGAAGCGGTAATCTTAAATATTTTTATCATTCATATTCATTTTGCACGTTTTTATTTTTACAGGCCGCCTCTGACTTTCTCTTGGGATTCTGGAAAGATTTTGCGAATCAAAAAAACTACAAGAAATGGGAAACGGATCAATCGAGAACAAGCATCAACAAGGTTTTTCTTATTGGTTTCTTCCAATTTGATGATTTTCGGCTTTTTATTCTTTCTTCATCAATTTGAATTTTATTCCAGAGACCGGCCGAGACAGAAGCCTCGAATCCTGTTCCTAAGAAACTGGTGAGGTTCCATTTTTATTTGCTATAAAGCGTTTCACTCACTTGAAAACTTTTTTTTTTCTTACTTCTCAAAGTCTATTCTTTTACAGTCACAAATAACTTCTTTAAGTTTATGAAGATGTGACTAAGTTTTTCATGAGAATATAATTTGATTATTCTGATCAATTAATTTCTGTTTGAGCGACATTTTATGAAACATTTTCAGCCATGCTTGCCTGGACATCAACAGTTTCCTTATCGACTTCAACAAGTGCAGGGTGAAGACCGTTGGATTGAACAAGACAATCAGGTTTTGAACAGAATTTTCACCTTGAAAATGTTCAGCCGTGAGCAAAATTTCAAATGGGAGAACTCGGAGCCAGAAGAAGAAAATAGGCCAATGTAGGCTGAACCTTCTCAATGTTTCTACCTATCGATATTTTGATCAATAAATGCTGATAATCCCGGACATTTGCATCTGTTAAGAAAAAACTTAGCTCTGTTTGCTTCTGAGACAATTTTCAGTGACACCTTCAGTTTCAGTTTTTCATGAGAATAAAAATAAAGATTGTTCCGATTAACTTAATTTTTTGAGACGACATCTTATGTGAAATTTCAGTCATACCGACATGGACATCAGCACAATGCTTTCCAACCTCAACAAACGCAGATTGAAAACCGTCGGGTTGGACGAGGCATTCAGGTTTTAAATCGATTGTTTTTTTGGCATGATGATTCCAGTTTTATTCCCAGCAAGGGTAAAGTATGTGTTCGGTGAAAAATTATGAACCAAGCGTTTACTTTTTTGAAGAAAGAAGTCCGTAATTTGCGAATTAATTTGGAGAACCCTCAACCAAAAAAAAAAACTCAACAATATTTTCTTGTAATTCTCGAATCAAAAATTGTTTGTCTCTTTTCTCGATGCATAGCAAACTAATTTTCCTTTATCAACAGAGTTTCGAAGAAATGCAATCAATGGCCTTTCGTGGAGGTTTGCGCAAACCTGAATCCGCTTTCTGGAAGTGAGGGAACTCAGCAACGAACGTCGGGAGAGTAAACGTTTCAACCAAAGAAATTTTCAGTAAGTGAACTTTTTTTGATTTCTGGTTATCTCAAAATTCAACTTCTCAGAAGATATCAGACAGTTTAACTGAAAAAAAGACGAAAACAGCAGAAAAAATTGATTTCTCACCGGAAGCCGCATCGCGTGCGCAAGGCGTTCCCTTCCTTATTATGCACATATGGACTATCATGTCGGAGGAAAAAGTGACTATAATTCATTTTTTTGCAAAAAAATAATTCATTTTTTTATCAGTAGCCCTATTTCTCTTTCACTGTGCTGGTGAAGGATAAATTTGAAAATCTTTACAAAGTTACTCAAAAAAACCTTTGAAAAATAATGGAAATTTTAAATTTCATTGTCAAATACGATGAGTCTACCAAAGAAAAAAATAAAACTATACGTCCTTCTGAATTTACAAATGAGACCAAAGCCAAAGTATGTGTCATTAAATATAATGTTACAATTGGTTGATTTTTAACCAAACATTTTTTTCAGAGTCGCCACAGCCCAGAACGAACAAATTACATCGATGTTGATTCGCCTCACAAATTTTTTTAATGGAAATTTTATTTTTTTGTTATCATTTTTTTCAATTTTTTTCTGTATTCCTCCGCGTATTGCATGTTCAAACTTTATTTTTTTCCTCTTACAGTTTTTTTCAAAAAAATTTTTTTATTTTGTACATAACTGATTTCTGTTTAAAAAGTTGATTTTTTTAATTTTTTTATCCTTTCATATTTAATACCGATGTCCCCATTCCCTTGAATCCAGGTTTTTTTGTACTAATATTTTTTTTCGATAAATAATATTTATAAAAGTTGATTTTTTTGAAAAAGTTGCTTACAGCAAGAACCAAAAAGAAATTTAAAAAAACTCAAAACGAATCATTCACAAAAAGAATTATCTTGTTGAGTTTTGAAAGTTTAAAAAAACCAGAATATTAAACAAAAAAATGTTCAAATATTTTCTGAAAAACCCTTAATTGTGAAAAACTTTTTAATTGAAAGAAAAATTATCCAGCTCAATTGATTTGTAGGAAAAACAGCTTTCAAAGAAAAATTTTCTGCACTTTATTGGAATGATTGTTTGGCGAACGAGAGTACTGGTTAATATATTTCATTTGAAGAAAAAAATTATCAAAAATGTGTGCTGGTGAGCAGATATTTTATAAACAGAAGTGTGAATATTTTTTTGTGTTCGCTGGTTTTTCAAAAACCGGTATCAAGTAAAGAAATTTGGTCCAGTCCCAAAAATTAAAAAATTGTAGTTTAGTTCTTTGAACCAAGGTTAGATTGATATGAGTAATGAAAAAAAAATACTGGTTGAAGAAAATTCCTACAAGAAATAAGTTTTGATAGGAAGTCTATTGTCGAGAGTTTGACTCCGCGGCCGCGGCGGGTAAAGTTGTGACCTTTTTGGCGCGAAGCGCATACGCGGCGTCTAGGTCTCGGAAAAGGCTCAGTTGCGGCCATTCGACTCTTCCTTCTCATGTGTTCGGTGCCCTGGAGAGTTCCTGCCTATTCTTTTTCTTAACGTTATTTTCATATAACTTTTCGTTTTTACTACATAACTTTTGTCTTTATTGAACATTTTTCGTAACTTCCATTTCATTCTCTCTTGGTTTTTGCACTCTTTTTTTTTTCAATATACTCGCCAACATTTCCACAAGTTTATTATGCGTTTTTTGTTGTTGTTAACTTTTTAATTCTCAAGTTTTCAGAGTTAATTCTTAGCAATGATAGCTCCGGATGAACAAAAAAACTACTTTTATGTTACTTGGTGAAGCGGTAATTTTTATTTACACAAAAATAATTTACGGATTTTGCTTTTTTTCACGCGGTTGAAGCTACATGATACAGTTTTCAGGCGGCCGCTGAATTCAAGAGCAGCTTTTGGTCGCGTTTGGAGAAAGGGCCCGATTCACTCAAGGATAATTCGTTACCTTGGATTAGGCAAGGAGTTAAGGTGAGTTCTTTAACGCTGTTTTGTGAAAACTATAAAACAAAAATTCGTTTTGCAAAAAGCTTTTTTTTACTTCTTTCTGTTTTCAGGCCGCAAACGGATATTTGGAAGGGTTCTTGAGAGGCTTGAAGAAGACGGAGTTCCAACCAATTGGAGAATTTTCGTTCGATGAGCAGGGTACGGTTCCGAGAAAAATGAAGAAAAAGGTTAATTATTTTTTTAGACTTTGTCCCGCCGAGTCGCAAATCTTCGACTGGTCTTGATTGGGAGGATGTGAGAGATAATCTGGATCGGAAGACTGGAGAAGGTTAGATTCATCGAAACAGCCAGTTATTTTTTGATGATCCAAACTAATTTTGTATCTAATAAGGACAGCTTCCGTTTTCCGGCAAAATTCAAAATTCTGTCCTTCTATTTGATATAATCAAAATATAAAATGATTGTAATACATAAAATTTTTTCTGAGAAAAAACTGAAAAGTTACATTTTATTGTAGCAAAATTTTGAATCTTAGTTGCTACGACAAGAGCGAGTTTTCCATTTGCGAGGGGTAATGTATGCGGCGTGCACGCACTTTGCGCGTTCACATTTTTGTTGCGAGACGTCACCGGGTCGTACATTGCTTTTTTTCAAGATTTGCATTTTTCGTGATGATATTTGCGCGATAAAGAACAATATCGAAAATAAAATTTTGAAAAAATTGAAAAAAAAACTCGGAAACAAAAACCCGCAAATGTACGACCCGATGACGTCACGCAACGAAAGTGTAAACAAGCGAAGTGCATGCACGCAGTGCACTTTGCCGCATACAGTACTTCTCGAAAATGGAAAACTCGCTCTTGTCGTAGCACCGAATCTTATCTTTGCTTTTAGCTTCTCTTCAAAAACTGTTGAAATTAACAACTTAACTTGAATTATAGTCATAATCATTTTTTATGAACCTAGCGAATATATTCACAGCAAATTAACAAAAACAAAATTACAGTCACTCCTCAAGAATGGCGGGCTTTCGTTCGCTCACTTCGGCATCCAAAGACGGCTTCATACCAGCCAGGAAACAACGTGGAAGTGTCCAACGAGAAACGAAATCCTTTTCAAACCGAACAGCAGCACCACCACCAACAGAAGCAGCATGAACAGCTCGAGGAAAAGCAGAATAAACAGGAGCACCATAAGTTCAACAACCAGGAGCAGCAACAGCAAGGTGAGCTTTTTGTTAAAAATTTCAACCATTCACCCCTTAAAATTCTTTCTTTTTGTAGACGAATCATGGAACTGAGTTGAGAACTCTGAAAAATACGTCTCTATTTTCATGTATCTTACCTTTTTTTCGATCCAATGGGAATGATAACCATCAATAGGAGTAGGGTTACTTTTTCTCGTTATTTAAATTTTTCTCTACTTTAACGTAAATAATAGGCGGTTCTACTGAAAAAAATACATTTTGAAAATGAAGAAAAAGTTTCTCAAGGATTCTCCGAATTAAAAAAATAGCTTCAATTTCGGACATTAGTCGTGAAAAAAAGTGCACTGTGGTCATAGCTAGATCATATGCAATTTCAACATTTATTGTGACTTTTTCATATTGAGTCAGGAAGGAAAAGAATCATTAAACATGTCTTAAACTCAGAGAAAAAAATGAATTCTTCATGAATATTATCATTGCAATTGCTTTTAACTACGATCCAAAGGTTGGAGAGAAAATAGCAGTAAGTGGTTCGAACAAAAAGTTGCTTTTTAGTCCTTTATAGTTCTTTGCAAATTTAACATAGTGTCAATTTCAGGTCGTGCGAGTGCCTTCTCGCTGCAGAAGCCCAGTCCGAATTTTCGACCTACGCAGCAGCCTCAGGCTCATTCTGGAATGACTCGAAGCGGAGGTCAGAATCCTGCCGAACGACCGCAGCAAAATCGCTCCGAGCAGATCCAATCGTCGCCTCAACATTACCATCAACGATCTCAACCTCAGCAATCCCTTGGCCGTTCTCAGCAGCAGCATGAACTTCAGAAGCAGATTGACGTTCCACCGAAGCAGCACCAGTTTCAAGGAGAAACCGGACATCAACCAGTTCCAACATCTCCTGCTGCTCGGCAATATCCTGCTCAACGAAAACCATTGCAAACTCAGCCATACTATGAGCCCCTGCAGTATGAAGTACACCGGCCACAGCTCTATTCCGAGCAAGCCCAAAAGTCGCCTGCAGTATCTCGAATTTCGTTAATGGAAAGCCCACAAAAGCAGCATCATACTGGCGGACTAACGAGCAATCATACGACTCCGAAGAAGAAGCTGATGAGCCAGCAAGACGCTCCTCACCTTCAAACGTCACCGAGTATTCAACAGAGGTCGTTCCAAATGCAGAACCAACGAGGTTCGATCCAGCAACATGTGATGCACGAACCATCAGCTGAAACGGAGCACAAGGCTCATGTTCGGCCGCCGCGTCCGTACTATCGATACCAGTCCATGGAAAACGTTTATAAAAAGCAGCCCGCTTCCCCTGGTTGGTTAGAGAGTCCGTGGCGGGAGCGTTCAACGTCGCCCTCATCTCGAAAGTGGTATCGTACTACTCCTGAAAACTCCCCCACCAAAGAAGAGCATCGAAGAGCTGAACATGTGCACACAGAGTGGCGATATCAAGAGCAAGACGTGAAACCGTGGGGTAGAGAGCGTTCAACGTCGACCTCGTCTCGAAGGTGGTATCGTACTACTCCTGAAAACTCCCCCACTCAAGAAGAGCACCGAAGAGCTGAACATGTGGACACAGGGCGGCGATATCAAGAGCAAGACGTGAAACCGTGGGGTAGAGAGCGTTCAACGTCGACCTCGTCTCGAAGGCGTTATCGTACCTCTCCTGAAACTTCTCCAACGCAAGAAGAGAATCGAGCTGGACATGTGCACACAGGGCGGCGATATCAAGAGCAAGACGTGAAACCGTGGGGTAGAGAGCGTTCAACGTCGACCTCGTCTCGAAGGTGGTATCGTACTACTCCTGAAAACTCCCCCACGCAAGAAGAGCATCGAAGAGCTGGAAATGTGCACACAGGGCGGCGATATCAAGAGCAAGACGTGGAATCGTGGGGTGGAGAGCAACTGCGCCCTCCACAGCGGCTTGGAATGGATCATCGAGGAATGATGGAAGAGCGATCTCCTGCTCAATCTCCGGTTCCACATACTGACCCAGGCCGACGCCATCCGCGACAAGATGCTCGGGTAATTTAATCTTTTGATCCTCTTAATTATGCTCTATAGTCAAGTTTTCCTGACAAAAGGCGAAGGAGGCGGATAAGGGGGCAAGACGCGTGGTAGGCGGTTCTTGTCACAAGTTCAATTCAACCGTCACCGACTACATGGAGAGCTCGTTTATCGCTCTGATGTTCATTGATCTTTTTAAAAAAAAGATTGAAAAGATACAAAAAGACCGAAGTTTTCATATGGTCGGTGTCGCTTGAATTGAACTCATACCAAGAACCGCGTACGCACACGCTACGCGTCCCGCTCACTTCACCGCCACCCTTGCCTCTTAAGACGGGATGGATTAACTATATATACTTGAGCAATCAAAAACTTGGAAAAAAAACCGGTTTTTTTGTCGGGCAACTTTTTTGTGCTCCACTTAAAAAATGATGAAGCTCTCGAAAAATATTTCGATAACGACTTGGTACATAATCAAATCATACCTTTGAGTCATTATTTGATGGTAAAGATAGAAATATTACTCTGTAAAAACAGTTTACACATTTTATTTCTTCACATATCATTTTCAGCCGAGCTTCGGATCCCACAGCACGGAGCCAGAGCTTCGACGGCGTACGAGTACATTCCTTTCTCCTCTTCAGGTACTAATTATTGTTGAAATTAGGCTGCTCAGAAAGATTTTGGGAACTCTCACTTGGAACAGATTTTTGAATGAATTTTCTAGCTGGCTTAATGAAATAATATACCGTTTTGAAGCAAGCGGCATGTTTTATTTTTGTAATGAAAGCGTTTCATTTCAAACCTGGTTTAGTATTTTTCATGGAACTCCAAAAAAATGTTGAAAAATAGGCAATAACTAGCTTAATAACTAATAAAAATAATTATAATTTATAATCATTTTGAGTCGAACGATGGAAACCGTCACAACTTTCCGAACCACCTGGCTTTTCTAGTTTATACGGTTGATGTTTTCAAAAATAAATTTTCAGTCTCCGGCACGAACTTCGCCATTGCGGGACCATTTTGGTGCATCTCCTATGCGATCTTCGCGACAAAGCAAGGTTATTCACTATCAATTTGAGTAGAACAGTAATTATATTGTTTCAGTATAGAAACCAAAAAAAGTTTATTTAAAAAAATGAGGAGTGTAAGGCATTAGCTTTTTTGGAAAACAGCAGTCTCTATCCAGAAAGTATTCCATTCTCTGAATTTTTCCGATCACAAAAAAGTCATCGGCCATTTCACCCGCGAATTCACAGAAAATTTAACTGAAAAATCGAAAAAAAACAACCAAAACTCGCACAAATTTCCAGCTTTGAGGCACCTGAGAAGTTCAAGACTTCTGTTTTTTTTTGTTTCGCGAGACTTTTTGGTATATGACAGCGAAAAACCCATAAAAAATTTCCTTGCAAGAAAAATGCGTCGAATTTATGCAAATATTACATTTAAAACTATAAATTTTTCATGAAAAACAATGATTTACCATAAAAATGAATACTGCGGTATAATGTTTTCGAGAGATATCTACTACTTGTCATGACGAAATTTCGATTTTCTTGTGATGATATCTGTGACTTCCTTTTGATTTGACTTTTCTATTGCAGAAAATAAAACTTCAAGATATAGGAGAACAAAACGCATCAATTACAGGGTGTTCCGACCATTCAGAAGGAGTGAGTGCCAAAAGAACTCGACAGAAGACGCCGTCCTCTCCCAACAATTTCTGTTACGATCTTCATTTTTCTTCTTTTTCACCTCGTTCTTATTTGCACCGCTTTCATTCTCAATTGATGTTGCCAGTTTATTAAGTTTTGATATTCATTCACGTCGCCTTTCAATTTATGCCTTTCATTAATAATTATTATTCAAGTTTTCCGATTTGTGTTTCTGCCTTCCAAGCTTACTTTTCACAAGATTACTTTTTACATGATTACTTTTACTTTTTACAAGATTACTTTTTTCTCCCCGACAGTTCACTACATAGTTTTTATACAAATTTTGATTCCATGGCCCTGGAGGCGTTTTATTCTTTTCTAGATTACCGTGAATTTGTATCCGAATGAAACGTTTTATCACAAACATATTGAGCTTTTCAAATACAAAGTTTGCCACAACAAATCAAAGTAATTTGAAAAGTTGCCCAATTTCTTTCGAGTCGACGCCACAACAAGCTCCTATGATGGTGGCTCCGTTTCTCTTCCACGATGTGACATCTTCTTCCGTGAACATCGGCATGTTATCGTCGAGTTTTTCTCTGAAATTCTATATCATTTCTGAAAAAATGAATTGAATGCAGTCAGCAATATCCTTTTTTTAGGATTGAAACCGGGAAGTTATTTGAAAACCTCAATAATCAATTTTTTCTCGAGAACCTACAAGAACAATCCGCACTTCATGATAGAAAAAAACGTTCGAAGAAAAAAAATTTTTTTTGCTATAGCATATCGAGAAGCGGATGTCCAACTCTTTTGAAAAAGTCGTCATTCAAGTCAGAAAAATCGCACGTAATGTGAAGTTTGTCACTTGATAATACAGCATTTGAAATCATTTTCTTACAGACTTACGTATTTGAAAAACTTGTGTCACCACTGTTGGGGTAAACCAATATATTCTCAAATTTGCGAGTGTTTTCCGTTGCTTCTTGGATTCCACAAAGAGCAGCCGACACGTTTTTTTCTTGTCGGTGCAGTTGATTCCGATTCCATAAACCTTAAAAAAATAAAAAAATTTTAACTTCAATCTGAAAATATGCATTACATGTGAGTTTTTTACTAAGTGATCGGCGGCAGCTTTGATTGATTCCCCGTGACGCAAAAGGCCATTTTCCTAGAAGTTCAGATTGCACTTTTAACGAAAAAATACTTACCTTACATGTGAACGAAACGAAGAACTTGGTTTCAACCGACTCTGACGGCGGCAATCCAGAAAGGTACGTTTGAATGGCTTTTGTGAGGGATTTCACTTCAGCAAGAGCAGGCACGGTTTCGATGAGGATGTTCCTCAGGAGATTTGGTGAGGAATGGAGCATTTTGATTTGGTCCCAATAGTACGAAACCATTTTCTTAAAAGGAATTTAGAGGCTCTTTTTTGGTGTAGAGCTTGATTTTCAGAGCAAGGAATCAATTGAATGCTGCGGTTGCGCTCCTTTCAAAGGAATAAAATCGTCTTGAAAGAAACCTTTAACGTTTCACTTTGGTATTAAAAATTGTAAACTTCCAATGACCGCAGTTTTTCCTTAATTTTGAAGAAATTTTTGAATTTCGAGGCATGTCTATTGATAAAATCTGTTTTTCTGAAACTCAAAGCAACTTTTCAACTGCGGCCCATGTAGTTATTCTTCTGAAGTCGTGGATAAGAGCTAACCTGATCAATATCCAGATCGTTGTCTACATAAGAACCTGTATACTCCGATTGATCTCGCAAACATGTAGAGTAGCTGCCGATCGATCCAAAAAGTTCAGCTTGATTGCCCTTGTAACACTCTTTCAGAGCTTGTTTCGCCAAACGCACAGTTTTCTGAGAGTAATCTTATAAACGGCAAGTGAAAAGAAAATCACCGCGACAAGCTCTTCATAATTTGCTATCCCTTCCTTCTTCATTAGCGGGATGGCAGCATGGTAAGTATTTGTAGTCAAATAGTCTGCTCCTGCATTCAAAAAACTGTAAATTACAAATAAATAAAAATCAACATATTCTAATGAAACTTTTTATGGGCTTGTAGGATCAGTTTGCTGTTATTGTGGATCGCAGCAAAAGTCCAAAGTTTATGATCCTGAGAAAAATGAATAAATGATCAGGATTTTTCTTTCGAACTCACGTCTGCAATGAAGCCTAGAGATTTCAGTTCTGATGAAAATGATCCATCCAAACGCATAATATTTTTAGAGCTCATCCTCAAGTGCAGACTTTGTGAGGTGTGAAATTGCAAAAAAAAAATGAAAAAAGTTTGATAATCCATTTTCCACGATTTAAAAGTGTCTTGAGATCCTTGTGAGTCAGAGAAAGGGAAAAATTAGGTTATGATGTCAACCAAGTCAATATGGTGGAGGAAATTGTTTAATAATAAAGTTTTATTCAATTAACGCCATTTATAAAGAAATTATGCAACATTCACTGTTATTAAAAATAATAACGATTTCAAAAGAATACAAGCACGCAATGGATAGACCGGCTCCAGACAAATGAAAACGGTTACAAGAAAGGTTTTCTAAAAATACCCTTGATAAAAGTAGATGTGTTTTATCTATATTTTGTTGTAAAGTAAAATGTCATGGGGGAAGAAACGAAAACATTTTGGCGAGGAATTTCCAGGAAGACACTACGCGAAACCGATAAAAAAGCGCTTGACGCTTGGAAAAAGCAAAAAGATTAGAAAGAAACCATAATCTTTGCGGTTTTCGGGAAAATTTTGATGAAAAAATAAGCAACAGCATTGGACGCAGGTAGAATGGCTTGAAGGCGGAGACTTCAGTAAAATTTCTGATTTTTTGCGACTATCTTTGTGAAAAATCATTGGAAGTCATTCACCGTGTTGTTTAAAAAAAAGAAAGGGATATTCTTAACCAAAAAACTTTCTTTAGAAAAAATTATTTTGGCAATATTCAGAAAAAGAAACGCTCTCAGATAAACCCTATTCGGTTTTTAAGAAAAAAAAAATACAAAACTAATATTTGAAAAAAATCAACTCATTCACTTTTTGGCTTCGTGAGAAAGCTCTTTTTAAATATTTCTTCAAAATTTAGACCAGAATAAAAAAAAAACATTTTACACAAGTTAAAAACCGACTTGAATCGTGAAAATCTGCAGCGCTTCTAATTGAGAAAATGCTAATAACAGTAAAATGAGTTAATTTTTAGGAAAAGAGTTCGGTTGGGAGTTCGGTTGCTTTGAAAAAAGCATGGCATCGAGTTCGTCCGTCAAGTTCTGCAGCATGAAGCCGATGTCCGTCAGCACGTTGCCGTTCGTCGTGGAAGGCTGTCGCTGCATCGGCGGCTTCTCTCTGAAATCATGATTTTAAACTCTCATCTGGAAAAGATTCACAAATTCCTGACGACTTTCAAACGAAACTCACCCTGAATTCCTGGAGGCTTCTGTCGGAACTTGTACTCCTGGAGCAATCATTGCTGGTTCAGGCGCTCTCACGGGCTCACGGGCTCTGAAAACAGAAAAAAATTAGAAAATGCTGATTTCATCAAGACCCACTTGATAGTTCCACAATTTTCATTGGCAAAAGGCAGTTGGTCGATGCTGGTGCCGGAGTCATTGCTGCAGAGGGAAGACCGGAAAGGTCCTTGTAACATTCGCAGAGAACTCGAGTCGCAGAACAATGGAGCTGAAACAGGGATGTATGCAAACTTCAGAAATGGAATCGCTCATTTTTTGAAATAAAAAAGTACCTGGAGGTGGAGGACAACCGTCAAAGTCGAACGAAGACGGAAACTCGCGCTCTTTCTTCTTTTCTTCTCTGCTCAGATCACTGAGGATTTTCCCAGCTTGAACAAGGTTCAGACGGATCGGCTCTTCCTGAAAATTTAATTGAGATCATGGACTCATACCAAAGTTTTCTTTCATAAAATACTTCAATTTATCTTTGATATTCCTATACACAAAAGGGATTCTCGTGTTTTCCTAGAATCCCAATATTTTTGGCTCTGTTTTTCATCATTTTTTTTCATCAAAGTTTCGGAATTTTCATGGTATCTTGAAACATTTTAGTAATTAAAATGTGTAAATTTTTTTTCAAGAGGTTTTTTTCACATTTTCCAAAAAAAACTTCTATTGGCGGCTCTACTAACTTCCTTGAAGAGTGGATCGATAACTGTGCGATTCCCGGCGAGCTTCTCGAACTGAGTCTGTTGTCTCGCGGGAGGAACTGGGGCAACCTGAACTCATTATTCAAATCCTCCATCAAAATTCATTTTAATTCTCACAGACCTTTGAACCTCGCGTGTAACTGATATAATCAATTTTGTCATGCAAATCAGTCTTTGGTTGATAAAAGCTTGATGGCGCTGGAGGCGGAGGATCATTCATTCTGAACATTTAAATGGTTTTAAAAAATGAGAAGTTTCAAACCGTGGGCTTTGAACTCCGCGCTCGAACGTCCTCGCGGGCATCAAAGGCGAAGGAACTTGGACTGCGCCGTGGCTCGTTTGGCTCGGAACGGCCGTGATGCACTCGAGAGTCGACATTCCTCGGCGGTGGTCCTATAATCGAATTCTGTCAAACTTCAGCTTCTGAGCATCAAAAATTTAGAAAGTCGGAAAACTTTACAGAACAAAAAATACAACTAATGTCATAGATAATCTATACATTTTTTTGATATAGTGAGATGAATTGAACATGAGAGATGGTGAGAAATATTGATATCTGATAAAGAAATCCACTATTTCATGCAAAGAAAAAATGAAGCGGCTCTTTCTACGTTTTAATACTTTCTGCAGAGTAGTTGCAATTTTTTCAAACCTTAATTTTCTTGACGGCCAGACCCAGTCTTTTTGAGATGACCCAGACGTTTCACGCCGATATCTTCTAAATCCTCCCACGTGAGATTCAGAACATCTTGCACTGTGTCGTAGCCTTGGCTTTCGAAGACTGCGACATATTCGCTCAAGGAAATCGCCGCAAGCCATTCTCTGAAACTCGAAAAGTTAATAACCCCGAAAAAGCTCAGGAAGAGACCCATACTCGTTAAAATAACGAACCTGAGGCCGCTCGGCGGGATCACAGATGGCCAACTGTCGGTGATCTGCCAAGAATGGATCTCATCCATCAATCTGCGCCTATGTTCGGGGTTTTTCACGCCTAGGCTCAGCAGGTCTTCTGGCGTGATTCGAGCTGCAATTGAGACATTTTTAAAGTTGAATTTCGGAATCAAAGTGGTTTTTTCTCTGAGCTTTTTGATCAAAAACCCACCGATGGAAGATAAATCGTAGCCTTGTTTGAGAAACATGCTCAGATATTCGCTCATATTCAAGCTGTCTAGCCAATTCGCAAGAATTTCAGCTTCTGGCACTCCGTTGGCTACCATTCCAGTCACATTGATGCTGACGAAAGATGAAGAATGGAAAGATTCATCCAATGTGTGGGCCGACGTGGAAGCTAAGGATGAAGAACCGCTGAAAATGAACAATAAAAAGTATATTTGGAAATATTCCAACCTTCCAGCGCTTCCGCTAGAATGTACGCTAGTCCTGCTGGGAGTGGCGTCCGAGACACCTCCGTGATGGAAAGAAGACGAAGATGAAGACGCGGAGGCAGAGCACTGTATTCAGAAAGTTTAGGTTGAAAAGAAACAGCAAACTCACTTTCATGCTCTCGAAGCCGGAACTCCCATAGCTCGAGTTTGAGCCTGTTGAAATACGATGAGAGTCCGACGGAGACGTCGTCGATGTCAACGGAAGTGTTGATGTCGATGGGAACGTTGTCATAGCTGAAAACGTTTTTTTATTCACTCAAAAATGTATTGAGCATTCTTCAGGAAAAAAAACAGCTTGCGATAGGAAGAAAGAGACTTCCGAGCCTAATTTTTCGAGCCAAAGCAAACGTCAGAAGATATTTCGAAGATTCATTCTCTGAGAGAATTTCATATCCGCATTATTGATCGAATTAAGAGACATCAAAAAGGGACAAAAGAATTGAACGTCAAGTAAAAAGGAACATTGAAAGTCTGAAAAGCGGATTTGAAAGCACACGGGAGCGCTCAAAAAAGAGCTTGCGCTCACGTTTGATGCAGCAAATCGAATCAGACCCATAAGTGAGGCAAAACGGCGAGAAAATCACCCAAAGCTAGTTTGAGTGGCCGCGCTGGTTATTTCTCGGTAAATTCCAGAGGATCCATGTGCTTTTCAGTTCGTTATGAAGAAAATTAAAAATCGAAAAAAACTTTCATCAAATTCTGTTTAGGATATTGAAAACTTCCGAAAATAAAGTCAACGAAAAGCGAGAAAAGCCCTCAATGAATTTGGAGATATTATTCCTAGTGAGTATACATGTGTCCAACCTATGGGAAACGTAGAAGGGCCAATTTGGAGAGAGGAAAAACACCGCGTATTATAAAAAATGAGCGCCGAAATCGTTATCCCATACGGAAAAAAAGTCCATTTCGCATGCTTTTTCTACGCATGTTAAAGGGCTTCTTTTCATGTCTGTTTGTTTTTGACGCCAATTTCACCCAAATGGATGCGGGCAGGCAAGCAGAACAAGCCTTTATCAAATTGGAAAAGTCGAAGAAAGGTGCAAAAACTGCGGGAAGCGAATAAGAGCAATTAAGGGCGCCAATTACGAGCTGACTTGCATTTTTTGCTAGTTTCAAAAAGAAGAGTAAATGTTGAGGAATCTGCGAATGACAGGCCTGCTGACTTTTTTTCGAAAAATTATGGAATGGTTTAACGGAGGAATAGGAAAAAAGCGACAAAATTTGGAGAATTTGTCTAAACTATTCAAAATGGGTCTCACATTACTGAAGCTGGTAGACAGGATACCATACAAAATATTTTTTTTGAAAAAATGAGACGGTCAAAAAGGCGTATCAATCAGGTTTTGAAAAGCCTAGGGAGGTGTTCGGAAGAAGGTTGGAAGGCTTTTGGAACGTAAAAAATAAAAACGCCTGTCAGAAGCCTTCCAGAGGAGTTGGAAAGATATGTGGCAGGAATTTGACCACATTCTGGAAAAATTCCAAGCGTCTTACGAGTAACTGAAAGCAGAAGCTTCCCAACTTACCTGCGTGAAGATATACTTCTTAGTTGGAAATGAAAGAAAAAAATTTCTTTGTGAAGTCCTGATAAAAATTTGAAAAAAATAAGCAAATTAAAGCGAAAATAAATTCGTATATGATCATTTTTTTCAACTAGGACCCGGAAAAATTTTCTCGTAAGAGTTACACTAAAGCAGTGAAGGCAGACATCAGGATGAAACTCAAGGTGTTCGGAAAGGAAGTCGCCTTGCCGCATGCATACTTGATGCTTCCGCAAGCTCGAAACGACGACGCCAAGCCGCCTTTCATCGCAACGCTCCTAATATTTCCCAAGCGTCCAACCACACGTTCCTTCCAGTCAATCGAATTCTGGCTTGAATATTGTTGACCCGTGGGCGCACCCCCGCCGCGCATGAATAATTTTGGCTCGGCATCATTACAATTGGAAGATTGGAAGAAAAAGCTTGATTGATCTTTTTTGCGCCTTTTCCAGTTACCGGTATGATCAATTAGTGGGAGAACTTTGGTTTTAATCTGATCTCAAAAAAAAATCAAGACGGAAACAGTTTTCATTAGGGAGATTAGGTGATCGAACAATATCAAGCGATATTCTGAATCTACTTCAAAAAATTTTCCAGATCAAATCTCCCTACTTTCTGTTTTTTTTTGATAAAAAATTAGGCTTGAACGATTGAGCACGAAAAACTGCTTTCTTTAAATTTAGAGAAGCTCGCAAGATGTGAATTTTTGAAGTAACTACAGCTACAGCAAAAAAATCTTCATAGTTTTAAACTCGAGAAGAAAAATTTAAACTCATAGCTTAGAAATTTTTCCTTTTTTTGCAAATAATAAAGCGAAAAAAATAAGAAAAACTTCCAGCTTGGACTGGTCACTAGCGTGTTAAAATTTTAGTATAGCTGAATAATAAATTATTTTCTAAGCCTAGTATAGAAAAAGTTTGCATTTCCAAGTCCTAGCTAAACTAAAGCTGAGCACGTGAAACCAGAAAAGAAACGTTTTTCCTCTTACCAGCAGCAAAAAACAGAAGAAATTTTATCCGACCTGAGGAAAGCGCCTAATGAATGGGAAAGAACGAAACAACATGAGATGCTGGAACACGAGCTGGAGCACATTGCAACAATTGGAAGGAAATCCGGCTCCTGTGCAGCGAAGGCAAGCTCTAAAGGTAACCTGAGCAGAGCTGGGCGACCTGACGCCTTCCCGCACCTTCGCATAGTACATCTTGAAAAATCTGTTGTATCAAAAAAATGCCGAATGTTAATTTTGGTCCTTGGGCTTATAATTTTAAACTTTTCTGGAACATTTTGAAGATAAATCCAAAAAAAGATTATCATAGAAGTTCCAATTGCCAAACATTAAAAAGTTTAAAATTTTTTTATTATAGTCAAACTTTACAGAAAAAAAGAGAGTAATAATGATTTCTAAAAAAAGATACTTGAGCTCTCAGAATCGTTTTATGCGTCTCTTAAAGACTTCCCTTCAAAAACAAGATTTTTTTTAAGGCAAGGGGTTTTTTCGGATAATGACTAAATTGCTCAGACATTCAAAAACAGAACAATTTACGCACGAGCTGATTTCAACATTTAATCCTTCCCGTAGTTTTTTTTTTCAGATATGGGGAAGCGAACGTGTCCAAAAATGCAGAAAAAAAAACCTTCATCGAAAATTTTCGCCAAATTAAAAAAAAGGCCTTTGATCAGAAAAAGCACTGAAAAAAAATTCAAAGACTGGAAAAACGGGGAAAAAAGCAGTGGTCAGGGCAAAAAGTGCAGAGAGAGCGAGAATCCGATCGGAATGGGATCTGTTATGAGCCACGACATCTGGCCGATCTGGACCGACGATTGTAAAAGACGGCATGAAAAGCTGGAAACGGGAACCGCTTCTCACAAAAAGGCTAGCTGAGCGCGCGAATTTCTTTTGTTTTGAAAGGTTGCCAAGAAGCTTTTGCGGCCGACATCTGCCTGATTTCGCGCGCCGCACGTCATTACGCGCATCATACTATGTGTGGCACATGCAAAACCAGCCTACCAAGCGAAAAAGCCGCTCTCTCATGAAATTTTCTCTCGAAATCTGCACTTTTCTCCAGATTAGTTTTCATGACTTCTATATTCTTTGAGGCGGACCGGAAAAATTTTTTTATAATACAAAAAAATCAGGGAAGATGCTCATAAACTCTCAACTTGTTAAAAAAATTTTTTTTGAAACAAATAGCTGTTTGTTTTTTTCTGAATAAAAAAACTTGCAAGTGCGACTAGAACAAAATAGAAAGGAGTTTTTTTGAACTTTTTTTAACAATGTTTGATCGAAAAATGTGCTTGAAGAAAATGGATTCTGGGCTTCATTCATTTGATGTTTAAATAACGAGCTCAAAAAAATATTTTTCAAGGAGTGATGAAAACTCAAAAACTCGTTATTTTGTGATTTTTGTGGAATATAAAGACTAAAATTCGAACAAGGAAGCCGAAATGGCCTGAATCGGCGATTTCGAAACAATTCATGTGCGACAATCAACCGCATTCTGAATTTCAACGCTGCCGTCCCACGCTACAAGTCAAGCTCAGTCGCGCGCATAGGACTTCAGCGAAGTCTCTCATGCCATCTCCAGCTGTTCGAAACTGCCTAATAAATACACTTTGATTTTTATGATTTTTTTTTTATTTACTTCGCAGCAATGTAAAAAATGCTGAGATTCTAAGCTTCAAATTTTTTTTTTCATAAAGAATCTATAAAAAATACTAATACATATTTCTTGAACATCAGTTGAGTTATTTCCGAGCAAAGATAGATTTACTATCAGAATAGGGTTTTTTTGAATGTGGTTACCAAAGGTATAGATTTTTTCCTAGTGTCTTGTTTGAACGACTTGAAGTATTTCTACATTTTTCTCTATACCAGAGTCAAAAAAAAAGATTTTTACAGAAACTTCAGGATAAACTACAAACAGAAACTGTAATATTACCATACACTTTCATTAGAGCGAAAAATGAAAAGGTGCGGTTTTATAATCAGAAATTATTCCCTTTGATGCTTGCCGAACGGATATTTGCGTGCCAGATCGCTGACCGTGGCAGATCTTTTGATATACTTGGACGCCGCGAAAAGAGACCCAAAGGGTCAATTATCATCGTACAGTAGTTGAGGATTGTTTTCCAATGAAAAAAGATAGGAAAGAAAGATACATGGATATTTCACTAAACATACCTTGCGTTTTCATTCCAAGAAGAGATGCCAAGTTGGTTCCATAGCCCGAAAATGTTGATTGGGACATGCTGGAGTTGAGCCTTCTGAAAGGAAAAATGAGCTATTGACAAAATTTGAGTAAAAGTTGGTACAAGTGTATTTTCAATGAATAACTTTGAAAAGCAAAATTTTGACATTTTGTTGCTTTTGACTAGTTGTAGTGAATCCTGAAACTACGAGAAAATTGTTACCTTAAAATCAAGATATCAAAAAAAAATGTTAGCACCTGTTCCCATTCTGACTATCGCTGCTACCGTCGCTCATACCAGACGAAGAACGATAACTGCTCATTGGAGTGCGCAAGTTTCGGTTCATTTCCACTGTAAAATCATTTTTAAGATGCCTAATTGGGATTCCGAACCTTGTTTGAATGTGGATGTCCCAGGGACAACAGGTAGAGCGACTTTTTTGGCAGGTTGTCTGTTCATCACCGGACCCTGTTGAGGTGGCATTGAAAGCCGCGAGCTCATTGAAGACACTGAAAAACTTCAAACTATAAAAACATTTTTCAAAAAAGTCTCGGAGTAGTTCTGTACTTCATTTGAAGTTTAAACAATTTTCACTGTTTTTTATATGTTCCTCAACTCTTACCACTGAGTCTGTTCACAGTGGCCGTGCTGGCATTCCTACGTTTAGGTCTCAAAGTGGCGGACCGGTAAAACTCGGAAAAACCCATCAACGAGTCCCTCTTTCTTGGCAAAGACATGGAATATTCCTCGCTTTGCATCTGTTGAAAAAGAACTTGTATAGATTTGCATGTACAAATCGAACGAAAAAATGTTTGTTCACGGAAAAAGTTTGAGGAAAAACGGGTTCAACAAGGAAAAACAAGCAGGCCGGAGAGGATCCCGAAGAAACTCCAACAAAATGCTGAGTGCAATAAATTGCTGGATTATGCACATTTCGGGTAGTGATCCATGCTTTTCGCAGAAGAAACAAACTAATGTTTCAAAAATTTTCAGTTTGGAGTCGAGTTTTTCAAAGTTAGAGAGGCAGCTACTGAAAAAGGAAAACCATTGTTTTTTGAGGAATTTTTAGAAATCAAATTTAAAATGAAATAAAACTAGAATGAAAAACCTGAAATAATATCAAGACGAAATACGTTTATATCAGTATCCCAGTATCAGAATCTTAGATCTTTTACAAAAAGAGAAGTTGGAGAAAAAGTTGAACAAATATTAATGAGAAGGCATCAGGATAAAAAACGGAACGCATCTGGTTGCGCTCTTATCGGAAGGTCACTCGACACACTCGACGGACAGACGTCGATGATTTACACTGGGCCGCAGCCGAGAGCATACATTGGCCAGGTACAGGTGATCCGAAACCAAAAACGTTTAATTCACGTTCAGCTTCTCGTTGGCACTAATTCGTTCGAGTAAGAATTTTCCGTATGACAAAAAGACTTCAAAATGGGTTAATAGGTGAGCAAAATATCTTTTAATTGGCTCTAATTTTTTTTTTGACAATAAGCTTCTGAAACAACCTCGTGTTGAAAAAAATTCAAATTGAGTTCATTTTTTTCTGAACTTAATCTACACAAAAAAACGCAGTGTTAAGATGGTTTTTTTACTAAAAATTTGATGAAAGTTGCTAGAAGTTTTATAATTAGTTTTATTGACGATGAGTCTGGCATAAAGAAAATGAAAAACGAAAAATCGAAACTTTGACAGCTATGAATCCTAAGGTTGCAACTACTCTGAACTCTGAATTATTTATTTTCTCACACTTGGCAACTTTTTGAAAACTGATATGTTGAGATGAGCTTTCGAAAACGTGGAATCAAAAAGTCAAGAAACTATTCTTAAGTCTTCTTTCTGAGCACATGAAAAATAAACTGGCCTAAAAGTTTGACTCAATAAAGAAGAGAAGGTGAAACATCAAAACTTGAAGTTTTTCAAGAAACTTTGGCGTTGAAGTTTTTGACAGCAAGCTGCCGATAAAATGCTCCTACTCTCACTCCAAAAACACATGATAAAAACGCGGGAAACCCAAAAAATTCCATTCTTCAGCATCTTACTGGGGATAATCTTGCTCGGAACGTGTCGTCCTTGGAAGGTTATGCCGAAAAGGTCTAAAAACTAAGAAGGAGGCGTTAATGCGAGCCTTTCGCCAAATAGATAGGTTTTTGTGCATGAGATCGTCCTTGGAAAGAGAGGTTTCAGCCCACCACTGTCCAAACATGAAACCTCGGTTTCTGTACAGTCAAAAAAGCAAGACAACTCTCAACGAAAAATGTATGAGCAGTAAAAATAAACGAAGAGCTTTTCCAGAAGAGTTCGAGTCAAAGATTGATACTCAAAAGTTCCAATGCTTAAGTGTTGGCTTTGGCTCGTTCGCCTAAAAAAAGGAAAAGATTGCTGAGACACGCATGACAAGTCCGTGTGCTTCATCTTCTTCTCCACCCACTTCACCAAAAACGGACAGAAACAACGGGATTCTGTTGTACTCAGAAGCATATTTTCTCGGTTGGCAACAAACGCGATTGCTATTCTGGAAGCGTCTGCTCAAATGGTTCATTAATTAACCGCGGCTTTCTCAAAAGAAAAATATGGCATATTGACGCAGTAGAAGAAAAAAAAAGACATATTTCGGGAGTACTGTAAACGTCTCAAAAGCGGTCAGAATAAAAGCCATTCACTTCTTTATGTTTATTCTCAAAAATGAATTGTTGTCCATCAGGAATATTGATCAATTTAGAAGTTTTGCGCTTTCTAAATCATCTGAAAAATGAATCAGCAGTTTTTTGAGAACTTGGATTGGTGAAAAAAATTGTTCAAAAATCTAATTTTAGACGAGTAAGCTACAAGTTGCCTTTTTTCTTCAGAAAGTTGGAGGTATAACAACTATAAAGTTTAAGTTTTAACCAAAACCAAAAAAGTATTTTTCACGAAGTTATTCATTTTGGAATATCATGTGCAAAGTTTTAATGACCAACAGTCCGATAAGACTGATAGGTGCTGAATAAACGTCAGTTTCAAAGTCCATTCAGAGAACTACTAACTGGAGTCGGGCTATGAAAAAATAAATAACGGAACAAAAAACGAGAGATGAAAGGAATGCCGTGACAACGGCAAAATACTTCGATGAAAAGAAGTCGCCAAAACGAGCAGCGCCATCTCTTTCCCTTGACGATGAATAATTCGGAAAAGCCGAAAATTACACATACGTACATACGTCCAGTCATTCTCAATACAGAATGGCAAATAAAAAGGCGAAAATAAACTTCGATAAGAGGCAGGACTTTGAGAGGTAGAAAAATTGAAAAATGTTCTGGCGTGGTTCAAAAATTATTTTGTAACTCGAATTAACTATCAGATTGAACCTTTGTTCCTTTTTAGTGTTTTCTGAGCCATTTGGGCGCTAAAAAACAGAGTAAAACGAGATTCGAAGAGAAGCTGTGGGACGACGTTCACCTAGAATTCGGAATGTCATATGGAAAAATGCGCGTCTCGGGCATTTCAAAGCGATATGAATTTTTTTAGCATTACAATAAATGTTCTACGAGCCGCATTAAATCCGTCGCATGGCACGACCGACGTGTGAGAAAAAATAGGCGCTGGACGATCTTTATTGCGAGAGCGACGTTTTTGCAAGTGAAGCTTGCAGAGAAAATTTTGATCGAGATACGGTAATTCAGGAAAATCAAAATGAAAACTTATTTGATGAAAATTGGTAGATACGTTTTTACTGTATTATGCGAATTAGAAGAAAAAGCGAAGAAAGACTCAAAATTCTGTTTTCAACTATCACAGAGCACCGTACAGTTTTCACAACTGTTTTTAACTTGAATTAGAAACAAGGATCTAACATTCGTCTTTAGAAAAACGGAAGAATCGATACTACCAAACCAAAATTTTGCTAGTAACTTGGGAACGATGCACAAGACAAAGAAGTATTGAAATACAGACATTGAGAGAGGGTTCAATGTGAAAAAATCGTTACAACCCCGAGTGAAACGTTTTGTTTTTGAAATGGCCCTTCACATCTGTACGTTTCTTTTTCAATCGTAAAGCCTCGAAAATAGAAAAATAAAGAAAATCTTTCGTGTCATGATTTTTGCTGAGTGAAGGGAGAAATGTAAAGAAAGATTGCTTGCATTTATGAGCTTCAAAGTTAGACGTCGGTAAACAGACCAGGTGATTACTGAGCTGTTCAATAATTTTATAATAAAGAAGTCAAATTTGTTTTTATACTTGAAGGTTTGAAAAATTGAATTTAAAAATTCGGATTGATATTAAAATCGAAAAAGTTCTTTGTTTCGCTCAAAAAGCAATCAAAAAAATCAGATAGAAAAATATCCGGCAGAATCGGTCAAAAAAATAGTACTAGTGATCGATTAGAAGTTCAACTATACCAATCCAATAAAAGTTACCAATAAAAAGTTGAGTAAATTTAAAAAGAGCAGCTTCTCGAACCGAGAACTTAAGATGAACGGAAGTTTTTTCAAACCAACACCAAGTTCATAAAACCGATAAAATTGGTTCCAAAGATAATGAAGAAAACGATATAAAAGACACATGACCGGAAGGACGAAGGAAAGGCAAAGAGGCCAAAGTGCCAAGAGTGAGAAAAAGCCACTTTTTCGACACGTGTCAAAAATGGGCGTAAAGTTCACAGTTCGCAGGTGTCGCAGCGCTGCCGGTGGCTCTGGCAACGACGCCGCCAAACGAGACGTCGTACAAAAGAGCCGCCGACTGCGAAATGCCACCCTTTGCTCTCACACAACAAGCTGCTTTGGACAGATCGTCTGAATAGCCGAACAAGCGGCGACTTCAAAACCATGCGACACCCTAAATGCTGCATAAGCTATCAATCGCCTTCGTGGAATCTCAAGAAAACGGAATATATATGCTGGATATAGTCTGTTCTGAATACTTGTAGGGTTTTTGAAAGCGAGGAAGATTTTGCTTGATTTTTTGGAAAACTTCATAAATTTCTTGTTGAGTATTTTATTTTATTTTTTGATAAGAATTCTGCAAAAAGCTTTAAAAAGACTGCTGACTGTAGAAAGCAAAGTAAAAATAAATATTGCAAGTGAATATTTTTGCGAGCGGACGTGAACTTTCACAGTGAGGATTTTTGAACTGTAGGCTTATAAAAAAACTGAATATCGTGAAAAATTACTAGGCAAAAAAATTAAAATTATGAAGATTTTAAAAAATTCCTTTAAGGTTAAATATCAAAAACGGATTTAAAAAAAAGTAAAGGGACACTAAAACCAAAAAAAAACAGACAAAAGACACTTTTTGCTCAAATTCCTAATTGAAAATTTACTGATATGCAGACTTTCTCTCTTAAAAAAAGATTAGAATGAACTTTCACTATAAAAATAAATCTAAAATGACTATGGAAGCTTTTAGGTAATTGACTTAATTTCAAAAAAATTTTTAAAAAAATGTCAAAAAAATCTCATTGGACTGTACAGGATATACAAAGACAATGGTCACCATTTAACAAATTTGGAAGCAACCAAAAAAGTGCTCATACAGTGGACCTGAATAGAAACTAGAAAAAAAAATACTTGTTTGCTTTACAAAGCCAAAAGAAGCGGGAAAAAGAAAGGTATGCGCGAAATCGAAGAAGACGCTAGCCGGAGGACGGCGTGCCGGGTCCGATGCAACGATCCAAGGCCGGTGAGAAGAACAATGCGGAGGGACATCTGCCCGGCCGGCGCCTCGCCATTCCGCTGCCACAACAACTGTGTCAGACCGTGCATCTCGTCATGACACGTCAGCCTCCGACAAATTCATTATGGAGGCGTACGAAGTCATCCAAATACAGTCAATACTTGGACAGGTACAGAAATCGCGGTGGGATTAACTGCACCTGGAAATAGTCATCTACTTGTCAGCTCAAGAAATCGAGTCTGACAGCAGTTAAAAACGCGGAAAATCGACGAAAATTGGTTCTAAAAAAGCTGGACTAATGTTTTCTTGCTTGAAGAAAATTCTTCTTTATTTAAGTTTAGCCAGACAACATAGAAATTGGACGCACTCACAAAAATTTGTTGCAAAAAAGGTGCAAAATTACAGTTAATCTAAGGTTCTTCTTAAAAAATCACTGGTTTTTCAGTTGATTTTCTTGAATTTGATCAACTTATCAGTTTCTGAGAAGTTTGTGTTAAAGATTCATTCAATAAATTTTTGAATTTTTTTAAATCGTTGAAGTCTAAAAAAAGAGGGGGAAGTAAATAACTGGATTTTTAATAACTGGGAGCTTCTGAAGGGCGTGTAATCGTTTTAGTTCAAAAATAAATTGAGTTTGATCTTTCTAACACTAGTCGAAAATAATTCGTGTGATTTACCCTAATTTTCCTGAGATCCCTAGCATTCTGATCAATAGAATCCTAGAAAAAGCTTTCACAAAAAAAATTCAAAAATGAATCCTGAAAGAAGAAATACAAATATCTTAATATATTGCAAAAAAATGGATGATTGAGCGATCCTTCAGAGGAAAAAGACAAAATTCCTGAAAAAAGGCCAGTTTCCACCGCCTAACCAGACACACAATGAGCATCTCGACCATTGCATAACTATGTGTGGCGATGCGACGTCTGTAGGTCAGATGAGTGAGTGTTGTTGCGGCCGAATAATAAACCGTAAGGCACGTCCAAATGCAATGGATGTTATGCCCGGCGACCAGGATTTCGTTTACAAATTCGACGCCCTTTTCTGATGGGATTATTTGACATCATCGCTTTTCTATTCATGAGGCACTAATGGAAATTGGGCACAGATCCCATTTTTGGATGCCAAACCTAATTATTGTTATTTGCACTTGTTACAAAACAAAAACAAGCGGATTTTGGAATCGACAGCAAATTTAAAGAAAGGGGTTGGATTTGCAGAGATATTCGGTTTAAAAATAAGCAATTTTTGAAATATCATTTTTTTACCAAAAACTTGTAAAAACTAGTAAAAAAAGCTTTATCTTCACTCTAAGAAGAAGAGAAACTCGGAAAGTGAATAAAAAAAGAAAAAAAGAAAGATAGGAAAATGGAGTTAAGTGACTGTAAACCGCACCCAGCCGTCCAACCTAACGGCTATGGGCTAATTATCCATTAATTGTCATCTACTCCGGAGGTCATTCGAGTCGAAAAACGCTCGATATTCGCGGATAGAATATAGCCAAGGTTTGGAAAATATTTCTCTGAAAGAGTAGAAAGTTAAGAAAATCAGACTGAAAATTGGAGCCAATTTGTAGAAACTGAAAAGTTCTTTAAAACATTTTTCGGACTCGAGTAGGCAAATTATTCATCATATGACACGTTTGGTAAGTTTAAAGGGTGACGATTTTTGATTGTAAATTTTTTTGATCTGCGCTTTTTTTAAACTTTCATAGACCCCCCGGTCCGATTCGAGTTTTCTGAAAAGAATGAACTTCTTATAAATTTCATCAGATTTTTTTGAATAAAAAAATTAGATTTCCATTTGAAAAATTACTCCGAAAAAAACTTCACTTCAAAAATTTTTGAGGTTTTGTCAAACTTCCTTTGCCCCTAATTTATTAAATTCAAGTTCAAAAATACAATTGATTTTCAATGATAACATAAAAATCAATAAGTAACCCATGAGTTGCTTCAAAAAAATAATTAATTAGAAGTCTATCAAAAAAACCATTCAAATCTTCATCGAAAAACAGGTAACTGACTTTCAGAGATTTGCAATAATCTGACTTTTTTTAATTGAAAAAAAAAACTGACGTCTGTCCGGTGGGTCGACGATGTCGACCGTGTTAGCTTGGAACCAACCACAGCGAGAGTTGCCTTTCTGTCCGAAAACGATTCCCTTCCAACGGCCTTCGCCCGGTCGCTCCACCACCTGAAGAGTACTCACTGATTGCGGATTTTCTTCGCTTTTCCATTTTTTTTTTGTTTTTTCTGCGCCTCGTTCCCGTTCGCTAACCCCAGCCGTTTGCTGTTCCAGTCGCTGTTTGGCCACTTCCGCCAGTGTTCACACATTTCAAAGTCAATAAAATTGGAAACGATATGATCAAAGCCAGTAGGTCTACGCAAAGTGATTGGAACCTGGGAAAGAGCGAACTGACAGTTCTGTTTGATCACTTTTTTCTCATTAAGCGGAAAGTTATTGACGTTTGCTAGATGGCTTGATATCAGTTTCATATCAACCTTGCTCATTGTAAAACACGTATGTAAACAGAAAAGGCCATGAAGGTCTGAAAAATTGTTGTGGAACGCTCAAAAAAGGTCCGAAGTGTTCTAGGGTGTGAAAAAAATTGCACCAAAACCGCCACTTTTTGAAATTTTTTAGAGCATGAAACTAATAAAAAAAAACGTTAACACCACATCATTACAAAAAAGACACGACTAATCGTTTTAATTTGTGACGAATAATATATGAAACAAAAAATTTTTTTTGGAAATATGAGTTTTTCGACTTGTTCTTCAAACTCAAAAATGGAACTCGGAGTGAAATTCACGAATACCTCAGGAAAAAAAAGCTGAATAAAAATCTGAAACGGGCGACCCTTTCTTTCCGGTTCGAAAAGCGAGCGGCCAACCGTGAACTTCTACGATTGGGCAAGAATAGAAAACCATTTCCATCGGCTTATAGCTTTTTTCATTTTATGACGATTCTTAAACATTATTGGTGATAAAATTTTTCAAGAAGAAACGTTTTTGATCAATAAAACGGATTGATTTCTTGAACAAAAATTGAAATAAAAACTGTGAAAGGCTTTAAAAATACAAAAAATTCAAAACTGGGGATTGCAATAATATTTCGGTTTTTTTATCAAATTTAAAAAAATGAAAAAAAGCTCAAAAAAACTAATATCATAACAAACTCGGCTGTAAAGGTAAAGATATAGAGATATCGTCCAAACATACCATTTTGTGGTAGACCTCAGAAAAAGTTCTGTTCCTTGGATAGAGAAAAGTGAAATATCAGGGAGCTTATGTCTTTTTTTATATTGACGGCCATAGAGCGAAAAAAAGTCATGACTCTTTCCCATTCTTCAATTATAATCTAATTTGTATGTGGGAATGGACAGCAATCGCTTTTACAGGGGAAAAGAAAGAGAAAAGTTCGAAAAAAATCATGATTTTTTTGTTTATTATCATATATGCCTTTTTTTGAAGCTAGACAAAGATGATTTCCGGAATTTTTTTCTTTCCGTTAGACAACTTCAGAAACTTTGTTCAAGATTCATTTCGAATTGAGATTTTCAAAACGGAATAAAAAAATTCTTTTTGCCAACTTTGAGAGGATTTCAAGAATCAACGCTAAACCTTCTGCAAGCAAAAAAATTGGAAGAATTTAAATTAGAAGAGAGAAATGAAAACATACCCAGATATAATCGCCGACGGAGAATGAGAGCTCGTCCGCCTTCACGCCGCAGTGCTCGCGGATCGCCTTGGCATGCACGAAGCTCTTGCTCCCTGCAAATTGCCATCGTTTCCAAAGGTTTCTCGCACCGAAAGTGGGCTCAACATAAATAACTGCCAAACGAAAACTGCGTAAATCAAGAAGCGTACCTTGTTTTGAGAAGGTTTTCATCTATACATATTTGTCAACTACTGTAATATAACCAACTCAGGACATTTTTCATTATTAGGGAAAGTTAGAAAAGTGGTCAAAAATGAGCTTGAAGATGGCATATTGAGATTATTGAAACATTTGTGTCTTTTTATTTGAAAGCTTTAATTTAGGCATTCAATCTTTTTGGCTTAGTAATGCTTTTTATCCGTGAAATTTTGAAGTTTAGTTGGTTGCAACCCCAAAAAAGCTCAATTTGATGATTTCAGAGCCAATCACTTGTAACTAAGACACCAACTTTGAAAAAAGTATGATTAAAAACAAAAAATAGGATTAAGCAGGAGCTGCTAAAAAAAGCCTCGAAAAAGTTTTTTATTGCAAACGAAACGTTACAAAAAATCATTCTGGGAACTTCTTCATATCAAAAGGTATTGTTGTCAGTTTTAATAATTGGAATATTTCCGCCAGAAAAATTAAAAAAGCTATATTCTTGAACCGAGCGTTCTTTCACAGTAAAACAAGAAACGGAACATTTTTTTCTCAGTATCTGAACCCAAAAAACCGGGCTGTTTTAAGAATTGCGTAACACATTCTGGAGAATCCCTTATGAGAAAAAAATTGCACGTGTGCAGTGGACCAAGTTGCGCAATGTTTTTTTTTTCCTCAGCTGCAAAAATTTGCAGATCTTTCGGATTTCGAAAAGAAAAACCATAGTCATCCAAAAAATAACCTATGATGGACCTAAAAAAAAAATGGAAGATCAATTTCAAATCAGAAAGGTGTCGAATTTTCAACGGAATCACCTAAAAATAAAAGCGAAAAAAGTCCAAAAAATTTAATTTCCATCAAAAAAAAGCACGCCATCACCATGAAAGCGATCCGAATTTTTTCAAGATAAAAAATCAAAGGGCCAAAACAAAGGCGTTCCCGTTGGTCAACAGCCTGACCCACACAAACATGCGCCGAGATGCGCTTCTAATCCGTTGGACACAGAAGGATTAGAAAAGCACCAAAAATGACCATCATCGATCTAAAAGACCCTCAATTAACGCTGAAGCTCAGCCTTCCAGTAAAAAAATATTCTGAGTCATGGGAAAAAGATTGTTGTGAGAGAACCGATATTATTGTAAGGTGAATGCAAGTTGGAATAGGCTTGGTTAGGACCATAGAAGGGGAATGACCAGGGCGTAACTCATTCAGTAAGGGTAAACGGCTTGGTAGACCAACTTATCAAAACTCGAGTTTCTATGAAAAGTTTTCGATTTTTTGGACTTTTATTCTTGAATTTAATGAAAAGGTTTTTTCTCTGTAAAAGGAAATTAAATTCGATTTCTATTGCTTCAAAAAATCAATGATGAAGGAAAAATGTGTTCATTGAATTTCGAAAAGGACGATTCAGAAAAAAAAGTATGGAGAACCTAACAATTTATAAAGTTTTATAGACTCAAGAAACAGTTTTAAGCCTTAAAAAGCCGGAAATCCAGACGCCAGTTTTACTTGGTTTGAAAATGAACTTTGGATCGCTTTTTGACTTTTTAAAAAATTAGTGATTTTTCAAATACTTAAGCGATGAAACCATAATACGCTTTCGACTCCTAGAGAAAGAGATTTTAAAGAATTCGATGTCTCTTCCAAAATAATATATTTTTATCTCAATAGTTCGATCATTCTAAAAAAAAAAGAAAAAGAACTGGAAAAAGCTAGTTCCAAAAAGTCAACAAAATATTACGCAAAACAGGACGGATGGCGCAATGACAAGGCCGAAAGACCGGTAGGTGTGAAACCTCCTAACTATTTGCGCAGGCGCCACTAGAACCATATAGGAAGGGAGTATTCTGTTAGGGCCCTCATTTGTCCGGCTGACCTCCCGTCATGCATCGCTTCTCGAGATGCACTTCACCCACCGCTATTGTAAAACGTAGAGGAAGTGGTACCAGAACGGAAGTGATGCATAATCGCAAAACGAAAGAGATCCAGCTGCTTTGCTACGTAAAAATCGTATTTTGGAAAAAAATTTTTATCGAGTTTTAGATCAATTTTTACTGATTGATTGATTGATCATGGGGTTCCATTCATCTTTCGATTGAAAAAAATGATTTTTTTATGATATTTGAGAATTTAAAAAAATCATGAAACTAAACCACCTCATGAAAATTAAGCCGATTTGTCAATTTTTAAATCGAGTGCTGTACCTTTAAAATTTTCAAAAAATACTTTTTAGACCAATTTCAGCACAAAAATTAGTGGAGGAGTCTACAATCCTCAAAAAAACTATATTTATTTCTTAGTGCATTAAAGTGAAAATAAGTTCAGATCGAGCCTTAAAAGAAGAAAAACTTAGTCTCTGAGAATCTGACAATTTTTTTTTCTATTTTCCTCAACTCTTTTTGTAATCTCATAAAGCTCAACTCTGTTGGGGAAAAGATTTTTTCTTCTACGTCTTCTAAAAATAAATCTCGATAAAAAGCTTCAGATATGAGAGAAAATTAATTTGCTATATCGTAATTGATTTTTTGGAAAAAAGTTTATCTATCCATAGCTCCGCACTTTTTCAAGGCGTGAGCCGAAAAGTCATATGAAAGCTAAAAAATCTGGGAAAAAAACCAAATTCTCACACATTAATCCTATAAAATAATCATGGCGTCGCAAATGAGAAGCTTAAGACCCGACCGACACCAACTAAAATCCCCTTAGAAACAGCGGCTGAAGCCATTTTGTGCCACATCGAATTTGCATAAAACACGGCAGGCAGGAGATATCACGTGGGCGTGCTGAAAGAACCAGTTCCACATAGGAATCGGACGTCGATGGGGGCAGTTAACGTCGTGGGCGATATGATCGAGCATGACATTTTTGCGTTACGAGAAGCAAAAAGCGAAGAAAAAACTATCTGAGATCCTTTTTGAGTCCACACGGCGGCTCAGAAAAGTCGGAGCTTCCGGACAACAAATGGGAACGGGTTCAATCAGAGATGATTTAGGAGTCGCGAGCAGAAAACGGAACACTTGACCATATCCGTTCTCGTTACTGCTGGCTTTTGAACTCCGTTGTGAGAAGCCTTGTACTGCGCTTTTTTTCAAAAATCTTTTTGAGTGTTTCTTTCTTAAAAGAAGCAACTTTCGTGAATAAATCAGGAAATGCTGGAAAAAATTTTGACAGGGGGCTTAGATTGGGGGAGGGGGAGGGTGGGAGGTTTGATACTATCAGAAGTTGAATTGGAGGGGGAGATGAGGGTTTTAGAATTCAGGAATTCGAATTGATATATACACCGTTTGATCGAAAAAAAATTCTTGAATTTTATGAGTTTCCTTATTTCTGAGAAAATCATCGGTATTTTCTCAATTCTAAAGACGCCTTATGAATCCAACTTTTTTTTTGGGCTCTTGAAAAATTTTTCGCTTCATTGAGGTGAGGATAAAAACGGTCTAACTTTTTTCACATAACCTTCAATTGAAAAAATTTTAAAACTTGATAAAACGATCAATATAGCATTTTTTTTTTTGAAAATTCGAAAAATGTCAACTTTTTAATAAAACTGGAAATCCATTCAAAATATCTACTGCCATTTACTGAAATAAAAAAAACAAGAGAACTTTGAAAATAATTCAGAGTAAATCTTGAAGATATTTCTAAAAACTAACTCCAGTCCAGCCTCAAAGCTGCAAAAAGCACCCAGTGATTCACCAAAACGCAGAAAAAAAGATGAAAGTGAGGATGCGACTGCTTGGATCTCACTCAAAATAAACACATAAGCGACGATTGGCGGGAAATAGTGGGGACCGGAAGAGTTGGCACGCGTCGAGCCGTGGGAGCGCCAATATGCGGAACAAGACAATGAGGACGCTTGAGTGCCAGAAAACGGCTGAAAATGCACTGCGGAAATCTGGCCGATGAGGGTGGATTCGAGTTTGTCGCGCGATAAGCTCTCGTTTAGCGCAAATTAATGAGGCTGCCGAGATGATCGCGTTGAGGTTGAGTTTGAGGTCGAGGATGTGCAAATTCTTTTTCAAGCGCTTTCAAAACAGTAATCTATCGCTAACAAAGTACAATCAGTGGCAAAGGCCGAACGACCTCGAAAAGGCGTTAAAAAAGGACTTAAAGCTCCTTTTTGAGTTCCCTAAAGAGGTGTCAAAAATTTTTCGAAATCCCGTTTTTCCACTCCACCAAAGGTCCTTCTCTGGAAAAAAATCTAGAAAAAAAAAGCTTTTGAGGCCTTTTTTTCAAAAAGTCCTTTTTGTGAGCTTTTGGACTTTGCCCGTGATTGAACTTCTCTTGGGCTTTCCGAAGAAATTCATCGTAAATCTTCTCAGAAAAAAACTATGTAAAAAAATTTAATCGAAAGATACACTGATAAGATGATAAAAAAATTGTAAAAATATCGAAAATGATTTTTTTCTCATTGAGTGGTAAAAAAATCAAAAAAATTTGCAAAAAGTTTAAAAAAAGCAAGTGGGGATTTAATTGTGATCTTGAAATCGAACTGGCTCGAATGGAATAAAATATAAGATATTTTTGGTTCCACAATCTTATTCTGATTGTATCAGTAAAGACATTTTCTGCAGTTGGTTTGATTTTCTATTGCATTCTAACAATAAACCCATACTGTCATACTTTTTTCTATATTCAATTCACAGCTAGCTTGGGAGCGCGGCCTGTCTGCGTTCTCCACCAGCCAGACAATGTCTTTTTTCTTTCCGTGTCAGGACCCATTTATCGATGGCTCAAGCCAGCCGTGAATCAGCTAATAGTAATGACGGAAATCAAGCTGATAATCACAAATCAGAGCCTTTTTCTCATTTAAAAAGAACTCATTATGTTTTTAGCATTCAACGAAGATTAAAACGAAGTATAACACCATTCAAACGAAAGAAACACTTTAACGAACCCGTAAATATGAACAGTAATAAGAAACGAAGTAAAGGTGCAATGGGCGGAATTGCTGATAACCGCACGGAAGACAACGGAGGAAACGCGGAGGTGCAAGGACAGGCAACTTAGCGTAAATGGACGCAACATGGAATGGATGGGCCGCAGGATTGACGGAAAAAAGTGACCGTGAGCGAGATCGATGTGCCGTGCAACCGCAATCTGATCTACTCTGACAGTCAGATGCCTGCCGCATTTCGACGACCTGGTTTTCGAGATCGAAAAGTTTGTGTCTCTCGAAAGATTAAGAGTTCTGAAACTTACTCAATCAACTTGTAATCTGTTGGAATTTTTTCGGAAAAAGATTCCCAACTTTTACGCAAAAAGTGTTTAATGAAGATGTTCAGAAAAGTCTGACAATGCGTTTTTTTAAATTCTAGATTGTAACACCTTTCTTTCGCTGAGATAATCTTTCAAAAGTGTAGATGAATTTGATGAAACAGTTCAATGCTACAAAGCTGAGAAATAAAATGCAAAGTGGGCGTGGCTTATTTTTGTACTGAATGTTTTTTCACCCCGCTCTTCGATGTTTAAATGAAAATTTTTAAAAATTTCAAAAGTTTCAGATGATAGAAAACGGGTACCAAAAATTAATGGTTAGGGACATTTTCTTCTATGTTAACTGTATCTTATTTTTAAAATCGAGAAAAATCGATTATTTTAGTCTTCGTAACTCGGAAAAAAATTACTCAACTTTGAAATTTTTTTCGTCACAGCAAGCGAGCGTTTTTTTATCCATCCAACAAAAAGTGGCTCACGTAAACTCGGAATCGGGGAGTAATGTCGAGAAAACCGTCAAAATGACATAAAAAAATTGATTTATTAATAAAAGTTGATATTCAATAACTTCTCAAGATAGAAGGTTATCACATGGGGGACATGAGCAACGCCTCTGACCTCTGTGATAATGGTTAGTGCAAAATAATTACCCTATTTCCAGCCGTTACTAACGATTGAACGAGGCCTATTAAACCTGGCGATAATCACCGTATATGATATACGACTCTTTCGACCCTAACAAAGACGGAGGCAGGGGCTGCAAAACCGGATTGGCAGGCATGGTTATTCTAAGCATTTCAGTGAAGCATGACAGCGTTTATATGAAATACAACTTGAAAAATGATAGTATAATTTTTTAGTCTTGAAAATATTCTAAATAAGAAACTTTTTGCGAAAAAGGAAAAAAATTGTAGCAGCCGTGGAAAAATTTCCCATCGAAATCATGAAAATCCTCATTTTTGAAACTGAAAAAAATATTTCTTTTCTATGGACCTCTTCTAAAGCGAGATTTCATTTGAAAAAAATAGCCCTGAAATGAAACCGGAAATCGTTTCATATGAAATTGAATATAAAGTAGCAAAAAGAAGTTTTTTTGTTTCACAAGAAAGACGAAAAATTCAAAAAAAGGAAGAACAAGGAGAGGAAAAATGGTAAGACTTGAGTCAGCCAGTCCAGACAAAAAAAAACGCATTCTTCGTCAAAGTTCAAATTCCTCTTTTGGCGTATCTCACGTATGGTTTGAAAACCATCTGATCAAAAAATAAATTTAGACATTGATTTATCGCTGTTTCCTATGGTTGACAGAGTTGTATGAAATCATTTTCACAGCAGAAATATTTTTTTAACGATTTTTGTGATTTTCTTTGGAGATGCTAAACTTTTTAAACAACTTTTCGTGGATTGGAATCTCTGAAAAAACAGAAACAGTAATAATAAGTTAATAACTCCCCAAATTCAAAACGGAAATCTCAGTTATCTTAATGCGAAAAAACATAGAAAACCGGGTTAGCCGCACAGTGGCGCCGTTCACGCGCCACTCCACCCGATGAGATTGAGACCGTGTTGTAATTCGTTCCTACTCTGCACATGGCACGCGTCTTAACTGGATCGGATTGGAACCGAGATTCCTTCGCACTTGCAGCACATATGTCACAAATTCGACTGGGGGGATTGATCACTGGATTATTTTGATGCATCGTTTCATAGTGCCGGCTGATTAATCGCAGCGTAAAGATGATGAAACGCCGTTCAAAAAGCAGAAGAACCTTTGAGTAGGAAGCGAATCTCTTTGAACGTGATCGGATTCCGAGTCGCTTGCTTTTTGGCGTATTCATAGGCGGTGTTCCCAGCCGAGTTAGGCAACGAAGTGTTTATGCCCGCCTGAATTAATAGACTTTTCAGATGGCCACAAAAGGCTTGCAACTTCAGATGGTTTCCAAAACCTCCAAGAAAAATTTCACTGAACATTTTGAGGTTCTTTACATTCTAAAACCATGAACTTATTTTCATTAAGCATACATGTTTCATATTGAAAGCGCTCAAGTGCAGAACTCCAGAGAAAATTAATTGAATTTGGAGTTTAAAAAATTGCGAATTTTTCTGAATCCATTACAAACTTTTGAATCACCTTCTCTCTCGAATATTTTTTTCCAGAAAAACTCAATCAAAAACATACGTAAATCAAGAATCGGACAACTTGAGCTTTTCCATTTCCAGCAGCCGCATGTAAAGCGGATCCCATAGATGTTACTCTATCGATGTACCAGCCGTAATGCAAAAGACGAGAAACAATCTGAAAAAAATGAAAAATGAAGAAAAATCAACTGTTTTTTTCAAGTCAATGGTTTCTATAAATACATCAACTATACCTTTTTGAAGCCGAATAAAAACACAGATATTTTTGTTCAAACTTTTGGGAAGAGTGAACGATTTCAGAAAAGTGCTGAAGCTCCAGAAAAACTATAAGTTTTTAAAGAGAAGATGGATACAAAATATATTCCGCAAGACACAGGCAGAAACTTCTGAATATTCAAAAACTATCATGAGGAACTTTTTCGTCAAAAAAATCAGAGCTAAACTTTGATCTCAACCTTCTTTGACCTTTTCAAAAATGGTCAGTAGTAGCTAAATATTTGTTGAAAAAGGCTTTCTAAGTTTTTTTGATTCACTCACATGAACATGTCCATTTTTCGCAGCCAAATGTAATGCCGACGCCGTGTGAGTCTCTCCTGACTTTATCAAAGTTTCCCGTGGATTACAACTTGCGATCAGCTTCTCAAGCATCTGAAAGAGACACATTCGAGAAAAAATGCCCTAATCAAAAAAGGTATTTTTCAAAAACGAGATTGCCCTTCAAAATGAAACCTTTTCTTGTCCGTACTCGCAAGCCAAATCGAAAGGCGTCTTCCCAGATTTGTCGATCGCACAAATGTCGGCGTGGCGATAGAACAGAAGATCAAACTGAAGTATTTTCTCGGTTTTTCTTTATCCTTAAAGACAATTACATTATCCAGCATTCCTTCTTTGCACGCTATATGACAAGGAGAGACACCTTCGTAATCGACACAATCAACGTTTGCACCGCCTTTCAGAAGTGAGGCGGCTATATCCGAACAACTTTGCTCCATCGCGTAATGAAGGGCTGTTTTTCCTGAAAATGATATTTCGAACGATTAAAGTAGAGAAAATTCAGTTTCTTGTCGTTTTTGGTGCATAGAAAAAGGCTTTTCTGCTTCCTTGATAGGGGCAATACTATCAAAAGGTCAATTTTCCTAATAAAACGCTTTTCCATTTTTTTTAGGAGCAGCTATAACCAAAAAAAAACTCGGAATTTGTAGTGAAGATAGAAAAAATTATTCATTACATCATCAGAAAAATCTTCACTCTTTAATTTTGAAGTCAGCTTGAAGTCATACTACGACGGCCGAATGCATAGTGCCCTCTTTTTCCAACGCACCCGACCAAAAACGACTTCCGCAATCACATTAAAAATATTGAAGCAAACGGCTCAATTTGTATTTAGACGTATAGTAAGTTCAAAAACAATGCGCGGCGCAAAGCGCTGATCCTTCAGATGTCAAAATCTTCTTTCATCCTGACCTTTGTTGTCCTCTTCGTCAACCCAAACGGTCTTTGCTGCGAGGATGTCAGCCACCATCACCGAGTTCCCCATTTGTACAGCGGAATGAAGTGATGTTGAACTGAAAAAATAAATAGTTTTTGAGAAAAAATGAATCCGCTACCATTCCAAATCGCCAGTGACTTCGCGCTTCTGTAGGCTCAGAAGATCTGAAACAATCATTTTTTGGAAAAGCATTTTTCCTTTTCGTTATTTCCTATTGGAAGCAGTTCCCGACTAAACTTCAAGATGGTTCATGTTAACCATAAAACGTCGAACCACTCAAGTGTTTGCCTTTGTCGGAACGTGTACACATGATGCTTTATATGTAGAGAGTTTTAGCATATTTTTAAGAGATCGATAAGTTTGCCATCTCAGAAGAAGATTGTATAAAATAACATTGTAGAACTTTGTAAAAAAATCAAAAAGAATAATAAGAAAAAAATAAATTTTTTTATGCCTCTTTGTAGAATAAAAGCGATGTTTAAAATAAGTATAAGAAGTTTAAATAAATGTATCCATAACAAAAACGTACCCGAAATGCTGGAAGAAAAACGGCGAAGAATTTTTCGACCAGTCATTTTGGTGGAAGTCGTCATTTCGTCTTCTTTTTGTATTTCATTCGTCCTGAAATCTCTTGAACATCAAAGTTCGAGCGGCTTCCGAAAAGAACTCAAGGTTGATTGGGGAGTTGAGTGGCCGAGAGGAAGACAATAAACGACGACAGAAGAGGGGCTTTTCAAGCAGTGAAACTTGAGCATCAGTGGGAAATACAATGTACATAAATACAGACATCGGGAAAAAAATTCTCTTCAGAAACAACGCGGAAATGGAAGTTTTCTCATCTTTTTCTGTTTTGACTATACTTTGTAAGATTTGGACTTGAAAAAAACCTTCTGTAGCTAATTTAAAGTCGCAAAGAAATTGCAGAACAGATGCACAGTGGAAAAAAAATGCTTTTAAGAAAAAATGTGCTCTTTGAAAAATATGCTTTTCGAAGACGGTGTTAAAAAAAATGGTAGATGAAAGTTAATTCGTATAAAGTAAGAAAAGCGAACTGGTTATATAAAGACATGTTAGAGGACAAAGTATGAAGAAAAATACGAATAAATACAGGAAAAATATAATTTAAAGCCAATTCAATACCTTTACAGCAGAACTGGCTTTTTACCGAACATTCAAGAATAAAAATGAAGCTCATTAAAAAGATCCAGAACTTACGCGTCAGGTGCTGCGTTGAAGTGAGGGAGAAGTATGGCCAAATTGGCAAATACCGCGAAAAAGAAAAATTAAGTTGCGTTGTGAGGGATGTTGTTGCGACAGGTAAAACATCCGGAACCGGTGGAACAATGGGCGAAAGAGCGGGAAGACGGTTCCGCATTGTCTGTCAGGATGGAAAGGACAGAGATGGCGATGGATTCTCAGGAGATGTCAAGTCGCTCGTAATATTTAATTGCGCAAATCAGAAAAGAGCTACTTGTAATGCGAAAGCTGTGAGAAGAAAGATTTCCGGTTGTCATTACCAGCTGGCATTTTGAAAACTCTTTTCCCGCATTTGATAGAAAAGTAAGGCTTTTTTTTGGTCTTTCCGAAATGTAAACTCAGCTTTCAGAAGTGGCAAGTTTCATTGCGCCATTTTTTACGGTTTCGGAAAATACAAAGGCATTTCAAGAACTCCTCAAATGTGAATAATAAACGAATACTTGAAAAAGGAAACCTTAATTAATATATCCTTCAAAAAAATTCCAGTACCAGGTCTATATCCCTTATAAATAAATGAATTATCACTTAATCTTTCTGGATAAGAACTCATAAAACTTTGTCATTTAAGCAAAAAAATCGAAAAAAATCCCAAAAAGACTTGAAGTCGTTTTTTTCATCCAGAATTTTCGGCAGTTTCACTAGTTTTTAAATTTAGTAAGATTGAAACATTGATCACTAAACAAAATACCAATTAGATTCATCAAGAAGATTCTTGACTGAAAAATCGTTCTTAATGAGCCAAAGGCGGCAACATGTGCTCGGTTAACGGCTCACTGACTCATTAGAAACACCGTAAACCGATTTTGTTCAGAAGGCGTGAAAATGACCTCTCACGTCATAATTAGAAGCCGCGATTCAAGACGGCTTCGAGATTCTGTTGAATTTAATGCTGAATGGATCTCTGGTTGTCATTAGGAAAAGGAAGTAAGAGGTGTAACTTCAAAAATGGTTTATGAAACCAGGGTTTTTGCTGTATTGTTAATTTTTCTGAAGATATTCATTCTTTCACCTTCAGGTTGCTCAAAAACTTGAATTCACCGATTCAAACTTGCTTTAACAAAAAGTTCGTTTCAGGTTTAAAAATAACGCAAAAATGTTCTTTTGATCTCACAAGAATTTTTTTTATTCATGTGGTTTTTTGTCAAACTTTGTAGTATTATAAAATCCAGCCTCAGAAATGATATTTTTAAGTATGAAAAGCACTCAAAACTATCTTTTGAAACTAGGTTTTTTGAATTTTTTTTTCGCGCTCTGCAAGCTTTTCGATCCGCATCTAAGACTACGCCAGGCTGTGAAAACATTCTTTCTGAACTTTCCAAGAGTCATTGCTTGAAGTTTGAGAGCATATATGACTAAAAAATCATACTTATAATGTCTGAAGAAGCAGCAAGCTAATGATGAAGGAACTATTGTCTCTAGGAAATCGAAAATTTTCCCCTACGGTCAAACGAATCATAAATCTCAACCAAGAAGTTTTAATGAACATGTGTATGATCGGAGAGAATCAAAGCTACGATGAATCGGACGTATGTCGACAAACAGATCAAGGTAACGAAAGGTGGTGCGACGAGGCGCGGTTGTCCGTTTGATATAAGTGGAAAAGTGCGCACCGCCGGGCAAACACAAGAGCCTCAGGCAGAGCCAGATTAGAAATCGCTTAGCTTGGAGACTAGTGACAGGACCACAATAACACAGCCGGAAGTGCGACCATCACTCTACTGCTTCTCAGAGTTGTCTTTTGGAATCTCGGAACTAGTTTGAAGATTTCTTGATTTGTCTCTGTAAAGCTCGAACAGCAGGAAAAATAACTCAAACCCCTATAAAAAAATTTCAAGAAATTTTTGATTTTTTTCGATTTTTTTGATTTTTTTAATTTCGATACAAATTCAATTTTTTTCTCATTGGTTTTCAGAAAAAAATTTCATATCAAAAAAACTGATGATATCAAAAAAAGATTTTTCAATTCGAAAAAATAACTTACGTGGCAGCAATGAGATGACTTAATCAAAAAACTGGAGGCTAAAATGATTCCACCAAAAACAGTAAACTCAAATAGTTATCGAGAAAAGTTTTGAAGGTGAATCAAACTCTGAAACAAAGAAAAAATCTCAGAAAAGAAGAAAGACGGTACTCCCGTCGAGATGGTCAAACCCAATATCAGGGCAAGGCGGTAGAATGACAAATGAGCCGCCGCGGCGACCGAATGGCCAGCCGCTAAAAATTAGCCAGAATTACCGCACTGCCGCATAGCGCAAACAAATCAAAGTGAACTCCGGAATCAAACGCTTTCCAATAAATCCTGAACCTAAAAACGTTTTTAAAAATATTTTTTTCGAGAGGAACTCCTTGAAAAGTGTTTCATCTGATATCACATGAAAGTCAATGTATTTTTTTTAATAAAGATAAAAAGGAACAAGAGTATACAAGAAAAAAATTGATACAAAAAGTAATACACTTAATCCTGACCTGGAAAAAATTAACAAGAAGTCCATAACTATTGCAATCTTCAGAACTCTTCCAATAGGGCATTTTGAAAAATGAAAAGTCAAATTTACAGTAGATAGAAGGATTTCTCAAAGAAAATTCATCTAAAAAGGAAATTACACTTCGTTCTAACATTGACAAAAGCAAATAAAGCTTTTTTTCGAAAAAACTTGAAAAACACCGAGTTTTCAAAACTAAAATAAATTTTGAAGCCTTTATCCTCTAAATTGCCTGTCACCATTCTCGGTAATCAAGCAGAAATCAATATAAACGGCAAAAATTGTAACAAGAGCAACTAAAGGTAAAAAACTGGCAATTCAAAGTTTAAAAGGGTGATTTGAAATCAATCGATGTCATTATTGATTTTTTTCATTACAAGAAATACACTTCTTAAAAAACACATTTTAATTGGTGATAAAAAAAGAAGACGGAAATAAAGCCGCAGAGAAGGAATTGGAGATCTGGAACGCGAAGGCCTCGGGCGGCCGCGCACAAAAGTGTCGAGTGGGATTGTCCAGCAGGACCAGTGTGCTCCTCTTCAAATCTTTTTGGCGGCTTTAAATTTCTGCCGAACTTTTTTTTGTTCAGATTTCGGAGGAAGTTTTGGGAACAGTTGTTTCTGAATTGTGGATGAGAAATGAACTGATGGATAACCTTGAACATCGACACGCAACAGAAACTGAATCGTAATTTGTCTCCGGTGATGGATTCATATCCCATCAAAAACTGCTGAATTGGAAAAGGTAAGGTAAAGGTAACAGGAAAGCAGAAAAGAGAAGAATTTTATCTTTTTGAAAGGGCCGTTTCAGGCGAATGGCTTGAAGTTGGCTAATTATGATAACTATTTTAAAAAACCGTGATTTTATTCATAATTTCGATTTTTAATTTCATTGTGAAAAAAAGAGATAGAAAAAATAATTGATTGAATTTGAATCAAGAATGGAAACCAAATATGAAAAGATGGATGCTTGAAAATTAAATAAGAATAGTTTAAAATCAACAAAAAAAAATCAAATCGTTGATCCAAAAAATAACTCCTTTTCAAAATGAACTTCCACATGATGATGATGATGAATCTCCGTACGAAGTCCACAATTTTTCAAATATTCGGCTTGAAACAGGAAGCATGGAAATCATGGAAATAATCGTAGGCTGTTGGGTAATAAAAGAGACGTGTTGATTGCGTGAAAATCTCGAAAGATAAGGCGGCGATGATCCGCTGGAATGTCGGCCGGGAGAATGGCAACGCTAAACGACTTCATCTTCACTTCGGAGATCGTTCTCAAACGAGTTGTTCGCCTTTTTTCAGCACTTATTATATTCGGAAAGGGTGTTCGATAGTCGTTGTTAAGAGTACGAAATGACATGGGAACGGCAAGAAACAGTAAGAAACTGGTTCCGACAAGAAATCCCGAATTGACCTTGATCCGTTGTGTTTATTTCTTTCTTTATTAAATCTTTGAACAATTCCTTGTGATGAAAGCGAAAAAAATATTTCAAAAACAACTCTTAAAAAAAAGCTTTCTAAGTCGAAAATCATCATTGGAATCATAGAGGATTCTTCGCATTTTTTTGTGGCTTAAATCAAGTTTCTGAGCAATATGTGTCGTCAGAGATGCAAAAACAAAAAAGAAAAATTTTCAAAGTAAAAAATGAAAAAAGAGAAAATTGGAATGCGCATATGAAAAGAAGTCACATAAAAAGACATTCGGCGGATTCGAGAATATTTCGGATTACGTTTTGATATTTTTCACAGCTGCAGGCTCAGCTAAACGATGTGCCGAGACGTTCCAATTGTTTTGAAAGCGTAAAAATCGTGGTGTTTTGCCTCAAATAATCCTCCAACTGGTCAGCGCGACGGATTTGGCACGTTTTAGTTGATGCGCTTTTTCGAATGAATTTTTTCTGAACCATATCAAATTTAAATGGAACAATCAGAACACTCAGATTGGTGCAAGTTCTTTTTGATTCTGTTGGGTTCAAATTTAAAAAAATGATTAGAAACTATTTTTTTGTACCGTAAGAGACATTCCCGTTTCAAAAAAAGAACAGGAAAAAAAATACAGTAAATACAACTTTCTTTACCGTTTACTGTACAAAACTAGGTAGAAGACCTTAAGGAAGGTCTTGAAGCTTTTGATAATTTTTCCCGTTTTATTTCTGTTCTATTGTGAGATGAACAGCGGAAATCTTCGATATGGTTTTTTGTCATATTCAACCATTCATAAAAATACATGCATCTTGAAACAGCAAAGTGCAGTTTGACATATACCGTCAAATTTGGATTTCTTCTTTTTGATGTACAAAAATTCAACTATTTATATATAACTTTCGTTGTGTTCGACAAGGACAACATCGTCTTGTTCAGCAGCAAAAAGATAATGAAGTTCCGCTCTCATGACTTTGCCTGATTCTGAACGCGGGATGAAGTCGAGCAAGTGCACCTTGGCGACTGTCACGTTTATCTTGTGCTCTGAAAAGAAAAAAAAAACATTGCAAAAAAACTTGTATCAGCACTTTTGATAATCGCATTGATATCTTCCAAATCCACTCCTGAGGTCGAATTCTCATTGGGGACGATTCCCACAATTATTTCGCTGTCAACCACTGCTACTACTGCGTCGTCGACATTCTGATGTTCACAGAGAATGCATCCAAGTATTTCAGGAGACAGCTGAAAATATCAGCTAGCTTGAATAAGAAGAGGAGATTCTCACTTTGTTGCCATTGACCTTGATTAAGTTGCTGATAGGATCTGCTACGTGGATGCGATGTTTTTGGTCAATGACACCATAATCGCCTGAAAACTGGATGATTTTGTAAGAGCTTCGGTTTTTCTCAGTTGAATCATCCATAAGACTTTTTTCAGAGGTTTGCTTCAATATACTCTTTTTTGCCGTAAATAGGAAGCTCAATGTTGCACGTGGGAATGGCTTGCGTAACGGCTGCGCAGCGGTTATCCGATTTTGACTTAAACGTCTAGTCTCGGATAGCATGAGCCCAACCGCTACGCGGCCACGACGCCTTGAGCCATCCCTCGTGCGACTAAAGACTGAGAATTTCAGAAAGGACAAATTGCAACTTTTCCTTAACCAAGCTCTCGAAAATAAAAATAAACAAAGTTCAGAAGAAGTTACATACCTGATCGAAACCAATTTTTCGCAAAACAGCCTTTATTCGTATCTTTTCCTACGTATTCGGAAAATAAATTGCTCCCAGAAAGCATCAGATGGCCCCATTCTCCAGTCGCAACTTCAGTCTCAGTATCAGCGTCTGCCACCTTAAGCCTCACAAATCAATAAATTCATACGAACTGCAAGAAAACCTTGACTTTAATATCTCCTAACGGCATTCCACTTCCTAATATGGCACCTTCCACAGCTTCATTGAACAGCTCAAAAGCCACAACTCCAAATTCAACCGCAGAATAAGCTGCGACCATTGAAAATTTGGCAGTGTTATTTTTCGAAAAGTACCTTGAGTAATGGCAACGTTTAGCATATGTTTGACCTTTTTGGCAATGTGAGAAGCGATGGGTGATCCTGAGTTTGCGATAAGCTAAATATTGAAAAATAATTGAGAAATTCAGTTTCTCTTACTTTCAATGATGAGATGTCGTAAATATTGTGAACTTCATACTTGACGAAGCATTTGAGCAGCTGAGCGTTAGATAGAATCAAAGGAATCTGCAAAAAGTCATAATTTTCTTGCTTCACCGCAGAGTTTTGCAATTAACAGGATTCAAAAATTTCCGATGTTTCAGCACATCAGACCAAAAACGACTTCCGCCTCATATTGTCAACCAAAACCGATAGCCTTTATTTTTCTTCAATTATCGTATTTTGCAGACTTTAAAGCTTCATAACTCGAAAACAAAAACTGTTGAGAAAAATTTGTCTTTTGTTCTAGAAGAAGAAGGTCCTAAAGTACCCTTTGGCAGAGTTTCATAGAAAGTTCAACCGGGAAGTAAAAAACGTTCCTTAGTGAATTCGAAAAAAAGTGGTGTTGAAAATTTGACACCTGTGGGGATATAATGCTTTCTTACCACCAACTGAGCTAATAATCCCTAAATTTTTTACATGAATCAAAATAGAGTGTGTGAAAATTCAGACGCCAACTAAATTTCGTTCTAAAATATCGTTTTGAAATATGAATAAACGGAAATTTCTACACTAAAAAAGTAAGTTTTCGGTATTTGGTCTCAATTAAGCCTTTGAAAAAAGCAATTATCCATCTTTTTCCTAAATTGTAATTCAAGTTCCGACCCTGTACTGCTCGATGAGACCGGCGATGCGGTCGAGGAACGAAGCCCGCCAGACGTCGACGGCGGATTCTGCCAGGACGCAAGTCTCTCCTTTGACCAGAGAGTAGTACAAATAAGACCAGGCGTCGATGCAGTGCAATCCGCTGGTGATGAGATGATGTCCGTTGATCGCCGTGTAGTCAGGATCCATTTCGACCAAAAGATCGAACAACTTCTCGTGATAGGTCAGACACACGAGTTGGCTGCTTCGAGAGGTGTGAGCCACGAATTTGCACTTGTTTGAGAGCGTGCCACTGAACATTTCAAGTGGCGCAACTGATTCCAAGGAAGAAAAAGTTGAGCGGTTATGACGTTGATCTCAATATTGGCTGTTGGGCCTGTGCCAACTCAGCAAACTGATTTTGAAATTTTTTTTCAGAACGTCCAGTAAGAGTTTGAGATTTGAGAAAAGATTCGATAAATCAAGATATTGGATCAAAGCAATCAAAAAAATATAATCGCATCTCAAATAAATTTTTTTATAAAAAAATTACTTAGCAATAGCCAAAAAAATATTTTTTTCCTCGATGGAAATCCATTCAAAAATTACCTTTTTCGATGACTTTTACCGCAAACAACAAAAAAAACGGAAAGATCTTCATCAGCCAATCAGGAAACGGATAAACGTTTCAAAATTAAACCAACCTGCTGGCAAAAATGGTCACATGACCATCTTGCATAGGCATACTCCTACGGAAATCAGTCGGGAAGTCCATGAAGCCAAAACCATCGTAAATCCATAAATGCGGAGGGATGTACACCGAACTGAGCTCATCAGCCATGACAAACACATGCTGAAAAAATAAAAAATGAAAGAAACTAAAAATATATTTTTCTTACACAGCCCAAATCTCAAAAAGTTTAGAAAATTTTGCAAAACTTTCATGTTTCATTCAAAGTCATAAACTTTCTCTCAAGAATCTCATCAAGCTTATAGATCCGAAAGTGGGAATAATCTATATGTCTTCCGAAATCTACTCAAAAAAATTTTTTTTTGAATTGAAACCTGTAGATTTCCGAACAAAAACAGCAGAGCGAAGTATGTTTCCATAATGATCGAAATCAACAACAGCCGCTGTGCAATCGATGTTGTCAAGTTTGTCAGAAGCTGTAAATCGCATCTGTTGGTGAATTGTTGCCGGGTGTTAATATGATAAAAAAATGATTTTCTTTTTTTGAATTTATCAAAAAAAGAAAAACGATCAAAAATTCTACAAAAGAAGATTCTGGGGTTACAGGCTCTCAAGCCAAGCACGAATTCACTACCTGCTAACGAAAAATACAAAAAATAAACCAGCGTTTAAATTTCTAACTGGTTCTTTGTATTTTTTTGAAAAAAACTAAATATTGCTGGAAATTTTTTTTTATCAATTTTTCGCTCCTTCCCACTATCAAAAAACAAAACAAAAGGCAAATCGTTAATAATTTTTCATCATATTTCATTTCTTCCAAGAACTTTTAAATAGCTGAAAAACCGTACCAACGTGGCCGGGATTCAGAAGAACAGGAATAGCGCCAATTAAATAGGCTCCTAACTGATAAAATACATATTCGACGCTGTTTTCCATGCACATGGCAATTCGATCTCCATTCTTAATGCCATGGTGTGACATGAAGTTGGCAGTTTTGATTGCTCCATCGACCAGCTCGCCGTAGGTCACACATCGCGCCTCTGTCACTTCTTCTATCTGCAAAAAACCCATGCTGAAAAATTTTATACTTAGAAGAACAAAATTCCGTGGGATAATGAAAAAATTATAAAAATGATGGCCTGAGATAATAAGTAAACTTTTCACATCAAAACTTTCTCTATATGATTCATTTACTATAGATCCTTTTCTGAAAACTTGAAACTTCTGAGTCGGGCTTGAAAAAAAAAACGAAAATATCACTTGTCCAAAATTTTTTTCAATTTTGAAACCAGTCGAAATCGATATTATAAAAAACAGTAAAAGTTGCCGCCTTTTTTCCAAAAAAATAATAATTTTGGCCCAATGGCTTATCTAAAAAAAATGAGAATATTCAACAAACTATTAAAAATGAAAAAAAGGAAAAATCACAAACCAAAGCAATTTTCTCGGGTTGAAGATTGCGATGATGATAAAGATGATAGAAGAGCCAACGACTGAAGAGCTCGCCTTCTTTGGCGATAGACCTTTTCGGAGGATGGTTCACAGGTCTCAGAGGAACCTTGACTAGGGAAGAAGTGCTCGTTTCACCAGCGGCTGTGGAATCAGGCAGCTCAACCTTTTCGACTTCTTCTTCTTCTTCCTCTTCTCTTGACTCCGCCTCTTCGACTCCTGGATCCGCTTCGGCGTCTTCTTCATCCACGGTGACCGTGATCTCGTACTGCTCGATGTTGAAGCCAGCCATGATGGTTTCAGGAGTCGGAGAGTGAATGAGCAGCGATGTGCGAATCCATGATGAGTCCTGTTTGTTCTCTTCGAGAGGTTCGGCCAACGCGAAACTCACAACCACTTACACATCCGAGCCACACAAAGATTCTTCGAACGCTCTGAAAAAAACTAATCTTACTGCTGTCTCTTTTTTTGTACACTTGACTTGCAGAGAACCGTTCCGCCCATCAACTTTCTTTTCTAAAAACGTTACGTCCTTACCAGGAAAGCAATTCCGCATTTTTAAAAATCAGAAAAGGTTTAGCGAACTTTTTCTGAACACGCTTTTTGAGAATAATCATTCAATAGATCAAAAAAATAAGTTTTGAATGACTTTCAATGAAATTGCAAAAATGAAATAATTTTTCTTTTTTTATAAGTCCGGCTTCGAAATCTCCGCTGCACGAAAAAAAGATTCATTAAATCAATATGGAGATCTCTGACGCTTTGTACAATAACAAATTACGATAGAAACAAGTTAGATAGGCTCCAACCTCGTATCGCATAACAACAGTAAAAATATTAAAAAGAAAAGGTGAAAAAACAAACTTGATTTTTGATTTTAATGAGAAAAATGGCCTGAAATGAGAAATACACGGAATTTTCGAGAAGAACTTGGCAAAGATACGGAGAAATGGTTGATGAACAGAGGTCAGATTTCGAATGACACTGACAGATAAACCACAAAAAGAATGTGGCACTCATTGAAGAAACTTTGGCTTCCGATTGAGGAAATACACACATCTAACCGCAACTAGAAGTGCAGAAGCAACTAAAATCTCAAAAATCACGCAATGATTCAAGGTTTTGCGTTGAAATACCGTGAAAACTTGAACAATTTCGGGCTAATTAGAACTATCGCAAAGCAATTCACGAATCCAAACGGAAACAATTATTCTATAACTTTCGAATCACTTTCAACCGATATAATGAACAAGAAAAACGAAATGAGCACCCGATTTTGAAAAGAACAAAATGTAGGTTGTGAAATTGGTACATAATAGAATCTGGCCAAGATATGCACGTTTTGGAAATGGATATTTACACGTTGGGAAAGTTCAATCATCCGAAATGTCGACACCGAGAACAGCACAATCCTCAGGCTTGATGCATCCATACTGGCTCATCAGCTCCTGCATAATTCCATCCATGTAGTCGTAGGCTCTGTATTCATAAAGTTCGAAATTTTGATGTTTTTTGAGCACAAACCCATTGACTTTGATTTCCATCCAGACTGGACAAAGTTCAATCGAAGGCCTCAATGGATAATCTGCTCCAAATCCTTTGCTGAATGAGAAACGGATGCAGCAATAACGTTGTAAGTTGTCGCTGCCCTTTTTGGCTTCCTGAAAGATTATTTTATTGGGGAGTAGCTTTCATTATAATAAATTGGAGTTGCCAACAAGGCGACCAGATTTAAAAAAATTCAAAATCACTTAAAAATTGGATGGGTGACAAAAAGCCTGAAAAGTTAATAGAATTTGTTTTTTTAAGTGACCTCTCCGCTAGTCGGGTGGCCCCGGGGGTTTAGTGAGCAGCTAAGGAAAAGTTCATACTTTGACAATTGATTGTTGTGTCCGCATACTGTACTCAGCATCCATCGGGGTGGGTATTCCTTTGAGAAAGTTTCTTGCGTATTGAATTGAACAAAGTTGATCTCTTATGATTTGTTTGCAGAACTCCATGTCGAAAACCTGCAAATTACCAGAGATAAATTTTTGCAAGCTGACATTTTATCTAATCAGTTAATCATTTTTCATTTTGAAAGTTCACCTTTAATCGAGCGTAAGGATAGATTTTGTGCACTCTGTCCGGCATCGGTTGACCGCTCATGCTATCGAGAAACCCGGAAGTTGTGAAGACCGGAAATCTCATGTTGTTTTGAAGCCACACGTCACCATTCGGCTTGTTTCCCAGTCGAATTCCATGAATGCAGCTTGCTCTGGAAGATTTTCCATCAAATAACGCAAAACGATTTCTAGCGCACCTCACTCGGTAAGCGTCACTCGAACGACATGGATTCGGCTCCAATCCGATGCAGTATCTATTTTTAGTAACTAGAAATCCACTGTCGATGTAAAAATCGTTTCTCTCTATCTTAAAAAGAATTTGAATAAAATATGCTGTCATCATTTTTACTCACTATTCGCTCGCCAATATAAGTGTCTTCTTCATAGTAGACCACGGTTCCCCAAATTTGCTCCCCTGAAAAACAGACAATTATCCCCGATTCCAGTTTATTCTCACCATTTGTTTTTTCTGGCTCTTCAGTTCCAGTAAAAAGCACATTTTCTTCCAGTTTTGTCACATTTTCTGAATTTGATAGAGTTATCTTTGACTATTATTCTCATCATTTACCAAGTTTTCCATATGGTGCTTCTATTGGAAATGGAGCTTCAAGCTTGATGCCGGGTACGACAGTTCGACGAGTTTCTTGGACTCCCAGAACAGGCTCGATTTTGTGCTAAAAATGATATTTTTCACTTGATTCAAGTTTCTAAGAGATCAATACTAACCTCAACAAACATTGAAGAAATATTTTTTGTGACCTCAAACGGTTTCGGTTCTTTCTTCATGATTCTTGGTCCCAACGACTGAAAATGAAAGATTTTTGAATTTTGATCAATTTGAAACCATACATATTTTGTTCGAACGCGGAATTCGTGTTGAGAGATGTATGGGAGGCCAGGCTCAAGTTTCGGAAAAGGTTCTGGCAGAACTGAAAACTTAATATTATTGACCAAGTCTTGAGTGAAATCGAATAACCTGGTTCAAACTTTTTCTGCGCGTATTGCTCTTGATACATCTTCTGTAGAACAAATGCTGGAGCAGGCTTGCAAAAAAGCAAAGGGTCGATGAGTTGACCGAGCGAAGCATCTTTCGGGTTGAGTGGGGGCATCGAGTACGGCATGACTGGATCATTGGACCCCGGACGCTCTTTTGAACTTTTGTACTCGCTTTCCTTGCCTCGCCACGGTCCTCCTGGAGGAACTAGGTCTGCAGCACTGATTTTCGGCTTTTCGATAACCGGTTCATTTTTTTGTTGTTTCCGGTATTCTCCAAGAGTGTAGGGATCTCTGTAGTAGATCTCCGTGAATCTCTTCTTTTGTTCCTCGGTCATAGGAAATGGAAGAGGCGGAGTCGGTTTGAGCAACTCTTCCTCCAGCATTTTTTCGTCGACTTCAAGACCTTGTCTGATCCGCTCTTCCTTTTCTTCCTGTTCCTTCTTCGACCTTTCTTGCTCTTCAACTTCCAACGGAATGGGGATGTCGTAAAACGGATATCGAAGAAGAGTAACATTGTGTACAACATCTTTTGCTGGCATCACGTGCGTCGTATTCAGTTTGAATTTGTGGTCATCAACGCGTTCAAACTCGTCAAAAGGAAATTTGCGATTAAAACGCATGTCTGCACTAGTCGATTGAAGCATTTCCTGAGCTAATTCCTCGGGTGTCTTTTTCGATTGAGCCAGCTGGTCTAGCTCAATGGCCTCAGCCATACGCTCTCTTTCTCTTTTTCGAACAACCATTTTCCACAACATGGCGAGGTCCAAGACATAGCCGCGAAAAAATCTCGTCTCCAGAGCTCTTTCCATCAAAGGTCGTTCTCTCAGCAAGAGTTCAATTACTTCTGCCTCTTTTTTCTTCCTTCGGATTTCTTGTTGTTCTGCAAAGTCTTTGTCCCACAGAATCCTTTCTTTCCTCCTGCGCGACTCCCATCTTCGAAGCTCCCATTTTTCTTTTTCCAATTCTTTTTTCTCTTGTTTTTCTTTCCTCAGTTTCAGTATTCTCGCCTTTTCTTCTTCGTCGAGCATCTCAATGTCGCTTTCGAGCTCACTGGAGTCAGGTTCTCGCTGCGTTCCTTTTACGAAAACTTTGGGTTTGGGTCTCTTGGTCCTTTTGAAGTCGCTATCGTTGTATTCAGTAGATGGTATATACAACGGATTTTTTGGAATATCGTCGAAAGGATTGATTATTTCAATGTCTGGATCGTAAACTTTCACCAAACATTTGACCCGAGCAGTGGCAGAGCGAGATCGCAAGGGAGCTTTTGGATCGCCGGGCTCGGAAGACGTATCATCGAATCTTTTTGGACGTTGAAACTCAGCTACGAAGTCACGATAGTAGCACTCTCTGGGCTCGTCTTTGAACTTACAGTCCTCGTGATGGTAAACGCGGTAGCAGCTTGTGATGGTGTATCTTCTGCGCTTCCGTTTTTCTCCTCCAACTTCGGCGGCATCAAGCTCAGCATTTTTAAGCGCGATGAATTCATCGAAAATGATTCTATGCGGAGAGACTGGTCGGAACTTTTGTCTCCAAGTTTTCTTTTTTTCTTCTTCCTGATCAAACTTATCGCGAAGTGAGCGAGGTTTCTGCCCGATGTTGACGTCGTCGCTCTGATCAACTTCCATATCTTCGACATACCCGCTGTTTTCAGTGTTTTTTGACTCTCGTCCACTTTCGTCGTGTAAAGGAGGAGGTTCAAAAGGAATTTTCTCTTTGTCAGGTGGTGCTTTTTCTATTTGGGCCTCGCGAAAAGGAGAGTTCGAAGTCAGTTCGCGTTCATTGGATATGTTCATCTGGGCGAAATCAGCGTAAGGAAAAGGAGCTGCATTATTAGGTTGTTGGACATTTCTTGAAAAATGCTGTTGAGCCGATGGTGAATTGTAATGACCTTGCTTAAAAGAAGCATTTTGATACTGAGAAGGCATTGCACCATAGTCGTTCGAAAGCATGTGGTCAAGCTCTGCTGGCAGATCGAGATCAAAACTTTCTGTCGAAGGGTTGTCGATCCTTGCGGGATGGTTGTTTTGGCTTCCGTAGTTCATTGGGAAGCCTCCAGGGTGTTGCGGCGGGATGACATTGTGTCGAGCGTCAAATGCTTGAGGATTCTGATGAAAAGCGTTTTGCTCTTGCTGCTGCTGGGATTCAGGATAACTGTTTGGATGATGATCGTAGTGTGGATGCGCTTGCTGATAGTGTGCCATGTTAGTTGGATATTGCTGCATGTGCTGGGTTTGATGAAAATTCATCATTCTTGGATCTTGATTCATGGTGTGGTAAAAATTTTGATTCTCGTACATTTGCTGGTGTAGTCCGTTTGGCAAATGTCCTGGAGGCATTCTTTCCGGTTGAGAAGCGTGTCGCATTCGAACTTCCGCAGAATGGCCAGGATGCATCGCTTGCGGTTGAGTACCGGCCTGTCCAGCATACATCCTGCGATCATCCGATTTTTCCGCAAAATTCTGCAGTTCAGCAGGATGACTTTGCTGGCGCAACATCGGCAATGAAGTATAGTTCTGCGGAGGTACAGGTAGGTTAGGTGGCTGCATGGGATTTCGCAGAGGCCTAGATGTGGGCTGCAACGAGTTTGACGGATTTCCAACTGATTGCTGCAAGGGAATAGGTCCAGGTTGTCTCATGTTTGTCGGTGGTAAAGCGGCTTGCTGCATCTGATTTTGCGAGTGTCCAGCGGAATGTTGAATCGAGCTCGGAAGAGTCATCGGCGACGTCAGCATTTTACTTTGCATGGGATGAGTCCCGCTGTATGGCATCGGGTTCTGCATTGGATGAGACATTTGGCGTGAGAATTGCACCATCTGCATCTGCTCGCTGGACATCATCGGTTGATGAGGATAGCTGGGAGGTAGAGGCTGATGGGTCGGATGGACTCGCGTCGTCATCGGAGCGTTCTGAGCAGCATTCATCTGCATTTGAGCCATCGGAGGTGCTTGCAAAGGAACCGTGTTTGGATTGGCTTGAATTTGATGCAGCAGTTTGGTGGGTTGAGTGAACTGTCCTGGCTGCGTCTGCACGGATGTTTGACCTCGAAGAACTGGTTGTTGACCTTGAGCCAAGCCGAGCTGGTGATTGTTCGGACTAGGCAGCAGTAGGACTTGAGGCGAAATTTGACTGGTCACTTCTCTTGGGCGACCCACACTTTCTCTGCAAAAAAATTCTTGTGAATTTTTCTAATTTTTCAAAAATTTCTCGCAATTTTATTAAAAAAGTTCTGAAAGGTTTACCTCGGTCGGCCGACTGGATTTTCTTCGGCGTTTCTTTCTCCCACCACCAAAGTCCCTGCGACGTAGTTGTAATGATACGGATTGATACAGACCTGAAAAAAACACATCTAAAACTGAAATTTTTTCAAATTTCTCTCGTAAAAAGTTTTGATGAGTGACAGTGTAAAGTGACTTGAAAGGTTGAGTTCTGCTTCTGATTTTTCTCAGACACTTTTTTTTCTAATTCTTTCTTTTTCGAGTTTTGCAAATTATTAATAAAAGATAAGAAAAAAACTGACGGTGTCAGATTTGAGTTCAAAGGCATTCCGACAATGTTCGACATGTTTCAACTCGTTTTTGTGCAAGTCCGGATAGCGCCACAGTTTTCCATAGACCACATGCGGAAACCCTTTTCTGCCAGCCACCTAAAATGATTGAATTGTTGAAGAAAAAAATTGTCATTTGAAAGAGTAGGACCTACCTGAAGTCGCCCATCGAGCGTTCTTGGAATGGTGATACAAGATTGCGACGCTTCTCCTTTAGTCTCGATAAGGTCCAAAAGTAGTTGAAGATCTTGTTTTCTGTCCTTGAGCTTCTTGATGAGCGACTCGCAAGCCTTGATGTCGAAGTCGTAATCGCTTTTCATTCTGATGAGGTCCGAGTTCGTGGGTACCTATCAACGCCAAATATTGTTTTCCTTCCCAAAAAAAAATGAAAACCTTGTTTGGATCGAGATTCTTATCCACCCGATACCACATGAAAAGGTCTACGATTTTGGCTGGAGCCGCCGCCGCCGTGATCGGACCCTTGTCCACCGTTGGTTTGGTGTTGGATTTGACGGGAATGCCATACTTCAGACGAGCTCGTTCCAACGGGTTCAGTTTTCGTCCATAAACCTTCAGCTGCTCTTCATCGCTGGGGATAGCTGAAAAGTGGTTTTTTTTCTGAGATTTCTTTGACCTCCATTAAGCGCAAGCTTCTAATCAACTATAATTGTTTCTTTGCACTTTTATGAATTAGTTTTTTTTCAGCAAAGTAGTTTTTATGAGGTTTGCATATTGCATTTTTCTAATCCTAAAGTTTTTTGGTAATGTGTGAAAGAACAGCCGTCTAAAAGATAATAAAAAGGCATATTGAATAATTGGAAAATCACAATTCCAAAAATCTAAATTTTCTTCTAATTGAATATCTTATCTAAACATTAATTAAAACGAAGATAGTCACCATAAAATATAAAAAAAACGCGTTTCTTTGTGAAAAGTTGAAGATCTACTACAGTCTAGTTTTTTGCTACTTCTGAACGTTTTAATGTCCCTCTGCTCAGATTAATCTGCATCAACACCTTGTAAGCTGAGATAATACGAAAAAAGCTCAAAATGATGCCTGACTATTTTCACACATGTCATCCTTCGAAGCAAAACTTGACTCACGGTAAATTTTAGTTTTACTCTGGGACGGAACAGTCGGTGGGCTCTCATTATCTTCTCGCGTGAACGTGTCTGAAAAGATCAGCATTTTCCAAATATAGTTCAGGAAAAATACAGAAAGAGAGAGATTCGAAAAAAAAAAACATTGCAATCGTTTCTTAAAGGGTGAAAGGCGGTTTTTAATCATTTGAAAATATGAGGGAATTAGAAAAATTTGCGCGTCCATTGTCACGTTTGCCATTATCTCTAATGAGCCGGCTGTCTGAGCTACTACTAAATGATTAATCTTTTTCTCATTTGTACAACTGCTACCTTTATCAGCCAAAGTCTCACGATTTGCTCATATGGGGTCATTTTTCCCAGGATTTCAATTATAATTGCTGATTGTGCTGTGCGACATCAACAGGATAATTAGAAGAGTCTGGAGGTCAAACTTCAGCCGCAGCGTGCAGAAATAATAATGGCGGTTATCAAATGAAATATTCGCGTCTATATTGGAGTTTTCTGAAGTTATTGGAAATTGGACTAACGAGTTTTCAAGCAGAACCATCATAGATTTTTTTGGCATTTTCCGGACTTACGATTCAAAAATTCTCTTAAAGATTGACAAAAGGAAAGAAAGCTTCAACTTATTGTAAAAAAAAACTTAAAACTTTTTTTTTCTGCCCTGTGCTGTAATCTTTTCCGAAATACGACAGAAATGAAAATGAGCGAATTTGTATTCCATTCAATAAAAAAGCACCAGAATGAACTAAACTGAGAGCAAAGACTCCTTCTGCTTTCCAATAAATTTTTTCAAAACCGATTGAGGTTGGTAAAAGGTCTTTCTAAACTCAATTGAGGTAAAAAGAGAAAAGGAAAGAATTGGAGAACACGGTGGCTTTACCTCACAAAAAGCATGGAGAAAAACATGTTTTTCAACGAATTTTCGAAAAATCTCATAGAAGCAAAATATGACAAAGCACAATGATAAAGCTCACCTGCGGGAGGCGGCATTCGGTGCGCGACTGGACTCACGCCAGAAAGAGCGCTTGCAGCGGTTTGCATCCCGACGGGCGGACGTGCTGCCAGCACATGTTCACCTGAAACCATCACTTGCAGAAAGGATGAACGAATTCGAAAGTTTGCAAAATGCTCGGTACAACAGACACGCAACGACACCTACGAAAGTAGCCCTTTTGTGTCCCAACAAAGGAGGAGTTCCGATAAAAGAATGAGCAACTAAAGGAACGTCCAACGGTGTAAAGTGTGAGAACTCGAATTCAAATTTCAAGTCGGTTAGAAAAAAGCGGACCTATTTATTGCCTCATCAGTGCAATGGTCCATTTGAGCTGACTCCTTTCGAATCAAACGGCTATCAAATGATAGCGGAATAAAAACTCAAAGTAATGGGTTAAAAGACGTTGCCGCTTCCCAAGGTTCACAATTTCTTCTCATTACAGTACCTTTTTCGCGTGAACTGATATCAAAATAAAGGCATAAACAATACATAAAAAAAGCTTCAAAAAAATTAGTCGAATCTTTTTTTGAATTTTTTTAATTTTTTTGAAAAATCGCAACTCGCAGGTTTAAAAATTATCTGAAGCTGTTTCTCAGCATCTAAAAGTTCATATTCAAAATTTTTTTGAAAATTTCGGCATCGTCACTTAAAAAATTTATTCAATGTTCTATTCACCTGTCCTTATTTCAAAAAAAAACTGGTCAAAATTACCCGAAAACCCGCTCTTTTTAGTTCATTTTCTGAAGTTTGTAAAGCCAAAGTTTCAGGAGAACTTTGAAAAAACAAAAAAAAAAAGCTTAAAAAAAGCAGGATTAAGAGAAAAGTGTATCATATACTTATCACGCAGCTTTAACAAAAAAAATTTTGTAAAAAGTTTTTTTCACGAGAAAATGCAAAAAAACTCCCATACCTCGAATGATTAATATCTCAAAAAGAAACGTTTTATAAACTAGCAATCGTGAATTGTACAGCATTCGTGTTATATGTGACTACGATTTTTTCTTTTTCCTGTTAAGAAAAAGATTGGATACTTATGTCATAAGATTTCGATGAGTTCGAAGAAACCAATTCTGCAGCTGAAACATGAAACTTGAGAATGAAGAAATAATAAGTTCATTCACCAACAAACACTTATCCAATTAGGATAGAGCTCAGGAGTCTTATTAACGAGAAAATCGAGAGAAAAAATGTTTACCTCTTAATTCTGCATTATACTTTTAAATCGAGCTAGAGCCTATCGATTTTTCAGCTTTCCTGTACTTTATATTTAGTTTGGAATTTTGAGCCAGCTATGGTTCCCAATAAAAAAATTCTGAGCATCCGAAAAAACGATTTGAAACAATAAAAAAATTGAGTAAATTGTGATTTCCAAAAACCCTTTGTGAAATCTTGACCTTTTAAGAGTTGATTATATTCGAGTAAAAAAATTATTTTTGGATTCTGTTTGAATCAAAAAAATTGAAATAAAAAAAGATTTAACAGATTGGAATGAAAGTTTGAAGTAACAGAAACATCTGATAACTGGGTTTTTCATTACACCCCCAACATGAACTTTCAAAAAAACACTTTTCGATAGAAAGATTTTTAAAAAAATCAAAGGTTTTGAAGATTTTTAAAATAATACCTAGCAGCCTTCGAAAGCGAATAGCCAAAAGAAAGTTTCATCAAAAAATTTTCGGATCAGATTTTCGTCGTCTCATCTTTTTGTACAAGAAATTTGCTCGCATTCGCCTTGATCAAACTGAACGGTTCGGTGCAAACATATCATACTACACAGTGTTCTCGACTCTTATCAGCAACCTAATAATTATTTTCTTTAGCCCACGTTTCAAAATAAGGAAAAGGAAAAAAAACGTAATTTTTGACGGTGGCCTCTTGATCTCGAAAATTAACCATTTTCCCGAGATTTTAAAAGATTGAAATCAGAAGTGAAAGTGTTTTTGAATATATTTAACCATAAGGAAAGAATGAAAAAAAGTTACTTTCGATATAAAAAAATGTTTGCTAGTCAATTGCTGAATGTTGTATTGATGAAGAAAGTGAAGAAAAAATTTGATCTGCCGAAGAGTGTTCATCTCTACTTGATACATAATAAAAAAACAGAAATTACAAAAAAACGCTTCCTAAATTATAGAGTCAAACCCATTTAAAAACAAACTCGAGAGAAAAAAACTATCATTGAAAAACAGCAGTGGCAGTTTTGGATTATGATTCAAATCAAAAATCGCATAAAAAAAGTCTTTAGACCCTGAAAAAAATCTAGTTTCTCATCATTACTGAAAGATTAATGACTTAAAAAAATCCAATAGCATAAATATTATCATGACTTATAAGCAAAGAATCAACACAAATACAAAATGAGGATTCGTCTATTCAGACAATCTTTCCAGCCGTTATTTGTCGTGCGGATTGCGGAATGGCGAATGAAAAACTTAAAAATAAAACCTCTCAAAAACAAAATCCTCTTCAAAAAAAAACCCTAAAATAAGAAAGAAAAACGATCTACTGGAAGAAGTTCAAAGTCCAATAGCAACAGTGTATATATCTAAGAGATGCAGCCACATTGGCGATAGTCCAAACATTCTTGTTGGCGGAGACGACCCCCGGAGTGAGGTCAAAAGGGTCGATGTAAGGCCGAGGAAAGAAGGCCGACCAGGTGGAACAAAGCAAACGTTCGGAGAGTGTGCGGAACCTGTGCGGTGCTGCTGCAGGTGCTGGTTGCTGCCGAATGCCGCCTGCCCGAACTGCGAGTTGTTCCTCATGAAGTCACCATGACCGTCTCGGCTTTCTGCAACTCACCACTTTGGCTACTTCATGCAATGGTGAGTTTCCTTCAAATACGAATCACCACAAAATGAATTTCACAAGGGCAAATTTTTTGATCAATTCCAAAAAAGAAACATCCAAAAGCTCTTTAAAAGCATTCTTGATATTCTCGCACGACTTTTAGTTTCTAAGATATACATTTTGCGGAAGAGTGGAGTTTCAAAAATATCTCTTCCAAAACTGATCTGGAAATTTTTTTCATTCCCTTTTTTTTGCCAAAACGAGTATGTATTCAAAAAAATAATTCTGAGAAAAATTTTACAACATTGAAAAAAATACATTCCAGAGCTCAAAAAATATCGAGAAATCTGCATCAAACTTTTTTTACTTCGATTTTCAAAGCGCCTGCAGTTTTTTTCTAAACGAAAATAATTGATTTAGGGTTGAAGAAATTGTGATTTTTCAAAAAAATTATTTTTTTATTTGCTAAACAAGTTTTCGGTTCATTTCGCTAAGTTTTCGACGGCAAAAACGTTTTTTTGAAAAAAATAATCAGATTTTCTTCAACCTCATTTTTTTCATCTTTACGAATAATCTTATTATTAAGTACAGCTTTTTTTGAAGTAATTCCAAAAAAAGTTCAGAATCTGTTTTGCAACGTTCCTTTCTGTTCATTTGAACTTCTGAATGCGACGGAACTCATTATGAAAAAGCAGAAACGAAATGAGATCAAACTTTCAGTAAGCTGAACTTAATGCAAATCACAATGTTTCAAAGCGCGTGACCAGCCTTATAAGCATGTCCAATTAGAAAGAAAAAGGAAAAAAAACGGCTGGATTGCAGATTTCCATAAGATTCTATATTGGCTTACCGTATAAAAAAATTGAAAGTAAGGAAGAAAAAAATTAGTAAAGTATATTGGAAAGAAGGGTTCATGCGGGGAAACATTGAAATTTAAAAATTTTTCTATTTTTTTGAAATTCAGGTCCACAGTTACAACGGCGGTGCTCAAGCTATTCACGGACAAGAATTTAATAATTGAAGAAAGAAAAAAATCAAATTGACAACGATCACATAAACTGAGAGTTTTTTTAACGAGAGATAGTAGAGCAAATGTGCAGAGAAGTTGCCAAGAACCTCACAGAAAATTATCACCTATCAAAAGAGAGAGAAAGGTATAAAAAGAGGGGAGAGGAAAGCGGAAGCAGATAAAAAGCAAGGATCGCAGAGTTTTTTTTTTCAAATTCATAAGGAGGAAATTTTGCGCCGGTCCCTCGAATTTCAAAAACTCACCGGTCACTCAATGCAAAAAGGAACTGTTGTTCTACGGTCAGCGGGCAAGAAAAAAGAGCGTAAAAACGAGAGTGATGAACTTGACGGTCTCAAGGTTGTCTCCTGTCGAGTCTGAGAAGGTGTCACAGCAAATACTAGAAGAACGAGAAACATATGCGAAGACAAATAAGAATGTGCAAAGCCAAAAGCTGAGTGCTGTCTTTCTGTTTTGTTGCTGCCAACCGAAAACAAAGAAATTCATTTTGGTACCAGATCAAAGTAACAAGATTCCAGATTCTATGAAAATTGGCCTCTGCGTTGGCTAGAAAAATAATAAAATTTTTCGATTTTCCTTTTCAGAACGATGTCTCGGCTTTATTATAGCCGACTGCTCGATCTCATCCTGACGGCTCCCATGGTAATACATCTCGCAAAATTTTAATGAGCCATTTTTCTTTCGACGTCAATTTAAATGCGTTTCTTTGAAAGATCATGATTATTTTTTTTTCTTGGAAATTTCAATATTCCCAGACGAAAATCTCCTACAAGGAGAGGTTTTAATTAAAATTTGTTCAATGCCTACATGAGGATTATTGGATAAATGAAAGCTATGAGCGTTGTGATCTTTATACAGATTATAATTTTTAGTAAAAAAAAAACTAGCAAGCATTTTCGGATGAATTGTGTGTTTTAAAAAGTAGATTGAAGCCTTAAACAACTCGAAAAAAATAAAAAAAGGTTTCATTCGACAAAAACAATAAAAATAAAAACTATTTTTTTACAAAAATTAATGAAAAATGGCTGAAAAAAATAAAAATTTTTTTAGAAGTTTTTTTCTAATTGTAATATTCACACTTTATCTGAAATAAAGGGAATTTCATTCCGAGGATTGAAGTTTCCAGCTGCAAAAATTCATCAGAGGGGCTAAGTTATAGACCCGCCATAGTTTATTCATCAGTGAGCCTGAAGGAGTTTCCAAGAAAATCTCCGATTTTCGAAACTCGCGTTGCAAACTTTCACGATTTCATACTGGATATTGGAGAAAAAAGTCCAAGAGATGAGCTTCAAGGATTAGAAGCAATAGAATTGAAAAATAGTATTTTTTTCTGATGGAAGTTGTAATTGGTTGAAAATTGATAATTCTGTACTCACAGGAATTTCTCAAGCGATTTTCGGTCATGACCTGAATAATTTCTCCCTCCGAAGAAAAATTTATATATAAGAACCCAATTCGATACATACCTATTTAAAAAAAACATCAAAATTATCATTTGAGCCTCCATTATTTCTCAAACTGTCTCTTCCAACCCCTCTTTATGTGAAAATAATCAGAGAATCACCAGCAAAAAAAAATTTAATTCCCCCAGCACATGAAAATGGGAGATCGTTTTGAGGTACCAAATTTGTACAGCGGGAAAGTGCAAAAGGGACATCTGTCAGGTCACGAACGCCTCTCTTCAAATCGAATTAATTCGGGGCACAGGTAAGGCCAAAAATCCCGCTCTTTTCGGAGCAATTATCTTCATCAGCCGATAAGTGCAGCCGTGAGGTTAATAACATGACAGCGGTCTCGAATTCGTTAAGCATTTTTGGTTTATCAAAAATTTTAAGCACTATTGTTATGAATGAACCTTTTTTCCAGTCTTTCCAAGGGATCAAAACATTTCTTCTTATTTTCTATTTGACATATGGACTATCGACGGTCATAAAAGTACGACACGTACTTTTTTTCTGCAAAGCGATAATAATTTTGAAGCTTAAGTTTTTCCACGAGAACTGCTGGCTGATTTTTATTATTTTACAAAATGACGCAAGTTTTATTAATTATTACACCTGCTAGGAAGTGGTAAGCTCTGAAAAATGAAACTAATGAAAACAGGTTTTTTAATGGAAAGGTAAGTATTCAAAAGAAAAAAGGCCAGCTGATTTTCTTCCTCCTTTTCAGAATGTTGAAAAAAAACGACGTGCAAACTCAGAAATAAAAACAAATGGACCATGTTTGGGCGTGTGCGTGCACTTTGCTCAGTAAATGTCTTTATCAAACTAAACACACCGTCTGATCAAATAATTCCCATTCAAAATGTTTCCCCCTCAAGAATAACAATATAAAAATCATTTGTTCTATGCAAATTCCATTACTTGTTGAAAACTCCAAAGTTTATAGCAATCTAACCCTTGGTATCCCTGTGTTTAATGCCCGTATGAAAAACTTTAGCTCAATAAAGATTTTGAGTTTGGGAAGTTTTTCTCTTTTCGCAACAAAACAACAATAAAAAAACGTGTTAGAAAGTTGGAAAAGGTGATGACAAAATATTGATCCAAAAAAGCAGGCAAAGCAGGAGGCTGAGAGGGAGCAGAGAAAAAAGGGCACGCGAGAGGGCATTTTGGCGACAAACATTGGCCAGGAAATGAGCCGCACCTCTACACGCTGTTCTGATTGTTTAATCTCCTAGGCTCAGAAAGAATATTCAAGTTTTGTCCATTCATATTGCTTTTTGTGTGATTTTACTTTGGAAATATAAAATAAAACATGCCAAAATTCCATTTTTGCAAATGGTAAGCTGCAAAAAGCTCGTGGAAATCATTTTTTTAGGGACTTTAAGGATATAATTTATTAACTATGCTGTCTTTTTACCAATAAATTTGGTAATTTTTCTGAGGCGCCAAAGATTGAAGCTATTTCTTGCTGACTTTTTACAACCTATTCTGAAAAAAACTTCACTCAAGAGATAAAAAAATATTTACTTCAAATATTTATCGGACCGTTTTTTTAAAAATTGACAGTATTTTTATATACCAAATAACTCAGAGTGAGAATTTTTTTTAAAAGGCAAAAAAAGCCGATTTATAAGTTTCTGAACTAATCAGATACACATTTTAAACTACTTTTTTTAAAGCCGGAAAATTCAGAAAAACCAAAGAATTTATCAGATTTTCGAAGAATTATGGCAGGCACATGTCCGGAGAAACCATTATGATGGAAATGGAAGTTGTGTTGTTTAACGAACCTTATCAGTTCACTCGCTATCGTTTCTTGATTTCGGGTCGCAAGTGACACCATGGCAGTGAACGTCGTTCGAGAACATGTTTTCATAAAGTTTGAAACAAATTTGAGAATAAAAAAAGCCATAAATGAAACTTCGTTATCTCGAGTTTTGAGGATGTTGAAGAAGGAGATTATCGAAATAATTTCGAAAAACTAGGTTTTTTTGCATCTTTATAATAATTATTTCACCTAACAAAAAAAAAATCCAAGTTTTTCGGATCCAGCTGCTCACATATGACGCTCGAGCACGCGGTGGAGGAAGAAGAAAAAAAGAGAAAATAAACAAAGTCCAGTTCTTTCAAAGAAATTCCGCTAGAATAAAAGGGCTTTTTTAGAGCAGGCAAGTGGACCAACACGTAGTGAAGGAATTTGAAGGCCATCACGTGGAGATTCCGAAAAGAGGCTGATCTCTCGGACCCAACCTGACCTCTCGCGTTGCCTCGCTGTTCTCGCCAAAACTCCTGATCACGATTACGCCAACCGATAATGTGAAAAGCAACAATGAAGTATTCTTTGACTTCAGAAAAATATTATTCCTTCAAAAGGGCGTTCTGAATGATTTTCAAGTTTTGAGCAAAAATTTGAGCTGTTCTAATGAAGAGTTAAAAAATCACGGCTTTCTCAAGGCTTAAAATTGAGAACATACTACTTTGAGAACTTTGACTTCAGGATAATTTGAGTTGAAAATTGACGGATTTAAAAAATGCGCTTTTCATTTTACAAATATCGCTTGAGAAGTTTTCAAATTTCCAGCTTCGAAAAAATCCTTGTGTAAGTTATCATTAAGCTGTGCATTTTTTGAGCTTCCACCTAGTGCCATCAATATAGTATTTTTTTGAACTACTCCTATATATTGAGCTGCTGTAGCGTCTCATATCCGATTTGCAGTTTCACGATTAGGATTACAACAGTTTAAAAAAAAGGGTCTTCCAAAGATCTTTTAGTATCTTTACTTCAAGTACTAAGTAGTAATGCAAGCTCAGAAAGTAGTTTGAGTACCTTACAAAATTCGAGTATTTCATTCAACTTTTGTTGAATTTGGAAACTACAATGTGCTCGCAATGGGTGTGGCAAAAAACCGTATTATTTTTTGATTCGGGGAAGCGGGTAGTGAATGGTCTATAGCCCATCCCGTTTCGGCTAGTCAAAATTTTCGTTCTTCTTTGGGCTATAGAATTCCTTCCCCTCGATGCGCCTGGATATTCGTTCTTTTAAAGGCGCATGTTCAGAGACGGTCCGTGCGCATCGAAGGAAAATTGAAAAGCGTCGTCACAAGCTGGCGCAGAATGGTCAATACGGTGCGACTCATTGAGCTTTTGCGTTTTGAGAAACGACAACGTCTTTGATAAGTTTTCTAAAAAAAATCACCCGCTCCAGAAACGGGTTTCTATGAATGCAGGAAAATTTTGCTAATTTCAAGTATAACACTGAGAGTTTGTTGTCCTTCCAAAAGGCATTTTTTAGTGTTTTTTTTTCCCAAAAACATGAAAAACCGAAAAATAAACCCCGACCATTTTGATTTGGGGTTAGATTAGATAATCCGAAGAAAAAGAAGAGGTTTAAAAATACCTATAATTTTCTTTTGAAGCTCTGGAGTCATTTTAGAAGTTTTCCAGCTGCCGATCGCTTCATCGTTGGTTTTTCTTTTTGGCGACTTGATCAACGCTGAAAAAGAAAGAAAATTGATGAAAAGAGAGGCTTTTTACCAAGCTGTTTGGCGCTTTGGAGCAATGGGAAATCGTCTTTTTCTGAAAGTCCAAGTTAAAAAAGAGTATAGACACTTTGAAATAGAATGGAAAAAACAAAAACATCTTTTTTTCAGAATTCTTAGCTTTGTAATTTGTTAATTACTGAGAATAATTGCGTGCCATCTCGAGACATTAAAAAACTAGGAATATGGTAGCTGATAACGAACTTTATCTGAACATTACTAATTGTTTGGCTAATTCAGTATTTTTCTCATGTGATTCGGTCTTAAACGATTTAATAGGTCATCATATGACATAATTTGAAGCTTCCTTGTCTACCTCATACGTGCTAATTCATTAATCAACTTGTCTGATTGTTTTCGAGAATAGAACTCTGAGTTAAAAATAAATGTTCACCTTCCGCGGAAGTTCCTTCTGTTTCAGTTTCTGACGCAACAAGGAGACTTTCTGTTGAACACTCTACTTCTGAAAAAAAAATTTAGATTTTTGTTGTATGGAAGTAGCGAATTAAAAAAAATATAAGATTTATGAAAAAGGTCAAAATTTACACTGAATTTTCAAAAGTTGAAAAAAAATTCAGCGGTTATTCAATAAGAAATTGTGACGAAACTGCTCCGTCAAAGTTTTAGATACCTTTCTTCTCCTCTTCAAATCCGTCGATATCCATTTTACTGTCAGAGTCTTTCATTTTGAGAGAATCAGAGCTTTTTTTGACGAGTCACTGAATGAAAAATACAGTGAAATAAAAAAAATTTTTTACCTCTTGACGAAGTTTCTTTGAGCTTTTCAGAAACCAGCGCTAAGCTTTCTTCATTAACTTCTTCTTCGAATTTAATAACTGAAATAATTTTTTTTTGTTCCGAGAGAACACGGGAAAAGTATTCAATATTTACGTTTATATTCTTCTCGGAGATTGAAAGCAGTATCCAGGAACTGGCCGTGCTCGAACTGGACTTTTTTATCGTCCTCATCATCGTTTTCTGAAGACATGTTTTGAATAATTATAATGATTGTTATTTTCCTTTTGGTTTATTTATAACCCTGAGGATACCGAAGGCTTCGGTCATTCTTTTTTTGGGTTCTTAGTAGTCATGTCATACCTGATTTGCCCTAACTAACAAAAAAAACTATTTATATTTTCCATTTTTGTGGTTTGGTTTCAAGCTTGCTATGACGATTTTAGAGAATTGTGTGACAAGGCAAATAACAAGTGACTAGCAATGTCCAGTGTGAAACCTAGCAACCGAAATTACTGATTGAGGTAGTTTTATACCTTGATGCGTCAACTGAGGAACTATGAGGAATCAGTTTCGCTCAATTAACTGAATCTTTCACGGATCAAAGATTCAGATAAAATCAATCGGATATCAGGAAAACTATCTGCTGAAGTCCACAAAATGCAAAAAAACTGTAGTTGAGGAACATAAAACTCTTCAAAATTATTTTCTTTTTTCCACTACATCAAAAAAAAAACCCATTTTCAGAAAAAAACTTTGTACCCACCAATTTCATTGATTTTCTTGAGCACAATGGACACATATTCACTCTCCGTTAGTTTCTTCGGTGGTTCGAGGCTTTTTTGATCAGATGCTGAAACTGGCTGATTCAAAATGGAAGGTTTCATCTCGATATCCGAAGCAGTAGGAAGACGTTCTTCTGGACATTCTTTCTCACCCATAGTTTTAAAAAATATCTGATTTTAAGGGCTCAATCTAAAAATTTGCCCATAAACGTAACACTAATAATAAGGTCAGCCGCAAGGCAATGGCAGACCGTAGTCTTGCGGCTTGCCTTCTTTGACATCAGCTGAAAAACTCAAAAAATGACGTGTTTGCTTTCAATTATTTAGTTTTTTCATTTTGCGGTAATCAAAAATTTATATTGTCAAACTTCGAAAAGTCAGTTATAATCCTGGCGGTCCGTGAACTTTCAGAGTTCAAAGCACTTCTTTTTGATTTTATTCAGGATCATCATTTCAAAAAAACAGTACCAGGACTGTTACCGCTGTTATTGCCGAGCGAACTGTTTGGCACGTTCCAAAGACGCATCGCGTTGGCTTCATAGAGTGGATTCTGATAGAAATTGTTTGCCGGAGGATCTGAAAAGAAAAAAAAGTTGATGAATTTCCAACTAAATGTTTAGCTGAGGTTCTTCAAGAAAAAATTCAGCCCGAAAAATTCGATTTCTATTACCATTGAAGCTCAACTCTGGCGGCTGACCGTTGTCTTCCGGCTTGCCTTCTTTGACATCAGCTGAAAAACTCAAAAAGTTACGTGTTAAAGTTTCTTTGAAATTTCGCTGCTTTCAATTATTTACTTTTTTCATTTTGCGCTAATCAAAAATTTATATTGTCAAACTTCGAAAAATCAGTTATAATCCTGGCGGTCCGTGAACTTTCAGAGTTCAAAGCACTTCTTTTTGATTTTACTAGGATCATCATTTCAAAAAAACAGGTCCAGGACTGTTACCGCTGTTATTGCCGAGCGAATAGTTGTGAGTGTTCCGAAGATGCATCGCGTTGGCTTCATAAGTTGTATTCTGATAGCGAGTGTTTGCCGAAGGATCTGAAAAGAAAAAAAGTTTATGAATTTCCAACTAAATTCACGGAAATGGTAGGCGTAGCTGGGAGCTGCTGCCAAGAGAGAAGGCCTCATGTTTTGTCCACAGTAACTGTCTGAAAATCGTAATGGCTACAATGTTTCGAAGAGTCGTAACGGCCACAAACTTTTTACGCCTTTCTTCAGGCGATTATTTTCTCAGGACACCGTGGGAAACCATAAAAAAAGAGGAAGGGATTTTCAGACCACACATTGAACACTTTTTCTGTAGTCGATAAATTGCTTACCGAAATTATGAGCCGCGGATTCGAAACCTGGTCCAAACTGAGGGACGTTTGAAGGTTCAACAACTGCAACTCGATGCAGTTGGCTTTCAATTTCCAAATAAATGAATTATTATTTTGAGAGCCGTCAAATTTTTTTCACTGTTCATCTTTTCTACAAAGGTGATTGTCACCTTTTGGAAAAAATTTTACAGTTCAGCAAAAATCAGACCTGAACTAGCAGGACCTTGCGGACTTTTGAAGCCCTCTGGTGTCAAGTAATGAAGAGGAGCGTGTCCTATTACTGAAACACTTTGAATTTTTTTTTCAAATTCCAATTCACCATTCGTTTTCCTTTTAGCACTATGCTCAGTCATTTCCTCGATTCCAGCTGACTTTCTTTTATTCGAACTTTTTTCTGCATGTTGAAGATAATTGTTCCCATTACTCTGATCTTCTTGTAATCCTGGGTTCTGATAATTGATTTTGTTATTCACGGGCATGTCTGAAACTTTTTGAAAGTATGTACAAGAATCTTCCGAGATTCAACCATTCGAGAAGTTTTCAAAAAAGCTCTCGTCCGAGGGACGGTATACCACTGGTTCAGGTTCTTCTATAAATTTCATCGGATCGGGCGTTTGTAAAGATCTTTCGAGAGTCGGTATACCACCAGTTTCCTTCTTTTTTTTCGACATTTTTTCCTGCAATTGGTTCGCTCGTAATGCTGGGAATATAAATGAGAAATGATATTTTAGTCGCGACCGAAAATCAAACCGAACGACGAAAAAACGGATCTGCAATGAAATAGAAAAAATGTTTTTCGACCATCAAAAAATGAGTTCAAGATAAATATATATGGGAAAAAAATCGATATGGGATTAGAAAAAACTGTAACTTGAACTTTTTGACCAAAAAGAGGAGCTGTATTGAATCTTTTACAGCTGCTTATCCTACTTAGAGAACATGAGGAACTCAAAAAAGAGAAATGAAAAAGATGAGAGGAAAATTGGGATAAGCAATGCTGATAGTCTGAGAACTAGTGAAGCGTGAAATTTCGAGCGTCAGAACTCCAGTTATTCTTTGCGAGTAAATATGCTCATCCTAAATGTTAACGTGGACGTAATAGACATTTCAGTGATTACTAGACAGGAAAAAATTAGGTTGACGCTTGACTAAAAAAGTACAACTACAGGTGACCGAAAAACATTAAAGATGAGCCCGAGTGCTCAGATTCTTGCCAAAATAAGGTCTATTACATCGCGATTTTAGCTAATTTCCTTGCCTCTTTTTTTCGAACACCGTTCGCAACATGAAGATTGAATAAGTGCGGAAAAGAAAAGTCCGACTTCACTTTATAATGATTCAAGTTGGAAGTGAAAACAATTTTGGTGAGGAGTCAGCATATATTTTCTCATAATAACAACGGCCAAAAAAAAAATTCCACTTGAAAATCAATAGAATCAAGAAGAGCGGACGATTCACTGTGGGAATATATACACCGTGAGAAACGGTCAAACTATTTTGCACAGTTTGAAAGAAAAGGAACAAAATGTAACTTTCATACTTGTCGCTTACTTTCAGACGGAAATAAGTAAAATGGAAACCAAGTAAGAAAAGCTCAGATGAAGGTTGCAAAAACGTGAGAAGAAAGATTGGCATCGGCGAATATTCAGGTATGTCTTATAAACAAGGAACAATACATAATGGTCATCTAGATGTTGGTCGGACGGCGCCCTTTAAAAGAAAACGCGCAAAGAAAAGCTGACCTCAAAGTTTATCTGGGGAGAGAAAAAAGCGCAAGTGGGAATATTTTGTACGAATAAAAAAGATTGTGAACATTGGCAGGAAAAAATGGCGTCCGAGCGGAAAAAAAAAGATGCATTACCAAGTGAGATTTCCGAGGTGATAAAGCGAAGACAATGATTCAGGTATGTGAATCACAACATTCACGAGACGTGCTGTCTCGGATCGTTCAAAAAGCTTTTTAGCTCTTTTCGAAAGTTATATTTAGATGCAACAAAATTGGGAACATTTTCGTCTCTCAATTTCGCTGGGGTGTCCGAAGTCGACAAGAGAAGTTTTTCATTGATAATCATTGTGACGTCCCGCCGACGGCTGAAAATCGGAGGTTTCAATTGTCTTCTGTCAACATTTTTCAGTTTTTTATCCTTTTAGAACGGACTTTTTGTAAAATTGAACTCTCATTAATTAAAGCTAAATTTTTTTAATTATTAAATTAATTAGGTTTGTTAAAGTTTTTTTCAAAGTTTCTAGACGAAAGTGTAATATGAATTTTCAAAACTGAAAAAAAGGTCAACTGAACAAGAATATGTATGCCTTTATGAAGTTGAAACACTTGTGTTGAGATAAAATCTCTGTGAGGGTTCGACTTTGAATTCTTTCAAGTCTCCGAAACAGCAACCCAAGGTAGTCGATCTGATGCAAATTTTTGCGAGTTAGGTAGACGGCTACATTGAAACGTTGTGTCGTACGAGAAAAATCTTTTTTTCAAAAAAATAATCCAGTGTTTTTTTACGAAATGTTCTTTTTTTCTTTTTAAAAATAAAGACCAACTAGGTTTTTTAAATTTTTCAAGTGAAGATGAAAAAAATTAGAACTGGTCTGGGTTTTATTTTTATCTATTATTTGAAAATATAAATTGGTTTGTGATTGCGAATTTCTTTCAAAAATGACCGCATATCAGAAAAAAAGTTCCTCAACCAAATTTTTGAAAAATACATTTCTTAGCAATCTCCAGACTTCGGCAAAAGCCAAAAATATTCGCTTCCAACTCGAATCAAGAGAAATGCTTCCCCTACAAGCGTTGCAATAATTCTGTCAAAGCTTCGAGACAACTTGCGTCTCGGCGAGACTATCTTCTCTTCTTTTTTTTCATCCACGGGGGCCTTAAGCCATCCTTTTGGTCAACATTGACCAAAGATACTGTGAAGAATGTTGACCGTCCCTTTTTCTCCTCTTCGTTGCCTTGTCGAAATGTTTTTTGTTCAAAGTTTTACTTATTTCCTGTGAGACCCATCCAAACAATGTCCATTTCGACGTCGAGCCACTCGAAAGACGGCCGCTGCTATTATTTAAGCACTGCTCCCCTTCACGCCGCTTCATCCGATATTTTCCTTCATATGGGCTTTTCTGAGTGCTATCTCAATTTTATTTGACTCGAAAAATTATTTTCCAATTTTTTAGAGTTTCCAAAAAAGTTTGATTCACAGATTTTTTTCTTCTTCTTTTCTAATTACCGGTTATTTATTCCGTTTCCTTTTTGACGTGTCTATCATTTTTCTGATTTCTTAAGATCTTTGGCAATAGAAGTACTTTTTGCGATCATCAATTGTTTTTTTGGGGGTGATCTTCATTCTCTTTGGGTGCGGGGGACTTTATTTTTATTCAAAGTCATGAGCGTAAACTTATAGCTCCGACCTCCTGGAAAAAAATGTTCTCTTGCAAATTTTGTTCTCAAATCTCACATGCAGACGACAGAAATAACACGTCATTTGACCCCACCTCTGGCCATTTTTGACCGTTCTCAAGTGATTCTCAAACATTCCTCAAGATTTTTCGCATGGTGTGCATTTCGCCATATCAGGATAGTTTAGAAGCTAACGATGAGTTTTAAAATTATTGTGAGAGTAGAGAGATCATTTTTTCTTGTTCAGTTACGGTTCCTCAGAACAAAGAGAAAACGAAGGTTTAGAGGGTTGTTCTGAAAAATTTGCTACAGAGTCCATGATACATTTTTTCATGAATACTTTTTAATGGAACCTCGATAATTTTTTTTAGTTTAGATCTGAGGACATATAAAAATGTTTTTACGAGGTTTAGCCTTTCTAAATTGACGTTTTTCATATATCGATTGATACTTGATTGATTTAAATTGAAACTTAGTATTTTTAAAAAAAGTGTTGGGACTTTAGAAAGATTTTTTTTTGGAATGATATTTCCGCTCTTCTTCTTAATAAGTAGACTATCATCTTTCTTTTTTTTTTGAAGTAAGCAATAAATTTTGTTTAGTGAATGTTAAAATATGCCTTTCCAATTTTAGCTTATTCTCGTTTTAAAGAAGCAGTATTCAGAAAAAAAAAATATGCATTTTTCATTCCTCACTGCTTCATTTCTTCCATGATTCAGCAGAAAATCTTCTCTGCAGGCTGAATAAGCTTACTTGAACTTGTAAACTGCATGAAACTTGTTTTTGGTCTTACGTTTTGGATTCAACTGGTATTGATTTTTTTTAAATTCATCTTCTGAGGACTTCTATTTTCATTCTCGACCAAATCACATCGATGCGTCCCATGAACACGTCAAAATGCACATTATTATGGCGCCGCTGTGCAAATGAACGAAGAGCGACTGTGTCAAAAAGCGGACAGTTCGTGTCATCTTCACCCGAAGAGGCCTGACATTTGTGTGGACGGATGGGAGGCTGAATAGCTGCAACATGCCTGTCTTTTGGAAACTGTTCGGTCCGGCCAGCCGCCCACACTCTCAAGCGCTGTTTGTACGAGCCCTTGAGGACCTATTACGCATCTCGAATCCGACTCTGACCGCCGCCTCAAAACAACGACAACCGCTGTCGAAATTGCGCGCGGTGGTCCGTCGGGTCGTTAATCCGACACGCAGATAACTCACCACACACCTTTACCTTTTTTCCATCCTGCTGCTCAGAAAGCTTCTATTTCTTGAAATTTTCCAACTCTCTAAGGGTCATGGGGTTCTTGAGCATTGAGAAAAAACGAAATTTTGGTCTGTCGATTTTTGAAAAATCGAAAAAAGCCTTTCCTACTTGACTTCTTCATTTGTGTTCAATTTTTGGTCGTGATGAGTCAAAAAATATGAAAATCTTAATTTTTCTCTTCCAGCTTTGAGTCCATACCTTGAATATTTCTGAATATTGAAATAAAATCTTTAGTTTTGTCTCAAAACTCACTCTGTTGCCGTTGAACATGATCCTTCATAAGATCCGCTTTTTTCTATCTTCTTTTACTGTTTCCAATCGTTTTATCAATTTTTTTATTGAAATTTTTTGTTCCCTTTCTACAATTAAATTGCTTTCAACAAAGGTCGGCAATCTTTTTGAAAATGCGGCGAACCTTTCTTCTTACTTTAAACTGTTTTTTTTTTCTGTTGCTTATCTTTTTTCCGTCCAGAATCCCAAAACACAATTTCCTTTCAGTAATGTCCCGGTGGGAAAGTTTTCCCATTAGCGAGCAGGAACAGAAATATCTCTCCGCCACAACAACAACGTGAGCTTTTAACCTATCTAAAAGTTGAGGATAAAACCTTTTTTTCTCAGAACTCCAGAGCCTATCACAGTTCAACACCTCAGACAGGGCCTCGGGGGCCTCATTAGACAAGAAATTTCAGGTGTGATGTTTTTGCCAAAATTATAATAATGGGTGAATATGAGTTGTAAGAACTTGAGAAAAATGAATTCAAATTATTACGCAATGGAACGATAGAGCGTGGGATGGAGGGAAAAAGCTTTACTGGAATTTATGAAAAGTTGACTAATACTTTTCGACTCTACACTGATCTCATAACGAAAATTTAGTACTTGTTTGTGAGCGATGAAACATTTCATTTTAAATACGAAGGAGACAAAAAAAGAATAAAGCTCAAAAAGAAATTCTCATATTTTATTGAAACGATATTATTTAAATTTCTCGCTATAAATTTATTGACCCTCTCAAAATCTATTCATCTTCCAGAAAGTGGACAGAATATCTGCTTCTACCGGTTCAATGGAGCAGATTCGCCAATACCGTACCTTTGCGAGTTGGGCTGCTGTAATCATGGTTGCTGTACTGTGTCAGACATCGCCGCGTGAGATATCATTTTTTTTTTCTCATGAAATAGTTTGAATGAGAACTTTCGACGAGCTTTCAAAGGTTTTGGGCTCTTTTGAACTTTCAAAAAAGAAGTCAAAAACTGAAATATGACTCTCCTGAACTCAATTCATAAAGTTCATACTCTAAAGCGTTCATTCACAAAAAAAATAGCTGAAATTGAGATTTTCAGAGTCATCGGGGTAGTGAATCCAAATTTTTCTGACCAAATGCAAATACTTTGTGAACCAATTCATAATGACCAAAAATTATGACAGGGAAAAAAATGGAAATAAAAAGGAAATAAAAAAATTCATTGAAATAATTTATTTCACACACCAGCCTGCCCTTGCATTTATTGAAATTCAATCTTAATTGGATTGCTTTTGGATTTTAAAATTTTAAGCAATGGTTAAAAAACGATTAGTGAACTTTCTGCTTTATGAATGAATCTTCAAACTTGTATCATTTATCAATGATTTCTGTTTCAGGAGAAGCACTTCATTTGGTTGGGCCATTGCGCTACTTGTCTTAGTGCTGATCACAATAGTTTTCGCCATCCTTGCCTTATTATCCGTTTGGCTGATGAACAGGCATAAAGACAAGATCCATAAGCAGCAACTGGCCGAAAGTACAATTGAAAGTTCTTCCGTTAGCCAGGTGGGTCAACCTAACCTCTCAATGATTCCAACAGAAAAGTTTCAAACTTTTGTTACAGATCAGTGGACCGACTTCTTTCTATCCCGAGGCGTACTTCCAGCCAAACATGGCTGGTTTCAAACCTTACTGAAAATTCATTTTTCTGTCATATTCCTTGCTTTTTCATGCCTACCTTTACCATTTGGACACATACTTAACCTTTTCGTACCGAGTTTACTTTTCTCCATTTTACTTGTTCTGTTTGACGCATTACGAAGCTCACAAGATTGTACAGTTTTGAACTGATAAATATTATTTTCTCAATATAACTTGGAAAAGTTTTTAACGAAGCAATTTCAATGAAATTATTGAATGTTTTAAATCAGATAAGTGGTTGTAAGACTTGAAATTTTGATTGATGAAGTCGTCAGCATGTACGTAACTTTTCAATAATACGATTTTTGCTAGGGTGGCTACCAGTTCTTTATTTAGGCGAAGTACTTCTTTCTTCTTAGTTTTGTAAAAAAGTTGATAGTGAATTTAAAAGAAACACTATAATACAGAAGATTTATAATTGAACACGGAGGTGAAGTACTGCATAAACCCGTGAAAATTAATCAATCAATAGAACTTCAAAACTTGAATATTGCAAGCTCAACTTTTTTCAAAATGATTGCTTCAAAATAATGGAAATTTTCTTGCAGGATTTTGATTTTTATACTAACTAGGAAACCACACGAACTATCTGTCCTCCTATTTTAAGGCTAGATAAATTTTTAGGCTATTTTTGTAGCCGGATCATTTGAGGCATCGTGTCAAAAGATACCATAAAGTAAAAAGCTGTAGCAGGAAAACTTTCAAGCTTGCTTTTCCACAACATTTTTCTCGGCGCCTTCTCGGGCTTAGCAGATAATATCGTTTTTGAGTATCCTGGCATATGTTCATAAATCACCAGAGTATGAACTCGATTTGCGTGGTCCTCTAGTTAAGTTTTATCTCATGCTTTACCCCACGGAAAACATGAAATCGAGTAAAAAAAACATGCACCAGTGCAGGTTTGTTAACCATACACGATTTTTCTCATTTCCCAACGTTCATGAAAAGCATTTGAAGAAAATGAAGCAAAGCAATTTTGTCGTGTTTCCGATAGAGTTATCAAAAAAAAAACATATATGACCGAGTCAAGCAATTTCCGCTACGAGTGTCCGTAAAATCAAAATTTTACAATGAAAAAGGAAATTTGATATTTTTTGCCCAGACCAAATGTTCATTCGTTGCCATCCTTTCAAGGTAAACTGAGAGTCGCAAAGTTTTACGGCTCTTTTTGTTCTGAGCCAAGGCTACGGGCTTATTTGTTGAAGAATGTCAGATCTGTCAGAATCCAGTGCACCTCCGTCACCGCCATGTTTACGGTACGCTTGTTTTTGCTAGCTTTCTCAAACCATTTTCTTGCTCATTTTTGTAAGCTTTGTATTACGATTAGTTGTAATCCGAGGTTTTAACTGTAATTTTTGACACAGTATAAATGCAATACGAAAAAAATTGGCTCTCAAAAAAATTCCTAGTTTTAAAGTTCATTTTTTTGTAAATCAAACTTATAGCTGAGATAACTCAGTGTGTTAAACGAAGGTACCAAATATTGATTTATTCATGCTTCAATAGAATCAAATAAGTTCAATCTCATTAGTTTCCATATGAATATATCTGATTTTTCCGCGCAAACGAATGAAACAGTTCCCATTAAATTGAGTGGATACCGTCAGAAAAGATACAAAAAACGGGGTTTTGGTCCCAACTTTCTTGCAAGGATTTCCATCTTTCTGGAACTTTCTGGAGCATTGATGACTGTTATTTTCAACACTCTGATAAAGTTTCAGCTCACAGAAAAAAAAAAACGATTCTACTCCTTACAAGAAAATTGTGACCAAAGTCGCGTTATTTCGCATATTAACGGTACCGTATTTCAAAAGTTTCCTTCATTTCTATCATGATCCAGTCTCTCTCTTGAATAAAGTATTCGAAGTGTTTGAAACTTTCAGAATGAGAAGAGCCGCAGGAGCTCACGTTCGCTCAACCCGGGTGAAAACAGCCATGTTGGCTAGAACTGGAATCGATGGGAAACTTTTAGCGCCATCTTTAAAGTTTGGAACTTCTGGAATAGCTCCTCAATTCGAAGTTCAGAACCGAATATGTACGGAACATTCTGCACAAAAAGTACCAAACAGGAGCCATGGCTGCTGTCTGGCAAGAAGAACATCAGCGAATGCCGCCGCCGCCACCAGTAGTCGTACCGAGAAGACCTCGCAGATGGTTAATATTTTCGAAACACGTGAGATAAAAATGAGATAGCGAAGACCGAAAGTGGGCGCTCATGTAAAAAAAAACTAAGGGGGTTCGTTTCAAAGCCTAAAGACCACGATGAACATTAAAAAACAAAAAGTTCGAGATTTGTGCCAAGTGGCAATCCAATCAGACTCGATGAGTCTTTGATGGCGACGTCAAGACGCGCGGGTAATCCTACCTCAAAGCACTTTCTTTCTTTTCTTGAAACGCCACCGTCAAGGCTTAAAATTCCAATATTTGGACCCATCTCGACTGCGACGTTGTATGACCCATTCCATATTTCAATTTCTCGCTTTTTTTCATTTCAACCCTAGATGGCGTTGAATCTTGACGTTGAAGACCTTGAACTTGACTATTTACGGCAAGTTTTTCTTTCTTTTTTTCTAATAGACTGAGTGAGTTTTCATAATCATTAAGCTGTATGAGGGCAGTTGAAAAAAAGCGAGGTTTTATTAATTTTGTTTTTGTTGAATAGGATCCACATCAATTCGATTTTTTTGGAATTTTTTTAAATGTTCTCAGATTCTTATTAATATTCCAGGCTGATTCCACCTTTATGCTAACTTTTTTTTATCAGAAGCATCAATTTTTTTGAAATTTTCACTGGTTCAAAAAGTTTTTTTATAGTCCCATGACATTGAAAAATTTTTCATCCTAAATTTCTATTGGATTCAAAGAAAAAAATAAAAAGAACAAAGCGGATATTCAATGGCGCCCTATGAAAAAATCAGCCCCTATAAAATAGTATAATATTATCAAATCCCTTCCATTCGATAACAATATTCAAATTTACAGCCGAAGATCAGTCTCCAAAGATGAAAGTCCTCGTAGCGGTCTGAAACCAAACGACACTCTTGGCGTCGACAGACGGGAATCTTCTTGCAGCGTACAAGAGCGCCGAATCGAAGAGCAAAGGCTTGATCATTTTTTTCCACTCAGCTATTTTTATCCCATTTTTTCAATATATTGAACGTTTCAAAAAGTTTTAATGATTCAAGAAAGAATTTCAGAAAATACAGTTCATTCGGTGTGGAATCGCCTGTTCACGTCGACCTTGTTCCAATTCCTTCTACTCCGAGAGTTTCTCAGTCCTTCACGGAAAATTGGCATGCTTCTATCATTGTGATTGAATACTGTTAGTAAAAGGAATTTTCCTAAATTTCAGAAAAAAGTTTCTCAAATCCGTGGCAAGAGCGTGCCGTCGAACTCAAGAACTCCAGATCGCTTGAAACTGGATGATGAGTGGAACTCTCAAGAGGACAAAAATAAGGTAAAAAAAAATGGAGTTTCCGTTAAAGTGTAATAAAAACCTCCAAAAAAGATCAGAAAAAACAATATTTCAGGTGCGCAAGTCAACTTCTTTCAATGAACCAGTTCAGGAAGTGGTTTTCCGTAAACAGGTTTGGAAAAAAACATTTTAGAATTGAAAAAAACCTACTGGAATACTTTTTATTAAACCAAATTTGGATGACTTATGATTATGGGAAGTTTAATTTCCGATATGAGAAAGTGAAGCAAAACTTTGGAACTTCATAGTTTCGAAACCCTATATCTTTGTCAATTTCACTTCAAAACACACTCAACCAGTTCAAAAAATCATCAAGAATATTTTCTATCAGTTACCATTCAAGAAACTTGAAAGAAAATGTCAAATGTGAGAATGAGAAAATAGAAAAACAGTAACTTTTTTTAAATTTCTCGAACGTTCCATCGTTGTTAAAGTCCCTAGAGCCGTCACACAACAAAACGGAACATATCAAAGCTACCGTACTTTTGAGATTTGCGGAAATTACCTCTTTCTCCATTTTCCTGCATTTTTTTTCACTACAACAAACGCCGTGGAAGCGAATTTCTCAGAACTTACAAAAAAGAAAACGCATGATCAGTCTAGAGAGCTTCGAATCACAACGACCAAGTCGTTGAACTCTTACACAGGTGCTGAAAGTAAGGCTCCCACCTGGCAGACTTTTTTTTATTCTCGAAAAAAGTCTGGACGTAAATAATCACTGCATGTGGGACTTCAAACACTTCTTCTTCTCTTCTTGCTGTGAGGTGGTTTAGATGACATTTTTGAATAGAGTGGAGACGATTTTTTGGTTACTGCTGTATTGTATCCGGAAAAAAGTCGATCAGAGAAAATTTAATAATAGTTTTCATTCCAACTTTTTGAAAGCAAAGTTTTGGGAAATTTTCTTGTCGATAGGTTGAAAACTTTTGAAAAAACAGATTTTATTTTAACAGGAATTAAACTGTCACAAGCTCAAATTGATTGATTACTCTTTTTTTGAGTTTTTCGAATGCTCTAACCAAATTTACCATATTATAAAGCCATTGGTGGTTTATTAATCATACCATTTTATTTTTGGATCGCCGAATTTTTTCCCGACTATTATGCTTCAAAATACTTCAAACCTCTTGCCAGCATTTACAATAGATAGCAGTCTTTTAAGATCAGAATATTCATTTTGAAACGGTGAACACAGTTTAGCATTTCGAGAAATCCAGTGCGCAAATATTGAACTATACTGTAACTCACCACACTTCAATATGTGAAAAGTTCGCAGTCTGGGTTTATTTTGAACTTGTTCCAACAGACATCCTCTCCTAAAGCTTGTTGAAGTCGCAGAACCTTCCAAAAACAAAGATCACCCTTTTTTCTTTTTTTTCCACATTTTTCCGCGAATAACCATCTTTACTGTCATATTTATAAGAGGAACGGGTAAATACAAAAACCCGACAAAATGTGACGTGATGGTGCAAAGTTGGATGTGGGCGAGCGGCGGCTTTCGGCACTCGCAAAAATTATCTTGTGTCAAGTGGCTACACGAAACCCTCGAACTGTCTAGGGTATTTGAACAGGTAAAGCTGTAGCAACAGCCATTTTTTTTATTTTCGTCCTACTTCGTTCTTTAGTTGCCTTTTGTTCTTAAAGTCACGAACTTTCGTCTCTCGGCTAGGTCAATGAACTTTGAAACAAAAAAAAGTTCGAGAATCACCTATTTCTGCTAGTTTTCCTGACGAAATAGTATAATTTTTTTCAACGAAGATCAAAACTGGGCTATTCCTCGTGAAAAAAAAACTCCTTCCATTTCTGTCGGAGTCTGTTTCCTGTTTTGTGTTAATCCATTCATAATCTGTCCAAATAAGTTCATAGTATTGATTTTTGAATTTTAATTAGCAGCCTTTAAATTGGTAGTCGCTTAAAAAAACTCTCATTTCTCCTCTTTTTAAACTAAAAACGTTGATTTTGAAAATTACAACTACGAACAGGAATTATACTATAAAACTTTATGAAACTTTTATCCAGTTTTCAGAGAAAGTACCGTTTTGAATCATGGAATAATTGAAGGGTTGTTTGTCGGTTTGCGAAACTGTCGTGGATCAAGCGTAGACGAGAATATCTCGCTTGTGATAGTAGTTGTGCAAGGCTAGTGGGCGTTGGATTGAACCTTAGGTAAAAAGTGGAAATGGAGACCGACCACTGGGGATGAAGAAATGAGTTAATAAACTATAGAAAACATATTTTGAAATCTTGGTGGAACTTTTTTCGAACAAGCGAGTTTTGAAAAATATGAAAACCTATTTTCTCTATAAACCGAGTTTGGGGTTTTTTGCAATTTTTTTACCTGTACATAAGATGATATACGACTACAATCAAAAATCAGAATTTCCTGGAGTTTATTTTTTCTGCCGATTGATTCAAATTATCCAGAAAAGGGCTTAAAAAAAGTTATTTCCAGAGCAACAATAACCGACATTTCCAAGCCCACCCAAAAAAAAATGTTTTTAGGTTTCAAAGTTTAGTTTTCCAGACAAAATTGGTGTCCTTTTTCGAGTGGCTTTATTGACACTCCGTTGAAGGGCAACTTTTTGAAATAGCTTTCATTGAATTCGTTCATTCTTTTGCTTGCCCTCCAGGAAAAAAAACGCCTACCAAGGATTGAGTAAAAGGCGAAAAATCTTCCAATTGCCGACGACGTCTTTGATTTCACGTGTCGCGCCGCAGATGCAATTTGGACACACTGTGCGGCCTTGCGTGTGATTCTTTTTTCCTATCCTCTTCAATCACGAATCTAAGTCAGCTCACCGCATCTATACTTTGGTAACTTTGTCTTGGAGCAATATTTCTGAGACTTTTTAAAAAAATTTCGATTGCTTTGCCACCTGCACTCGAATTTATTTATTTTATAAGTTGAGGCCTTGAATTTGTGGAAATGCTTGTGAGTTCAAAAAAGTTGAAGGTACAAAAAAATCTCACGACTATATTTAAAAAAACTTATATTTAATTTTTCTCTCATCATCTACCACTGCTTTTTTTAAACCTCACGTTCTGATCGGCTCTTGAGATCCTATCATAACTTCTTCTTTTGTTTGGAACAAAACCAAAACTTTATTCATCGTCGAACTTAAGCCCTCAATAAATAGAAAAAAACTTTTTCAGAAATGCTCTATTTTTTTAACCTTCAGAAGTTCAATCCAATGTCCAAAAAAACTATCTATATCTGCTGAGCTTGATTGAACAGGATTTATAAGCGATAGAACGGAAATCAAGGTAGAATTGGGTTTTGCGCTGCGATATCTCTTCAATATTGATATTTTTCAACAAAAAAAAAATAAAAAATTTGAAATTTTATTCAGAGCTTGCTAAAAAGCGAAGGCATACCGTTATCGAACCGGAATTATAAAGTTTTGAAAGCAAAAAATAATAAATATCTTTGGCGTTTGCATCGGAGGAACGGGAAATGTTTGAAAACGCAAAAAGGTGTCGATAGCCCTTTCAAAATTGCTCGGAAACAGTAATAATTTTTGATTTAAAGAAATTTTGTTGTCGGGAAAAGTTTCATTACGTGCGATGAAAAAATTAAATCGTGAATTCGCGTAAGCTATGATTTCACGCAGTTTTTATCTGAATCCAGAAAACTTGACACAGAGGGTCAACACGAACCAAAACAAATAGAGAAGAAGAAAGACGGGGCTTGGGTAAATTTCAAATTAAAACCCATCGGTTATGTTGATTCACATTTATGGAGCCTCGAGCAAAACGCACTTCTCGTTTCGCTTTCGGCGAGCACATTGTCGTCATAGGAATTCTAGTCCTCGTTTCTGCCTTCATTGGCAATTTCTCGCCCAATTGGAGAATTTCGCGATTTTTTTTTCTTTCCATTTGCGCCATCGCATCGTGCTCGCCTTTATGGTCAGCTATCACGTGCGCAGAGCCATCGGAAGCCCGAAAACATCCTTTTGGGCGATCTGCCACCACGAATTCATCATTGAACTCGGAGCGTGGAGGCTGTCGAAAAGATTCCCCAGGGAGCTTCTCCCGTGAAGATATTCAAATTGCGTGCCAACAAGGACGCGAACACCTCAATATACATATCGTACGCTCTCTATTTTTACTTTCGTGAAACTTGAAAATTCCAAAACAGTCTTGAATCTTCTAAAAATATCAAAACGTAAGAAAGTCTTTGAAAAAAAGGAGCTCAGTTTACTATGGAAATTTCAGTGCAAACAAGAAATCTTGAATTTTTGTTCAATGAATAAGTTTTTTCGAGTGAAGTTCGGAAAGTTGCATTATACTTCAGATGCTTTTCTTCCGCGTTCTTTCTCCCACTCATCCTCTTGAGATTTTTTCCATCTATCATACTTTTTCTTTTCTTTTGGTTCAGTTTTTCCCGTTTCAATTTCGACAGCTTGTCTGTTTTGACTAGTTTGAACTTTTTTCTGTCATATCAACTCCATTGAAAAAAGTTTTCTCCTGCTGATAATCTTTTTCAGCGATTTATTGATTTTAAGTTGTTTTGAGAAGACGTTTCCAATCATTGAACTCTCTTGAAATTTTGATGCACATACAAATATTCATAAAAAAAAGGTTAGAGTGCAGTTTCAGAATGAATATTACTATGATAAACTATTGTAGTTGGAAGAAGTCAAAATGAAAGCTCCATTGTTTCTCTTTCAAATAATCCAAACCATGCAATAAGGTCTGGAAATTCGAGTGGGTTTTCGATGGTTCGGAGGTTCAGATGTTGAGCTGCAAAAGTTCCCCGCTTGAGCTGTTTGTAATGCCCGTGTTTTGTGCTGGAGACACAGAGAAAAGTCAGAGAGGGGCTGGCCGAGCCAACGCCGCACAGCATTGCGTGATGAAAGCCGAGGCGATCACTAACTGATCGAGACTCAATCATATGGACCGGCTTGGACGAGTATGGTCGAAGCTATCGATCCGACGGCCTGTCCTGGCGACGACAGAAGCCGCTCTCGACGTTGACGAGACTCCAGACACTAAGAATGAAGTCTTCCAAATGTTTGCTGGCACGTCTTCTACTCCTGCCGGAGCTGGTCCTCAACGTCGAAAAAGCGATGTCTCCCATAAAAGGGTCGTTTTGGATAACGTGCAGAACGGAAACCGGCGAAAGTCTGGCGAAAGTGCGCATCACAAAGCTCGTCTGACTGACCCGGATATTATTCGAAGTTTTCCTGTTGTTGACGTTCCCTCGTTAGAACATGCCGCTACTGTAACCGATATGGTAAGTGAATTTTTAATATTGTATTACCCAAGAAATTTTGCTCTCTCGTTTTCCGCGACGTCATTCGTGTGTAGAGGAGTTGACACGTCCGGAAATGAAATTTGACCAATTATAAACTATAAATAATTTAGGAGTATTCATTTTGGAACACACTCGCATCCTAAAATGTCAGAATTTTCAACATCTTTTTCTATGTTTTTTTCTATTCTTGTCGGAGCTGTTTACTTCTTGAAGACTATAAATTCACGCTTTGTTTTCCAAAGAGAATTCAAGTATACTCATTGATTTTGATGCTTCACAAATAAGGTTCAGCTAGTGAAAACAGAGGTTTTTCACTTTCTGCTTCAAAAATTAGTGATTTATTAGTAAAAAGCACACATTATTTTCTCTTTTTTTGCAATTTTTTTAAACCTCTCTGAGAACTCAATTATTTTTTTCAATTATTTCTCTAAAGTTATTCTTTTCTTTGACGAGAATACACAATATCCTCAGAATCTCGTACTCACTCCGGTTGTTAATGGGTGAAAAAAGGCTGAATGTCTCAGATCACATGACGCGGAGGGAGCACCACATAACTCTCGACCTTATGTTGAATCTCAAGGATATTCATTACCCATTGGAACATCTCAGAGAAAAGCTTCTCCACGGAAGTGTCTTGGAAAATTTTCACGAAATAACGGAAAACCATTTTTTGAATTCTTATTTTTTGAAAAAAGCTGATTTTAGAGTTCATCGAAAGTAAATTATCATAGTCTAATTTTTGTTTTTTTGTCGAAAGTTTTCGGGAAACTGCGAAAATTCGAAAAATGTTTCAATAAACAATGTTTTCCTTATTGGGTTACCCTCCATTCTACTCTGAAAGAAACAAGATTCAAAAAAAAAATTCCAGGTTGATAAAAATGTCTCCGGCTCTTTTAAATCCCTAGAAGAAATATATCCATTTTTTGAGCCTTTTCAAGAAATATCTCACCGTTTTCAATCGGTAATAGTTAATACTTCGCTTGAAGGTTACGTTCGTTGCTCACGTTGGAATGCGTAATGGGTTGTTCCCACAGGTCGTGGATTGCAGAATGTGCCCGAGTGCTCGAAGGAATCTGGAGAAGACGCAGTTGTGAACAGCCCTCGGAGAAGCAGTTTCGTCGACAGAGGATCTGTCACCATGGATTCCATTAAGAAGATCAACCTTGAAGATGTCTACACGGTGAACAAACAGGTTTGTTTTAAGTTATTTCTTGAGGAGGATCGATTTCAAAAACACTAGTTGGTTTATCCAAAAGTGTGATCCAAGGCTCTGGGAGGTCAAAGGAGTTTTTTTTTGCATGGAAATACAAAAAAAACATCAAACAACTTCGATGCCCGAGTTGAAGTTCAGCTTCTTTGCATTTTCATCATTAGCAAACCCAAAACTGAGTCCATAGTTGAAATTAACTTCCCTCTTCATTTTAATATTAAATTTTCGATTATCCTGACAACAAAAAAATTTTTATGCATTTTAATATTTCCGTCCTTGTGGTGGAGGTTCAGAAAACTTTTGGAGCATTCTCACATCCATCAAAACCCGCGGATTGAAGTTTTATGGGAAAAAGAGCCATTACTCAATTTTTGATTATCGACTACATGTGTTTGCATTGTGAGGGATAAGTGATCCGATTGCAGCTGGGAACTGGTCGATTCGGCTACGTGAAGCTTGCCGAGCACAAACAGTCGATGAAAAAAATCGCCATCAAATTTTTCCCAAGGCCACAGACGAAACAAGTTGGTCGGCTTGGATTTTGTTCTTTGAAAGTCTGAGGGTTTCCGAATATTATACGGAAAAGATATCAGTTTGATGGAGCTGCTATAAAGCTTAGACGCCTCACTTTTTCTCGAAAAAAATGACAAAAAAGTGACAAAAAAGTTAAAGTAATAATATAATAATCGTTTCCAGTTTCAATATTCTAGCAGCTTACGCATTATTTCTCATGATACAGCTCAAAAACTAGTACTTTCAAAAAGTATGAGAAAACCTAATGAGAAAATCAAAGCTGGAAATTCTCAAACCGTTTCTAAAAAGTCATCTCATATGATGTATAATCTTTAGGCGGACTTTGTCCGAGAATACAACTACTCAGTGTTCTTGAGTCCACACCAAAACATCATCGACACGTTCGAAGGAATGTTCCAGTCGGTCAACGACTCGGCATTTTTCTTCGTCCAGGAGTTCTGCCCAAGAGCGTCGTTGCGCGAGGCCGTCGAAGCCACAAATCAAAACGGTTTGTTCTGAGAATGTGAAGGGCGTGTGGGATCACCTTTCATAAATCAGAAACACACTAAGTTTTTTTGGGCTTTTTAAAAAGAAAAAAATGGAAGAAATTTTTGAAAAATTATAGCCTAACTTGACAAAAAAATCAAAAAAACGGAAAAAAAGACTAGAGCAGCTGGTCTCAAAAATTTCCAAAAATTTGTCCATTATTTCGGAAATCCCTGTCTATTAAGAACAAAAAGGTTTTTTTGGAGTAAAATGATTATTTCTGGAAAGAACAATGATATCAACAGCCTCATTTTGAGCTTTTTTTTTTAAAGTTAGAGCCTTTTTTCAAAAAGAAAAATCCGCAAAGAGATCCGTAACATCTTCATTTCAAAGAAAAACCGCAGGTTCTTCAGAGTTTTCACCGTAATCCTGGAAAATAACGCTCTGCCAATTTGTTTCGTCTGATAAAAAGCTTCCGAAAGTCATTACAACCAGGAATAGCTATTTTCTGGCACATTTAGCTTCATGAGATAGCAACGGCATAATGGCGCTTCCAAGTGAGAATTCTCGGCAAAGGATGGGACCCGGAACAAATTCCCGCTGAATACTTCAAAGCAAGCCTCTTTTTCAAAGAACAAACGCATTAAAATCTCCTTTCATTCAGAAAAAAAAAGCGTTTATAGAGAGAATTTACAGGCATCGGAGAAGCCAACGCGAAGAAAGTTTTTGCTGCGGTTCTGTCGGCTATGGAGTTCATGCACGATGAAAACTTGGTTCATCGCAACCTGAAAGCTGAAAATATTTTGATCTTCGACACTCACGATTTCTCTAAAGTAAGAGAAAGAACGGAGTTTTTTTATGTTAGAATTCTTGCAATCAAGTTCATATATAATACAATTTGAGTTATACATACCTATACTTCAAATCTCAAATTCCTCACGCAAAACCAAATTTCCAGGTGAAAGTAACAGATTTCGGACTGACGCGCAAAGTGGACGCGACTGTCAAATATCTCGAGTACGTGAATAACTACCACGCGCCCGAACTCTGCGAAACCGTTGTCAACGAAGTACTTACTGTCAACCGATCCACTGACGTTTGGGCACTCGGTAAACTTTGGTCTTTTGCACTTTTTGGAATAGACTTTTGTCACGTTTTTTGGAAAATTCGGGATTTTCGATGAAAATTGAATCTGCTAATCATCAAAATTTTTCACGTAACCAAAATGTATTGAAACAGTGATGATATCAAAGCGAGTAATTTGTAACATCAGAAAGTGTTCAATTTTGAATTTTTTGGATTTTGCAGCCTCTCAGAACCTGTAGTACTAATTCTCTAGTTTTTCGGGAGATGGGAAAAAAAAAAATAAAAAATAAACTTGCATGAACTCAAATAGTGTAAGTAGAACGTCGTTTAAAAACTGACGTCAGAAGCTGTTATGAGAGAAAACTTGTTTAAAGATTTTAATTCAGCAATATTCAAATCGGACCGTTAGGCTCTTTTTTTGAAGCTTTAACCTCAAAAATCATTTGCAAAATGATTGAGATTGTTTTTTGAAAACCTCTCTGTGATCCTCCAATAACCTACCACGCTGTTAGTGAACCAACTGTGTGTCTATTTTGATGCCCGGCGTTTTTTGGTCTCTCATGAGCTTCTCAGTCTTTTTCCTGCTTTTTTTTTCTGAAAACAAATCAGTGTGGCTCAACAAGCGGCTAAAAAAAAGAAGGGCAGGAAGTGGGGAAACTGTTGACTTTTCCGGCGAGTGACATGTGTTTGGCGGCGCGTTCTGACCCCTAGTGTCTTCTCCCTGGTGTGAGCTTCTTCCCGCTCGGAGCTATTTTTGATCCAAGCTGATCGCACATTTATCGTGGCGCCGCTGACGTCAGAGCTTTAAGTTTTCCCATCGAGTGTCGCGGCGCCTCGTTGCCACATCTTGATCTTGTCATTTGCGATTAGTTACAGCTGCGAAAGAAGCAAAAAACGTTTTTTGAAGTCTCCTGCACGTTCTCGCAATTCGAATAGAAATGAAAAGGAACTTTTTTTGAAACAGGGGGATTTATAAGAGGGAAATCTTTTAGAAAGTAGAAAAATGAGGAAAAAGGGAAAAATTCACTTGGAAGTGTGAAGAAGAGTTCCAGCAATATGGAAAAAATTAATCATCAAATTAAATAGCTGCACATTTTTTTATATTTTACAACTGCCCCAGGAGCAGTACCATCAGGAAAGATACAGCAAAGGCGACTTTCTTGTGAAGGATTCAATCTTCCTGATAGTTTCTAGAGCTATGTTTTTTTCTGTGAACCAAAACTTCATCAGAGTTCTAAAAAAAAACAGTCATCATGACCAGAAAGTTTTAAGAAAAATTAACTCCTTACAAGAAAGTTTTTACCGAAACTCCGTCTTTTTAGTATCTTTTCTGACGGTACTGTAGATTCATTTACCTCCGACTTCATCTAGAAATGATGATAACCAGATGAAACTTTCAGGCATAATCTTCTTCTACTGCATGAAAGGACGGTTTCCGTGGCAGAAAGCTTCGATAATGTGCAAGGCTTATTGGGAGTGGGAACAGTGGCTCAAGCGCAAGAACCCGACCTTACCCAAGAAGTTTCTGCCTTTCAGTGAAAAGGCTCTCAAACTGTTCAAAAAGTGAGTTCTTCCAGAAGAAAATTTTTAACTCGAAAAGATTTTTAGAACTCTCACGCCGCGTCCCAAAGATCGCTGGACGGCCAAAGACATGCGAAAATGCATAGCAAAAGAGAAAATTCTGAAAAATATCAAGGTAGAAGATCCCTACTATTAATTATTGTTTTTTTCCACATAATTACATCATCTCGCTTCTGATCACCATTTTGAGCACTTCAACAAAAAAGTCAACTCTTTTCTCAGCAGCAATAACAACTGACCTTTATGAAAGTCACTCTGATGTCTTTCTCGCCAACTTTTTTTCAGCACACTTATCACTGAAACACGTTGAGATACAATAACTTTATTCCCAGATTGTGATCCACGACCAAATCAGTATAATTCATTGTTCTCCGCTTGTCTGAATCATTTTATATCATTCTACCGACTACCTATCGAAGACGCAATAATTCTAACAACTCGGAATTTGATTTTGAACGGAAACACGAGTCATAAACCTTGCAACATGAAAAGCGCTCCAGTTATGACATCATAAGTACACGGAATTACTTAGTTCAGGTACGATCATAGAGTGCGCTAACATTTTTTTTTCTTTTCGAGAGTGAATAACTCCACTAATCAATTTTTTGCTCAACCGATTCGCTTCTTTTAACAAGAGTGTTTTTTCAAATAATCTCTGACTTGATTTCTGGCAATAACTCATTTGATTTTTTGCAGAAAAACGATATCTACTACGTTCCAGAGTTTTCAAAAGTGAGTCTGTCTTAAATTTCTTTTTTACAAGAAGGCTTGTAGCATTGGTTTCGGAATTTTCCTGAAACTTTTATGAATGATAGATGTAATCTCTGGAGCCCCCGGTTTTCCAATTTTCCTGTTTCCCGTAAGCTGAGGCTTCAAAGTCGAAGGAAATCACTATGTTCTGGTTAAATGCGCATGTGTGGACTTTGATTTTTAAATGCCAGTCTTCAGAAAACTAGCGATTTGTGCACACCCTAATTTTCAGGGTCTTTTTTTAGTACACAAAAAATTTTTTTCCACTGCTAAAAAAAGAACACATAAAACGATCATTGCACGATTCGCCAAACACGATATGTGGTTTTTTTTTGTTTGGAACGAGCAAGAAATAGAGTGAGCAAAGCCCAAAATAGAACCTTTTTTGGTTGCATATACCACAATCGAAAAAACCTATTCCAATTAATATATTTTTCAGCCACAGAGTGAGCGGAATGTCGAAGGGAACTCTAAACGGTCGACTTTGCAACAGTGGATCAGTACCACTTTGACTGCAATGGCCGAAATCAGCGAACAAGTTGTTTCTGCAAGAGATGACTGATCATTTGGTTTCCTTGTTGAAGCAGTAAACTCATCTTCAATTGTTTCATAATATGAATTTTCTTCATCTTTCTTTTGCTTCTTGATTCTTTTCTATTCTTTATTGCTGTACAAATCGTGTTTTGCCAGATCAAAAATTTGATTAACCCTTTCGGAATTTTTCTCTCTCTTTTTTTGAGTCGAAAAAAATTACAAAAAATCAAAAAAAAAAGTTCTTCCCTTCCCGGCAATATTTTCTCGACAGAACCGGTACCTCACCATTCAGTTCAAACAACGTTTTTAATCAGTTAGATTCTCTGTTTTCTGTAAGTATTGTATGAAATGTGAAGTATTCCTACGAGTGTAAAATTACAAACAACAGCCGAATTTTTCTCGTCCTCTGATTTTGTGAAATAAAATGAAGCAATTTGAGAATTGTTCCTTTTGACACCTCTGAGCGTCATCCTTGCACATCCAATTTCCGTATAAAAAGTGATACTTTGGCTCGATGATTTGTAATAAAAGTCCTACTTTCAGAATGAATAAGAGTTCATCGTATCCCAGGAAATGATGAAAATTCGATATAATTTTTACTAGCTGATTGCTAGAAAGAGCTAATGTACAATCTTTGTTTTAAAAACAGATATTTTTGAAAAAATCAACTAAAACCTCTTCTCACCTTTGTAACGAGCAGTAAAAGCTTTTTCTAATTCATTACAACGTTGGGAAATAATGCAACGACAAGAAGAAATATACGTCGACAAAGAGAAAATTTGTGGAAATCTGTGATTGGAAAAAGACAAACAACGTTACCCACGCATCTCCAGAAGTTTTCCTTGAAAATTCCCATATTCAGAGACCGCAGTTTTTGTTTCGACTTCATCCCCATGTTTCGTACGACAGATGAACTGGTTTGTGATTTATTTTTTTCATTCTAACTTTTTGAAAAATGCCCTCAAAGATGTGAAATCTAAAAAGAGTTTTCTATGAAATTTCACTCACCCGTCAATTTTAAGGTAATTTTTGATTGTTATGAGTACAGCAATTCAAAAAGAAGCATTCAATTGTTGAAATAATAAGTGGCCGTCTATAGAATCTGTTTAAGGATGTTAATAAATTCGTCCATGTGAGTCTTCGTTCGGAATGCGACGAGAACGACAAAATAACCCTGCCGTTGACTTTTCGGCTCGACAATCCGTCTTTGGAGAGAATGTCTGTCAAAAAGCTGAAAAGCGTTGAGACAAACTGTAGGTTATCATGCAGCAACATGATATTACATTTTCGAGAAATTATAGATTTTTTTCCCGTTATTGATCTTGTCTTTGTCCGAGGTGACGTCACTTTTTCTCCGCGTATGGATTTGAATTACGAAGAAGCTAAAAACGCAGGTTTTAGAGCCATACCCGAGCAAAAAATTTTGTCAGGTTTCTATGAATGCGTGCAAACTATTACGAAGAAAAATCGACGGTTTCCGCTCGGGAAAGAATGCGAATCAAGGAATAATGGTCTTAAGTGTCATTATTTTTATCGAATTAGCACATTCTAGGGTATCTTTTCTTTGCTTATAAAACAATGGAAGACATGCACACGAGGAAGTTCACTTCCTGTTGGAAAACATGGACTGGCGCAAGAATGCTCTGCATGAGGATGCCCCCTTCGCTCACAGTTTCCCGGTACGTACATGAAAAGGAATGGTACTCCTAGATTCGAAGCATCTTAATAGACTCATTTTTTGCAACTTATCTTTTTCCTTATGATTTTCCATCTGAACCTTTGAAAAATTTCAACTTTCGAATTTCAGTCTGTCGTTCTTCAGACGAGTCAACGGAACGCTCAACTTCGAGTACGTTCTCATAGCCAAAATTAGAGAAATGATGGTTTGTTTTTTTTTTGTCCGTGCGTACAGAAACGCATAGAAACTGCTTCTAACCACATTTTTTTAAGACAGATGCAGCGGCTGCTCTGAATGTCCTGAACTATTTGAAACCGAAAGTGTGCGCCTACATGGGCGCTTACCGTAGAGTTCCCTTCGAAGTAAGAATTCCAGGAACTCCTTCTCTGGATTGATTTATAACTTTATTTCCAGGCCAACAAGCAGCTCTGCAGCAGTCTCGGAATTTCCGATGTTGATTTGCCTAAGACGGTGACTAATAGACTTCGCGTTTCCTACAGCAACCATACGGGTTTGAGATCTACTTTTGCAGAGAAGATTTATTTTTGAAGTTCAGTTCTTGGTCTCAGGTTCCAATTTCAAGATATGATTTATGGAATGTGCATCGTTCGGGCTGAAACCAAACCCAGAAAAGCAAAATTCCTTCGAGAAAGAAAAATTAGGATATGTAAAGATAAAAAAAAGAAAATGAAGGTTTAATATTCTCAAGTTTGTTGCGAGTTTTTGAGAAAAGTCATAGTTTGAAATTTTTATTTTCATAGTCTGGGTACCACGACTTGAAATTTCACCGAACGACATTCCGTTGTTCCGCTGCGTGCGTTCGCAAAGCGTCTTCCGAATCTAGGTCACACTTTCAATTGATTGTTATTGCTGTGAGCACATGAAAATAGAAAAAAAAAATTAAAATCGTGACCAAGGTTCGCAAAGGCGCGCAGCGGCACAGCGGAATGTCGTTTGGTGAAATTGCAAGTAGCGGTAGACAGGATATAACAAAGACGGAAAAATAGGACTTTTTTTCATTCATTTTTTTTTCCAGCCTATGTCCAACTTTCTCACAACGTCGAGTTCCGTTGTGAAGAGACTCATATCAAAGTTCCACCAATGAAGATCTGCACAGGAGTACAGACAGATCTGAGTGTCATCAACAATAATCGACGCCCACGAAGATCTTTACCTAGGTTCGCTCCTCCGAACATCACATGTTTTCACATCATTGACACGCAATTTCTGAGTTCAAAGATCATGATTTTAGAAGAGATTCTCTCAACGGAAACTCTGAGAACCGATCCGAATTGTTCACAGTGACTACATCTGTGTCTCCGAGAAGTTGCGAACCTCACTCCAACACAAAGTTCGTGACAGTTGGAGAGCATTACATGCTGATTCTAGGTAATTATCAGAATTCAAAGCTTTCCATCCCAAAATGAATCGCCGTGACATCTCATCAAGTTATGCAATTGCAGATGCAAGCGCCCTTGAAGATGAAAAATATGCAAAACACGCTACTGCTGGAAAGGAGGTGAGTGCTCGTTGTCTCAGCCTATTTTCAGTCAGGTTTTTTCATTACTGTTCAAGTTTTCGCGATTTCCTTTCCTTTTTTGACCAGCTTCTTGACTAGGATTTCGCTTGAAAGAAATAGGGACTCTGCAAATCTAGCAATTTTCCTCTGACGGATCTAGGAATTTTCCCATCCAACTTTTGAAAAGTGGCAGTTGGGCTGGCTAGCAACCGAAAAGAGAAGCTTAGGACAGTCACGTCATATGCACGCCTATTTTGTTGCAGGGGACGGAAATCGAACAGAACGACAGGGAGAGCGAAGTTGAAAAGGAAGAAGTCCCAGATTCGCTCCTTCCGGCCCCACTTCTTCCTCTCGTTCCCAAGTTTACCTTTTGCAACTGTTCAAAGAGATCCCCGAAGAACTTATTTCTTCCAAATCAATCCGTTCTTTCTCTTAGGGACGATGGCGCTCTCTTACGAAAGCTCAAAACACGATATTTCAACTCGCCGGAGTACACAGCCGCTGAACTTTGCAATCCATCCCCAACCTAATTATTTATGATTTTCTGGAACATTTTATATCCCGCCGACAACGGAAATCCTGTCTATCAACTATTCCTTTTCTATTTTTCAATTCCGTTCCAATTACGTTCAACTATTCCGAAAGTTCTTTTTTTACTGAAATTGATTTCACTTTATAGTTCTCTTTTTTTCATTTGACCTCAAAAAGTTTTTTTCTATAATCTCCATCAACTCGTTTTCATCAAAATTACCTCATTCAATTTTTTTTCCTGTTTTTTCGAATATATGATTTTTTTAATTTGAAAAAAATGAAAAAAATTTAACCGTGCTTATAACTCTGTGTTGATAGAGAACTTTCCAATTTTTCATAAAGCCTCAAAAAGCTTGAAATAAGCTATTAAAGATGAAAAATTGGTCTTGAAGACAACCCTAAGTACCCATAAAATGCTCAATTCGCAAAATGAACTAATTTTTGAGAAAGCTCAAAGAGCATTCGTATCTTCTATTTTTTAAAGTTTTGTGTTCAGCCTACCTGGTTTTTTGGACTGAAAGTTAATAATGGAAAATTTTATTTTAATTCAGTTCGGAATAAATTAAAAATGAATATACTAACTTCTAAGTTCACTAATAAGCGCGCAAAAAAATGATTTTGATGAATTTTTTTTTTTTTTCACAAGTTGAAACAATCTAACGGCCAATTAAATATAAAGTATACCCTCAGGGCTTCTGATGTTTTTGAAGTCGAGTGTCGCAAACATTTGTGTGAAATTTTATGGAGAGAATATGATTTTTTTTCACATTAGAAGCAAATAATTATCACTAACCTTATTCGAAGATCAAAGGTGTGTGCTGAGAAAATAATGCGACTTTTAGGAGTACGTCGTTTGCATGTCAATTTCAAGTTAGAGCGCGCCTATTCTTTTACGAATTGCCTGAAACTTGCGCCGTTTGCTTTTTTTTTCTTTTTTTTTTGCCGAAGAGTGAACCGAGCGATACCTTTCAATTAACGCTAGAGAAAATGTGAATCAGTCACGAGAGTTTTGCCAACCCCCCAACAGCGCACCAATCTTTATGAAAAGCTGTATCTCCGCCCGCGCTACATTCTTTCTGAAAACACTTTGAATTTCAAAACGAGGCGGTGTTCGAAGAGGTGGAACAACTGAGATTCGAAGATTCGCATGCTCCGTCGACCACGAGGAGCTGCAGTGTCAGATGGCCATTATTTTCTTCGGATCTTTTTGACATGCCTTCTTTCCTGTGTCTTGTTTTCTGTTTCTAGTAGCTTTCAGTAGAAATCTGTGTAGATCTCGAGGTTCCCAGACTTCTTCGTTGAGAAACTCGAAATCCTCCGAACGACTCCCATTACGCAAACAAAACTTCTCATTCATTTCAGTTGGATAATTTACTATGCATTCTTTTTTCGAATCGTTAACTTTTTCTTATCATTAAAAATGCGTTCAAGTTCAAGATTTTTCCAGGGGAAACAGAAGAGCCGAATGAAGGTCATAACTTACTTCGCTGTTGTCACTGTAGTTGGTGCCGCCGTCGCACAGTTCGACCAGGTAATTTCAAATTTGTCTCGTTTTTTTGCAACTGAGAAATTATTTTATTTTTGTGTTTAAAATTTTCATAGCTTCATTTTGGTGGCAAACGGAGCTGTCAGTTTTTTAATTTTTTTTGAACTCAGAAGAAATTTTAGACTGTGGTGAAGATATTCATAAAAATATTGTAGGAAAACGAAGAGAACTTCATGAAGCGGTTCGACCCCAGCGCGTCCTATGGTAAAGCAAAGATTGGCTTCGACCCCAACGCCTTCCGCATGAGTTTTGGAAAGCGAAGTGTTCGTTTTTTTTCTAGATTCAATCAAACTTTTTAACTTTCCGAGTTAAAGCAAATTTCCGGGCGGCTGCGTTCTTTTGCAAGAAAAAATTGCAAATTTTTCCCTATTAGTCAGCAGGAAGAAGTTCGAAAAGCGTTCTAAGTGTGACACACCTTGTGATATTTGCTTTTTTTTTCCTTCTGAACTTTTCATTCAAATATATTGCTCAATTATCATCCACTTGATGATTAACAAGTTGCATCCTGACTACTGTAATCAGAAAGAAAACAACATTACCACGCATTTTATTGATAATTAAGCCGTCAATAATTGGAATGATAGATCATTTCAGCCTCCACGAACCCCAGAACTGCTCCTGGCCTCCTTGAACGACGACGACGTACAGAAATTCAATGCGCGGAACTTCTTCGAAAGAAGATGAACTCGACGTCAAAAAGTTCTTCCTGTCGTAAACAATTTGCCTCCAGCCATGCTCTACGAACTTAAGGAAATAAACTATTGTGTTAACTTTTTGAAATTTTTTAATGTTTGAAACGACTTGTTTTCATGGAATATTCTCAGACAAAGCTTTTTTACTGGCGTTTTTCATCTGACGTCTAGCACTGAGAATTATAAGAAACGACAGCTCGTTCACACGAAAACGACCGAGCGAAAAAAAATTATTTTTTGGAGGGTAGAAAGCGAAAAAGCAAAGTGCGTTGTAGTCAGACAATACAAATTTCTTTCAGCTGATCCAAAATGATGTCTCTCACAATGAAAGTTATACAACAAGCTTTTCTTTTTGTAGTTGTGCAAAGCCAGCAGAGAAAATATTCTATCAGGGCCAGGAAGGATTTTTAAAGGAAAAAGACGCCAAAAGATGTGTATAGTCGGAACAGTTGGGAAGTTATTTATAATTTTTCGCCAACAGTCCCACTAATGGCCCCTTGATAAGCTTGGCGTTAAAGGGAGTGGAAGCCAAGGTTGAGTTCTTCGTTAAAAACTTCAACAGTGTGGGAGAATATATAAAATAATTTTACATTCCCCGGTAGAACTAGAAAATGTGAACCTCAAAAAGAAAGAAAACAGCAGATTTGTGAGGATTTCTGCCAAAAATTTCTTTTGGATATGCCTTCAAAAACTCAATCTCACGTCTATATCGACGCATCATGATGAATATGAATAATTGAAAAATTAAATTGAAAGCTACACGAGACTCAATCTAATCGGTTCCAAAAGAGATGTTTAAATTCGATACTTTTGGAGTAGTTGTTGGCAAACAAGGACTTGCATTTTTGCTGTTAATGCTCTTAATACTCAAAGGCCTACACGGAATGAAGACTTGTTCATTCAAAAACTACTGTATTTCATCGAGGAACCGATTTGAACCAAAAGAAAACCACGTTGATCAGTTTAGTTCGAAATAAAACGGAACTGTTGGAGATATTCACTTGTCATCGATCTCGCATTTCAGCCCGTCCTTCATACCTTTTTTCACAGAAACCAACTGTGGTTTATTGATTATTCTTATTGATTATTCTATTTCAGCAAGTCTATATCAGTTCATCGTGCAGGTAGAGCAAATCTGGGGCGCGCTCCAGCGGACACGGGCGGTTTGCCGCGAAACGCCGCAACCAACGCCGCAACCCCTCACTCGTCATTCTCCTTTCACCACGTGTTGTTTCTTCTGATGGCAGTGTCAGAAATGTCTTTTTTTGTTGTTTCGGTCGTTCATCCCTTCATTCCTTCAATATATCTTCCACTTGCTGTTGATTTCGGATTTGTAAGAAAAAACTCAAGCCTGCAACAATTTCATTGGCCCAATCAAATCATCAAAGTTCAAAGTTGAACATTTAACGAAAAAAAAGTTTTCGGATTGTCATTGCTCTCATCTTTGAACCATTTCGTATAGATCTCGTCGCAAACTGTTGAGTTAACTGACACTTTCTTTTACAGAATTGATCAACTAAAATGGATCGCTTGAAGCAAAGTCCTTGGTAATGGACAAAATTCCGTGTTTTTGAAGCGCTGAACGTTTCAAGATAGAGATAAAGTGAGACAATATAGTTAGATTGATAAACGGTTATTAGTTTCAGAACAATCCACGAAGAAAGAGAGGAAGGAAGTCCCTGCGTTTTCCGACCGTTGGTAGCGACGAGTTCATCTAGCCGGCGATTGAAGAGAAGCGCCTAATGAAGCAGCCTCGATCCAGATGCAAATGAAGTTGGGCCACGTCTAAGGATCTGTCCGACCCTTGAGTGAGGTGAGTAAAAGGCATAATCTTAATTTGCAAATGATAGGAATGTGAAAAATTGATATAATTCAGAATGAGGATTATATCATAATTGAAGTACCAAGTTGAGCATTTTTTTTTCAAGCATTAAGAGAATTTTTTTTCTCAAAATGTCTTTTTCGAATTTCAAAAAAAATATTTTCAATCAATTTATTTTCAGCGGAAAAAAACTCGAGCGTGCTCTGCGAGGGTTACGGCGAAGTTAGAAGAAGACTGGCCGCCGTCTCTCAGAGTTCATCGAGAAATACTGTTAGTTTTCAAATGATTATTCCCTTAGAATTGTCTCTCTTTCAACTTTTGAGTTTTGAGAAAGAATGTGGCAAAGTGAGAAACGCAGTTATCAAGATGATTTCGTATTTCAGCAAAAACTGAGGGGAATCCCGGCCCGGCAGAACCAAAGACGCCAGCCGTTCCCGACGTCACGACTTGGCGATTGTTCACCGCCGGCCGACTTCTTGCGAGCGACGCTCGTCTGAGTTCATAGAGAAGTACAGTCAGTTTTCAAATGAATAGTCCTAATGAATTGGGTCTTTTACAACTATCATTCTTAAGATTTCCCGAATTGAGCTTAATATCAAGAAAGAATTTGGAAATGTGAGAAAAACAATTCAAATTTTTTGAAGGATGCAGATATCAAGATGATTTTGAATTTCAGAAAAAACTGAGGGGAATCCCGGCCCGGCATGACCAGAGACGCCAGCCGTTCCCGACGTCACGACTTGGCGATTGTTCGCCGCCGGGCCACTTCTTAGGAGCGGCAAAGGAGAACGGACGCGGAGGACGGATCCAGGGAAAAGAGTTCGACCAGAGCTCTTTTCCACAGATTTTCTTCTATTTGTCCCACGTCCCGAGAAGTTGTGAGCCCCGTTTTTGATGTGTGCGCTGAGCTGAGGAATCGCCCGCACACATCATTTATGATGAGGCATGATAGTTGTAGTGTAGTTGTTTTTCATATTTCGTCTTATTTCATTCAGAAAGAGGTTATCCCTCTCCCCCCCCCCTCTTATTTTGAACCCTCAAAATAAAGTGTGCGCTGAGCTGAGGAATCGCCCGCACACTGTATAGTTCATCAGGCCTAATTGTTGTAGTTGAGTTGTTTTTCATATTTCGTCTATAGATTTCTTCTTTTTTCTCGCTTTTTGCTTCAAAATATGTTTATTTTATCTCAATTCTTGCGAAGCTTGATCTCATTCTCTTTTATACACCTCATTCATTAACGATAAAAGTTTCTTTCTGACCACTGGATCAATGTTTTGTATGTTTCGTTTATGAGCTCTCAGAACTTTTTTTTATGGATAAAAGTTTATGAGACAGCTAGATTGATCTAAAGTAAAACCAATGGATTTTTTTTAAAGAGTCTGAATGTGATCGATAAAATCAAAATCAAATATTGTCACCGTATTGGACACTTGATGATCATAAAGATACAGGCGTGTTACTGAATGTGGAGCGTTCCAATCACTATATCTTATTTTTCCAAAAGTTGTAGACAAAATTGTAGCGTTTGTTCATTTTTCAAAGAGCAAAGATAAAACGTGCAGAACGGATTTTCAATTGGCCTTATTCGGTCTCGATGACAACCTATAATCTCTCGTGGATCGTTATGCCTCTTGGAAGCAGGAAGTTTATGTCAATTCAGCTTTATTCCAAAATGCTAGAGATCATTAGGAACCCCAGATTAGTGTGAGACCTTGAAAAAGCCTTATCTCCGAATACAAACAAAAAAACTAGTCCAACAGCTTTATCCCTGTTGAGCACGAGTTTTTATTCGACCGTCTTGTAGCCACGAATGTTGCACGCTCACCGGCTTTTTTTTTAATTTTGGCGTTTTGAAAGAGCAAAAATTATTTTTTTCAGATGCCAAAATTGGTCGATAAGTGAGAATTAGTCAAAAAAAAAAAACTTTTTTCCCTGGACTAGGATCGAGGTCGATTCACTTTGCTTTTTTGCTTTAGCATCGACGGAAAATAGCCATATCTAGTTATTGGAACATTTGAATGCCTAAATCCGCACTAATCCGAGTGGAAAGTGTTAGGGACGGTTCGGACTATATTTTTCAGTTGCTTTTGAGTCTCAAGTGATTCATCCATTCACAGACGAAATATAATGTACACGAATGTAGAGAAAAATAGCAGATAAATCTGCAATAAATACATAAAAGGAAATTGCTGGAGATAGCCGTTTGCCATTGACTTCGCGTTCCAGAACGTCGTTTCTTCTTTATTTCATAAAATCCAACTGCATTTATTGAAATTTTTCTTGATATCCAAGGTTTCTGGTAGGAAACGTACGATAAGAACAATGGTCTCATTGAATTTAAGGTTCATGGTTTTTGGATATTTACTGACTTTCGCTTTTTGATCAAAAATATACGTTTCCGTTGAAAATAACTGAAAAATGGAAAATATTCAGTGCGGGAAACTTAAATATATAATCATATTAAGTATAATAATGTGCGACTATGATTCTGTTTGAAAAGGGCGATGAAACTTATTTGAAAAAGTTTCTCTTTTGAAAGACCGTTTCAGCAAGTCTATATCAGTGCATCGGAGAGGTAGAGCAAATCTGGGGCGCGCTCCGGCGGACACGGGCGGTTTGCCGCGAAACGCCGCAACCAACGCCGAATCACCACATTCCTCATTCTGCCATTCTTCGTTCACCACGCGTCTTTTCTTCTGATGGTAGTGTCAGAAATGTTTTTTTTGTTGTTGCTTCAGTCCATCACTTCGTTTCTCTAATATATCTTCCACTTGCTTGTGACTTCGGATTTGTAAAAAAAAAACTCGAGCTTGCAATTTGGCACAATCCAATTATCCGAGTTGAAAGTTGAACATTTATCGAAAAATTCTTTTTTTTTTATCAGATCTTTTCTCTTATTTCTCAACAATTTTGTTTCTTCTTCGTTCGCAAATTGTTAATTTACCAAAAACTTTTTTTTACAGAAGTGATCAACTATAATGGATCGCTTGGAGTGAAGTCCACGGCGATGAACCGTACCGTGTTTTTGACGGATTGTTTGAAGAAAGACAGCATGAATGTCAAAGGTAAAGTGAGAAACTATGCTTGATTTTATTAATGGTTTAGTTGCAGAACAATAGACGACAAGAAAGCGGATGGATGTTCCTGCGCCGTTCGACCGACGCGCAAGCCGAGTTCACCCAGCCGGCGATCGACCAGCAGCGCCCGATGAAGCAGTCTCCATCCAGATGCGAAGGAAGTTGGGCCCGGTACAGGGATCGGTCAGACCATCGAGCAAGGTGAGTTACAGGCATAATCTCAATTGCATGATAGGAGTGTGAAAAATCGATAAAATTCACAGTGAGAATTATGGCTTTCCACAATGACCGGCTACGCCTTTGACGTGATGATATTCTCAACGTACAGTTTACAAAAATGAACCGGCCGTCGTTCAAACGGTCATTCGGGAAGCTTTAATAATAACTTCTTCTAAGTCGTAAGCGTGTCTCGCAGTTCATTTTAACAAGAAAAATACTTCATAAGACATTTTGGGTCAAACTCAATGAATACAATGACTTTCAACAGAACAGAAATTCGGAATAAATATCATATTTTCAGATTGAAAATACATCTATCCAGCCTCTGTCATCGATGTTCCAGAGGCTCTGTCTGAGAGGAACGAGTTAGTTTCGATGAATGATGAGGAGCTGGACTTGAGGCGGCATCAATGGGCCGAAGTATCGGCAGAAGACAAGCCTGAGGTTGATATAATAGAATATTTGATAATTGTTTAGAGGGTAATAGTAAAAATAGCTTCAAATTTCGGAAATATATATAGGATATAAACAATCATTGAGAACGGAACATCCTTCTAAAAGACCTTAGTACTGAAAAATTGCTTCAGAGAACTTTTTGAAGAATAAGTAAAACCAATTTTCAAAAAAAGCCCTATGCTGCTTGAATCAGGACTGAGTATCATAAAAATCTTTTTTTTTTCAGAAGTTCTTTTATCGAACTCAAAAATAAAATTCAATTTGAATCAATTAAATTACAGCGAAGAAAAACTCGAGCGTGCTCTGCGAGGGTTTCGGTGGAGTTGGAAGAAGACCGGCAGACGCTCGTCTGAGTTCATAGAGAAATACGGTCAGTTTTCAAACAATTATTCCTTAAGAATTGTCTCTTTTTCAACTTTTCGATTTCAAGAAAGAAAATGAGAAAGGGAGAAACACGGTTATCAAGATGATTTTGTGTTTCAGCAAAAACTGAGGGGAACCGCGACAAAGCAGAACTAGAGACGCCAGCCGTTCCCGACGTCACGACTCGGCGATTGTTCGCCGCCGGGCCACTTCTTGGGAGCGGCAAAGAAGAACGGACGCGGAGGACGGGTCCAGGGAAAAGAGCTCGAGAGCTCTTTTTCACAGATCTTCTCTTTTTCGCCTTCTGTCCGCATGTCCCGAGAAGTTGTGATCTCCGTTTTTGATGTGTGCGCTGAGCTGAGGAATCGCCCGCACACATCATTTATGATGAGGCATGATAGTTGTAGTGTAGTTGTTTTTCATATTTCGTCTTGTTTTAATCACTTAGAGGCCATCCCCCTCTTATTTTGAACCCTCAAAATACAGTGTGCGCTGAGCTGAGAAATCGCCCGCACACTGTATAGTTCATCAGGTGTAATTGTTGTAGTGTAGTTGTTTTTCATATTTCGTCTGGGGATTTCTTCCTTTTTTCTTGCTTCTTGCTTCAAAATGAGTATTTTTGTCTTACTTCCCTGGAAGCTTGATCCCGATTTCTTTTAGATTTAAGTTCAAGAATTATCGCCGTTAAGTTGTTTTTTTCTGACCACAGGATCAATGTTTTGTATGTTTTGTTTAGGAGCTCTCAGCACTTGATTTTTCGTGGATAAAAGTTTTCATGAGAAATCTTGATCTATGAAAAGTGAAACCAAAAGAACTTTTCAAAGAGTTTCAACACAAAATCGAAATCAAATATTGTCACCCTATCGGACAGTGGATAGTCATAAAAATAGAGGGTGTCACTAAATGTGGAACGGCCTTCAAATCACTATTTTTTTTCAAAAATTTTTCAGACAAAGTATCCGCATTATTCAAATATCAAAGATAAAACGTGCAGAACGGATTTTCAATTGGCCTTATTCGGTCTCGATGACAACCTATAATCTCTCGTGGATCGTTATGCCTCTTGGAAGCAGGCAGTTTATGTCGATTCAGCTTCATTCCAGAATTCTAGAGATCATAAGGAACCCCAGATTAATATGAGACCTTGAAAAAGCCTTATCTCCGAATACAAACAAAAAAACTAGTCCAACAGCTTTATCCCTGTTGAGCACGAGTTTTTATTCGACCGTCTTGTAGCCACGAATTTTGCACGCGCACGGGCTTTTTTTTAAATTTTGGTGTTTCAAATGAGCAAAAATTATTTTTTTTAGAGGCTGAAATTGGTCGATAAGTAAGAATCAGTCAAAAAGAACATTTTTTCTCTGGACTAGAGTCAATGTCGATTCAATTTGCTTTTTTGCTCTAGCATTGACGGAAAACAGCCATATCTAGTTATTGGAACAGTGATATAATTAATTGAGCAAAAACGACCGTTTTTTTTTTTGTATGACCGCTCTTAAGAATTAGCTTGTTTTTGACAATCATTTCGACCATCCTTCTGAAAATTTCGAGCCAGGACAACACCAAAGAAAGGCTCCACCACAATATTGACTGTTTTCTTATTGTCCGGGCTCGCAGATGTGCTGAGAACAAAAGTCGAAAAAGATTTCACTGGATGATAGTGAGTTATCCCAATAACAATCTGAGAAAACAAAACATTTCCGATTCAAGGTTTTTTGGCCAATGCAAAGATTCGCGCGATCAGTAAGATGCTCTTTCAGCGTCGCTGAATAGCGATAATCGGAGTAGAGAGAGATTGAGATAGCGCCATTTCGGCAAAACTGAAAATTATTAGGAATCGTTTTTGACATTGTTAGAAGACATCCTGATAGATAAAAGTAAAAAGAGAAATCATAATTAAACAATCATTAAAAAAAGATACAGCTTTCGAAAAATCGTTCCATATTTAGGGACACTCCTGCATGTCAACAAATCATGCTGAATAACGAATCGATAAACGAAATTGAAAGCAGGACAAAGCCCAATCAAATCAGTTTCATAGGAGAAGTTAAAATTCAATATTTTTGGCGTAGTTGTTGATGAGCTAAGGCTTGCATTTTTGCTCTTAATGCTGCTCTACTGAAACGGCTACCCAAAAATAAATACTTGTCCATTTGATAAAATGAAATGAAACTGCTGTATTTTATCAGAAAACTTCATTGAACTAAGAAAAAAAAACCAGATTTATTAATTCGAAATGGAAAGGAATCGTTGGATATAGTCGTTCATCATCAAACTTGCATATCAGCCCGTCGTTTACATCTTATTTCACAAAAACCAACTGCGGTTTTTTGATATTATCCCAGCAAACTGTTTTACGCTGAGAAAATGACGAGAAGAGCCACGTTCAAATTGAAATTCTTGTTCTTATCATTCGGGCAACCACTGCCTTTTGCCTTGAGATTAGAAAATTTATGTTTTTGTCAAAAATAACTAGAAATTCAAGTTCAGAAAAAAAAAATATATAAAGATGTGAAATATTATACTGTGCGACCATAACTCTGTTTAAAAGGAATTATACAACTCATTTGAAACATTTTGTATGAGTTATTTATTTCAGCAAGTCTATATCAGTACATTGGACAGGTAGAGCAAAACTGGGGCGCGCTCCGGCGGACACGGGCGGTTTGCCGCGAAACGCCGCAACCAACGCCGAATCACCACATTCCTCATTCTGCCATTCTTCGTTCACCACGCGTCTTTTCTTCTGATGGTAGTGTCAGAAATGTTTTTTTTGTTGTTGTTGTTTCAGTCTATCATTTCATTGCTATAATATATCTTCCACTTGCTGCTGATTTCGGATTTGTAAGAAAAAACTCAAGCTTGCAATGTATTCTTTGGCACAATTCAATTATCATTGAAAGTTGAATATTTATCGAAAAAAAAAATCTTTTTTTTTATCAGATTTTTTCTCTTATTTTTCAACAGTTTCGTTTTTTCCTCGTTCGCAAATTGTTAATTCAACAGGAACTTTTTTTTACAGATTTGATCAACTATAATGGATCGCTTGGAGTGAAGTCCACGGCGATGAACCGTACCGTGTTTTTGACGGATTGTTTGAAGAAAGACAGCATGAATGTCAAAGGTAAAGTGAGAAACTACGCTTGATTTTATTAATGGTTTAGTTGCAGAACAATAGACGACAAGAAAGCGGATGGATGTTCCTGCGCCGTTCGACCGACGCGCAAGCCGAGTTCACTCAGCCGGCGATCGACCAGCAGCGCCCGATGAAGCAGTCTCCATCCAGATGCGAAGGAAGTTGGGCCCGGTACAGGGATCGGTCAGACCATCGAGCAAGGTGAGTTACAGGCATAATCTCAATTGCATGATAGGGGTGTGAAAAATCGATAAAATTCACAATGAGCCATTATGGAGAGGCTAACATTCTTGATAAGGCATTTTGGTTCAAACCCAATGAAGACAATGACTCACAAAAAACTGAAAATTCGGAGTGGTGCCTCTCAGACAGCGCCTCTGGAATATCGATGACAGAGGGCGGGCTGGCTGATTGTGATTTCAATCTGAAAATATAAACAGCCAGCCCGCCCTCTGTCACCGATATTCCAGAGGCTCTGTCTGAGAGGTTAGTTCATTTTCAATTATTCTTCCAAGATCTCAGAATGTTCAGGCCAAAGACAAAGTTTCAAATGATTTTGTGCGGCTCGGAAGGATGCTCCGATGAATGAGGAACGAGTTAGTTTCGATGAATGATGAGGAGCTGGGCTTGAGGCGGCATCAATAGGCCGAAGTACCGGAAGAAGACAAGCCTGAGGTTGATATAATATAATATTTGATAATTGTTTAGAGGCTAATAGAAAAAAATAGCTTCAAATTTTGAAAAAGATCTAAGATACAAAAAAATTCTTGAGAACGGAACATCCTTCTAAAAGACCTTAGTACTGAAAAATTGCTTCAGAGAACTTTTTGAAGAATAAGTAAAAACCAATTTTTCAAAAAGCCCTATGCTGCTTGAATCAGGACTGAGTATCATAAAAAAATCTTTTTCAGAAGTTCTTTTTATCGAACTCAAAAAAATAAAAATTCAATTTGAATCAATTAAATTACAGCGAAGAAAAAAACTCGAGCGTGCTCTGCAAGGGTTTCGGTGGAGTTGGAAGAAGACCGGCAGACGCTCGTCTGAGTTCATAGAGAAATACAGTCAGTTTTTCAAATAAATAGTCCTAATGAATTGGCTCTCTTACAACTATTATTCTTAAGATTTCCCGAATTGAGCTTAATATCAAGAAAGAATTTGGAAATGTGAGAAAAACAATTCAAATTTCTTGAAGGATGCTGTAATCAAGGTGATTTTGAATTTCAGAAGAAACTGAGGGGAATCCCGGCTCGGCATGACCAGAGACGCCAGCCGTTCCCGACGTCACGACTTGGCGATTGTTCGCCGCCGGGCCACTTCTTAGGAGCGGCAAAGAAGAACGGACGCGGAGGACGGATCCAGGGAAAAGAGTTCGACCAGAGCTCTTTTCCACAGATTTTCTTCTATTTGTCCCACGTCCCGAGAAGTTGTGAGCCCCGTTTTTGATGTGTGCGCTGAGCTGAGGAATCGCCCGCACACATCATTTATGATGAGGCATGATAGTTGTAGTGTAGTTGTTTTTCATATTTCGTCTTGTTTTAATCACTTAGAGGCCATCCCCCTCTTATTTTGAACCCTCAAAATACAGTGTGCGCTGAGCTGAGAAATCGCCCGCACACTGTATAGTTCATCAGGTGTAATTGTTGTAGTGTAGTTGTTTTTCATATTTCGTTTGATTAAATTGTTTTGTGGCTCCTCCCCCATCTAACCTGACCCTTTTAGTTAAAATATGCGCAGAGCTGAGTAATCGCCCGCATATCTTTCTTCTTAAAAAGGCCTTATTGTTGTAGTTGAGTTGTTTTTCATATTTTGTCTGTGGATTTCTTCCTTTTTTCTTGCTTCTTGCTTCAAAATGAGTATTTTTGTCTTACTTTCCTGGAAGCTTGATGCCGATTTCTTTTACATTTAAGTTCAAGAATTATCGCCGTTAAGTTGTATTTTTCTGACCACTGTGTCAATGTTTTGTATGTTCTGCTTGAAATTCTCGGTTTTTTTTTTGGATGAAAGTTATTATAAGGAATCTCGATTGATTGGAAATGAAACCAAAAAAACTTTTCAAAGAGTCTCCAACTTATTGATAAAATCAAAGTCAAATATCTTCATTGTACTGGGCAGTGGAAAGTCGTAAATGCATACTCTTTTATCTGAACAAAAAATCAGACACTTTTTGTTCACTGCCAAAAACTTTACTTAGGTTCAACAGCGAATCTTATGCAGTCACATTATGTCTGTCATCTATACCGAAGAATTGGAATTTTCGTTTTGGTTTGTCTGCAATGGGCCGTCGAGTGTGAGCGACGTCTTCTTGAACAATTTCCATTGGCGCTGAAACGTTTCTCGCCGTAACATTGAAATTCTACATTTTCCTTATGCTTTCTTTGATTGTTGTGTTATTGTTTATAATATATTCATCAACAATTCAATTTTTTTCAGCAATTATTTCAAAACAAGTAAAGTAAATCTGTGATATTTGCAGATTTTGAAGATTTTTCTAAGTGATTTTTGAGCTTCTCGGTGTCCCATTCGATTATCTCTGTTCATGTCGTTCCAGTACTACAAACCTGATTCGTTATAAGTTGTATTGTATATAAGGATTCTATGGGGTTCAATTTTAAGACCTACGCCTCTCTATTGGTTCTTTATGTTGAAATTGAAGTTTGAATAAAGATTCACTTTGATAAGAAGCATAAATAAAAATAATAAAGTCACACAGTTTTGAGGTCGAAAATATGAAAAAATTGCTTCAAAAGCAAAAAATTTCTTCATTCCGTGTAGTTTCTTCACTCGAAGTGGTAGCTCTCCCAGTCGGCCGAGGCTACCCTAGAGTGTACACGGTATCCGTGCCCGAGCCCCACCATCACCGCCGTGCCCGTACAAGCGAAACTGAGGGATCTCTTTGTGGAAGAACGAGGCGAAGGACCGTAAGACCATGCTTTCAATTCAATCGAATACACGTTTTGACTTCTTTTTCGCCAAAGGCGGTGTTAGTGCCGCTCAAAAAAGCAATTTTTTCACCGCCTAGTCGATACCACCTGACTAAAACAACCAATAAATATTGATGATGATGATGATTATATATGCTTCCTGGAGCTTCGGCTTTCGTTGGCGAGCAGGACACCTGAAACATCCGCAAAGCCCAGTTTCATCCTGCATACAACATTTTCAAAAAAATTCGAAAGGCTTCTTGAGCTTGCGAAAAATGTTACTTTTACCCGGAAGGAACATACCGATTAGTTTACTACGCTGAAAAAAACTTGACAGATAAAATTTTGTTCAGAAACCAAAATTTTTATTGATCACAGCACATTTCAAATACAAGCAGTTTGTAAAGATTCATCATGCTGACAACTTCATTTTCGAAAGACGATAAATTAAAAAATGGTGCTCCCCGGAGAAGCAGCAAAAGTCGGAGGATTCGTGGCGACTCGTACGGCACACCGCAACAGGCGCTCGACACGCCTGGCCGGCTGCTCGCCCAATCACTTTCATTACTTCTTCTTATTATAACGCGCCCCGCTCTTTTCTTTACTGTTTCAACAGACCGAAACAGCCGGAAAGCACATTCCTCGATTTACAGCGTCTTGCGGTAGTGAAAAAGGTCGGCAGTCATCGGAAAATTGCGAGGTTAACGAAGTTCGAGGCGCTTGCGCCGTCTCCGTGTTATGTCAGAGCGATTTCGTGAGCGGGTGAGTTCAAGCTCAATTATTTCCCAATGAGGAGCTTTTTTTGTGATGTGATTACTCCCACTTTGAAAGTTTGATCTCCCATCCACATTCGGTAGTTATAAATGATCAAATAAAAATTATTGTGAGTCTGAAAAAAACTGACCACTTCAGATTCCAAATAATTAAGTTATATGGATACACGGACTTAGTTCTAACTTTTCATACATCATTCAAAACAAGAAATCTCAATTTTTGTAAAATTGTAGAAGTGAAAATTGGAATGGTCTCAGAATGATTTTACTGCTTTTGAATTTCTGAGTACCCCTTTATATAAGAAGAAAAAAACTTCTCTCCGTTTGTTAAATCAAACTTTCAGATTCTCTTTATTTTTTTCTGATAATTTGAAAAAAATGCCACGTTATCATGGTTTATCATTAGCTAGTCGTTATTTTTCATTATTTTTCGTTTTTTCGCTTCAAATCATTCAAAAAAATGAACTAATAATTTCTTTGGCTGCTCCATTCAATAAGGATTAAAAGAAACTATTTGAAAAAAGAAAGAAAAAAACTTTACAAGGATATTTGTTAAGCCATCCAAAAATTGTCTTTTTTTCTCTAGTTCTGAGCTTTTTGAGCATTTTGGATCTTTTCATTTTGATTTTACTCCTTATTTAACTTGATATAGTGTAAATTCCACAAAAATACTCGACCAGTTGGAATGAAACAATTTGCAGCTCGGACTGTTATCAGAAGAACTAAACGATCCAACTCGCTCGGTATCTCCTACTGGGAGTCGATCTCCGCGGAGGATGAGCCGCTCTCCTCGACCTCACACTTCCCAGTCAGTACAAAATCTGTGTTTTTTGAAATGCACTGTATATCAGAGAAACACCTAAAAGCAAATGTCTGGACAAAAAAATCTGTATCCAATTTATTTGTTTCATTTTTTTCACTCGACGCGCCAGTGAAATTTTAAAATTAATTGATTTTTTCAAATTTTTCTCTTGATGTTTATGAAAGTTGAGCTATGAAAACTAAGAATTCGATTGACGGTGGCACCTACTTTATGAAAAAAAGCTTGATCAAAAAAACAAGCATGGATACAAATTTCGAAATCTTTCCGAAAATTCAATATTTGATATAAAAAAAGCTAAGTTGCAGATAAAGTTTGGTTTCTTGAGCCAAGGATAATCCATTTTTTTCTATTTAGATCTTTTTAAAAACGCATATTTTTTTCAAATAATTCTACTGATTTTTTTGGTAGTGTTGAATCCTGCTAATCGAAAAAAATACCGAGAAAAACACGATTTTCAAAACAAAAAAATTCGTTCAATATTCTTTTTAGAATCTTATAAACCGCATAGTACTTTTTTTTCCAAAATTAAGTATCTTCTGTTGTTTTACCGTAAGTTTTTGAGTATTAAAACTGCAAAAATGTATCCGTTACTCAAAATTTTTTTTTCCTTTCTTGAAAGTGGGATCTATGCTTAAAAAAATCGGAAAAGGTTAAGTTCTCCGAAAATTTTACGAAGGATGTATGTCCGTGTTAGATTTTCTTCCTGCATGTTACATACGTTCAAAAGTATCATCAACATCTGATGATCGACAAATCTGTTCTCGAAAGGCCTTGCATTAACAACCAGCCAGCGGCGCCCAAGTGTACAGTGGTGACGTGTCACCGCTGGCCACGATGGTTACAACGGACCTGGCTTGTAGGAAGTCACCTGATGGGCTCGCGGAGCAAGGTAGACGCACGAGCCTACGAAACTTTTCACATGGCTCGTTCTAACGTGATTCGCACTGAATGAGCAACACCTGTGGGCATAGAGATTCCGGAAAAAGTACTCTCTAAAGGAGGAAGTGGAAAGAGAGTTTTGAAAAAGAATTGATACCTAAACTACCAATTTATGACGATAATTATAGTTCACATAAAACCTCAATAGCCTTGTTCAAATCTGGACTGTTTTACAGTTTCAAAGGAAAAAAACAAACATATTTTTTTCAATTTTTTTGGCCGGCGATACAAATTGAACTTTCGAGAATTCATTTCTGACTTTTTTTCATTTGAAAAAGTTTAAAAAAATTCAGTGAGCCGGCAATTGGAATTACTCATCCGGTGGTCAGAGATTCTCGTCCTGAAATCGCTGCCTGGCCGGCTCCTACCGTTGAAAATTCCTTGCGAAATGATCCACCAATGCGAGGACTTAGTGGGAACGTTAGGTGAGACTGGAAAAAAACTGAACAAATTTTGCAAATTGTTTCAGAACTCTGACTGTCGGTCCTGCGCCGATGTCGCCTTCTCCCATTTCTCCGATCTCTCAACATTCTCCAGCGAGTTCCAAGCATGAGTTTGAAAATACTTCGACTCTTCTGACCGCTTTGAAAGTTGCCGCTGCGAGCAGTAATGCAGGATGTGCTCTAACATTTTTTTTTCAATTTTCATTGGATTATTTCAGTTCAACCGATTGGAAGAGAAACTGAACTCAAGAGGAAAATTCAAACGCTGGAAGAAACAGTCGCCGAGTATGAACGGCAGAAATACAATGTCATGGGAACTTTCAGCGAGTATCGGTACTGAGGAAAAAATTCTTTAAACAAAAACAAAAAAAAATTGTTGCAGAGAACGAGTTGCTGAGAGAGAACGGAAGTTGGAAGCGGAGTATTCGAGCAAAATCATTGCTCTCTCTGAAGAAGTTCTTGGTGCCAAGAAAGATTTTGAAGCTAGAATGAAGAGTTTCCAAGCGCTACAGGTAAACTCTCTAGAAAGATTGGCATGTTGAATTCTTTTTTCAGGACAAGTTCGAGAGAGAAAAAGAGCAAGCTCTGGAAAAGTTACGGAAGGAGCACCAAAAAGAAATCCAACTGTTAGAGCAGCGGTTCTCTGACACGCAACTGCTGAATTTGGAGCAGAAGTATTTTGAACCACTTCAATGTATGCTCATGACTTTTTAAGGTACATTCTGGAAATTCAACGACTGGAAGAAGAAAGAAAATCCTTACGAACCGAAAAAGAAAGACTAGGAGAAACTTTCGAAATGAAGTTGCGAAGAGCCCAATCCCTGTATGAAACTGAGCTCACCGCAGCTAAAATGTTGTATACTCGAGAGCTGGAAGCTCTGAGAGATCACGAAGAAGCTTTGAAGGAAGAGTTGCTGGCCCGGTAATTCCTCTCAGTCATTGCAAAAGCTATCTTTTTTTTTCAGACAAGACGAATTCCATGACCGTCTTCAAGAGCTCCAGCTGCAGTCAAAAAAAGGCCGGGAGGAGCTTGTTTGCTGTAAAAATGAAGTGACAGCGTTGGAGAAAAAACTTCAAAACAAAGAAAAAGAAGTTCAAGCCATAACAAAAGAGGTTAATCACCATAGTTTCTTTCTACAAGCATTTTTTCCAGTTGGACGTTGTCAAGACTGAGACAACCGACAATTTGCGCCGATTGAGCGTTGTTACCGCTGAATTCACAGAGTACAAGCAGAAATACCAACAACAGGAAGAAGAACTGAAAAGGAAAGCTCGTGAGTTGCAAATTTTGCAAATGGTGAAAATATTTTCTCATTTCAGGCCTTCTCAGCGTTGTTGAAGCAGCCAAAGACAAACTTGAATCTGTTATTTCCGATTTGCAGGTAGAGGTGAAAGCTCTGAAAAATAAGGTGAAAAAGAAAAAAAAAATCTGACAATTTGAAAAGTTTCCAGGTTGAGTTCCTCGAGAAAGAACGAGAAAACCTTCAAAGCCAAAGTGAGAGTCAGGCCCATTTGCAAAACTCCCAAGTTGATGCTCTGGAAGCGGTTTTTTGTTAAGAATATTCCAATTTTTGAGATTGTTATTCAGGTCCTCGACAGCGTCACCAAAGAAAAAGAAAGTACGAAAGAGCACTACGAAGGATTGCTGATCAGAGAAAGACAACAAGCCGAAGCGCGAGAACATGCCATGAAAAAAGAGTTCAGCAGCAAACTGAACGAGCTGGAGGAGCAGTACACGAGCTTGAAAGAAGAGCTCGAAGAGTCGGCTCGCCTCGACAAAGACGAGCTTCGCGAATCCACGCAATATGAAATCCAAGTGCTAAAAAGTGAAAAGGAGATATTGGAAGAGGAAGTCAAAACTCTCTCCGAGAAGATGTCAAGCAGTTCTGAAGATCCGGACGAAGTCACTGCTCAGTTAGCGAAAATTGTCGAAGATACGACTAGTCTCACCAAAGCTCTGGATGAGTACCGTAAAAGGATCGACAGCAAAGGTAACTTATTTGATAACACTGTTTATTTTGATATGCTTAATATGCTTCAGACGAGGAAATCGGACAGCTACGAAGAAGAATTGACGAGGAAGCGGCCTCGAACGACGAGCGAAGACGGGAAGACTTCGAAAAAGCGCAAGAAAATCTTCACTACAAAGAGGAACAGTACAATCAGGATATAAAAAGCGTGAAAGCAGAGGTTTTCTTGAATTTAATTCATCTTTAGAAGTAATTTTTAGTTGGACCAGTATCGTGGTTTTTATGAGAACGAAAAACGCACAAGCAAAGAACGATCGAAGAAAATCAAAGAGTTGGAAGGGCAGAACTTTGCACTTCATGCCGAACTGGGACACGTTCAGAAGGTCGAAATTGTTCGGAACTAGCTTAGGAGATTCCATTTTAGGCTGTCGAGGCGATGGGCGAAGAGTGCAAAATTACTGAAGAACTGAGAGCCAGTATTGAGAAGAAAAATCACACAATCAGTACGCTCGAAGAAAAAGTACAAAACTTGACAGGTATCAAGAAAATCCTACTTTCCTGTATATCAATTTTCCAGAGGAACTGAGCTCCGTTGAAATATCCTACAAAGAGGAAACTGATTCAAGTTCAAAGGTAAATATTTTTTATCTTTTTCTGATATTTTTGATTGACAGGTAGAAGATCTCGAAAAAACGATTCGCGACCTCGAATCAGAAGATATCAGCAAATCGAACCAGATTGAGAATCTGCATGCAAAGTAATCAGAGATAAAAAAAAAACTAAAGAACAAATTTTTTTTTTAGAGTGAGCGATATGCTGAACCAAATGGACACCATCAAAGAGGAACTGCAGAAAAAGAATGATGAAATCGAGAGCATCTCATCTAAGAATGATAATATCCTCAAGTATGCTTTTTTAGAATTCTAATTTCCTTTTTTCTTACAGGGATACCGAGCAGCAACAAGCTCAGACTGAGAAAACATTGGCTGATCTGAAAAATGAGCACGCGCAGAAAATAGAAGAGCTCGAAAAAACAATCAACCTTGAAAAGCTGGATGCCGAGAAGAAAGATGAAGAAATCGGTTGTCTCAAGGCAGCTCTTAAGAGCAAAGATTCTGAAATTGAAACTATGAAAGAGGAGCTGGAGCATATGGTGAGCGATCAAGACCTTAAAATGAGTATGAAAGATTCAGACGCAACAACTGAATGAGGAAACAACTGTCGTTCTTCTTGACCAAACTATTGAAAACCGAGTGAAAGAGAAAGAAGAAGAACTCGAAAAAATCACGGAAGAACTCCAATCAAAAAACAGAAGAGTTGAAAGCTTGCAAGTGGAGATTTCTGAGGAGCAGAAAATCCATCGAGCTGAGCTGAAAAAGAGAGACGAGCTGATTGAACAGCTAACTGCTGCTCAAGAACAACGACTATATGTGGATGAGCAGATGTGAGTCAAAAGTTCTTCAGATCTTTTATTTTTCTTAGAAATTTATATTTTTGAATTTTCAACGAATGCGTTTGGAAAGCTCGGAGTGAGGTGAATCGACTCTTAAAGCGAAAATGTTTAGGCCTCAAACTTCAAAAAGCGAACAAAGTCCTGATTTGACACGAGAAAGGCATCTGAAAGATCGTATTGATGAGCTCGAAGGCGCTTTGGAAGTAAGATCATTTGAAAAAAAAAGAAGAAAAAAAAATTCAGCGAAAAAATGACCTCATACAACAATTGCAAGGACGACTATGTGATGAAAGTGCGTCGGATAATTTTTCTAAGAAGCGATCGGTAACCTCTCTCTTTATGATCTATTACGCAAATTCATTCAGAGCATAACTTCGCATGGTGTCTTTCAATCCTTTGTCAGCCAAATGAAAGACAAACGAGATGAAGCTCACGAGCGCAGCAAAAAGAAGGAAGCTGAAAAGAAAGCGGAAAAAGAGAAGGAAAAAGCTGCCAAGGAAGCTGCTAAAGAGTGAAAAATGTTAGAACTGTACAAAATAACCCAGTTATCTTCAGGATTGCTAGAGAAAAGTCTCCGGCCAGGTCGAAGTCTCCTTCGTTGTTGACGCGACTCCGAGACCGAAGTCCAGCCAAATCGAAGTCCCCTAACTTGGAAACTACTCCGTCAACTTCAAGCAGGCAAGTTGTTGAGCTTTTAAAGGAAATCTGTAAATAATCTGCAAGCAAAACAGTTTTCATAAAGGTATTTTTTAATTGTCGTAAACTCATTCGCCTGGTCTGCAAACATCAGACCATACGATAATAAACACTATCGATTTCACCAAAAACTGTGATTCATTAAGGAAGTTTTTTTAAGCTTCTTATCTGTTTCTGAAGTTTCTTTTTGTGTTTAGGGTGTGTAAAAAACTTGTATTCTTTAGAAACATTCAATAGTTTAAGGGAGTTGAAGGAAAACTCGTACAATACGTTTTCCGGAAAGGCCAAAAAAATTGGCAAAAGTTAGCTCAAAAAACAGCTGATGCGCAAGTTGCTCGTTTTAATTCATGGAGTTTTCTGATGAAATTTCATTGTATTTGACTTCAAAAAAATTTAAAAAAATCTTGTAAAAAAATAATTTTTTTTCATTATAAATGTGTTTCGCCTGTTTTGAGTCTTTTTGTGCAGCCTAAAAAGGAGAATATTCATCCTATCTCTGAAATTTCAATGATGCTTTCAAAAACTTTGAGATAACGTTTTTCAATCTTTTAACTGGGACTTTCCCCTGGAAAAATTTTGATGATAATTTTTGCTTTTTCAGGAATCTTTTATCGCCTTCCGACGCTGAGAAACGACTCGAACGAAGCTCGCCGTCGCGGCCACTGTTCAGCCGGTCAAAGCGAGAGAGTACTTCTGAGAAACGACCCGCGTGGAAATTTTGATTCAACTGACAATTTTCCCTCGGTTTTATGCAAATATGGCTCATGGCCAAAAGTTAGTTCACTTCCTTGGTGAGAACCAGTCATATAGGCGACAAATATGCACGAATAAACATTATCATTGCAGCTTTGGAATGCGCAAAATTTTCTTGAAGATTTTTTTTATCAATGATAGTCACAGGATTGCTTCTTGGAATTATTTTGATAATAAACCTTGACTTCTCTAATAATTTCAACTCGAAGCTTCGAACAATGTTGTTTGTACAAACTCACTGAAAAATTTTGAAGATTTTTCTTCCGGATCACAGAATTGAAAAAAATCAACCGTTTAATCCGTGACTAAAACAGCTGTGAAGCTAAAAAGGCGATTTTTTTGTACCTTTGACAAACCTGAGGCGGTTTTTCAAACAGTTTATTACAAAGAACAAATCAACGGTCTTCAACAGTGGAAAAATAATTGGGAACACAATATATGGCTTCAAAACAATGGTACAGCAACAACGAAAATTCCAACAGTTTATAAAAAAGCACCACTGGATAATGAGACCAAAAAGATTCGATTGAGAGGTAAGACTAAGTTACCTGTCATTTTCGGGAACGAAATCGTAGAGCAAGAAAAAAAAACACCGATGTATAGACAAGGGAAGGCAAGTTGGATGAATCGATTTCATGGCTTAGTATTCTTCATTTCGAATGGTGGTGTAGTAGCGGATTCTGCTACAAAGGAGCAGCGTGATTATCATCCCGATCATCTGGAAAATGACGAATTTTGATTGAAAAAACAAGGAAAAAACAAACCATGAGCAGAGCGAATCCGAAGCCGACGCCAACAAAAATCCAAATTTGCTCATTGAACCAGGCTTGCAGTTTTTCGTGACATCCCTTAAAATACACAATTTTGATGATGAACCGAAAATTTTCTATACATATTTGTTTCAAATGAATATTCACAAAGCACTGCAAAAATCAGATAATTTGTTAATAATGGAAGTAACAATTCTTTGTCTAAAGGCGTTGAACATTTTTAAAATGTGTTTCTCTCGTGTGAAATAAAGCTGATAAATCCAAAGCCAAAAATTGCCGTAGAAATATATGGAAAGGTTCAGGGTTTCTTCATTTTTTTTAAAAATTTTTCCGACCTTTAAAAAAATATTTGAAAAAAATCTTCAGAATATATTCTGGTGGGCAGAATAAATGGGATTTGAATGAATTTCACTTCCAGATATCTTTGCGCCATTTTTTTTAATGAAACTTGAAACCGGCGTTAAAAAAAAAAATAAAAAACACGTTTTTTGTTAAAAAGCGCGACTGCAAATGTAGACCATGCCTTGATAAATTCAAAAAAAAACAACCCTATGTCCAGGCTGAGCTTGAAGTCAAATTCAAAGACTCAGCAGTGAGATTATTTAATCGTATTAGCTGTTAGGAGTTAGTTCATCCAAAAAGTACTTCAAAGTTGACGGCGGTCCGGAAAGCGGTGCTGGTGTAACGGTAGGTGATGCACATTGGATCGATGGGTTTCGGAGCCCAGGCTCGTCCTGACTGCGCCTGTTTGCAGCACGACGGCGGCACGAAGGAACGCGTTCCTCTCAGCGAGTTCGTCACGTACCAGAAAGAATTCTGGTAATCTGTCGCACTCTGTCCACCACAGCACTCATGCTAAAACTTGAGATCAAACTAGAAATTGGTAAATTTTAGGAATTTTCGAAGTTTTAACAAGATCCCCAGTTTTTTATGGTTAGTCCGGCTCAAAGCAAACTTCAAAAATTTCACACCACTGCAGACAAAATTTCATCTGCTCACCACGGTGTGTCTCCACTGTTTGGTGGCTTCCAGCTGCTGGCAGCGAGCAAAACTTTTGGCCAAGGGGTTCAGAGCAGAAGCTCCAGCTATTTGAGTGCAGCATGAAACGGGAACTAAAGGCCGGCTCTCCTCATCTTCATAATCTGGATTGGAAAGAACCGTGGCTTCCCATCGACTACCGATGAAGTCTGCTGAGGAATCGACGCCACAACATTTTTCCTATTACTCAGAAATTTATCCTCAAATTTATAGTTTTCTCACATAGTATTGGAGTTTGTCAATGATACTCGTTGCCAAGCGGTTTGACTCAATTTCTGGTGCTACACCGTATTCAAATTTTACGAGTCGCAGTAAAGTTGTTTGCACATTCTTTGTCTAAATGACTTCTGATTGGACTGAAAAGAGAACGAAATGGCAATTCACATCATTTCGGACAGTTCAAAAGCACACTCAACAATGAAACCATTCAGCCGAAAATCGGTACTTCTTGGATCTTGAACTGCAAACGATCCTTGACATGAAAACACAAGAAAAATCATCCCATATTTCAAAAACGTTCCTTTCTTTTCTTACTTTTGTGGTGGGATTTCTATATACTTCTACCCATAGAAAATGGAAGTTCTGATAATTTTCTCCCCAAGTAGCTACGCAATATTAACCTTCTTCCAACAAGAAGCTCGACACTCACATAGAACTGAATCGTATCCATAAGAGGAAGTACCCATTTGTCTCGCGAATATCGATTGTAGGTTAGATTTTTCAAATACACTTCCATGGCATCATTGTTAGAGAACTGCAAAGACGGACATTTAGACACAGTCACATCAACTTATAACTTCACTTTGTCCCGGTAAACGAGAGCCAACGTTCCGATCGCGATATCAGCAAGGAAGAGCAGCACAAGGGAGATGATGAACTGAATTTTGGTCATTTTTAACGCAAAAAAAGTTGAAGGGAATCAAAAAGATTTCTTCGCCTCACAAAGAAAGTATCTTCTCCTCTAGGTTGAATATTTCTACAAATTTGGTCAAAACTTGATGGACCAGTAAAAGATCTTCAAAGTCTCAAAATGCGAAATACCCTATTTTTCGTGTAACTTAACTTCAAAAAAAGCCTACTTCAACATGTTCTGATTAGAAACCTCCCGGTTGAACTTTTGATGAAACTTTGCTGAAGTTTACTTTAGGGTCCTCCTGATCCCAAAAAAAGAAAAAAAATTCTCGCAATATATCTTTTTTTTTGGGTAATGGAGCTTCCAAGTCCGCAAAACAAGTAGATTATGACAAAAAAGCGTTATTTCAAGCTTTTGAAGCGTCCTAACTCGAAAACGAGATCTATTGCGAGAAATTTTTTTTCTTGTTCTGCAATCAGAAGGTCCTAAAGCACTTTCCAGCGAAGTTATCTCAAAAGTTCAAGGTATGGGGGTTAGAGGTAAAAAATGTTCCCTAGTGAGGGTTTTCTTTGATTTTGAGGTGTCCTTTTGAAATCTAGAAAATCTTGCGAGTTGAAAATCTTTCCTGGTACATCGAGAAGTATAATGAAAAATCCTCAGAGAATTTCCAACCACGACGTAAAATAATTTTCCTGCGCCCCATTAAAAAGCAATAACTGAATAACAATGATTTTTTTCAAATTCATCCCCTCCTTTTCTTGAATTTGAGTTCCCTAACACCTCACCAGGGCGAGGAAGAAGCGCATGCGCTTGACCGCTCCGCAGCATCCAACAAAGCCGATGAGTAAGGTGCAGCACCCCGAAACAAGGGCAATGTACGCCGCAAACGTCTGTAAACAAATGCAAGAATAAATCGATGATCAATGAGAATTTTTTATTCGATTTTTTTCGCGCTGAAAAAAAAATCAGTGAAGAAAGTGCCTCGTGATAATTTTGAAAAGTTTGAGGTTGAATGCGCGCCAAAAAAAGCTTTATTTGAAACTCACCAAAAGAGGATCGTCTTCGGAGAAGTCGACCAAGTCCAGAATGTAGTTTCTTTTTGGATCAAAGAGCATCCATAGGCCAAGAAAAATAAGAGAAAGACCGGAGGTCTGAATTTTATGATTTTTTCAGATGTAAGTATGAATAATTTACCCAGAACAGGAGAGTATATACGACGAGAGTGATGCGTAAGCAGTTGCCACCGGTCCTTTCAGTGCTCATGGCTTACCTGAGAAATTTATTTTATTTTCTCAGATTTCTTCTAACATGGCGATTTCAAAGAAAATAAACGGATTTTTTCAAGAAGACTACAAATAAAAACAGGACGAGATGTCAATTTTTTTTTAAAGCCTTCATAGATTTTTTTTTAGTTTTGAGGTATAAATTATTTTTGAATCGGGAACAATCTTATCCGAAAATTTCACGGCGTATTTAAAAGATGAAGAACTTTTGTCAGGAAATGAGTTTGAAATTGAAAGCTTGAGGACAATGGGTCAAAAGTTTCTCTCAACTCGAATGCAACTGTTCAAACTTATAAAAAGAAGAACTTTGCAAAACAGAGAAAAGCAGAACAAGTAAGAGAAGCCGTTCTCCGCTTTTTGTGCCGGTTAGACGCATTTGTTTGTTTTGAACAGGTCACAGAGAGCAAAGACGGCCCGAGTGTGATAACCGCACAAATGGCTGAATAGCAGCGGAGACGCCTTCGCGGCTGAAAGTGCCAACAAAAAGAAGCCGAGCAGAATGGCCGGTGCTTCGAAGAAAGAAAGGAAAAAAGTCAAAAAGCGTGCGCACGCGCCAGCTGACCGACTCATCGAAGGGTTCGCTGGACAGTTTTTGCTTTTCCTCCCGATGGCACGTGTCCAAACGTGAGAAAGAAATCTGAGAAGAAAGCGAAAAAAAAGAAGGATGAAGCGCCGCAATGGGTTGGGTTCTTATTCAGAACTTGAAATTTAAAATTTTGTTTATCTGATAAGCTTCGTTTACCAACGATAGAGCTATTTTAATTGAATTTCAGGGAATAATGAGTTTCAAATATTTTTTTAAAAACTTTGTTAAAGGTAAATCGCAGGAAACAGGCTTCGAGAAAATATCTCGAACTTGGATAGGAGGGGCACAAAAAAGTACATTACAAAAATCCGAGTGTCACTAAATTGGTTCGTTTAAAAACAGCTTGAAGGCAAAAACCAATTTTTTTTAGAAAAGCCAAAAAATTAAAGAGGCAATCTGTAATTGGAACTCTAGCTGCACATCAAAAACAAAAGAAACTGTATTGGTTTCTCATTTTTTAGTGGAATGTATAGTTTTGAAAAAAAGTCTTATTATATTTCTATAAAATGAGAATTTTGTTCGAGAACAGAAAACTATTTTCAAATAGGCCAAAGATCGAAAAAAATTTTTTTGAAAATAAATTGAGAACTTGTAATTATCTTGTGGGGCTGGTCCAAAAGTCGAAAAATGTTTTCTTTTCTTGAAAAGCCAAGTTATAGTCTGAATAAATGAAAAACAAGAAGAAAGAAGCGCAATAGTCGCTGCATTCGCAGTGCAGCCGAGCTCCGCCCGAATAACCTATCAAACTGTTAAATTTAACGCTCGCGCACCTGGTTTGATGGATAGAATCTGCAGCTGACCGCCGGCGATGTTACAGCGGCTTGGAATCTCAAACGTTATGTGCAGCGTCGCTCGGCTCGATAAACATATTTCTTGACCCAGGCAGGCAGGAAGGTCGGCTGGACTCACTCCGTTTGGATCCATCCGCGGCAACCTGTAATGACTCAGGTGAAGGCAAACATGGCAATGCGTGGGAAAAAAAGTCTTTTTCCCTTTGATGACGGTCTCAAATTTGAATTTGGTAGAGATCCGAGCACGGCGTAGGTTTGAGGTTAATATATTCCTTATCAAACAATCGACAAGGCAAACATCAAAAAATCCCTAATAAAATGTTCAAAAGTGAGAAATTGCTGACAAGGGAGTTCATTATTGCAATTGGGATTTTTCTGAAAACTTGTCAAAACTCTTGTTAATGCACCAGGATAAAGTTCTGAAAGTCTCAATCTGCACAACTTTCTTACTTTTCGAGAAAACCCTGCAATTTCAAAGAAAACGCTCAAAAACCATTAAAATTAGTTATTTTAGGGTTTAGACCCTTATTTCTTGAAAACTAAGAAGTTGTGCAGGATGAAACTTTCAGAATCTTCTTCTGGTACATCAAGGAGTTTTTTGGTCAATTTTCAGGAAAAATCCGAACCGCAGAGTAAAAATGAACTTCTCTGTAAAATAGGTGTACACAATGAACTTTCTTTTCTGAAAAAATTCTCAAGTTCCAAAAGCATCCAGGTTTTTTTGCAACTTCCATTTTTTTATAGTTGCGAAAATATAAAAACAGTAAAAAAGAGGTCACCCTTTCTCAGGATTTATCTAATTTTTTTCAAATTTTTTTCATCACGCAACAATTTTGAGCGCCCTAGAAATAGAATTAAAAATAAGAAACCTTAAGGAAAATCAAGAAAGTGCCAAATTTAACGCAAAATGAAACAAAAGGTTTAAATTTCAATTTCCGGAAACTATAGAAAAAAATGCTCTTTCTACAACTTTTTCTTTTGTCTCCTGAGCAAATTATTAGCAAAAAAACTCAAATATCCGTTTCAGATTACGTACACTGAAAAAAACTTTTTTTGAAAAATTAATATAAATCTTTTTATAAATTTATGCAACATTCCTGGTTTTTTTCTTTTCTCAAATCTTGTGATTTCCCAGTCAATTTCAAATAAATTTGCTTTCCGTAGTTAAATCCAATTTTAAAGGGTATAACTTGTGAGAATGAAATCAGACTAGCCATCAAAAGTTTTGATCTCACTTACACTTTTGCCCTTCGCGGCCGCAAATGCAAGTGCGCGCCAAAGAAACGGCGCGAATTTGGAATCGCACGGCGGATGGATATACGCAGAGCCATTCATTCTTACTCCACCAAGTCGTCCGCCTATCTCTTCTCTCGCTTTCTTTTTTGATTATTGCCTTGAAACGTTTTCATTTCAGATGATGTTGGCTAAGGACGAATTCGATTGTCTCGTTTTTAACTCCTCATCAGAGCCAAATCCGGCGCCGGGTAGTTGGGTCGGTTCAATTTAATTTCTTTATTCAGGAAAGTAAATTTTTCAGCAATGGAGCGATACCTTACCCTACAAAGTGCAAGCTTACTGTGAATATGACATGTCCCGAAGGTTCGTTGAACAATTTTTCTCAGAGTAAATTATTTATTCCAGATGCCCGTACAAATCCAAATCAGCGATCAACGCGATTCAAGAACTTTACGATTCGGAGCGAAAATACGTGACATATCTGGCAGTTATAGACCAAGTGCGCGGACTTATTTCAAATCAAGTGATAATTTTTTCTAAATTCAGCTATTCGTCAAGAAGTTGTTCGAAAGTAATAATTTCTCGAAAAAACAATTGCGGACGCTGTTTGGAGAGATTTCTCCAATTTTGCAGACGAATGAGGTTTATTGGTTTGAAAGTGGTAATGAAATTGAATTGATTTAGATTTTGCTCCTCTCTCTGCGGTCGAAGCCGATACACGAAGCATTCCAAAGACTTCTTCCATTCCTCAAATTTTACACCAACTACGCCGCGCAGTATCCCGTTGCCTTAAAAACTTATGCAGTGAGTATCTCATAGTAAAAAATGGACTTTTCGATGATTACGACATATAAAAAACCAATTTCAGGAGTTGATGAAAAGGGAATCGTTCCGTACAGCTGTTGGTGAAATCGAAGCTCACTATCTTTGTGACGGCAATCGCCTTCCGGCGCTTCTGATCATGCCCGTCCAGAGACTCCCACGGTTTCATTTGTGATGACTTCATTTTTACCGTATTTTCAGATATATCACAATCCTCGAGAGACTCATCGAGTCATTGGGCCGCAAGAGTAGCGAAGAAAAAGATGTTCTGATAGGTTTATTTTCTATGCAGTTTATTCATAATGTTGTTCGATTTTCAGAAGTGGTCGGAGAGCTGAGAAAGTTAATGGACAACGTGCAGCATTGCATGATCCAGCACTCCCATGGTGAACGGCTCCTTCAAATCCAGGTGTCTACTTTTCTGGATTTGTGTAGTAGTTCCAAAAGAAGACCCAGAAATTTTCTCCAAAATTTTATTTGGGCTTTTATCATTTTATTTAAGGAATCTTTCGGTTTGAATGGCCAAATTTTCGAGCCCGGCCGGAGAATCATCAAGGAAGGGATCTTGTATAAGGTACATCAACAAAACCAAATTAAAAATATTATAATATGAAAATCTTCAGCGTGAGATAATGGGCGGCTCAACTTTCCATGAACGCGTTTTCTACTTGTTCAACGACGTGCTGCTCTACGGCAAAAAACGTCTTGCTGCTGGAGGCGTCGGACCCCTTTCGCGCTCAAGATACGAACCCTGCTGTATGATGTCTCTCCGACATTGCGAAATTGACCACAACGACATCGACGGGACGATCTTTGTGAGATTATTGTCCTATAAAAATAACTCATTATCCTGGCGAAAGCACCCAACAACAAAAAAACATGCCTGAAAAGAATTAAAGTCGCAGAGACGACATAGAACCGTGAAACAGAAAAGTCATCAAAAAAACTTACTACTTTCAGATAAAATGCGACGAAGTCCGATTGGTCGTAACTGCTGACTCTTTCAACACAGTCACAACATGGTAGTTTATTTTTTTTAGCGGTCAGAAACTGATAACTTTAGGTTTGATGTCATCAGTACAGCCATTCGACGGTCCAAAGCGTTGAGGACGAGTTTGAGGAAAGATCGGGACACTCGTCGCGTTACTTACTTTGAGTGAGATCTGCGACTTTTTGCCAGTAAAGACGACAAAATTTTCAGTCGGAGCCTCTGGCAGAAGGGAAAGAATGTCCTCAAATCCGTTTACTCAAGTGACGCCAGAGACACTGTGGGAAGAGTTTTGTCTCGTCGACACCCGATTCATGTGAGACAAATAAGTAGAAGACTCCTGAAAAAAAGTTTTTACAGCAAAACGAGGAAGAACAAGCGTTTTTGAAAGGAAGCCTGAGTGGCGTGCTCAACGCAAGGAAGAGAAGAAACGGTTATTGATTTTATAGATTTTATTTTGTTTAGATTGTCAAACGAACTCTCTAATCAAATTGAAAGGAGCCAAATGACTGAAAAAACACTTTTTCAGGTTTCGATGACGAGAACGAAGAGCCCGAAACTCCGCCAAAGCGCCCCCATCAAGATTTCACCTTGGAGCCTTTGAAGCCGCTGATTGAAGTGAGAAAGGCTGTTGCACCTGCTCCAGCTCCAGTTGTCGCAGATGTTGATGAGGTTCGGATTATTTATTCATAAAGCCTCTCCAGTTGTTTTTTTTTATGAAATTTCACCTGTTGCAGGTTGATCGGCGACCGAGAAACTTTGGAGAAGTTAGGGCTAACTTGGCCATGGACCAGATCCGGAAACTCAGCTATCAGCAGGTTTTTAAACGTTCATACTAATCAAAACTAAATCTCTGAAAGGAGAATAAATTGAAAAGCTCTGCAAGAATCATTTAATCTACGGTTACATTCAGAGCACGCTCTATGATACGGACGAGGAGGCTGAAGAATCCTTCGACGCGACGGCACCCAAAAAACGCGAAGAGCCGTGGTGGGTGAAGGAATCGGCGCCTCCAGGGATCAGCCACCAACGAACTCAGTCGTCGATATTCTCCAGATGCAGCCTGATGTGAATCAATGAATCAATCACGTTATCGACTCGAGTCCTTGGATTGTAGTATATCCTTTCTTCGGTTTTTTTCATTTTTGTTCATTCCGCATATAATCAACACGTATTCTTGTTCCACAATTTTCAATCTCCTTGTCATTTTTTACCCGCGCATTTCCATATATAGTTCTATTCATTAATCAGATACTCAATGCTCGATGCAATATCCGTTTCCCACACCAACTTTTGTTCTTCTTGTCATTTTTGTTTGTTTTTTTCTTGTTGTTTTTGTGATTTCTCCCCGCGATAACTTGCAAAGTAGCCCCATTCCAGTTTTTACATCAATCATGACATCATTATGTTTATCGTCCCCAGGGCGTCAATTCATTCGCGCATTAGTTCAAAACTGCTGTCATTCATTTCAACCAATAATCCATTTTTTTGCAGTTTTTTTTTAAATTTCGCTCATTAATATAAACATTTTGACAAATTCGCTGTTCTTCGAGAAAAAGTTTCCAATCTCTTGCATCTCAGAAGCATAGTATCTGATAGAAAAAGAAGATTTGGCATGATTCTCGTCATGTTGGCCTTGGCCACGGTTCCTTTTGCACAAGCTTCCAGTAACGACAAAGCCTGTTTTGCCTCTTTAGACCGAGGAAGCAAATGTGAAGAGCACGGCCCAGTGATAAAAGTTAGTTTTTATCATGACAAAGTCTTTCATACCCTTTATTCAGTACTACTTTGATCTTGAGCTCATGACGTGTTTCCCATTTCTCATGGAAGGCTGTTCGTCTGGGAAGAACGTTTTCACGTCGGAACAAGAGTGCTACAATCGATGCACCCTAGGTAGAGATTAAAAACGGCTTGAAGGATCCTGTTGTTGAGATTTTTTTTTCCATTTAAACAAAATTTGAGATAGGCATATCTGATAAACCAAGATTTCATTAAGCTGACGAATTCACCTGTGGAGCCAATTCAAAACCACAAGGCCATTGCACGGCTGCAGACGATCACGCCTGCAAAAACGGCACCCGCTGTGTTTTGGGGCCGGAAATCGGATATTGTTGTGATGCAAAAACTCAAGGTTATTGAAAAGTTAATATATTATTTTGCAAATACTTTTCAGACGCCTGGATCGCCGAGATAACTCCGAAGTGTCAAGAAGGAGAACTAGTCGAAGCCAACTTCTGGTATGGTAAAACGAGGTATCTCGGTCGGAAGTGTGAACACAAGTAAGATAGATTTTGAAGAACTTTTTTTCCAAATTCTGTTTTTCAGGTTTTGCCCTGAAGGCTCCGAATGCATAGAAGGTAAATGGCGAGCCCACTGCTGCAGTCGGAACAAAGAGATTCCGATTGAAGCGTCTTAGACTAGCTTATCTATCTTCAGACAAAGAAAATCGTCCATGACAAAGAGATTTTGGCATCATAATTTGAATGATTTGTTATGTGATTGTGACTGGTGATTTATATTTTTTCTCAGAAGCCGATTATTTTCAAACTAATCACTTTTCTTCGGTACCTCACCAAGAAATCATTGATCCCTCCCACTTGTAAATAACCCCTGCAGATTTGTTTTGATTTTATCTGTAAATAAACATGTGCGTCATGGCCGCAGGCATGACATTCCATAACGAAATGTCACAAACAATTCACGTATTTCCTTTCGCCGCGGGCAGTGTCTGTGAGGTCCATCTAATGGATTAACCCGCAGGCGTCATGCGTATGCGGAAGCTGCAACTGCAAGCCCAAGCTGAACAACGGCTCAACTCCTGGTGCTGAAAGCTTTGAAGAAAAAAGATCTAAGCTGACTCGCCTTCCTTGTCAGCTGGTGATGACGTGCGGCAGACCAAGTTTTGCAGAAAAATTTGTGTTTTCATTAAATTTTCACGCATGATATGTTATGTCCAAAACTAGTATTTTTTACCAAAAGCTCATTAGTTAATCATCATGAGTCAGCATGAATCTCTCTTAGAAAAGGAGTGTGAAACGCTCGGATCAGTTCAATTGAAATGTGTCCTTCAGTGATAATATGCGAAAAAAATTAGTTTTTTGATAGACGCTGTCAATTGGAAATATCACGCATTTTTTTGCAATGTATAATTTTGTTGAGTCATGAAATTTTGGGATATGGAACAGAAGGAGATAATAGATCTGCAAGAACATGTTAGGTTCAAAATAAAATGAATTCAAGTTTACAAGCCTTCAAAAGCCTAAAAAATTATCAGAACACACCACGATTATGTGGAAACACTATCGAGTCTATTTGAAATAAAGAAAAACGTAATAAACGTTATTCTTCGCGTACGAGTTACGTACACCGTATTTGAACAATTAAAAAAAATATGTGCTCCAAAAGAAGATTTTTGAAAAGCGACATTTTTTAACATCATACCAAAGTTTTTCTTCAATTTTCAACTTGAAGGGGTCTGTATATACAAAAAAAAATAAGAATCAAATTTAGATTTTTTTTTTTTCAAATAGTTGATATTGGTTAATTTTTGCTTCACTTGTCAATAAAAAATTTTAAATTGGACCAAATTTCAACGATCCAGCCAGTTTTCTCTACAATGCTCCATAAAAAATCGAGATAAAACCGTATGAAAAACTTTTCTCTCTTTTTTCCATTTTTCCTTTTATCGATTATAAGATCACAGAACTATCTTCAAAGAAACCCGACCAAGGTACTCCAATTTTTATTAACATTGAAAAAATTCTTACTTTTCGAAAAGCCCGACTAAGGTGTCAACCATTCCAGTTTTTCATAACATGAAAAACAAAAATGTTCCACAATATCCATGGCGCGTAAATATCATCTTTCGCAAATTTTTGAAGTTGTCTTCGAACTTTTTCCACTTCAAAAGCAGATTAACACCTGCTTCGTCAAAGTCTGCAGCATAGAGAGCAAAAAGAGAGGCGTGTCGGAACATCCGAGCCTTAAAGTCTCCACCCCTCATCACCTCGATCCGACTCTTCACTTTTGACTTCGTCGGAATGTTGCGCGCCACGTCGATTCTGATGTTTCTGATGGCTATTTTGCCAGTCATTTCTGCACTGGACTGCAGGTAACATACTTGATTATTTTTGAATAAGTCTCATGGCTTTATTACTTACCGTGAGAATTTCAATAAAAACGACCAAATCTGTAGATGTTGATTACGAATGTAAATCATATTCACGTTGGAATTTCGTTGTCTCCCCCAATAGAAAGAGCAATTATTGCAGAAAGTTTTCGTTTGCTCCCGCGTGCCGTGGGATAATGCTCAAACGATCTGGAGCCCACGCTCTCTCGGAATCAAATGAATCTGCCGCAGAAGATATTTCAGTGCGTTTATCCTTTTCTGCTCTTTCCTTTTTGTTCAAAAAACAATTTTCAGAAAGGCCAGCAGGTGGAGCTCTTGACTTGGCTTCTGAGACAGCTTGAGGAGGAAAGCGCCAACAAAGACTGCGTCAGCATTGCTTGGCTCCGAGACCGCTTCTCCGCCAACAGCAGTCAGACTGCAGAAGGCGAATCTACCTGACTTTGACTTTTCAGATCCTTTCATCAACTAATGCGCCAAAAACTCCCCAAACAACACCACCTTGACACACGCACACACACACTCAATTTTCTCTCCGTTGACTTCACAAGGTAGGTAAAAAATCAAATCCAAAGAAAAAATGCTTCTCAACTAAAATTTGCTGTGAATTTTCTAACGCAATCTTTCTTAAAATCAGGGAAAAAAGAATCTGGCTCAGCAATTAAAACAGCCGGAAGTGGTTAGAGCTTTCCTGACGCATTCAATCGCCTCCCTTGATTGTTGGTTCGATTACAGATGAACATCCTCCACGCGTCTCGCTCCACCAACGAACACAACCGCCACAAGCCATGGCACGCCCAACACCTTCTTTTGCGAAATAAATTTGATCCTTTTTTGAAAACAGTCTAACATCAAAAACATTAAAAGTAGAGAAGAAAAGGAAATCACTATCCCATCATCTTGATAGCTTCTGATGAAGACTTGAATTCAGAAGTATATGAAAACTTTTTGTTCATAATTGTTACGAAAACTTCGTTTTGAACATCGAACAAAGGATCACAAGGAGCAGTGCGGTCTTCTGAATTATGTAGCACCCTCTCTTCCAAATCAACTAGTGCAACTTTTATGAAAGGGAAAAAAACAAACAATGCTGCAATATGAGTTCATGGATTGTACTCATAATACTAATGAAATTCCCGATAATATAGCATGCATTTCTTTCCTTTTTTTTTAAGTAGCTTTATTAGCAGAGTAGGATCGAAGTTGGTAGTGTTGACTAAAAAAGCGCGTTGTCAAAGACGCGCCGTTGTACAGGTCAAAAACAAAAGCTGAACAGAACCGGAAACGAATTTTTACACGCGTATCGAATTAGAATCTTTCACGGGGAGAAAACAGTAGAAACGGCAGTTCTGAAGGAGGAATAGGAGAAAGACTTTTGAAATTGAAGAAAGACTGCAATAACTTTGTGATCGAGCAATTACTTATGAAAGATGCGTGGACTGAAAGAAATGACACGTTTAAGTAGGAAACTATAGACATTAGAGAACTTCCATCTTCTTCGTCAAAAATGACGCAAGAAAAAGATACTCTAAAAAACTCTATTGGAGAGAAAAACTTTGAACTGAAATCAACAGAGAGTTATGGATTATCTTCTTGAGCCCCACCAAAGTTCCTCTTTCGGTGGTTTTCCGGAATCTTCAAGAGGATCGAAAATCGGGGATTGTGCAAGAAATCTTCCAGGCAATGATGTCATTGAAAAGTGACTGTCACTCCGATGACTACGGTGAGTACTACGCCGCTGTGTGGGGGAGTTTCCAGCCGTTCTAGGAGGTTTTCTCGGCGAGATATCAGCAAGGAAGGTGTCCCAGGCGAATTCCTTGTTCCCTTCACGGAATGGAGTGTTGTCCCAGGCCTTCTTTTTAGCAAGGTTGCCTACCGATTTCGTCCCTGAAATTTTTGAGAGTTTGTGTTCATCCTCTCTTAAAAGACGTTGTCAATGATCAACAATCAAAGATCTCACCTCTGAGAGGTTGTGAAGTACTTCTTGACGTTGTGCTACCTCTCAAATCAGCTGCCGAGTTTGAAATAGTGCGGATCTCATTTTTCCGGAGAGCAATTTTCCGACTGATGACTGAATGGCGTGTGCTTCTTGAAGTGTGTGAAACGTTGTCTGGATAGTCTTCTGCCCTTGGAGAAGCAAAATGAGAAGAAGATCTGCTTCTACACGTTTCTTTGGAGGATTTTGTCGCAGGTCGACTTTGACCAGGTGTCTTTATGTTCGTCCTTGATATTGCCGCAATTTTCTCTTTTTTGTGCAAATTTTCGATGGACTTTCGCAAAGTGACGTCAGGAATATCTGGCGAGCTGACGAATCCGTCGCTTTCCAAAGCTCTTTTAGGAATGTCCACATCAGAAAGCTCTCCGCTAGCTTCAATAAGACGATTTTTCCTAGCAGTTGTCATGGGTCTCCATTCGAGATAAGATCTGAAAGTAAAATTACGTTTATCACTGTTTCCTCACTGACCGAGTTGTAGGGGGACAAGAAATAGACTTGTCCGGAGGGATATCCTGAAGAACAGCCTCGGCCGCAATTTCAGCGCTCTTTTCTGATATGCTCGATAAGGTGCGCACAGGTCTCCGTTTTTTGATTATTCGTCTTCCATGTGTGGTCGGTCTGTCCACGTCGTCTCGCATGGCTTGCAGTCTTTTGAAAAAAGCAACCTGAAAATTTGTTCTCAATCAGCAGCCTATCCGTTATTCAATACCTCGGGGTCACTTTCATCGGTTGATTCTAAGACTCCGGAAGGTTTTAGTCGGGAAATATGTTCTTTCCTATTTCGAATCACTCTTTTACTGTCTTCTCGAGCTTTCCATGGAACAAAAATTGGTTGATTTTCTTTGTCGTTTGAAGGTCTTCTGAACGTCGCACTTGGGATCCGTGACTTCGAAGTTGAAGCTCGGCTGCTCTGCTCTGTCTTTGGAGGAGTTTTTTGAATCTCCGTTTTTTCTTCTGGTGGAATTGTTGTTTCTTTCGGTGTTCCAACCGAGAACGCTGGTTTTTCATCTTCTGAAGTTTTAGGAGATAGAGCAAGCTCTATTTTCCGTTTCGCCATTTCTATCAGAAGTGCCGCTTCAAGCGATTTTTCATCAGGAACTCCAAAACACTCAGGATGGACTTCCACGGTCGTGTCAGGGTTTGCAGTTTGAATTTGTTCTAGTTCCAAGTTTTGAACGTCTTCTGTCATTTTTTCTCTCGCTGTTGGAGGAGACGCTTCCAATGTGACGCCAAGCATATCGGCAATGAGCGCTTGCTTCTCTTGCCTTAATATTAAGTTATTGCAAAACAAAAAAAACACATTGAACCTTTTAGCTTCTTCAATGCTTGATGTATCGTTTGTGGCGTTTGTGGCGGGAGGCTCTTCTGGGAGAGTACTCAAAATCGGCTCTTCAATCGCTTTTCTGCAGAGAGTTTGATTATGGATTTTGCAATTTTCTGATCACCGAGGTGGAGATTCAATGATTTTTAGTGGAACTGGGATAGTAGCTGTCGTTTCGGTCCTGGCAGTGTTCTCTTTTGTTTTTGCGCTCATCAAAGGTTCGTGATTAGCGATTCGAGCTTCGACCATAGCTTCCAAAGAGTCAACGCTGCTTTTTCGTTCTGAACACTTTGGAAATAAATTCGTCGTTTACATGATTGTTTCAGAGGTCAAGATTTTGGACCACCTTCATCTTTGGAGTATTGAGAGCCTAACACTCGGAACGTTTCCCAGATCGTGGGTTGCACGCCGATAGAATGAGAAGAGGCTGGCCTTTCCGGTTCAACTTGCTGAAATTCGTTTCTTACTCTCTATTTTTCGTTTAGTCCAATATCGACATCAAAGTTCACTCTATTTTTTTTCTTCACAATGTGTTAGAAAAAAAATCATCTGTTCACTTGATCTACGGAGTCTTCTTTGTGAACGTCGGCCGCAGTCGTTATGGGAACGGGCAGCGGAAGTGGTAAATTGGGCAGTTGAGGTGCTGCTTCTCCTGCTGAGACGAGTGATACGGAACTCGAGTTCTGCAATTGTTCTTCGTTGGGTCCCGCCGCATAATACAATTTCCAAAAATAAAAGGTCGTTGGGCTAAGGAATGTCTTTTTTGCCCGAATGACCTTGAACAAAGCAGCTCAAGCGGAAAAGTGATCCGACTACACGTGGGTGCAAGCAAAAACTATACAAGTGTCCGGAATAGCCTCTGCGCAGCCATAACAAAACAAAGTGCATTCGAAAATATCTTTCTATTCAAGGATCCAAAACAAGAACTTTTCGAAAAGTTGCCGTCATATACCTTCTCTAAAATTGGTGTTTCAACATTTCCGGTGGGATTCTCAAAGTTGACGCTTTCTCCCGCTGTTGTCGGCGAAGGAAGTGTGATTTTAGATATGGAACGCTTCATCGGAGAGCCTTGAGGTGATATATCGGGCATTGGGGAGGACACCTTAATTTTTAATTTTCATTCTGGTTTCATTTTTAAATGCGTATTTTACTTCACTATCCACTTCGACAACGTTGCTCATTTCTGGAGCACGAGAAACTCGGTTCTTCTTCTTCAGTTCTGCAAGAGCAAAAGCACTTGCAACTGATGTTGACCCTGAAAATCGTTTTTTAAGAACTCACAATAATTACTATTTTCACCTTTGGCGCTATTTCTCAAACTCTCTCCGAAAATTTTCTTCATGTTGGGAAAGTCTCCTATTGTTTTTCTGGCGGCCGGCTTGCCAATAATCTAAATTAATTCATTTCCTTCCGTTTAATATTCATATATTCACCACTTTCTGAAGCCCTGCTGGGTCTTGCCGAGCAACTTTGCAACGAGAACAAGAGCAAATTTTGCAGCAAAGATAACACATCAGACCAGAAAGCAAAATTCCACCGAGAAGAAACAATAACCAGACAATGAGACATATTCCGAAAAACATGATGCAGCTGAAATTTCGCTTTGAAACAAGATTTTTAGGTTCTGTTACTCTTCATCGAAAGGAACGCCATTGCACTGTCTGCCGGATATTTTGGAGACATCTTCCGTTCCGTTCCGACAAACGCAGGAATATCGCAAATTGTCTTCTGATGGTTTACAAAAGGCGTATCGATGACAGTGATTGTACAAAGAATTCGAACAAATATCAGTAGATAGAGCTGAACAATAAAATTTGACTGCTTTGACTTTTAAAAGCTAAACCTCCGGTTGTCATACTAATGTTTTCTCCCTGCTGAGGCACAAGAAAACTTTGTAGCCCAGAAAGTTGACAACTTTCACAAGCAGCATTCACTATCACTCCTTCATTGTCTTCTCTTTCCAGGACGCAAGCATCGTGAGGAACTTTCTTTTTGATCTTAAAAACCATATCGGTTTTTTTGTTAAAGATTTTTGTGAACCTGCTGGTGCACGATTTCTCTTTTTTGCTGAAGGGATAAGTTCTCCACGCCACACACGGTCCCAACTTCAACTTTGAATGTGACAAGTGCTGGGTCTTCTGAATTCCAACGAGTTAAGTTATCAAAAATGATATTTACCTTCACAGACTCCTTGACTATTCAGAAACTGTCCCGGATCGCATTTGCAAAAAATATCTCCGCCATCCTGTTTTGCCTTGGACAAAATTTTGTCCAGACAGATATTTTCATGGTTCACTTGTTGGCTTTTGCTCGTTGTGGTTATGAAACCTTGAGTCGGTGGAGGGATTGTTATTTCCGGTTTATCTGGAGTAGAGGTTGAGGTTGTGGTTTTCTCGTGAGCCGGAGTAGTTTCCTCCACAGGAGGTACAAGTTCGAAACCTTCTTCAAAGCTTTCTGTAGAAGTTTGCAGGGAAGGAACATTTGTTGTCCAGGAAGGCGCGTGAGTTGTCGGTTGCAGCGGCGGGAATACCCAGCCTCCAGGTTGAAATGGGACAAGATGTTCGTTTCCTTCATAACCATTCTCTTCAGATGTTTCTGTCTCGGTAGTTTCTGTTGTGACGGCAGTGATTTCTGGTATGAAACCCGAATAAATTTCTGTAGTGGAAGTAAAAAGAGGCTTCTTCGTAGTGTGTGCGATGGGGACGATCCGAACTGGGCTGCTTGTTTTTTCCTCATAAGAATCCACAGGAGATTGGGTGTGATGTTCGTTCGAAGACTCCGTGGGTACTTCATAAGACGGCGGAGTGGCAGATGGACTTGCTGTTTCAATAGTGGGCTTTGTTGGGAAGAATTCCCCGATACCAATTGGATAACCTTCTTGTCCTGCAGTAGTCCTTGTACTCGGGAAAGGAGGAAAGAATTCGTTTTCTATTTCTTTGGGTGGATGTGGGTAAGGAATCAAAGTGGCAAATGGATATTTCGGAGTAGTAGTTTCGGAACTTTTTGGAGCTGGACTGGAACAGTAGGAGCATCCAGGAACGAAAAGGTTTTGACGATCCGCAGGTGGAGGAAGAGGTTGAACCGGTGATAATGTGATATTTTCTCTTTTTCGGAATATCCTGAAGCCTTCTTCTAGCGGCAATACATAGTTTGGATCTAAATTCAATTTCTTGGAAAATTCGAACTTTTTCTCAAACCTTCATCACTCCCATCCATGCAATCTTTTTTGCCATCCAAAAGCCAGTCCCAAAGAACGCACTCCCCATAGCCTTTGCAAGGAAAAGATTTCTTTCCAGAGCACAGTTTTTCTTCTGGAAAATAACGTATAGTACCTTTCCAACCGTTGAGTTATTCTTACTCGACAAATTGCACCAAGGTAGTTGTTTTGAGGTGCCGTCGCATTTCGGATATAAGACGCAAGGAAGTGTATGTTGAATGTCCGCACAATAAGCTCCACAACTGATCTGGCCAAAGAAGCACCCTAAATCTTATGAATAATCTTTTTTCGTCCTAATGAAGCAGAGGAAGCGCGTTTCATTTGCTACTAACATTCGTCGCTGCCGTCGTAACAGTCGATTTTTCCGTCGTGGAACCGACCCATCGGCACGCATTGACCAAGGCCGCAGTCGTAGTCGCCTTGATGACATCGCCCCGGGGCCTTCATTCGAATCGCTTCAACGAAGAGTTTAAAGAAAGTTTCAAAAGAGAAGATTTTTTATAATAAACATAAATAAGAAAAAAACTTTAGAAACATCAGCGAAAAAAATCATCTGAAAAAAACTTTTTGTTGTTTCATTTTTATTCGAGAAATTTTAGTTTGATTATATTTTTTTCATAATATTTATATATATCCGAATTGGGTGAGCAAGTTTAAAACGAACCATCATAAGAAAGAAACTGCGCGGCGACGGATTGAACTAGAACAAGGACGGTCAGCATGGACAAAACATGAGTACACCAGGAGCTTCATCAGATTGCACCCATCCAAAAAACAGACCAAAGGAAATTCACACTTTTTATTTGCTGTAAACAGATATTTTTTGCTAACAAACTCTGAAAAGATGACTGAAAAGCGATCATAAAAACGAAGTGGGATTTCAAAACCCAGCTTCGACACAAAGCCGCGCTGCAATTTTCAGTCCGAAAAACAGCCAAATAACAAAAAATAGCAAAAAAGCATAAATTCAAACTCAAAATCCATAGTACGATAGTCGTAACTGAAAACAAAACGGTGATTCGGGGATAATAGCTGAGACTGGGGGTGGGCTGCAACTATAGCACACTTAATGGCCTTAACTTCCTACAATTTTCCGCACGCATAGCTACCGGAAGAGCTCCGAGCCATTATAATACTCGAAAGCTGTTGGTGCATCGAAGTTTCACTTCTGAGGTCATTTATAGAAACTTGAACGGAACAGAAATAGATCAGATTCAGATAGGTTTTCATGGGTATCAGAAGTGTCTAAATTTTTGGAGATGAGAACTAGGAGAGACCGAGTAGATCAGTGAGACGAGTTTTTTCAAAGATAATAATCAGAGAGGAGTAAATAAATCAACTTTCTTGATGTCAGTCAGTCAAGCTTGGAACCTTCTTCGTATAGCTCAAGTTAGGAAAACAATTGATGTGGAAGGTGCGCGGGCCAAAAGCTTTTTGTCCTTCCGCTGCTGACCAATGGATAGAGAAATTGGTTAGCTCCCAGGTCCGACCAAAAATGACTGGCTATGTTTCTTCGGTTCACCGAAAAAGCAACTAGTATGACTTACAAGTTCGTCAAGTGAGCTAGCCAAAATGAATTTTTCTCGCCCAGCCGCGCCTTGAGACAGGAAGCGAGGCATGAAAGGCACTTGGTTGAAAAGCATATACGAGTAGTAGTGACCCTCCATCTCCTTTTTTCGGGAACTTTGCCAACTACTCTCGTGAAAGACGAATTGAAGCAGGTAAGCCGAGGCGAAAATTATTCGCCTATTCCCCTCGACCGCCGTCCGAGGTGCAACCAATTTTAGTCGAGAATCGCCCTCCTCTCTCCAGAATAAACACCTTGCGAGTGGACATTTGCCAAGATGGAGCCTTTTTGAACACCTCTTTTCCGTTGCGAAAGTCCACATAATGTAAAGTACTAGCCTCTCAGGTTTAGAAAGCGTTCTAATGGTTTTAAGCGACTTGACTAGATGGGTGATCTGAAACCGTATTGTACTCTAAAACGGTCCATTTTGAAATCATATCAAGCGCATGGTAGCCATTTTTTCGGAAAGATGGTCAAAAAATGTCGTTTCAATGATTCTTTCGATGATAGAGGATCATTTCCAAGGTGGATCTCAAAAAACTACTTTTAAAATTCTGAAAATCAGTGTAAAAAGAGATTAACTCTCAGTCTCAATTTGGGAACAATCAATTTTCAAAAGTGAAGTCTTAAGATGAGTAACTTTTATGTTTTTATTACAGAACAGGGGAAATGGAACTATGCAGAGCTGTGCTCTGGACCGGCGAGATGAAAAACGCGGTTGCAAAGTGGTCGAAATCTTTCCTCTTTTCAAGTCTCTTCGTCTTGAAATTTTCACAGAGAGTGTAAATGGGAGAGTGTGTGATCAAAAATATGTTATTTGGAAAGATTATATGATGTTTTTTGTTTGTCTTTTTTGAACTTCTAATGAAAAATTAAGCCTTTTTATTTGAGATCAATCAATAAATAACCGGTAATAAATAAAATAAATTAACTACGCCTTCGAAGTCGTTCCTCAAAATACTTAATGCGAGGATTGTAAAGCGAATGGCCGCCTTTGAAGTGTCCAAGGATTTCTGACAGCTTGGCCCGAGGTCTGACTGGAAACGCCGCTCCGTTCTCGTCGAAGAACAACTCAGCCGAAGTCGAATAAGTTCTTGGCCATATCTGAGAAAGAAGATTGGTGATCGGTGATAACAAAACTACCCTACCGGCTCGCCACCTTTATATCCGATTGGTTTGTAGAAGTCGAAAGGATATGGCTGCTCGTAGCCAGAATCACGCTCCAGAAATTTATTGTAAGCTTCAGAAATCGAAATACTGTCAACTACTGCAAATGATTAAATGATTAATGTTAGAAGTTTTTCAGTTAGGAAGTTAGAAATTTCATGGAGTTATTTCACAGTTATTTCATGAATGGCATATGAAAAAGTAAGCAGCAAGAAGTGTGAAGGTCTTTCACAACCGCTAAGTTTTCACGTCGAGCTCAGGGTGGTCAAAAATCATTTTTTTATAAAAGAAGGACGGAATTATTATCAACATTTTGAAACTGTAAACTGAGCAATTTTGATGGAATTTCGGAGAGAGGCAAAAAAATTTTTTTTGAAACAGGCTGATAAAAGTTTGAGAAAATTTTTCCAAACTCCTGACCACTTCTCTTCCCCAGCATGATTTCCATAAACTCACTTTCAAAAATACCAAATACAGATAAAATGGTCAGCAACGAAGGATTAATCATAACGACATTGGGAGGCTGCTGCAGATTGACGGTCCTTATAAATGAGGCTAGGCAAACAGGCTACAGCCCTGGGGGGAAGTCCTACCGCATCACGACCTTTAGCGGAATCTGGTTAGTCTATGGACAGAGGAGTTTATCTCTTATCTGAGGGCCCAGCTGCATTTTGTTTAATGCGAACATCGTTAATGCCATGACTGGTCGCAGATTCCCAGGCCATTACGTGTCCAGCGCTTACCGCAATCATGCCAAGCCTTTTTTCACTTTCTTTGCGTTTCTTGGCCTTTGTAAAGCATGGGTAGCCGTCTGGTTTGTGCAAGCGTGGCGCTTACATCTCTTATCTTCTTCTATTTTCAAAGATTGTTTGGTTCGATGCCTTCAAAAAGGTTTTACCATTAAATTTGTCGAAAAAAATTATTTTTGTTTCTTATGAGTAGGGACGCTGAGCAAAACTCGTAAAAAATGTATTCAAGCCTATGATGTAGTTTTAAACTCTGAAAAAAATCTCGTTTTGCCGTTTTATAATAATAATTTATTCACTGTCATTCTTTAAAATTAAAAAACTGATCAAAGAAGAAAATTCTCCTCACAGGGGAGGTCATTTTCCTTTGCAATTGGGAATTTCCTGAAAAAGTTGCCAAAAAAACTCCTTGTTGTACCAGATAAAGAGCCTGAAAGTCTCCTCATGCACGATTTCCTAGAGAAAAAAACCGGATTAGATCCCATTTAAACCTTTTTTTAAAGGTTATGATCTCCCTTGTCAACTTAAATCAATAAGATCATTTAAGTCCAGATATCCTTTTCAAAAAAATATGATAAAAAAACATTTCTTAATCAAACTTTTTTTCAACTATTCTCTTAGATTTTCATGCCCTTGATAAAACTTTTTTTCATCAGAAAAATTAAAAATTTTTCGAACAGTTTTGGTCTTCGCCGTATTTTTTTTACAAAAAAATGAAATTTTTTTATTGTAAACATTTGTAGTGAAACATTTTTTTCAACATTTTTTTCAAAAATTTTTTTGTTTGATTCCTGTATTCTTGAAATTTCTGAAGAAAAAGGTCTCTGAGGACTATTCACAACTGTGAAACTTCAGCCAGGGTTTTCTTCATCATTTGATCCTTGAGAGAGGAGAAAAATTTTTTCACCATATCTTTCTCTTGGAAAACTATTGACTTTTAGCTGGCTTACTACTATTTGTTGATTTTTTGTGTTGTTTGGCTACATATTGTGAGCACAGCCAGAAAAAAACTTTCAAAAAAATCATTTATTTACACAAAATACTTAAAGCAAGCTTCGGAGATTCAAAATTATGAAAAAAAAGGAAAAATGAAAAGTACAATGAAAGCCAAATAAGGGTAACCGTTTATACAAATTTTTTACATAAATTCCTTCTCTCGGAGGAATGGTTTTAAAAATCGTCCGTATTGAAATCGTCGTCCTCGAAAAACCATCCATCGCTTTGGATCAGAAACGCAATGCTTTTCAAACGTTGGCTGGACGCTTTCTCTGGAAAAAGAAAATTTCTGACAGCCTGGTTGATGGTTGAACCTTCGTTCTGAAGAATTTCCATCTCCCTCTCTCGTTTTTTCCTGGCGATTTCTTCGTTGTGTGGCGCCCATTCTCGACTTTTGTCTTCGTTTTCGTCGTCATCATCGCCCAGAATTTCTTTCTGGAAGAACTGTTTTAGTATTTTTTTTCACATCATTTACAAGTTGAAGTCATATTTCTCATGATTTTAAAAATGCCGGACAGAAATAAAAATTAAATGTTTTGAGTGAGTTTTAAAAAACCGTTCAAATGACCGGTCATCATTTTCCAAGAGAATACTGGGCAGTAGGAGGGAAACCGATCAGGCGGAAAACTGTTAAACTGCGGTAGTTTCATTAGAGTTGCACTGCGCCCATGCGGAACATAAAAAGGTCGCGAAGGCTACGGGAAAGAATTTTTCTAAAAAAAGCAACTTTTTGAAAAGTTGCTTTTTTGCAGTTATTCGTGTTACACGTTAAACTTCATACATACTACGTTTTCGAACAGAAAAAAGTTGTGCTAGGCAAATATTGGTTGAAATGAGCATGAATGAAAAAAAAACGTCATGGTTGAAAACATAGTTCAAACCTTATTTTTAAAGATTTGGAAAGGAATTTCTTGAAAAGAAAAATTTCAAAAAATTCGGTGGATAAAAGAAAATTCAGAATCCTCATCAACATCATTATTAAGGAAAAGTAATGGACTTCAGTACTGTGAGAAATGAAGAAAATTCCAAAAATTGCGTGTTAAATTTTTGGTGCCCATTCTGTCGAAACTTGCACAAAAGGAAACAAGGAGAAAAAATGATAAGGTTCGAACAATTTTCCTCACGATCGATTCGAAAGAAAACAAATCTGTGCACCTTCCACATAAGGCCGCACTGCTCGAGGATGGTCTGATGGAGCAACGCCTTGATGCCCATTCCTTCGTTGAACACTTGAAACATCATCGCACAGTGCGACTGCATAGATTCGTTGAGCAGCTGGAAGAACGACGGCATTGTCGGAATGTGGAGGCGAAGGTCACTGCGGCGGGAAAATGAGGCATTTGGGAGGGGCCGACCAGCCACCGACACCACGGGGAACCGCCAAACAAGCCCAAAGGCGCTTACGTCCTTTTACTAGGTTTTGATCTGTAACCGGCTGTACTAGGGAGTATGACTCCGTATTGACGTCATGCACGTTCCATAAACATTATAAATCCCTGACGGATGATAGTGGCCTTTTTTTGGGAATTTTTATGTCACATTATTTCTGGAATGAAAAGTCTGTTTCAAACGACTTTTAAAAATGCAAACCGACTTTTTAATGAAAAATCACTCAAAAAAAGCAAAATTTTTTTTCTTTCAGCGTTAGAAAAAACAGACCAGCCTGGTTATGGTTAGTGAAACTACAGGCAAAGTCCAAACGACCTTGAAAAGAAGAGGCTAAAAGCTCCTTTTTAAGTTCCTAAAAAGGTGTCAAAAGTTTCTCGGAATCTTCTTTTCTCCATCTTTTGTCCGCCTTATTTTTTCAGAACTCCTTAAAAGGTCTTTTTCGAAAAAAAGCGCTTTCTAGCCCTTTTTTCTAAAAGTCCATTTTGAAACCTTTTGGACTTTGCCCGTGACACAGGAATGATGCTTAAATCAATGGTATTTGAATCTAACTTATATTCTGTTGTTTTTTCAATTGTATTCTCAGTTACAAAGCTATTTTCATCAAAAAAAAAAACTAAGCAACTTTTAAAAAGCTTTCTTTCAGAACAAATTCAAATTTTAAGTGCGCTGTGACTTTTCATAACGCAAAACTCGCTTTCTCATACGACTTTTCCGCGAAAAGCAGTACTGGTTCTTGATGGATTATACAAACACGTGTCGTGCGATGGAGCGATTTCAACAATTGAAAAAAAAGCCCAGATGTTTTCAAACTTTTGCGTTGACTTAGTAGTTTTCCCCTACTCAATGTATGCTTTGGTAAGTTTGTACAACTCCAAAGTACAGGTTCGGATGCTCAAATAAACTTCTCACAACTGATTTTTATTGATATTCAGTGAAAAAGTTTTGCAAAGTTTTAAAAAACGGAATAAACAAGTTTATTTTTTCATTTTAATCCATGATGCAGCTTTTTTTCATTGAATTGAGTCGAGAGCTAATTTTCGTTCAGTAAGGATTTTTTTTTACTTCAAGGGAAAGTTAATCTATTTGATACTATCCTTCTCTGCTCCGTCCGAAAAAAAAAGCAGCACATCTAAAATTCAAAGAAACAGACTTTCGCGCAAATCCAGCTGCTAAAAGTAGAAGGATCTTCCAACTAAAATTGGTTATTAGCATTACTTTTTTACCAAACTTCCTCCAAAAAAAAACCGAAAATAGTTAGAGCTTTGAAATTCTTATTTCAAAATAAAACGTCCTTTTCCAACTACAATTTATATGACTTTTTGCCATAAGTTCAATAAATTCCAAATGAATCAGTATAATGCAATTTTACTTGTCCCTGTGCTCAAAAAATGAATCGAAACTAAACTTTAAGAAGCTTATAAAAATTATCACTTTTTTCAAAAAAACACTGGCGAAAATCAAAAATATTAGAAAACCAAGTGCGCTCTATGGAGAACGACCACAGAGCTCCCCTCCCTCCGTCTCGTGGATGAATTCTAAATTTCCCGTTATGTTTTTCGGTGTTTTTCATTTGTTTAAAGACGTAGGAACAAAGTATAATCTGTATTTTTTTATAGTCTCGGGTATGAGTGAGCCGACGGACAGTTCAATATCTCAATACACAAGGGACAAGGTCGGGTTTTGTTTTTTTGGATAATTTTACTGTTTGAGTGGCTGTTTCTGTCATATTTCTATGATTTTTACTTGGTAAATTAATAATTGATAATTTGAAGGCAAGCAGGACACGAATAGCCGTTGAATCGTACTACGCACACCGCGTGACACAATGCGCGGAGCGAGAAAATCGGCTGAAAAAGCTGGAGGAAGAAATGGCGGCGAAAGGTTCGAAAACTGCCGTAAAAAGGATCGAAATTGTCAAATATTTAAGGATACGAAGATGAGGAAAAAGAAGAAAGGAAGCAGATCCATTTCAATAAGGAAACCGACTATCTTCGCTTGAAGAGAACTCGTCTGGGCGTGGAAGATTTCGACAGCTTGAAAGTTATCGGACGAGGAGCTTTTGGCGAGGTGAGGTTTTTTCTGATTTTAAGGCTCATTTCTATCTTCTTATTTGAAGCTCAAAATTTTGAAAAAAACAAATAGAGTGTCGTTTTAGGATCCGATTTTTTTGGAGGAATCACACGGCACCTTTTTGCGTTTTCCATTTTACTTTTTTTGGTAAAAATTTTTGTGAAATAATAATTCTTAGAGTATCACTAATCATGAGGAAAAGTCTGCAGCTAATTGTGAATAAACTATAAATGTTTTCAGCTGACAAGAAAATTCATTTCATTCCGCTTCCTTGACTTTTTTCGATTTTATTCAAATTTTTGCGGCCATTTTCAAAAGAACATGACTTGCATGAAATCTTACTTTATATAAAATTGACTTCTCATTCTTTTTTGAGCACAGTCCTAAAATAAGTTAGGGTATTGAAAAATATACAACTTTCTGAATCCATTTTCAGGTGCGTCTTGTGCAAAAACTGGACACTGGTCACATCTACGCTATGAAAATCTTGAGAAAGAGCGAAATGGTTGAAAAAGAACAGGTTGATCCATATCTGCATGCGAAAAATTCAACAATTTGAATTACAGACCGCACACGTGCGAGCTGAGAGAGACATCTTATCAGAAGCGGATTGCGAATGGGTCGTCAAAATGTACTATTCTTTCCAAGATTATTCTAACCTCTACTTGGTGATGGAGTTTTTACCGGGAGGTATTTTTCCTTTTAAAAGTGTCTAATGAATTTAAATGGTTTAGGTGATATGATGACACTTCTGATCAAAAAAGACACTTTGACGGAGGAAGCGACGCAGTTTTACATTGCCGAAGCTGCTCTCGCTATTCAGTTCATTCATAACTTGGATTTCATTCATCGGGATATCAAACCGGACAATTTGTTGCTGGACGCCAGGGTGATTTTTTTTTAAATATCACTTCATAGCTTAAAAGCGTTGGTTTTTTTTAAATTTTTTGTTAAGAAGGTGATCAAAAGCAAAGTCGAAAAGGGTAGAAAAAGCTTTATAAAAATGATCCCTTAAGATGACAAAAGTTTCTTTTTTGCTGCCCATTTGCGTATTTCATCGGCTTTTGTGCGTCTTTTTTGCCGTTTTGCAGCATTTCTTGAGCTCTTGAAATCCCGAAAAAAAAATGAGGGACTCGATAAACGGGTCCTTTTTGCTGCCTTTCCAGAGCCTTTTTTGAGCTTCTTCCTGTCAGCGGCCGTTAGCCACCATTCCGACTTTGCCCAAGTTGATTTTTTCCTATATAGGTTTTTCCGACAGTAACAGATCGTGGTTTCTAAAAAAATTATCAAAAAATTTTACAGGGGCATATAAAACTGTCTGATTTTTGGTCTCTGTACGGGTCTCAAGAAGTTCCATCGCACCGAGCATTACAGGTATTTTCAGAACTTTTATTTTTTTCCCATTTTTCATAATATGTGAAACAGCGTTTAATGGTTTGAAAAGTCTTAGTTGCTCTGAGATCTAGAGGTTCTAATTTTGTTATTTCTTTTTGTAGTCACACCTAACTTTTGAAACCTTTCTTTCCAATGTGAAAATTTCAATCGCTCACATTTATCAAGTTCTTGAATTTTCATAGGAAAGAGAACTAAAAATAATCAACAGTACTTTTTTCAGAAATTGGCCCTCAACTTTACCTCCGGATTTCATCTCAAAACCCTTTGAATCAAAAAGAAAAGCCGAGACTTGGAAGAAAAATCGCCGAGCCTACGTGAGTGAATCACAGAGATTCTCAAAAAATCTTGTCATTTCAAGGCTTATTCGACAGTTGGAACTCCAGACTACATCGCGCCGGAAGTTTTCCAACCTAACGGGTACACAAAGAGCTGTGATTGGTGGAGTCTTGGAGTGATCATGTATGAAATGCTTATCGGTGAGTTTTGCTGATATTTATTGAAAAATGAATAAGTTAATTTTAGGATATCCTCCTTTCTGTTCTGAGACGCCTCAGGAAACGTATCGGAAGGTTATCAACTGGCAACAGACGCTTGTTTTCCCAGCTGATACTCCGATCAGCGTTGAAGCTAAAGCTGTGAGTTTTTGATTACTTCAATATACTTTTTTGAGCTTTTTTTTTCAAAAAAACTGTTCAGCACAGTGTGAAAAATCGAAAAAAGAAATTAATTTTGATTCATTCCCGAGAACTTCCTAACAGTGGGGTCATTTTACTGTGCGGTTGGGAATTTTTCGAAAGTTGGCCAGAACCTTTTTTTGATGTTTCAGTTGAAGATCCCGAAAGTTTTAATCTGCACAAATTCCTATTTTTCGAGAAATAAAAGCCCAAAGTCTTGAAATTGCCTATTATTATGAGTTTTGAGGGTTTTTTTTTTGACTCCGAAGCGTCTTTTCCGAAAAACAAGGAAATTGGGCGACTTATAGAATATTTTTCTTGTACATCAAGAAATTTTTCTGCCAATTTGCAGAGAAATCCCAACCACAAGTCAAAATGAGTTATTTTGTGAACCATGATAAAAAAATTTTCCCGCACACAATTATTTCAATTTTCAATCGGTTTTTTGCAGACGATCAAACGTTTCTGTTCTGAATTCGAGCGCAGATTGGGAAATCAAGGAGGCTTGGATGAAATCAAACAGTGTCCATTCTTCCGAAGGATCGACTGGAACCACATCAGGTCACATTAACCCATTCAAATATTGAAATCAAATAATAAACTTCCAGAGAGAAGCCGCCACCGATTCGTGTAGAAGTGAAAAGTATTGACGACACGTCCAACTTCGATGATTTCCCGGATGCCGATCTCAAATGGCGTATGTTTTAATTTTGATAGTGTCAAATTTTTTTTTTCTCATAACCTTTTTCCTGTGATTTCAGCGGCTATCGACATCCGCCGCCCAGAAGATCAGCCAGGTCGTAGAGGAGAGTTTGTCGACTTCACGTACAAACGATTCGACGGCTTGACCCAAAAAAATGCGATACAGTGATGTGAAAAAAAGGTTTTCAATTCAATTTTTTTCGTTTTTTTACACTCTTTCAATTTAAAAAAATTGAACTATTTTTTTTAAGTACGCAATTTAATAATTTTTTTATCAATCCTTGGCTATTTTTTTGGATTATTTTTTTTATTGGTATCTTTGCTGATTTTAAATTTGTACCACTTATTTAGTGTAGATAGCTTATAGTGACTTTGATGAAGGCTGCTTCTAAGATATAAATAATTCAGGTTACTTTGGAAGTTAGCTGATTTTTAATAAAAATTCTACTTTTTTTTAGAAAAAGTTATGTTCAAAAATCTGTTCTTAAATGTTATTGTAAATTACAAAAAAACAAATGTTTTTTTCTGTTACAGCACGGTAAGAAACGACCGCTGTATTCCTCGGAGTTGCCGGCAGCGCAGGAAGCAGCTCAAGCCTCCCAAACGACCGTTTGAAAATATTTTCCTTAAAAAAACTCTTCTCATCCAAAAATATTTCGTCTATTTCAATTTCTAAAAAGTGACAGAAAAAGTTGTTTTGAATTCATAATTGTGATATACGTTTACGTGATTTGATATATTTCTGCTTGATTTGCGAATTTTCCAACCCTACTTGTACATCATTATTTTCGAGGTCTGAAAGCGATTTTCGACGCTTTTGTCATATATGCATGCTTATAAACATTGGTTATTAGAACTTTGAATAAAACTACCATGGAATTGAAGGCTTCGTTATCAAGAAATCATGAAGAAATAGTCTGAATTTTCATACAGACTTTATCCAACATGTTGTTTTTTCTGTGAGTTTTTTCCTTTTTTAGAACTGGGTACTGTTCATCAAGGATTTACGTCCCGTTCGAGTCAACAAAACAAGCTTCACTTGAGTCAAGTAGCAGTGATTTGCATGTATCTTGGTCACAGCTGCTGCGACACTTTCTTTTTTCCAGGGTTGAAAATAAAAAAAAGTGTCTAAGACTCTGAGAACGTGGCTTTTTACAACACCCCAGTGCTTTTCCATTTTTGAATTTAATATTAAATTCATCCCCTCTTCAATAATTATTTTCCACCTTGATCGATAAAAAAAAATCAAATTCGTATCAAACTTGAACATGTTTTCGACAAATCAGTTATTAAACTGACGAGTCGGCGTCTCGAGTTGACTGGAAATATAGGGGTCCGGAACGCAAGATTACAACACTCGGCAACGCTCCGAGGGATTCGGCGCCGTTGCAGAGCAAGCTTAAAACTCAAATACTCATCCAGCTCATACTCCTTTATCTTTCGCGCTCTCTGGATCCTGTTTATTTCATTACAACAAATCTCGAACGGATAGCAAGCTTTTCCTTGTTTTGAGCTCAAGGAGTAGCCGTTCAGTATTATTTTTTTGATTTTTCGAGTATTCCAAAAGCATAGGCTTTAATCGAAAAGAACCCTTTTGTTTTTTTTTATTTCCATTGATCGAACACCTTATTTTGATGGGGTTTAAAATTTCAATATTCTTCTGAGCAAAATATGGTTTTTCTTAGTTATTCTCATGCCCATTGTTGATCGTCTGAAAATTTTAAAGATTTTCACATTTCTCCAATGAGAAAAAAAAAACTTCCAGAGTTAAACAGAGCAAATTCTTTTAATTTTTTTCTGATGTATTTCTCTATGCTAACTGAACTGACATTTTCTTGGATTTAATGACCGACTAAATAAATACAGGGCAATATTCGACGAAAATTTTTTTCCTGAGAATTGCTTTCAGTGAAAAACAGGCCAAGCTTGATTTCAGCAAATCGAAAATTTCCAAGATCTATTTCCCTGCTGGATAAAAAGACAATAAAATACGATGACTGAATTAACTAGTTGTTAGGTTATCAATAAAAAAAATTCATTACTTTTATAATCGGAAAATGACACCAAAAAAAATTGTTCTACAATTATCTCATCTTTCTCGCATCATGATTTTTCACGCTAACTTGTACTATTATCGTTAGTTCGATAGTTTTGTGACAGTTGGTGCGTATATCAAATTTCGGAGGCACCTATGAAGCACCGGCGGATCCCCTACGAGACAAAGCCCACCGCGAATGTTGACTCAAAAGAAACAGCACACGCCAAGCTGGATTTTTTGCAACTAATCACCTTCTGTCAGCCTCGCTCTATTTTTGTTACCTTACCACGGTATCTTTTTTCTGTTCTCAGTAGTCATTTCTTGCCTATTTTTCATCAATCTCATTGTGAGGATTTTTGTAGTTGAAAGGCAGTCAAATATCATTACGGTGAGGTAAAAAACATACTTTATAGTTAAGATGTAGGCTCCTTACGAAATTTTCCAAGGGAGTTTTACGTTTCGAAGTTTCATGAGAAACAGTATGATAAATCGTTCTGCAGAACTTAAAAAACCATGCGCTCCTTTTCCAAAAGATTCGGGAGTTGTAAACGTGTTCTCAAGTATTCTTTGTCTTTAAATATCTTCAAAAAGTTTAAATCTTCTTCTTCTTCTTACACCTTTGTACTTGAGCGGCGTCGGCGCCCCATTTCGATTAGCCGAGGTCCTATCCTGATATCCGTGATATCATTGGCTCTAGTGACATATCCTTCCTTGTGTGTGACGGCTGGGGTTTTTTTCCGTCAACCATCATTTCTCAAACCCCTTGGCTGGGTCGAGGAATTGAACTTGTGGCCCTGTAGACCGTAGACAGGCTCACAACCTGTTGCGCTACGGCCCTTTTAGAAATTGTAAATTTTTCAAAATTCATATCTATTTTGAAATTGTTACTTTTGCATAGCCTTTCAAGGCAGAATGTTTCTCAACAATAACGTCTAGAAGACCAATAAAATTCTCTGTGTATCTTAATATGTTTCAACTCAAGATGGACGAGTAGTGTCAACGGCAGGTCGGAGGCTTGTAGTGACGAGAACTATTTGCAAATCGCAAGAGATAAGGGTAAAGGCCCTCTTGAAGAGGCCGATGGCGGCTCACAGCTCCGCGCGAGTGCTCCCGCGCACCTCGCAAATGGCCTCGAAAGCCGTCGTCCAGAAGGCCGGACAGTTCATCCAATGGTCTGAGAAACGTCTTCGACAATTCACAGCTCAAATCTGCCATTTCTGTGCCAAATCCAGCGTCCTACTAGCTCATTATTACAATGTAGTCGTCTCCTCCGAGTATTTTTCCATGTTCTGTCCATTGCTGCTTCCATTCGTTGTGGTCTTGATTTTGATCGCGGGCGTCCATTTGTATGAAAACATCATCAAACTTGTGGATTTCCGAAAAGTTGCTCAAGGTTCCGTTTACTTTTTTCTAGACGTCAAAATTTCTCACAAAGATCTTGCGGAACTTTACTTTTTTTTTTTTGTTTCTGGTTGAATAGGATCAATTTTTTTTTTTGACAGTTAGCATAAATTCTAATAAGCTGCGTGGTAAGTAATTGATAAGCCCAAAAAACTTCGATTTTCTCTGAATCTGCGTCAAACTTTTACGGTCGTCTTCTTGTAATTTTCCCATGAGCCAAAATTTTCCGATTCGGATGCACAGCAAAAGTACATGAAACTCAAAAAAAGGATAAAGCCGCACAAAAATCGCGTTTTTCAAACTATTGATTACTTTTCCCTCTCCTGTCTCTTCTCCTGCAAAACACAATACTTTGAAACGGATGAAAATCTTTTTTTTTCAGTGGTTGGCTGGCTTGGGGTAGAAATGCTGTGGCTGATCCTCTCATGGGGACTGGTCGCTGCGATCTGCTACTTTGCCCTGCAGTACCTGGGCGCCAGCCAAGAGGGTAACCTTCAATCTTCAGCCGCCGGCTCCCGTCAACAGCCGCACCTCGGGTCATTGGATCTCCTTTAATCAAACAGATTGAAAGAATTCTCTCGCCAAACGTTTACAGTACAAGTACTGGGAGCTCTCTAATTTTTTTCCCTTTCTTTCTCTCAAAGTTTTTTGGAACGGTTGGTGAAAGTTTTTAGACTAACACGTTTTCTGAGCTTTCTGTTTGAACAAGACAATCTCACGCTGAGCTCTTTATCCATCCAACTGTAAAAAAACGAGTAAAGTTCAGAAGGGAGAATGTGAACTCAAACGAATGGACGAACGAAGTTTTGGCGTGGATGCACAATAATTTTCATAAAGTGCCAGCGCCACTCGAAGCATGGATACGATCTTTGAATGAAGCGGCCAAGAAGGTCACAACTCCGGTTAGTTGCAAAAATTTGAAGGTCTTCAAGCAGAGATTCGAATTGATTTTTTTAATTCGTAAAGAGATATTTTACAGACTAAATGCGAAGTTTTATTCGAGGGCTTCGGCGACCATCACGACGTTTTACAGCCTCCCAAGCTGAGCAACGTTAGAGTGGAGCACGGTCCTAGGGACCATCTGGTAATTTTTTCTGGTTTTTCTATTTTTTTTCCAAAGTTTGTGCTGATTTTTTGGTTTGAAGTTTGTGATAAAATCTTTTCATTTTTTTCTGATAATTGCAAATATTGCAGACATTACGCTCAGATGTCCATCTTCCATGTATCCGACTGCGACTTGTGTCATCTCAACGAACAGCTGAAAGAATGATCGTTTCTAACTTCGACGCGAGTATTATTGACTTGCGTGGAGAGGTTTCCGTCTTTCTTGACTTTTTTTGACAAATAAATTTGAAGGTCGAGTGCCGAATGGCGTGCATTGCAAATCAGCTTTATCTGATGGGATGCTTCAGCGGAAGACCGGAAATGGATATTGATCTCAGCAATACTGATCCGAACGCTGTGCGTTCCATGATTTTCATCAGGATCTGAAAACCTGGAAAAATGGTTTTCAGCAATACCAAGTCTCGCCTCCGATGGTCGAGGAAAGTATTCGTCGTTGCCTGCTTTCGGCAGTTACAAACATCAACCTTTCTGAAGCTCTGCCTTCAGAAGTCCGAGACACTTTTGCGGATACTTTCAGCCGAACGATTTATACTCCGCCGGTTATATTTCGAAAATGTCAAGGAATTTCAATAAAATAATTTTAGACTCATTCCCCGAGCGCGACTGTTCGAAATTCATACAATAACTACGACTCAAATTTGCACGCAGATCCCTACTCGATGAAAAGAAGCAGCAGCCCTACTCAAGTGCCAGAAATGTTCAAGAAATTGAACGAATCTCATGTAAGATTTTTCATTTTTCTTCATTTTTTCTTGTTTTAGCTCATTACTCCATCATTCAACTCTAGCACCGTGCCGAACAAAATGCGCGTAAAAGTTATCAAAGCAAGCAGATTAGGCAGAGGTGAGGTTTTTAAGAAAATAAAACACAAAATAAAATATTCGAGATGTCCATCAGCCGTACGTAGTGATTGAAATGGATGAACCGGCTCAGAAATTCACAACGACGAAGGGAATCAACGCAAATCCTTACTGGGAGGAGGAGCACGATTTGTAACAGAAAGTTTTTTGAAAGAAGGAGGATTTATTTTACAGTGAGCTCACTCCTGCCACTGAAGAACTTCTCTTCGAAGTCTACGAAGGCAACGAAAAAGTTTCAACAGAAGAAGATCATCTCTTCCTCGGTCTTGCCATTGTCAACTTTGAAGAAATCCGAAGAAGTGGAGAGGTGAAAAATTGCCCTATTTATTCAATTTTTGAACTCATTTAGGCTCTCCATACGTTGAAATTACAAGGTCGCCCTTACCGAAATGACGATGTTTCTGGAGAACTGAGCGTTCAATTCGAATTTTTCTACGATCCAAACGTGGTGACGACTGGAAAATTGACGGATACTGTGAAAGTAGTGAATCCAAACGGATCCGAATTCCGCGAGACTGTGACGACTGAGAGAAGACCGGTGTACGACCCTCATGGTTAGCCCGAGAAAATGAATAAACTCTGAACCATTTACAGACAACTACGACGGCGCTTTAGAAATAACGCCCACTAAAACTACAACTGTTCTGGTGAAGACAGTGTCTCACGTTCGTTTTTTCTTGAATTGGTTAAGAATAACCATTTTTCCAGCAACTGAAGGAGAAACCAACAATCCAATCGGTTCATGGATCCCTTGAAAATGCGGTGGATCCTGCAACGCAAAAAATACTGGACAACACCTTCCGAAACTCCAATGATCCTAAAACTTTGGAATTAGAGGCAACTTTCTTCCCTTTTTTCTTAAATGAAAACTTTCTCAGGCAAAACTAAGAAGTGTCTCTGAAAGCGCGAGAGAGAAGACGAGAAGTTTAGAGCGACAGGGCACAAATGGCTCAGCGAACTATTATGAAGAACCGCGCATTGTCGAAACAGACGAGAGCCGAAGAGGAAGAGGTTTTTATTCTGTTTGAAAAAAAAGAATTTCTGAAATTTTTTTTATCAAGCTCAAAATTTGAAAAAAAATGAGGAAATTGGAAAAACCAATCTTTGCCCTAGCAATTCCAGTCTAGAACTAAAAAAAACGCAAAAATTTAAAAATCAATTAAAGAATATACGTTTTCTTTTTGAAGTGGTTTGCGATTCTGGTAGGCATCTAAATATTTTTTAAACTTTTTCAAGCTTCATTTAACTTTTTTTTCTTTTTTTCTGCTTTAAATTTTCTTTTTTTGTGAAGATCGCTCCAAGAAAAAAATGGACATGAAAAACGTGACCGGTCATTCTTCGGTGAGCTCAGAGACAGATTGAGCGGAAGAAGACGCAGCGCTAAAAGGTTTCCTTCATGTTTTAAAAAACAACGACGTTTTCAATCTTCAGGTCAAAAAGCATGGATTTCGACGGCCAACATCTTGAAGAAGCCGTTTCATTACCGCCCAGCAGAGATCCAAGCAGAACACGTTATGCTGGTGATTAAAATAGTCAAAAGCATTGAAAGGAGATAATTTTAGTCGGCACGCTTTCTGAAGGAAGTCGATACGCAGAGACAAACTCTGTGGGAGGCCGGTCTGGCGAATCTTCAAAGAGCCTTTATCAGCACAGTACTTTGGTTTTAGAGCTCGAACATGAAAAACAGCCAAAGTGAGCTTTTTTCGTCGATGAGACTGTTCAAGTGTCACATTTTTCCGACAAATTGTCATTTATCCGAATTTTTTCTGGGCTTCTTCTTTCATTAACCGCGAACTTGTTTTAGATATTTTTTGATCCCGCCATCAATGTTGAACGAACCGGCGGCCGCTCGTTTGATGCGCAAAGGCAAGAAGTTGCATATATACAATGAGCACACGTTTGTCGCCGTCAAGATCCGCGGGTTCGTCTGAGAATATTTTTTTGTCTTTTGTCTACCGACACTGTCTTTTGTCCCATATGTGTTATAAACAATTCCAATCGGACTGCGGTTAGTTGCAGTGGCGCCACGTGCAACGTCTGTCAACATCGCATTCGGTCGAGCTTCTCAAAACAGGCATATCAATGTCGAGGTTAATCTGAATTTTATAGAGTTTGTCTTGTAACAGACTTGAAAATGGGAGTTTGTGCGTCGTGACACGAAAATGGCTTGTTCAGAACCGCTTGCTGATGTTTTAAAAGCTCACAAACGCGAAGCTATTTTATAATTCGATTCTATTTTTCCGATACTCTAGAGCTCTAAATCTACGTTTCATTGATCATATGTAGTATTTCAACGGGAATGAAAGCTATAGCTCAAAAATAAGGTATCTTGTAGAAAATTAAGCAATCAATTTCGAAAAGTAATTGACTTTGATGGACTCGACGTTTCGAAGTGAATATTTAACTTACCGTCCCTTCATTGAAAACTTGGAAATTGCGAAAAGAAGCAGTCAAAAAAAAAAATAAAAACTCTTCTTTTGTTCCGAATTTCACACACGACATCAATTCAAATGCGTAGAAAAAAAAATCTAGCGTCGATGAGGACATTGGCCGGGATGACTCATATGTCACGAGGATGACGAAAAGAGCATCGTATGCAAATGTCGCTTGCCCGAAAAAAAAACCAAAAGATTCGAAACTGTTCTAGGAAGTGACAAAAAAAAGATAACGTTTCTTTTTTGAATTTTTTTTTTCAGATTGCAAGTTGGTTTGTCATAAGTCATGTCATTACAAAACTGACGCTTTCTGCACTCAAAGCACTGTTTCCAAACTGCATATGTGAGTATTTTCAGCATAATTTCCAATGGTAAACCTATTTTTCAGCGCGAAAGATGTTGATTGGGCTCACTACCTCAGTCATTACCAACTCGAAGAGTTTATTTCCCAGGAAGGCCTGTAAATGTGCATGGCCACTTCTTACAATCGCTCCACTTGCCTTTTAGTCAACCACAAGAAATTGCTCAATCTCAACTTCCAATTCAATTCTCGTTTTTTCGCCTTATTTTTATCTGATATCCATTATTAACATTTCAAAGGTTTCTTCAGAAAAATGTTTGAACAAGCCTTTTGAAATAATTTGATTTTATCTATCCTGATCGGTGACGTAACATTTTTTTTCACATCAATAAATTTTTTCCAATATCACATTGAAAATTGAAAAAGTTCGTTAGTTGGTTGAAAGTTTTTATAAATGCAAATACGTGAAATGATCTGCTTAAAAAATTTTGGGAAATCGAGAAGATAGCGTGAAAAGGTCAAGATGTCCTAAATTAGAAGGAAGTTTTTTTATCTGAAACTCTTCTTCTGCAAATCTTCCCCGTTTCAGAGATTGATTTAGCTTGTATCTTTATTCTGGACTGACTCCTAAAAAAATACTAATTTTTTTAATTTATCTAAAAAAATTCTGATTTGTGTTTGTACGAAGTCCAAGGGAAAGTGGGTCAAGCAAAATTAAAGACATGTAAGATGGGGAAGATAAGTTATTTTAACGCGTTCTTGGTAAAAGCAAGAAGAAACCAGTTAGATGGGATCAGTGGTCGGCACAGGATCTCGCCTTCATGGACACGGCCCTTGCCGCATTTCGATTTCGAACTCGACTCATGCTCCATCGCTGGCTTTGGCTTTTCCCTCTGGCTACTTTTTCTGCACAGAGCTTTTTAGAAAACAATGAAGGTTTGGCTCAACATTAAACTCACCCCTTTGTCATAGATTTCTGTGCGCCGGTATATGATTTGGTTGTCTTACTCGACACTTCCGGAAGTATTGACAAAGTTTTCGAAGAACAAGTCAAATGGACTATTGCCATTGCAAAAGTTCTGCCAGTACACCAATCTGCAGTCAGAATATCTTTGATTCAGTGAGATTTTTTCATTTGGAAAGTTTTGAAAATAGATTTAGATACGCCGAAAAACCGTTGACTGAGTTCAACTTGACAAGGTATTCTGAGCGTCAGGATATGATTGAGCATCTCACAAATATTGCTTTTCAATCGGGAATAAGCAAATCGGGTGCAGCTCTTAGTCAAGCCGCGCAAGAACTTTTTTCTTCGGAAGGAAGGTTGAAACTTTTTTTTAAATTGCCAATATTTTTTGTACTCAGGAAAAATGCTTTGCGTTCTGTAGTGATATTCACCGAAGGTCTATCTACTGATAATCCAGCAGGGGCAGCAGAAGATCTTCGTCGAAGAGGTAACCCATTTTGGAAGCTTCACGGATTCATAGTGTGCTTCATTTTTACAGGAGTTAGGGTCCACGCAATCAGCGTAAGTAGTGACGGTTTCATACCTGAAATGCTCTCCATCACTGGGAACAGTGACAGAATATATGGGTAATTTGAATTTTTTTTTCCTTTCATATGAACTTTTCGAGGCCGACGGACATCGAGCGTCTACAAAAAGAACTCTTGAACGAAGTTGAGACCTCCAGAAGATGTGCGAAATCGGTTTGAATTTTTGAGTGAAAGAAAGTTAGATTATTATTTTCAGAAGTCGGACTTCACGAAAATCAAAACTTTCCAAAGAAAAAATACAACTTTCGATTCTCAGCAAGTGGAAAAATCCGAGACTTTCACCGTGATGTCGACAAGAACATTCACACGGTCTATCCCACTAAGTTCTGATTTTACTTCTCGCCAGACTACAAAATCGACCAAAACCTCGTTGTCCTCAACTACTCCAGTTCCGACGACTCTCACCACTAAACTATCAAGTTATACTCCTGCGAAACTCCCAAAGAAAAACATACTGGAGACAATCAAACCAGACAGTGTCAATAGCACTTTGAAACAAGAAGCATCCACTACCGCAAAAAGAGTTACGAAAACTACTGCCCGACCAACCAAGAGCGTTTCCTTCACAAAAACTTCTCGCAACTACTTTCCAACACTTTTGAGCTTAGATTTTACTGTCACGGTAGGGTCAGATAAACCATTCAAATGTACAAAATTTTTCAGCCGTCACCCAGTCCTCGCAAAGGAGAGAGTCTCAAACCTCGAAAAAAAATTATCAAAATTATCAAACGACGAAGAACAACTCAATCAACATCGTCCACTCCTATATCTACAGCAACGTTTCCCACATCAACGGATTCTTCCTCAAAAACGACGAAATCCTTGAGGACAACTTCGACAACGGTTTCCAAAAAATCCTGAAGCGTTTACCAACTTTACAGACAATCACACGAAAACCATTAACTACGAAATCAGTCCTGTTAACCACAACAACGCCGCCTACAGTCTTCATCTCATCAATTTTGGAAAAATCGACAAAAACGTCTCATAAATCTGAGTTGGCAAAAGACTCCCAGATTTTCTCGAAAGGTGAAACTTGAACGACTTTTATTAATTTTGAAACTTCCAGAAGAAAGTGGTGCTGGAAGATGTCCACTGGATGTGCTCTTCATTGTTGACAGCTCAGGATCGATGGGGGACGTCTATGAAGCTCAGAAAGTATGTTCATACAATTTCTTTCATTATTCTAGGCTCAGGAATTTATAACATCCATTATTCGTCACATCGAGCCGGCATCGCAAAGCCACAGAGCAGCACTCATACAATTTGCCGGCCGACATCTGCAAAAAACCGAGTGGTCTTTTGAGACCCATCTGAAAAATTCTCAGCTCATGCGAGCCATGAGAAATGTTCGACACTTGACAGGTTGCATTTCAAAAAAATTATGAATCAATATGTATTTTCAGGAACAACATACATCGGGGAAGCTTTAAAACAAGCTGCGTCTCTTTTGGAAACAAGGAGGAAAAACGTTGAGACCCTCGTTCTTCTCATCACGGACGGGTGAACATTTCTAAAATGCATATTTTTCGCAAAGTTTTGCTTAAAAAATTTTGCAAAGATCTAAATTCCCAAATCCAGCTTGAGTTTTTCGAACAGCTCGATGATTTTTATGAATGAATGCGTTTCAAAAGGGTTTTTCTGACACTTGTTCCAAAATTTTTGTGCAACTGAGGCACATCATTTGAGAATGAACTTGCGATTTCCATCGCAAAAGTAACTAGAGTTACCAGAAGCTTTTTAACACCACTCTAAGAACTTTCAGGTTTTCCCAGGACGATCCAACTCCTCAAGCAAAGTACATTCGCCAGCTGCAGAATGTTCGCCTCTATGCGATATCCTTAGCGCCGTTGACAGATATGTAAGTTCTGATCAGCAATCATTTGAAAAACTTCTATCGCATCCGCACAGCGTTGAAATAAGTTATATAGTCAACTTTGAAAGGCGGGATGAGTTAATTGGCGAAGATAGAGCGTTGCGTAGGCGACGCTTCTTCTGGCGGAAAAATCGAAGCCAAACACGAGCCATCTTTTTGATGGTTTCAAATAATGTTTCATTCTTGACATTTAATTTCGATCTTTCCGATCTTTTTTCTAATTTCAAAGCCACGTCGCCTACGCAACGCTCCACTTTGTCCGATCTACGCATCACGCCTTCCCAGAACTGTTTATCTACGTGACAATTTTTCCCACGTCTTTGGGTTTTCTGATGCCACCTTCCTCCTTCAATATGCAAATCTTGGGAATCATCTCAACATGAGCGTTTTGTTTTCAAGAAGGCTCCTTGATCAAAAAAGAGAATCGAAATCTAAAAACAAGAGAACGCAGAAAAAATGGAATTTTGCGGCGCGGGTGAGGTTCCCAGATGCGGCGATGTTGAAAGCGCAACTGTTGCGCGCCCGAAAAATTTTTTTTCGCGGAATGAGCGCGGTGTTTTTCATGAGATCTTCTACAAGAAGACCATGAATGGCCACATTTCTTATCGTCAGTGTCCATAGAGTCTTACCGGGAAAAAATCGCTTGCTGCAACCAAAAGTAATGATCATTTTTTTTAAGCTTTTTGAAATTGTGTGCAAGAAATAGGGCCTTGTTAAATTATTAGATCTACCTCACGTCACAGATATTCCAAAGAGTATGTACAAAAAAATTTACCCTTAAGCAATGTTTTAAAAACTATAGAAGAACTTTTATGTCTTGCAGGAATTCTCTCGGAGATATTGTCGGAGGTGACCGTCAGAAGATCTACAGCAGTGATGAAACACATGCAATCGAAGATCTAATTGCTTCCAAGTTGGACTGTTCAAAATGACTGCCGCTCTGAAATTATGACATCGATTGTTATGAAAACCATTTTTGTGCAATATAATAATGAATCACTTTCCTATATTTATACTTGGAAGCTTCCGAAAAGTTCAAAGAACAAATTTGACAGAAGTTTTGAGAAAACAAGATGATGATTATTCAAGCGAGAAAGAGTGTCGCCCTATGACTCAGATGAAGCAATCGCAAAATCTCGTGTTTTTGCCTGTCCGTGCACGGCCGCTCACGCTTTTACTCCCTCCTCCGACAATAATGGCAGTGGTTTGAAACCTTTCATTCCCATGGCTCGAGAATCGTACAATTTCCATCAATTGTTTTTCGATTACAGCCGGTGAGAAACGTCGTGTTCCCACACCTCAATTTTGCATTTGCTCTTTTCTTGTTTGCTACTTTCGGAGCGAATTGGCCAAATGGACGCTTAGCGGTCTCTTTGAGTTTTATCAAAGTGTAAAGTCTATGTTTTAGAAGAAGAAATACTTTTTTGCAGCTTTTCAACTCGGTTATCAGAATATAGGCAAATCTTCGATCGCAGTATTTCTTTACGGTTGTCTCAAATAAAGTACAAAGAAGGTTTTTCCACTATCACTAATATTAAGCTCACAAGGAAAATCATTTAACCTTGCGGTAGCAAACTTCCTGATGACTAGTCAGGGCACCCCTTTAGTTACAAAAAATGATTCTGAAAGTATCAACCTGCACATAAGGAAAAAATTCAAAATCAGTGAAAAAGCCATATTTGGGGCTCTGAGCCCTTATTTCTTAAAAACTAGTAAATTATGGAGATTGGGACTTTTGAAACCCTGATTTAATAATTCAGGGGATGGTCTGACGAATTTTCAGAAGTTTGCCCAACTGTAAAGCAAAATGACGTCCGTTGTCAAGAACGTCTACCAAATCAATAACTTTTTCGAAATTAAACCGTGAATAAGTTTCGAAATGACTTCTAGACAGAAGAATCTTATTGCCAACTCGTTTTTGGTTCCGGTTTGGCTCAAACTTTCCTTCTTGTGTTTCTTATGACATAGTGGATAACAGTAGAGGTTTTTGAAATCGAAAAACCGTAGGAAACCAGTTTTCGAGCTTTTCCGTACATTTCGACAAGTTATCCCTCATTACCACATGGCGCTTAGCAGATATTTTTTTAATTTTCGAGTAATCATGCTTAGAACTGCCTACCAAAAAAGTTAGGTCCAGATGTGCGATGTCCACCTCACACAATTTCATTTTGAGTATCAGTAATCCACAAGAAGAAGTCCTGTCAAAAATATTCCCTTTACTCTTTCTCGGAAGGCCATCCTTGGATCGTCTTATGACATCACCTTTAGAGCTATTTTTGAAACGCGCGTTGCTGGTATCTTGCCAGAGGCGGAGCTTCAGGAGAAGAGCACCTGGGCGGAGCTTGCGTCTCCACGCGTCTCATGCTCTCTAGCGCCTTGGATGCTTTTCCTCTCTGGCCATCCGCGGCGAGAGGCGTTCCATTTTGCCATCTACCGAGGTCCTGTGAGGTGGTCGACGCTGCTCTCTGCCGACACATCTTCTTTCTCGGTCCCAGAGGTCCTTTTCGCTTCTTCTCAAGTCCAGCTAAGTTCATCTTTTGAACATGATCAAAAAGAATCTCAGTTAGCACTCAAAGATTCATTGCTCGAACGAGAACTTCAAAAACTTCGAAGATTTTTCATTTCTGACGATTTTATTGAAAAAGTTTTTGAACTGAAAAAGATATCAAGTGCACTCTTGTCAGCTTTCGAAGTCTTTTTTTTTCCATCTTTGCCGTTTTGATTAGCTTGAGGATGTTTTAATCCATTACAGCTTGGCTTCCAAATTGTTTTCTTTCTCAAAAATAGGCTCTGCCATCCTTCTTTGATCTTGTTTTCAACCTCAATATTTTACTCATCTTACGATTTTGCAACGTCCTTGTATTTATGAGCTGTTCTCTTTTTTTTACGACCGTTCCTGTGAAAAAAAGCACAGTCTGTTTCGAGCCGTAGCGGTTCGAATATTTTTAGCATTCTTTATTTTCATTCCACTGGATAGAAATCTAATGAGCTAATAGGTCTTTTCACGGAAGTTGCTGTGAAAATTGAGATATGCTTTTTATCCGGAAAAATCGAACTTGCTCTCTTTCCTCGATTTTCCTACTATATTATGATTAAGCCAGGCTGTTGAAATCGATTGCCACGTATTTCTTTTCCACTTTAACATCTTTGATAGCATTTTGAAACACGTCATTTTGAAAGGTTGAAAAGTCTTTTGTGAGACGCAAAAAGAGCTTCAATATAGCACTTCTCCACATCACGCGAGAACGCCTCCAACTTTAAAATCTTTAAGAGCTTTTTATCAATTCCTACAGTATCGCCTTTTGAAATTTGATTTTCCATTCTCAGACGCCCACGCCTTGAGCGCCATTATCGAAACAAACATTCAAAGCTTTTAGGTGCTCTTCAAGCTTTTAAGATTTTTTTCTCAAATTTAAAGTTTCACAAGATGTACTTGAGCATGAGAAAGGGAAAATTGAGAAATTTTTTCGACTCTTAAGATAATTCTGCTCTACTAATCTCACTCCACAAAAACAGCGAAGATATGAGATAACTTATTTCACAACTTTTCAGAAGGTGATCCAAAACTGTTGAAACTTTTACAATTTTTTTCTCGGTCTCAGTTAACTGTTACAAGGAATGTCAATTTGATAGTTGTCTTTCCAATGAAATGGAGTTTAAAGTCTGAAATAAGCTGAAAAAAGAATCAAGAGATGACTTCAACAACGGTTTTTGACTGATACTAGTTGGAATAACTGACGACACAACTTTATATTGTTAATAAAAGCTCTGAAACCGATATAACAAATTCCTAAGCCTTCGAACTGTTTTCCATTATAAAAAAGCTCTACATACAAAAACCCTTGTCGGAACACAAGTCTGAAAAAAAACGAAGATTGTTCGTATTTAGAGCTTTTTCATTGTGGAAAACGGTGTGAAGGTCGATAAAATTGGTTATACCGGTTTCAGAGCTGTTACTAACAATATAAACTTCTTCCATCAATTATATCCAGCTAGTAGCAGCCAATAAACCGCTTTTGGAGTCATCTTTTATTCTTTTTTGAGCTGGGCTTTCAACTTCAACTCATTGGGGGCACAACTTACAAATTGACATTTCTTGTGAAAGTACACTGAGACCGCGAAAAAACATGTGAAAGTTCCAATATATTTGGATCAACTTCTGAAAAGTTGTCAAAAAAGTTAAATTTCAAATCTTCTATGTAATTGTTGAGTGAGATAAGGAGAGCAGAAATATCTTGAGAGTCAAAAAAATTTCTCAAGTTTTCCATTTTCATGCTCAAGTACATTTTGTGAAACTTCAAACTTGAGAAAAAGTCTTAAAAGCTTGGAGAGGAACTAAAATCTTTGAATGTTTGTTTTGATAATGGTTCTCTGAGCGTGGGCGTCTGAAAATGGAAAATGGAATTTCAAAAGGCGATACTGTAGGAATTGATGGAAAGCTCTCAGAGGTTTCAAAGTTGGAGGCGTTTTCGCGTGATGTGGAGAAGTGCTATATTAAAGCTTTTTTTTGCGTCTCCCAAAATACTTTCCAACCTTTGAAAATGACGTGTTTTAAAATTCTGTCAAAGATGTTAAAGTGAAAAAGATATACGTGGCGATCCGTCTCAACAGCCTTGCTCAGCGACAAACAGCCCGGGCTTTGGGCCTTATTTCTTATGAAAGTCCTGCGCTGGATCAGGCCGGGTCAGGTTTCAAATAAAAGTTGCGAATTTCATCAAAAAAATCATCCTAATTCATAAGTTGTACCGAAAAACATTTTTACTTTTAAAAACATAGTTTGTCGATATCTAAGTAGGAGGGTTGACCGTTTTTGCTTGACGTCGGGTCAGACCATGCTTAGAAAACGGCCCAGGGGCCGATAGGCTGACGGACTTCGTACAAGCCTGGAGACAATAAAGTCTTCTTCTTCAGCGTCTATCCCGCTTGGTTGCGGGGTCCGCTTTTCTGGAACGTTGTCGCCATTTCATTCTGTCGGCTGCTTGGTCTGGGTGGAGTTCCGTCGTTTTCAGATCTTCGTTGAGCATGTCAATCCACCTTCTTTTTGGTCGGCGTCTAGGCCTTTTCCATCGACTTCCAAAGTGTAGCTTGTTTTTGCTGTAGACGTGGGATCAGCCCACAGGACGTGCCCGTACCATCTCAGGCGACTTCTCGCGGATCGGTGCCACTCCGAATCGTTTCCGAATGTCCTCGTTCCTGGTCCATTCTCGTGCCTCCGGAGGTCCATCGAAGCATCTTCGTTTCCATAACTGCCATTTACTTCGTCCTTCTCTGTCGCCGGCCAGCATTCGGTACCGTACATTGCTACTGGTCGGAACTTTGAGCCGGTCGCTCATCCGTCGGTCACACATCACGGCAGTCGTAGAATTCCATTCCATCCAAGCGCCTTGTATGCGCTGGGAAACATCGTTCAAAATTGAGTCGTCATGAGCGATCGTCGAGCCAAGGTACTTAAAAGACAATGCTCTAGAGAGTTCCGTGCCCGTTAGTGTGATTGTGCCGTTTTTTTCTAGCGTTCGTGCAGAGCTGGAACCGTTGAGAACGACTGTGAAAGTTTTGAAAATAATCGGCTACCAGAAAAGTTTTTTTTGATACTAGTAAAATCCTCTATCTCTCACCACATATTTCTTGGGCCTATTTTTCTATCTTGTGAACTACCACTTCTAAGCCGTAAAGTTTAAATTTGAAAATCCTTCGTTTGAACATTTCAAAAGCGAAAGAAAACATCACATTCGAACATGTTCACACGTAAAAACTCATTATCGGCGAGATCAGAACAAAACTTTGAAATTTTGAGCAATTTTACCAAGACGTCGTAAAAAGTAATGGGATTGCACTCGACATTGTGCCACCTTTTTGGTGTTCCGCCGCGCCGAGAATAACAAGATTTGAAAATCGAGAACGTTCCATTGCGTGACAGTTATTTTTTTAGTGGCAGTAACCAAACCTTTTTGAGTGGCTGTGAAAAAGAGAAATATGAAGAGGTTTCTATGATTTTCTTTTTATTTTCGGAATAGCTTACAAGCTTCGGAGAAGTGTAAAATTTTGGTTAGGGTTCCTTTTTCAAAATTTTTGTGCGTTCTGATTTTTCCAAATTCTACCGGGGAAATTTAGAATCTCTGAATTTCTGAAGAGCATTTTTTTATTGCTCACTATGTTCCAGGGGCTCAAAATCGTAGTATCAAAAATTGCGGAGTTTCATTTTTTTGAACATGTTTAAATTCAACTTTGAATGTGGTCATGTGATGAACTTATCTTAGATAAAAAAATAATTTTTTAGGCGAGTGCTCTGTTTCAAAAACTCTTCATTCGACAGCTTTCCGAGCGTTTCACGAGAAAAAAATATATCGAAAATCATATGAGACCCTGTCTTTTTCATTAAGTCTTTTAATCCCACTTAGCTCCGTTTAGGATCCCTGAAACCAAACCACGTTAAGGTCAGCGAACAAGAAAACCCTACCTGAGCAGAAATGGTACAAAAAGTTGTTTATCCCACTCTGTTTACAAGTATCAAAGCGCCTCTCAGAATATGCACATCGGAGCGCCTTGACTACGCCCCACAGCTGCACCGACGGCCGTTCTTTTTTCATTTCCCCGCGCATATTTCATCGAGACGGTCGTTCAAACAGAAAAAAAACCAAAATTTTCGCGGCTCCTGTCAACATGATTTACGCTGTTCGCTAGCGCGCACTTGCTCACATCGGCACGCTTTTTTGCAAGTTCAACTACGCAGCTTGTTTCTTGCAAAACAGTTTTTTGTTCTTTGTTCCTTGAATTTATATTATCAGTTTGTTGGTTCCGTGTACATTCCCATTTTTTCCTGGTTGTTTTTTTTGGTTATTTCCGTTTTCTAGCTGTGTTGCTATTTTTGAAAGCTCTCTTTGTTCTTTGGTTAGGCTTCATAGAACAAAACTGTTTATCTTCCAAAGAACAATCTTGTGATATCTTTTATCGATTCCGCTTGAAAGGTCAAGGATCGTTCATTCAGTTTGTTTATCGCGAAAATTTTTGCGTTTTATTTTCATTTGCCGTTGTTTTGAAAGTTCTCATTCTTTCTCTATTTTTCTAACTATTTCAGAGTAACGACCAAGCCCAAGGCGGCATGTATCACCTAGCCGCCCCTACAATACGGCCCCCGGTCCGCAGTTCTCGTCGGCAACATTCCGTTCTCCAATTGAAGATCACAGAGCTCGTTGACAAGGTTTCTTATTTATCTTTTTAGTAATATTTGTCGGGAATTTTCAAAGCGCCCAAAATAATCCGGATAATTCAATGTGATCCAGTAACAAGCTTGTTGGTATGAGGACACGCTCAAAATAATCCATGCCATGAAAATTGACCAATTACTGGTTTCGATTTGTCATTGCCTACAAAGAAATTATGTGAGATAAATATTGCAAATCTGGCCTTAAATTCTGTGGTGGGTAGCCCTAAGCAATAGTACTTAATAAAAACATTTTCTAACAACCATGAAGTACTGAGAAATAGCTCGTCGAAAATGTACAGGAAAAAGCTCAGAAACTGATTTTTTTGTATTTATCGAGTAAACTTTTTTTCTTCTCTTTCATTGAATATAATCATAGGATTATATATAGCAGCTCTTCTAAAAGCAGATAATCTTGAGGAAATCAAAAACTGAGCTTTTGTTGTACATTTTTAACGGGATATTTCTCAGTACATCATGGCGCTTAGCAGATAATTTTGTTTCCGAGTACTCATAACTAAGATTCTCTACCACAGAAGTTTGGAACAGATTGTTTTCTTAAGACATTTCCTTTATCAGAAAAAAAATTACACAGTCCAGCTTCTACCCGACAAAGTGTATTTTGGCAATATTTTCTTGTAAGAGATGACTTTTTTTTAAAGTTCTCATTGTGTTGTGAAAATTTTACCTAAAGTTACGTACTCATTGGAAATGGAAAAAACAAAATCGCTACGTATAAAGATAATGAATGTCAGAATTCTATTTTTTCTTTCCAACTCCAATCAAAAACTGCAAATTTTGAAAAGTTGAGTAATATGCAATGAAGAACCTGAGCGAAGAAATACTACCTGGAAGTTTGAAATAGTAGAAAACTCATTTTCTTACTGTAGTTTCACATACCCAAGGTTTTTCAGGTTCTCAAAGAAACAGAAGTTGTCGACACCGACAATGCTGTGGGCAAGAAACTCTTCAATGCCATGGACGCCTTTTTTTCTCACGGGTGCGTGAAGTTCATTTTTTTTTTTGAAGTATGTGAAAAAGTTATTATTACCTTTTTTGAGAAAATGTTGAGATTTATTAGAGTTCTAAATATAACGGAACATTTTCCAGTCTCCTTTCCGGAGACAACGCCTACTGGCGCTGTATCCGACAGTTCATGCCTCGAGCCGAAGTTGCCATGCTGATTGCCGAGAGTGGCGACGCAAATGATAGATATCTCTCGATCAGTTGGCTCAAATCCGCCTTCAACAAAGGGACGCTCCATTTCCAAATGATCTCCTTCTGCAACAGCGCCAATTTGTAGTTTCAGTCTGATACTTTGAGAGGAAAATGTTCCATTCAGAATATTTTTCGACAATTTTTATCATAACGACGCTTGCGTCAAGAACAGAGGGCTCCTCGAAGCCGTCACAAACCTCATCGAGCCGCTCCAAACCGTTCAGTTCGCCTTTTACGTTAGTTTTTGTGAAGAAAAAAAAAGCTTTACCAGGAATTTTTGAACATCTGAAATTTTCAGAGCACTCGAGCCATGCGTGAAGAGCCGATGACCGCTGTCATTGTGGAAACGACTGTCGTTGAAAGGTCGTCACGATCGGTCGCGATGCACCGAAAAGTGGTTGGTATTCCTTCTTTGAGAAATAAGTGGCAGATGTTTCGCAGGCGCTCTGAAATTAAACAGTACATCTATGGCTTCTCAAAAAACTTCTTTTAGTATTTTCAAAAATCTTTTCCATTTTATAGTTATTCATCAAGAAAAAGGTTTTTAAATATTTGAGAGGACTGTTTTTTTTTTTCATTTCAGAGTTCATAATACTTTAACACCTCTATGATAAATAAAAAAATACAATCATGTAGCAAACTCAAAACTAACAGAGTTTTAACACCTCTTCAAGCATTTCTAAAAGGCTAATATTATCGTCAATTTATTTCTAACGCTACCGTGAGAGTTTTAGGATCACCCAATACAAATAAGAATAGCTGAAAATCAAAATAGCTTCAAATATGCTGACATTATTCACGCTTTTTATTGCTGCAGGAAGCCGAACCCAGCGACACTGCTCCCAATCGTTCTCCAAGCGAAATTCCCGATCTTCTAAACAAACTGACAACACAGGTTATTTTTGTAACGTTAGATTTTTATCTGGCATTTTTCGCAAACTTTCGCGGTTTTTGCCTCTTCTCTCTCCTGTTTCACAGAATCTATTTTTGTCCTATTTTCTTCAGCAAATACTAGTTTTTGTTGAATCATGAATTCTGCAAAGGTAGCAGTTTAGTGAATTTTTTTTCGGTTGAATTCTGATTCTTTCCTCGCTTCATTGTGAAGCTTTTCTTCATTTAATGGATTACAGATGCAATCAGCGCTGTTGGATGAACTTGTTCGTTCGCGGCGCATTCGACTCAATTCTGAGCTTCTGCAGGCTCAGAAGCAGTTTGACGATCTTTACTCGCAGTCTTCAGAAGAACAGACGTCTTCTGTCCCTGAAACGCAAGAAAAACTCGAGGATGTGAGTTTCGCAACGTTTTTTTTTTAGAATAGCCGGTCACACGTGTGACTCATTCGCAGCTGCTCTTTAATCTCTAAAAAAATGTTCTTCTGTTTTTTTTGATATTCTAGAAAAAAATTCGCTTTTAGAATATGGCTGCGTATTTTCAGTATATTTAAGACTTTTTTTCAAACATTTTTTTCAAAAAAATGTCTACTTACGTTGCATGTTCTTCAGTTTTTCCCGGCATGTCATTTGCAAAGTGCACAATATAAGGAGCAATTTTTCATTTACTTTTTTACAGGTTTTGGTTAAAACCATGTCCCACGTCAATATGGAGGCTCTGCAAGGGCGCAGCTTGGATAAAGTTCTTACGGAAGAACCAGTCGACCTTGAGCAGGATTACGCCTGTCAGTTGACAGAAACGGAAATCTCGTGGGAGCTTCAAAAAAAAAATATAAAGGAAGCAAGATTATTCAGACTCAAACAAGGCGACATCCTCCAGCTCGCGATTTCCATTTTCGAAATTCAATCCGAACGGGTCATTCAGGCGTTTGTCGTCGTGAACAAGTTTTTCTCGGTGCCGCTTGATATTCAGTAGGATCGGGAAAGGTGTGAAGATGAAATCTTTGCTCTAGGTACATGGTCATCACCAATTTCAACATCTACTTGCTTTCGCGTGTTCAAAAAACCGATTCTGCGGAGACGGAGCCACATTTGCAGAGCTATTTCGTGCGTGACGCGCAGATTCCTCACGACGCTTTGCAGGGCATCAAGGTTCTACAGAAATCTTCTTCCTGAAATGGTCATAGTATTCAGCTTGCTTTTGACAACCTCTCCATCTACTTCTACGCCAATGAAGATAGACACTTCAGCATTTTCCCAGACAGAGAAAACAACGAGCTTGTAAACCAGGAACAGTCCTACTCGTTTCACATTGGATCTCTTGTGGCCGGAGAGAGCATTTCTCATGCTATTGTCGAAGTTTTTTCGGCTCATTATCTTTTCTTCAAGAGTTTTTCAGGCTGTTTCTCACTCTTCGTTCGAGCAAAAGCTGGACATCAAAAGAGATTTCCATGTTGAGTATCTTTACATGTTCCTGCCTTCGCTCACCAGAGAAGTCGGTCAAAACGTTAGCTTGGAATTTAAAAGTTGAAGCACTAAACTTTCTGTTTGAGATGGGAGAGATCATGAGCATGAGCTTGTGCTTCTGGGCGGAGAAAGACATCAGCGACGAGAAGCTCGCAGGTCCAGACAACCTCAAAGGCTACCTGTATCGCAAGTAATTATCGATGTTTGCTATCAGGCTTTCAAGATGAATTTAGGAATATCAGCCCCCTAACCAATTGGTTGAAAAAGAGCTCCGATCACTTGGACCAGAAGTATTGCATGCTCAGGTACAAATCTCTTTTTTTTTTCTCTGGAGCAAAATGTTTTTGCAGTGGGACGAAATTGTACGTCTTCGTTGATTCGAGCTGCAAAGAAGGAGTCATGATTGTCGACTTAACGTAATTAAACGATCTCCCTATCGTTAGAAGAATGATATTTTTTGCAGTAACGGTGTCGAGCTGATTGTCGAGGAGAAAAAACATGACAACATATTTGTGATCAAAACTCAATCGACACTTTGGCAATTCACGGCTCCAAGCCGCGAAGAACACGCTCGCTGGATCGCTGGAATCGCCATGATTGTCGATGCAAAGGTTTTTTTTAATAATTAATTTAAAAGAAAAAGAGTTTGCATTTTTTAGGCTTCCTCTAGTGACATGATTCCGTCTCTGTTGGTGGTGACTGAAAACAAAGTCATTGTGGCTCAAGAAGGCGAAAAAGTCTGGGCGGATGGCTTCGTTCGCACTCTTGTGGTTAGCCATCCATGAAAGACAGTTTTTGATTCATAACTTCAGAGCATTCCAAAGGAAGAGATCGTGAGCGGCTGGGTTGTTTCCTCGACTAATGAGCCTGATAACCGACTGGCTCCGGGCAGCGAAGTCATCGTTCTTGTCCAGAATCCAGACCTCGCGCACATGCTGTACTTCCGTACGGGTTCAGAAGTGAACAGACTTGCCAACTTCTTCCGATCCGAGTGGGGCTACGACATGGAACGCGCCACCGTCATCAACGCTGAAGTTAGTTTAATTTGTTGCCTTTTAGGTTCTTCTGGGGGAAAACAGACCAGCGCTACCAGAACAGAAAATTGATAGAAGGGATGAGCTCAAAAAATAGTTTATTCTCCAATATGTGCCTATTCTCCTATCGTTGTAAGGAATGTCTAAAAAAGCCAAGTTATGATTGGTTAATAAAAATAGATAGAAGAAGGGGCTCTGACCAATTCACCACATTGAAAGATTAGGAATGTGTTCATCATACGGAAAAAAAAACTTAGGAGTTGAAAAAGTTCTAACGACCTCTTCAGACTCGCATTGGCAAAGCTTTCGGCGCTTTGTTCCGCGCCACTGCCGACCCTTGGTATCAAGTCAGAAACACGGTCTAGCTCCTTGTATTTGTTTGTGAATTCTTTTTCTTATCATGTCACTATCTTACTCTATTAATCAATTAATATTTTCTGTTTTAAATCTTTGTAAGTTTTCTGTCAATTTGTTATCTTCATGTACTATTTCCGTTAAGTGTCTAAAAATCCCAGAACACGCTCATTTTTCCGTGAAGACGTGTTGAATCCCGTTGACGCGTCGAGAACCAACCATCTTTCGTTTTTTGCTCTTGTTGCTTTAGTAGGATGTTTCTATCCGACGAGGTAGTTCGCAATTGTCATGAACTTGATGATGTGTACCCCAACTTTCTTCTTTCTAATTTTTCTGAGGTGCCTTGACGGGTGTCTTCCGCACTTGAAAAATTGTTTTGAGCTCAAATCCTGGTTGTGTTTCTCTTTTTTCTTTTTCCTTCTACTTTTCAAATCCTTGGTCGACGTTTCAATAAAACATTCCTTCTGTTTTTCCATTCTTTTTCGATTGAACTTGGTCTGATCCATTGTTCTATTATCTCTATTTATCAGTTTTTTTTTGTTGTATCTGACATTTTGTTATTTGCAGTTCTCATTTACCCTTTACTAGGTTCCCCAAAAGCATGAGTTTAACGAAAAGCTTTTTGTACTAATAAGTGATGCTTTGGGAGAACTTTTGAACGGTGTTATAGTCTATGTTTCCCGACTTGAAAGGCGTGGGAGGCGTGGCAAGGGGCGGGACGCGTAGCGTGTGCGTACGCGGTTCTTGGCACGTGTTCAATTCAACCGCTAGCGAGCATTCAGAGAGCTTATTTATTGCTCTTTTTCACTTGTTTTTTTAATTATTTATTGATTATGTTCATGTGTGCATCAAAAAAATAGAAGAAAAATACAGAAAAAAAGAGCGGTGGCCGAGCTTTTTTTAAACAGTCGGCGGCGACTGAATTGAACTGGCGCCAAGAACCGCGTACGCACACGCTACGCGTCCCGCCCCTTGCCCCGCCTCCCTCGCCTTTCAAGTCAGGAAACATTGACTATAGTCAATAATTTATTAGATTTCACTCTTTAATCTCTAGCGTTTGTATTCCGCACTTTTTCCACGCTGTAGTATTTTTGAGCTTTTGTGACCAATCCAAGTTTTTTGCTTTTGCACTTATAAGTCAATATTTTTGAAACTATTTATAATGAGCCCATCTTTTTTTGAATACGCTCAAAAATCTCTTTGCGCTCTATTTTCCTAAGATTTTTTTTTTGAAGATTTTAAAAACCTATTTCAAAAGGTGTTCCACACAAGTATGGGCTATTATCAAGTTTTTGGTTAAGTTGTGTTAATTTTTAAAACTGGCTCTACATTTTCGAGATATCTCTCCCTTTTCCAATAGATCAAAAAATTCAAATTGAGTCATTTATTCAATAATTTTAAAGCGCAAAGTTACTTAGGCCACGCTTGTTCGCGCTTCCAGCAGATCACAAATACAAGGCTTCGCACAGCAGTGATCGTTTTTATCCCGCTTTTTTCGGATCACTCTAGCCCTTTTGAAAAAAAGGTGTGCGGTGGAGTGATTGTTTTGCATGAGACCCGCAGGTCCGTTGGCAGAGCGTCTTCGTTTTATTTTTATTCAATTTACAGTTATTTTGAAGCTTGATGCTTTTGTTTTTTTGTGCTGCACTTATAGTTTTTTCCCGGTTTTTTTTTTGACCCGTTCACCTTCCCATTCATATTTTTTTTAATTTGGAAATCGATTCTGCTCTTCAACAACTCGGATTTTTGGATGTTCGGTCACCGCTGTCGTCAACAAAGGTATCAGCACGCTATTCACATTTTATCCTCAACACGTTTCGTTGGTGCGAGATGGGTGGTGTCAGATGCATTACTAAGTAATAGAGCTAACTGACCGGAACTAATAGAAACTAACTCAAAAAAATCATACGACAGCTCTCAAAAAAATAAAACTATTCAAGTAAGATATTTAAAAAAATCGGCGAAAAAAATACAGAAAAAGAATTTTTTTCGAATTTTTCAAAGAATTCTTCGAATGACATCTAGTAACTTTTGTACAAAAAAAGATACTTTTTACTATCAAATTCATTATTAATGGTTTGCTCGATGATCAAAGTCTAAAGCTGTCTTCAGCTTTCTAGAGTTCTTCTCACGATTCGAGCTTTTTTTACGGACTTAGGAAAGAAATCATAAAATGAACATAGCCATAACAGTATACGACATGCGTCTTTCAACAACTATAACCAGGTAAAATTCGACTCGAATTTTCTCCAAAATTCTGTTGTTTTAAGGAAAAAAGGAAAAGAAAACTTTTATGTCTTCGTCGTCCGTTTCTAAGTCAACTCGTGGGAACCAAAGACGACAGTGAAATTTTTCAAAGATGTAGCCATTTTTCCCGTTTTTTTCAGCCTTCAATTTAGCTAGATGATTATCATTTTTTTCAAATTTTTTTTGTATCCATATTTTTTTTAACGAGATTTTTTTGATGTGCGAAAAACGTTTTACTTAATTATCACCTTCTAAGAATTAATTGCGTTTCAAGAAATTTCTCAAAATTCTTGGGGCTTTAAATCACCGTGGTGACTGGATTATAATATTTTTTTCTCTTGAAAAACCAGTTTCCCAATGATTTTCATTTTTTTCTTTTCTGTTATTAGTTTCCAAAAGAAAATCGAAAAATTTTTTTCTCTTCGAAGGTTATCTTCATCCATTGATTTTTTTATTGTACATTTTTTTAAGAAATCGCCCTTCAAACTTTATATCATTATATCATTAATTTTAAAATCTCGATGCATTAAACTCATTATGAATCAGACTTCCATAAAGGCCGTTTCCAATTTTTTTTTGCTCAAATTAATCAACTGAAAAGGGTGTTCGCGTCGGAATCTGAGTCTTTGCATCTAATTGGTTTCTCTTTCTCTCTGTCTATTGTTTCCATAATTTTCACACTCAGATTATTGATAAACCATTTAGTTTCTCACGCACATGTGTCGTGAATTCCCCATTCTTGTTTTGAATAAATTGTGTATTTCTATTCTTTTTTCTTAATCCAACTTTTGCTTGAAAATTTTCAGGGATTCGATAGAAAAGTTGTACCCTCGACAGGTTTGGGAGATTTTCAGCTTTTACTCGAGATTGGCGCGCACTGCATCTCTAGGCGATAATTTTTTTTCAGCAGTTCTGTTGAGATCAAGCTGACTTTTGAAGAAATCAAATGGAAATCATTTGGTTCTAAAAATTAGTTAAAATTTCATATCAAAAATTTAGCTCCCCATCACAAAAATTTTTCCATGTTCAGTTTCTCTATGGAAGTTTTTTGAAGGTTTATAAGAGAAAAAAACATCTTTTAGAAAAAAGTAATTGTCTTCAAAAGTGATCGAACGACCTGTAAACAACATTTTCAAAAATCTAAAAGCCATATCCGCTCGTTTTTTTTAGATTCATACATACTTGGTTTTTTTATCGATTCAGTACAAAAAGTCACAAGTTACTCCGTTTGAGAACTTTTTAAATCTTTCCTGTTAAAGGGTTTCTGATGAAAATTTTTTTCTGCCAAGTAGAAATCTAGGATATTCCTACCTTTTTTCGAAAGATTTTTTTCTCACATTGTTAATTCTCTTGTTTCTTTTTTTATAGAAAAATAATTCAATTTTCAGAAAACAAATTCAACTACATCTTGACAAAATCACCGCGGTATGCCGCTAAGAAGGTTTGAATTTGCAAGGAATTAACGAAAAAAATTTGAAAAAAACTTCATTACAATTTTGATTTGTTTTTTGAAAATAATCCTCTCAATCATGCTGCTCTCTACTTTTTTTCAGTACCATCGACTCCGAGTCGCCTGAAGAATGGCTTGAGAGACGGGCCAGAGAAGCTGGAAGACCGTTGAACAGAAGACCTCCCGAGCCTCGTAGAAGAGCTCCTTCACCAATACGTGAAGAGGTTACTTTTATCTTTGTGTGTTTTGAAAAGAGAGTTTACGTTTTGGGAAAATTCTCATTATACTCAAAACCCCGTGAGTATTCAACCGTAAATTTCTTTTTTGAAAAAAAAGATTAAAATCATTTCTTTGGAAAAGAAAAACTCAAAGACAAGTGGAAAACATTCGTTCATAGATTTTCTTAAAACTTTGTCATTTTCCGACTTGCAGGAAACAACATTGACGCGACTTGCTGAAACAGTGGCGATGATGAAAAGAGATCAAAAAACAGTTCCATCAACGCTGTCAAGCTTGCTCGTAAACTCAAACGTCAGTTCAGCGGCAGCTACGGGGAAAGAAACGCACAACGGTATCATTTTTTTTTTTGCAAAAATTTATAGCAAACAATTAACTTCAAGAAGGAAACGCTCTGAACCGCGTTGAATCTTACATCAATGTAATGCAGTCTTTAATTCCACCAGACCAGTCTTCTGCGGCGATGCACCCCTTGAAGGTACCTTTGCAGTTGGATCTACATCAATTAATGAAATTTAAGGATGAAGGAAAGATAACCGGAAGTGGGAAGCGATCCCATTATGAAGCAGCATTATCAGTATGCTCTCTCAGTTTTTTTTTTATGCTTCTATTTTTTTAGACCGTTCCTATGTCTTTGACACCTGTGAGCAGCAGCGAAGAAACTTCGAGACCTGGAACGGAAACAAGCACCGTGCTGAGCTTATCAAAGAAAGAGGAGAAGGAAATTCGGAAGAGGGAACTCCAGCGACAACGTGAAATGAAACGTCAAGCCAAACGAGCTAAAAAAGAAGAAAGCCGTGAAAAAATCTCGAACAATTCGGAAAATCAAGTGAAATTAGATGCCGTGGCTGTTAAAAGGACCCGAAAGAACGTCAAGACGTCGAAGTCCAAGATGAAGGATTTCAAACTTCGCAAAGAGGGCTTTCCTTCCGCGTTTGTTGCCTACAGCCGTGGAGAAAAAATCGCAATTATTGAAAGGCCATGTCTTGGAAAATGGAAGAAACCTGTCAACAACAACATCAAAATCATCAAACTAAAAAGATTTTTTCACCACAACGTCAAGATCTACTTGCGGAAGAAATCTGTCATGAGCTTGCAAGACAGAGTTCGTTTAGCTAATCGAATTATTATCAATTTATTGGGAAATCGTCCGCGCTTCTACTCGTTAAACCTGAAAAAGGTCTTCTTTTCAAGCGAAGGGTTTGGAGGAGTCTATGCCAATGTGGTCCTTGCAAAGGTTCTCCAGTCGGTAGGTAGAAACAGAAAATTTGAAGATAACTTGATTGTTATAGAAAAGCAAGGTCATGCGTTTTGCCCGTCGGATGACACAGATAAAACATTTGAAACCCCAGAATCACGCTGATGTGAGTATTTAGATAACTCCATTGAAAATTTGATTTCTTAGCTTGGCCCTCCGTTTCAAATAAATATTCAAGGACACATTCAAAGAATCTACAATAAGCCAGAGGTTTCAAATTGATTATCTTCTAAAATAACGACAAAAAGTTCAGCCGAAACCCCGACTTGTCGATTGCTCTGAAATGGTCGAGACAAACGAAGCCGGAAAAAGCGAATCGGTGAGTTGTTCTTTTAAAGTTCATTAATGATTTTGCATTTCAAACTTCATATTTTTTCGGATAATGAAATAAACTTTAGCAAATTTCTTTGATCGACATCTTATCTCGCGTCTTGAAACAACCCGCGGTCCAAGAAGTCGAAAATGTATGTTTTTTGAAAGGGTGATATATCTAAAATGATATTTTCAGCGCTTTTCTACGACGATCAAAATTCCCGCTGAAGTTATGCAAAAGCATATGGCCCGCAAAAACACATTGGTAAGCTTTGTCATGAATTCTTGAAACTGAAATCTGGTATTCAGAATATGATTTTGAATGCTTATGGTCCATATGAAAGCGGAGCTTCAGGATCTCTGGCAAGTCAATTTGTAAGTTTGTCCAATTAATGCCTAATGTAAGTATCCTTTTTGAAGATGAACACGTTGTCCGGCGCGAGTGGAATAACTTCTCAGGTCGCCTATGAAGCAGAGAAGTAAGCTCTTTTATAAAGATTTCAATCAGTTAATTCTTCGTGATGCAGAGAAAATTCATGATTTTACAACTTATAAGAAGGCTCAAAGATTTCGGAATGAGACTGTCATTATCAGTTGACTTTTTTTGAATTTTTATAATTATGAAAAAAATTCAGGCGAATAAAAATAATGTTTTTTTGAAAAAAATCAAGCACTATAAAAATCTGACAGTAAAAAAAGAAGCAACACGACTGTGCTTTGACAGAATCTATCAAAAAAGTATCTTTGTTGTTCACCTTACAAACGCATTTCTCCCCAAGATCATGAAAATCAAATATAAGATTCACTTCAAAGTTATTATAAAAAATCCTTTTTCAGAGGAGTCGAACAAACTGCACAGTTTCCCGCTACCGGTCCACCTGGAGTCATGGGCAACATAAGCGCTTGCTTCTTCGCTGATTCTGAAAGAACACCAACTTCGAATGGGGTTTCATCGCAAACGACGTCTGCTGCATCGCAAAAATACATGATGGCCAACTTATTGAAGCCAGAAGGCACTGCTGTGGGCCAGCTTTTCGATCCCCAGTCGCAGCAAGGAGAGAAAAGTATCGAAATACCGGTGAAAGAAGTACTCCAGAATCTATTGATGAAAGATGAACTCGGGCGACCCGTGTTTCCGAGAAGTGAGAGAGAGAAAGAACAGGAAACAATGAATAAAATTCTCGGAATACTGCAAAACTATGGAGCGGCTAATGAGAAAGATAAACGACCGGAAGAATTCCTGCAGCCTAATGGTGGAGAGCAACACGCCTGGACAAATAATCAACTCAAAGAACAAAGCCAACAGGAACTTCGATTGAAACAAGGTCCCCAAAAGAAGCAGCCACAAGAGAAGAAACCGAAGGATGCTCCACGCCGACGATACCAAAAGAGGCAGAAGAAAGAAGAAACGCAAGGAGTGCAGCCGAATTTGGAGGCACAGAGAGAAAACTTCAACATGCTTTGGCAGATGCAGATGCAGATGCAAGAACAGCAAATCCGGAGACAACAGATGCCTGTTCAGCCTCTGGGGCAATTCGTGCAACCAGTGACTCCTCCGGTCCCAAACTATACCCCTAAGATAATGATAACTCCATCGCATCTCCTGTCTGCACAAAAAGAACGGCTCGCGCGCTTGCAAAACATCCAAGCATTCCAAATGCAATCGCAAACGCAAACGCCTCCGATGTTCCTGGGACTTCCTTTCGCGACAGACCAGTCAAATACGATTGCGTATCCATTCCAGAACCAGAACCACTCAAACAATTGGAATGTCCAGAATCCTCTCAACGCATACTCGCCCGAAGTCGTCAGGTTGTTCCAGGAATTGACGGGAACGACTTTCGTCCCTCCCGTCTTTCCAAATGTCGCACCTATGCCCCCGACGCCACCTCAGCCACAGCGTTTCATCCCGCACAACGATCTTATCGCAAATCGGATGCACACGGTTCCATCACCGGTTCTTCTAGTGCAGCCATACGAAGAACATCAGATCACTGTACGCGAGCAGATCAGGTCAGTCCAAGTTCTCTCTGTTTGTCAAAGTCAAAATGATTTATTCTCATCACGCCAAGCTTAAAGTCAGCCTGTAAAAAGCGATCAATTAGTGCAAAAACGGAGCTCGAATTTATTTCACTTTTATAATAGAGCAATGGGAAAATACACATCTTGAGATTTTGGGCACTTCAAACCTGAAAAATGCAAAAAATTTCACTCTATTTACTTTTTGACCAGTATAAATCACCTCAGAGATATAACTATCTCATTGAGATGATGAAAAATATTTGTATGGCTATCTTGAAATGTCCTAACTTGACTAAAAAGACAAAAAAATTTGAAGTTGTCAATTTTTTTATTTTTTTTCACAACTATGTTCAAGCTTCTGAATTTCCAACCCTTTTTCTTCGAAAAATGATTCTTGATAATCTTCAAAAAAATGATTCATTTTCTACCTATAAAACAAAAGATTATCTGTCCTGAAAATTAATTCATAAAACCTCATTACTAAATTTCCAGAAATCCAGCTCCAAACATTGAAAATCAGGCTCAATTTGGCTTTCCGCCGTCCTCTTCTGGACTGAATTTTTTCAACTGTTGGTTTCTTCTTTTTATTCTTTTCAACCCAAACTGAACTCTAATGCTTCTGATTGTGTAATTTTTAAAAGTTTTCATTGCAGATTTGGTTGAAATATTGTGGTAGGAAATTCTAAAAAGGACTACTTAGTAAAGTTTTTTTTTCAAAATTGAGTGAATTCCAAAAAAAGCCAATCAAAACTGTGGAGGCAATGACTCAAGGATTTTTTTTCCAGTTTTCATGTTTAACAGAGCTTTTCAAAAATTTTGATTATGAAATCACGATGAAAAAGTCTTCAGCGAAAACCCGTAAAAATGAGTCTTTTTGTGTTTTATTAGTGGGATCAGGAAAAGAGCAATTGTCGTTATTTTTGAGCCTCGAGCTGATTCAAGTGATTCAAGTAAGAAACATAAAACATAAATCGAATGAAAGTATTGAAAGTTCACATCACGGTTTCAGAAGCTCCTGCCAACACTTGGATGACTGATTTCGAAAGATCAAGAAATCTTCCCGGAAACAATGACATTTTCCTCATCCATGACACCCCATTTGTTCCGGGAGTTATTTTTTATATCTTATATAAGTTTTTATCTTACACATCTCCATACTCTTTGACTAATCTTTTCAAGTAGATGAGAGAAAACTTCAAAAAGCGAGTCAGTGAAACATTTGCCGTGGAAAAACAGCTCAGAAAATCTTTGTCGAGCCCTAATCATCCAAAATTTTTTTAGATGGATTTAAAGCTCAAATCACTTCATATTTTATGCAACGGCAAAAACAGAACTCAAAAAATTTTCACGATGAAAAAACGAAATAGAATTCAATCTGGAATTTTAGAGGGGTTACCGTTTGAGGGTATTAAATGACGAATCTCCTGAAACTTTCACGGCTCGCTTTTAATTGTAACTTTTTCACTACCTTGTTTCTTGTATTTCTTTATTCATCAACCTGTTCCATGTTTTGTGTTCCAAGTAGCCATTTCACGTGCACAATCATTTTATCCGCACCGTTTCAAATTTTACTTGATTTTGCTTTTTCCAAAATGAAAAAACTGAAAATGTGCAAAAAGGTCAGCGCATAATAATTTTCTGCTAACCGATGATATCACACCTTTTCTGTTTTTTCTTTCCAAAAAAATACACCGGTTTTTTTATTTGCCTGCCGGTATCAAATCTACATTTTTTTTACAAACTGCATGGGTTCATTCAATGATCCTCTCGGTGTGATTTTTTATTTGCCTTTTCGAAACTCCAACGATTTTATTACTCTCGAATTCTCATTCATTTTGATTACTCTGGATTTACTCATTCTCTCTTATTAAAAAGCTCCTCCAATTCTGCCGACTGTTTTAATTATTGAACAACTTTTGAATAAACAATGCACAGAAAACCCAAAGCACAGTTTCACAGAAGCTTGAAGTTTGACAAAAATGAAAGTCTGCGAAGTTAAAAATCGGATCTAGTCAAGTTGATGGGTTCTGGAAAGCGAATAAAGGGAGAAATATGAAGAAGACAATGTTTAACTATTTTTGAGGATGTGTTCGAGTTTTTGAAAATAAAAAGTGAGGCCTCAAACAAAGTCAACGACTTATAGTCCATTTGAATGAGGCCTCAAAGTACATAAACCTTCCAAAAAAAAAAAATACTGCGCTCTTTCTATAGGGCTGGTAGGGGCTGATCAGGTTTTTCTAGTAAACCGGAACCTTGTTTTACAAGAAATAATAGTGTCTGATCGAAAAGCGAAGTTACTTAGAAAAATATGATTTTTTTGAATCGTAACAGAGAAATTTCCATTTTCACATTTTTTTGTTTTTTTGCTAACAAATCTAGTTTTTTGGCCCAGCCCTTTCAGACTGGGCTTCAAAGATTTTATTGAAACCTTGAAGTAAAATTCTGGAGATCAAACTCATGGTTGAACCCTTAAGTGTGCCGTTTGATGCGAAAAAGTCTCAGTGATTTCAATTACCTGAAGATTTCCAAAGTTTGAAGAAAATCAAATATACTTTTAGAAAATTCTTCCGGCCCATCGACCCTTATTGAAAAAAAAAAAGTTCACGTCGATGGCGGATACAAGGAAAACCAAATCTTCAGAAGACGTCACGAATCGGCAAGAAATCCTGTGCAAAGTACATTTGGCGTCGCGTGCTACGTTTCTTTGCAATTTGCAAATAAAACCTCATTTCCTACTGTGCACATCCTTCTGCTTTCACTACATTGAACTCTCGCAGGCACAAACAAATTGGTCAGTCTTCTAGGCGACGTCCGAGCCGAGCGGTCCTCCGTCTTCGTTTTTTCTCTATTTGGACTTTTGTACTCTTTTATATTTGGAAGAGAATATTGTGTTGTTGAAAGGCAATGAGTTGAATATATACCTTCGACGTCTATTTTTAGTGTTATATATTTTTCAAAGAACTAAACTTCTATATCGTTTGTTTTTCATTACAGTTGGATATTCCTTAGTAAAATAAAATGTTTTTTAAGTTAATGTAATCGAACACAGTGTTCTAAATTGTCTGGAGCTTTTATGCCAGGCTACGAGAGTTTATTTTGGTTGACTGCTGAGCTTTCTGTTCATTTTCTAGAAGAAACTGAAAATGTAAACTGTTCGTAATTCCATCGTAATGTACAAAAATGTGTCCTTCCTTTGAACGGTAATTGTGCGAAGCTTTTTTTGCGGTAAGTTATGCAAATCTCTTCCAGACACCCACGCTGCTTATCCTGTGACGGTTTGACCGTGTTAGAAAGGGACGTGACCTGTCTTCTTTTTAATGTTTCAAATGCAAATTTTTGCACTCGTCGGATTCGTTAGAAGCGGAAGGGGACAGAAATTAGATGGATAAAAGGCTGAAGATGCCGCTGACCGCCTTTTTACCATCCTCTTTTCGCTCATTTTGGGATCGTTTTCAACATTTTTTATAGTTTAATAGAATTTTACTTTTACATAGAAACAAAATGGTTTGCTGCTGACTTGTTCCATTTCTCGAAACTGTCGACCTTACTCGTTTATAATTCTTCATCAGAAGTTCAATGGAATGCTTTATTTCAGAAGTTCATGCAGAAACAGTGATGTTCCTGACAGTCTTACTCTTGTCTTTGATCTCAGCAACTCTCTGCGCAGAGGACAAATATCTCACCCAACTCGTTTATAAGTTCATATTCACTCATGAACCAGTCTGTGAGTTTCAAGAAACAAACTTTAGATTTGAAATTGAAAATTTCAGGCGGAGATCCATTCCACGAGCCGAACTGGCTTCCCGCCATGGCTTCTTGTAAGGTGGACTGCGAACCCACGCAGTTCCTCTGCTTGGTTAGTGCCACAGACACGAACGTCCAGAAGTGTCGGCCACGTGAGTTTTAAATTCAAAGATTGAATCTCAAGTTCTAACTTCAGTTGAGGAGAGTTGTACTCTGGCCATCAGAAATCACTTGGGATGGAGCTCGACTTTTGTGACTGTCCCAGCATCGAGTCCACCGACGACTACTTCCACGGCCCAGCCTCCACCGAAGACATTGTTTTCTGGACCATGGAGCACTTCGTTCATACCACAGCTTAGTTTGAGGTCAGAAAAAGTTTTGGGTTGTCCTTAATTCTAATGTTTAGTCCTAACATCCAACCGAAACAGGTGTTCAAAGCGGTTTCACTGCCTCCGGCTCCCCATTTTGTCCAAAACTTTTCCGGTAAAGATCGAAACTTTGGTCGCACAGGCGGGATTTTGAAAAGTCCCGAGAACCGGGACGAAAATCTTCAGCAAAGAGAGCTCCCCCGGCGAATTCCCACTCCTGTGTGAGTTCGAAAAACTTTTTTTCACTTTTAAAAAACTTAAAAAGAAACTGTAGATTGATTTGAGGATTTTTATTTTTCAGGAAGGGGAGACAAATTCTTAAAGAGCAGTTCGACTCTGAAAAAGTGAGGGAGTTAGGAAAGACCCTCAATAGATTTTCTCTGCCAACTCCCGGATTTTTACATTCGGCGAAAACATATTACTCTTCTAATGAGCCTCTACTGACACCTCCGATTAAAGAGGTCCGGCAATTTTCCTTTTCATGGTGTTTTATTGATAATTTAGAACTTTCTGGCCAATCCTGAGAACAGCTACGATCGAATAACAGAAGAACAGAACTCTGCAGCGCAAATGTCACAGAACAACCAAAAGTCTTACACGGAAGATTTCGATCAGCAGCAATTCCGAAATCCTGAAGAGACTTCTATTCAAGCTGTGACAGAAGAAGAATTCGTACCGACAGGGACACGCATCGAGGTTCGAAAGTTCTCGGACGGCTTTGAAAAACTAAAAAAAAAGTTTAAGTTCCCAGTTTTATGTATGAAATTTCTTGTTTTCAGAAAAAAAAAATAATTTTTGATAAATGAAAGCCCTGGACGTCTCCAAAAGTTTTTCATTTCTATAAAAAGGATGCTACAAAAATCTCAGCAAATAGCATCAAAAAAACTAGATATAAAAATTAAAAAAAAATATATTTTGATAATTTAAGATGTAAAAAAATAGAAAAAAATAGCCTGGTTGGGAAATATTGAGAAAACCACAAGACTTAACTTTTTTCAAGATAAATTCAGATCGTTCCGCCAGTGCCGCCACCAGATACAAGTCCTCCTCTGATTGCGCCGTCGCCACCTGCGCCTCCGTCTCTATTCCCGCAAAGAAACGTCGTGGCTCAAGTCGAACAAGGTGCAAACTACGTCCGCAGCTGTTTCACGACAATATTTGCAGAAAATGCCGTGGACTACAGTACTAACTGCTGCGAATGGGCGCTTCAAGGGTTGTGTGATCGGAACTGGGGTAAAATACGGAAAATTTGTCCAAAAAGTTGTGGATCTCTCATTTGCGAAGGTACGACTTGAACGTATTTCATTACGGGATAGTTTAAAACATTTGTCTGAATTTTTACAGACGTAGAAAGCATAAAGTCATGCACGAGAATTGTAAATGTCGACGTTGAAGAGTGCTTCCAATCGCGGCGTGTCGTTCGATATCGTGGCTTGCGGAAGGCGAAGAATGCGGTAGAAAAGCAACAATTGATAGACGGAATCGTCAATTTGAATGTGGATAGATCTCGTAAAAAATCGAAGAAGTCAAAGCGACGAAGGAGCAAGAAGAAGAAGCTGAAGCACAAGACGCGTCACTTTTAGCTTGTTTTCTCTCAAATTTTAATAAATTGTCAATAAAACGGATGAAATCTTTTTCCGCATGAAAATCATGAAGAGCAAACAGGAGCTGATGATGTTTGATCAAAAGTTTAAGAAACAGTTTTGAGGTGAAAACCCGCGAAGCAAACATCATTTGGCTGGCTTATGTCGTTCAAGAAAGGTGTTGCCTTCTCTGAATTGCCCTTTCTTTCAAATTTTCCAGTCGATCATCATTTCAAAGAAATTTGAGGTGATTCAAGATATGAATTTGGGCGAATTTCATTCCCTTCTCGTGGATTTTTCATCTGATCATTTGTTTCAAAAGTAAGAGCCTTTTTAATTCACTTCTTCGAGAGCTTCATCCTCTATGTTTTTTGAGTCCTTTGATGCGTGTTTTCTCAGTGAAGGTCGTTAAAAAGCGCTTTCCCCTGCCATTCGCCTCAAACTGATTGAAGTTCTCTACGGCTGTCTGATGGCGCATTTTTCAAGAACGAAAAATGTCTTTAAACTATCTGCCGGAAAGCTTCTCGGCACATTGTTGATGTGCAACAAAGCCTGAACTTCAGACAATAAAGTTTAAAGAGAAAAAAGGAACGTCGACCCCGAGGCTAAGATTGTTGTGGGAGCAGCGGTGACGTATGACTGATCGCTCGCGTCTTGGCGCGTTTATGCTCTCGCGGAATCTGGACTGACTCGAGCTTTGCCATATGGCTGCCGGTCCCTGGCTTTTTCCGTTTTCTTTTCCGGTCCCACCTGCTGCCAATGCTTTATTGCTTTATAACGCTTCATCGCTTTATTTATTGAGTCGTTCCTGCTACGCTATTACATGTGTTCGACAATTATGTCATATTACCTTGGAAATCAGGCAAAATTGAGTCTTCCTGGGAAGTTGAACTTGATCAATCAAAAATTAACAGGAAATATCATTTTAATTCATGAATTTTTGTGACAAGACTGAAGAATTTATTTTAGACGCTTTGAAGGCTGCAGGCAAATGTGAAGACACGTTTCAGATTTTCCGTTTTTTTTTTCAACTGTGGAGTTCATCGAAGAAAGTATCGACCTTGTAAAATAAGTTAATATTATACTTTATTTTCTATAAAATTTGAAAATGCCACTTCTTCTTCTTCCTACGCCTTTGTACCGCTTGAGCGGTGTCGGCGCCCCAAGTCGATTAGCCGAGGTCCTATCCTAATCAGTGATAATCAGTGGACTGGCTCCAGTGACATATCCGTCCTTGTGTGTGACGGCTGGGGATTATGAAGTCGTGGTTTCCCACTACCAACATTTCTTAAACCCCTTGGTTGGGTCGGGGCGGGGATCGAACTTGTGACCCTGTGGACCGTAGACAGGCACACAACCTGTTGCGCTACGACTACGATTGAAAAATGCCACTAAAAAAAGTGATTTTAATACAAGGATTTTAAAAATTTTTTTGTCCATAAAAAAAGTACTATTGAGAAACTTTTTTTAGCTCTGGTTTTATCCTTTCAAGAAAAAAAGACGTATCATTTATGGAAAAATTAATTTTAAAAAAATTATTCAAATACTCATAACAAGGAGCCTGGAAAAATCTTGGCCTCTGTAAACTTTTACAGTTTTCGAAAATCAATAACTTGTACTTTCACTTGCCAACCAATCCTTGAAATGCAAAAAAAAAATTAAAACTTCAAATTCGGGGCTTGGTGATTTTTCCGAAATGAGATACTCAACTTTTCAAGCAGTTTTTTCTGAGCTCATTTTTTTCTCATCAAAAAAAATAGCTTGAAACTATTTTTCACATAATTCGCTTTTTTTATTCTGATGCAAAAAGGAATCTTTTTATTCTACTCAAGTTCGTTAACAAAGTTTAAAGATCCTATTTTCGGGGTGCCCTTTGCTTCGTTTAAATGACATGCTTTTCCAAATTGTCGGAAATGACTGTCAAACGGCATAATTATTTGCACGGCCCGTTCCGGCCCAGTTGTTCTTTCTATTTTCTCCCTAAAAACATCTGATTTCTTTTTTAAGACCACTATCTAAACTTTCTTGAACTTTTTTTATTTATTCTTCCTAAGAGCTCCATTTCTTCCAACTGCTTTTATTATTAATTCATTTCTTCTTGCCGCGATGAAAACAATGAATTATTTGGATTTTGGTGAGCCTCTGAATAATTATTTAAGGCCCGTTCTGTTGTCCGATCTTCTGTCTTCCGTCTTGATTACAAAAATTTTTTTGGGCTGTTTTTCACCCCTTTTTTTCTGGAAAAAAAGCTAAAAAAATTTAAACGCGATTTTTATTAATAAAATTCCACGTAGAAAATTGATAAAAAGAAAAAAATCTTCATGTAAACGTTTCCATTTTTTTCATCTCATGGGGGGCTATAATTAACAATCCTTTTTATATATATCTCACCGAAAGTACAGTAAACCAAAATTCTTTTTAAAAAAACACTTATGCAAAAAAAGATCATTGGTTCAAATCTGATCTGCCAAGAAAAGAACTAAACAAAATCTCATCCTTTGTTGAAAATTCTGCGGAGTCTGAAGTAAACAAACAGTTCAACAAACGGCTCAAAGATCTGCAAACGGCTGGATCAACTGAGCTTCTTTGTGCAAACACTTGATCTTGAAAAAAAAACGACTGCTGAACGCAAAAAAATGAGAAACTTATCTTCAAGACAAAAAATTCGGGAAAGTTTTGCTTTTTCGAATGGACTTTTTGAAGATTTCGGTTCCCAAGTTGTGAAACTTTCGAAAAAAAGAAAAAAAGGATATGTTGATTTTATCAAGCTGAAAAACGCTGCGGAAAGTATTGCGATGGCATTGGCGTGGCGTCATTTTTACGTGCGTTTCAAACCAAACCCCGAGTAACAGGTTCCAACGGCGTTAAACACAACAAATCACTGTATTGGTTGTTTCGTTTTCTCCTTTCACGTTGTTTTTTTTAACGGTATTCTCCTGTCATTTCTTTTTTTTTCTTTATTTTTGACTTCAAGCCAAAGAACTTCATTACAACCAAGTTTTTTTATTCAAAATTATTGGAGAAAAAAGTCATCTTTCTGGAATAAAAAGTTTTTAGTTTCTTTTTTTTACTGACTAGAAGCTATCTGTGATTTGAAATTCTATTAAATATTACGATGCTCCGGTCGAACCTCAACTACAAGTGCTGGACAATGGAAAGTTGCCATAGTTTTTTGAGCTGGCTGGGTTTTCTTCAAGTTACGATTTCTGATTACTCTGATAACTGCCACAAATATTAGACATGTGAAAAGTGAAATCGTGACTGGCATCATGATTGATGAGACGGAAAAAGTAGACTGTTTAATGGGAACGTCTATGAACAAGTTATTCGGTTCCAAAGGAGCAATAAGAGACGTCCGGTCTTTGAACCCTTTGAACACATTTGTGGAAAAAACGTCGTAGGTGAAATTTTCGTGCAATCTTTGAAGAATGACGTTTTCTCGACTTGTGGTAACGACGAAATTATCTCCAAATCTTTCAATCAGTGTTTTCTGAAAAAAGAAATGTGACAAATGGGACAATCTTACACTCACTTTTTCTGTAGAAAGCGAATTTGTGAACAATTGCGAAAAACGAGGAAGATTGTAGCGATCAGGACACACCCAATAGTAGTACTTGTCTTTGCAACCTACCATATTTCTCAGAACCAAAGCATCTTTGAAATCTTCTCCCGAGTCCTATAAAAAAGGTTTCCTCATCATAATAAAAATTTTTTGCGCTATCTGGACTGAATTCCTTTTCCAGAGCTTTTTTCTTCACGTTTTTCTGTTCTTCTCCTTATAATTTTTCAAATACGGTGGAAAAAAAAATCCTTTATGTCTTTTTAGTTCAAAGAAAGCTATAAAAATATTTTTGAAACTTTCTGTTCATTTTCTAAACTCACCGTGTTCTGTGCTACCACCACAATTGGATCAATGTACAAAATGGTTCCGTTTTTGAGCATCTTGGGAACCGGATAAACTCGAACAACTTTGAACGTCGGCGACAAAGTCGTTGTACAGACCTTGATGAAATGATAATTTGAGAGAAAAGGGCATAAAAATCTTCAATTACCTTCACTTTCGCAATTTGTTTCGCTGTATTTAAAGAGAAGATTATTTCTTGTCTCACTACAGATTCAGGGTTAAAATGGGAGCCGCAAAGGTTTCTGATATCGCTCAAACCTTCCCTTGAAGGGATATCGCAAACGGGCATCTGAAACCAACTTTTTGTAAATTTAGAAAAAACTTCCTCTTAATCAAGAGAAAAAAATATCAAGTTTTTATGATGAAAACAACAGGTTCACTAGTTGAAATCCACTCTTTGAATATTTTTTGTTTGAAGCGTAGAACTCACCTCGCCAAAATCCTGGACAATAGAACCGAAATTAGCAATAAAAACAGTACAATCCAGGCTGTCGCGAAAAACAGCGAAGCCAAGATTTTCGTAGACTGCCTGCCGGTCGCTGGTAATGAAAACTTCTCCACAAAAAGTCATAGGAAGAAATAGCAACACAATTCGGAGAGCGACCATTTCTGCAAGTTTATTTTAAAAATGGAAATAGAATTCATAGAAATGAAAAAAAAAGCCTTTTGCTCTCGCCAACCAAAAAAAAAGGTTAACTCAGACAAACCAAGGCTTTGGCTTATCAAAAGTAAACCTTATCAAACGGTAGCCCGGCCTTTTTTCTATTACTTCTGTTGTTTGTCTGACCTTTGTCGGTTCTTTTCATGTTTATACCATGCCGGCCACCTTACTCAGGGAGATGCATGTGAGAGAGCAAACAAGGTACAGCTCCTCTAAAAGTACAAGTTTTTTTTTCAAAATATACAGGTTTATATCTTTAGTTCTATTTAAAATTCAAAAAACCTATTACCTGCTTCAAGTTGATGAGCCGAAGTTTCATAATGTATCCATTAGAGCAGCTCACTTTTTTTTTCATTTTTCATCGCCTACCGGAAGCTTTCCAGAAGGTTTTTGGAAGGCTGCTAGCAGGCCTTTTTGATTTTCACCCTCTAAACGCCTTCAACTACCTCCCAAACGCCATCCAAAGGCTTTTTTAAGACCTACTAGCATCTATACATCTTCAAACTTCCTGTTCGTTACCTTCTTAACACCTACCTTAGATTTTTTCTGGCCACTCAGCAGCCGGTAGAACTTGGAATTCTCGATTTTCATGTTTCTAAAAGCAAATCTAAGGACCCGAGACAAGTCTAAAAACCGTCAACTGAAGGTTTACCTTTTTTCGCTCTGGAAATTTTTTCAAGAAGAAGTATTTATCATAACTTTTTTATCATAAGGCTTCTCCTCTGAACTCTGTTGGTGGTCAGACACTTTGCGTGTAAGAGGAAGGCACTTCAGCCGCGCACGCCGTTCGCTTTTCAACAGCATTACGTGCAAGCGATCCGTTTCTTTTTTCTTGTGATCTGCGCTTTTTTTTCCAATGTACAATGAAAAACGATGCTGTCATCGAAATTGTGTAACACTCGTTCTTGAGAATTGTGCAAACGTTTGTTTTCATTTGTATCAATTTGAGCTTCAGGGTTTTTTATTTTACCGTGTTCATGATCGCTTGGAATTATTATCTCCAAATTCGAAAAAGAATTTTATCATGGCCGCTGTTCAAAAAAACCATCGTAAATTTGATCGTAAAGGCTGTGATTTTTCTTGATTTTTCTGATAAACAGTTCATTTTGAGTTGTTTTAAATCTCATTGATAACTCTGAAGATCAGGAAAATTAGATTCGGAAATTTTGTTCCCGCGATATTAGAATATTCGGTTTGTCGTTAGTAATTTATTGAGTGTTGAGAGAGTGAAAAAAATTTGTTCAAAGTTTTGAAAAAGCTGTTAAAATGTTTATTGTGTTTTTTTCATCAAGAAGCTTTTTTTCGACAATTCTGTTCAATTTTTGTTAAATTCAGTTCTATAGATACTTTTTTTCTAAGCTTTCAGTAGGATTGAATTTCGACTCATAACTACTGGATTAACACTCATTAGTTTGAGGATTGATTTTCTTTCAAACTTGAAAAAAAGCAAACAGTTATTATAAAATTGAAAGAAGACGAATAATCATAGTTTTCTTCCAGTTTCTGAGAAAAGGAATACCTGAACACTGACGAAGAAAGAGCTTGTAAGGAGCGCATGTTTACGCAAGGCAAGAATATAATAAAGCTAAAATGTTGAGTGGCGCCCTCGGCTTTTCTGTGCAGTCTTGTCTTCCGTAATGCGATACGATTTCACACATTTCTTCGCTTTTACAGTTCTTTGTGAGTCCAAGGAGGGAATTCCATCGGTATTTTGAGAAGAGCCTTGTCTTCTGTTTTTATTGCTTCTATCAAAAATTCCGAAAAACTTTTTTGGACATCTAAATAAAGATAAAATAATATCTAATTTTTTTGGATTAAACTGCTCAATTTATATAAATTCTTATTCCGTTTTCAGCCAGATCCAACTTTTTTTTTCTTTTTTTTTCTCTTATCGGGCTCCATTTTTCTTATTTTTTCAAGATTATTTCAAGAGCTATCCATTTTTTTGAACATTTTTTTGGGCAACCGCTTTTTTTGAAACTATAAACCGTTCTTTATCTATTTTGCTTGAAAAGTTGAGCTAATATACGTGAGATCAGGAGAATTTCAGTTAGAAAAAAATATAGAAAAATATGTTCCGTATAATTCATTCCTCGTTTTCAAAACTATAATTTGTTTTGAAGGAAAAATATTGCTTGAAAACGGTTGAGCATTTCTGTAACAATCTATGTTCAATAGATAAAATCGACAAAAATCACATTTCTTGAATACCTTTTTCGAAAAACTGTCCCATCAATGTTCGCTGCAATTGTTAATGCGAATGTTACAACACCCCTCACGCCTATTATGGATTCCTTTGTGACCGGGCAATTTTGTCGAATTTCTTCCAGTTTCTCCGTTCTCATCTTTTTTTTGTTGCTCGTTTCGACCCTATCAAGATCTTCTGGCAGCGTTTCTTTTTGATTTTATTACCTCTTTTCAGGCACAGGTGATGCGCGCTGGAGAATAACCAACTCTTGGGAATGGAAAAGGTTCGTGAAATTTGATTTTTTCTTCTCCTTGTAACTCATAGATTGAGTAAGCGGTTGCAGGGCTTTCATGAAAACGAGTCAGGATGTGCAAAACAAGGGCTTTTGCTCCGAATCGGACTTACTGTTTTTGTTTTGATCACGGCTTTGTTCGTCGTCATTGCCATTATTCTCATCCTCACACAGAAACGTGAGTTTGTTCTTGTATGGTACCCAAACTTCTGCTTTTAGTTGAGCCAAAACTTTTTCATATTTGATTTTTGAAGTTTCATAAAAATGATACGCCTGACATGATTTGAAACTCTCTGATTTGGTCTCATTTTTTTTTGTTTTTCTTGCTTGAAAAGTTATGGAAAAAATGGATCGAACCATTGAACCTTAAAAAATGAAGGGACTTTCGGAGTTGACCAAAGATTATTTTGCTGTTCTGAAACTTGTTCCGTAAGATAAATGCTATATTTCGACGAACTTTTAGCTGTCGACCTTAGCTTGGCACCTTCAAACTCGGGATGGAATCGGACAACTACAGAGGAGCCAAGATCATCAACAGCCCAGCAGTTCCGACGGCGGAGGCTCAATTATCGACGTTTCACCTACGACCAGCTCTTTTCTGGGAAACTTTTTCTGAAAGACAACTACATGTATAACTTTTTACCGGATGGATCATTACTGCGCAAAAAGAGCGAGTTTGAATCGGTAGGCCTAAGAGAATAGTGTATTCAAACTTTTCGCAAGTTTTAGTTTTTCTCTTCTGGAGTTTCTCGTATCCCGGCTGACAGCTTCGAAGCAGAAGATTACGTTGATGACAGTAGCGTTCTCAAAACCTTGTCTTCGAATCAAAAATATGCCTATACTTGTGATGTTATCAGAGTGGTGAGCGAGTTTTAAATTCCCTTTTACAGTTATTTCCCAGTTTTTCCGACATTCCTCAGAGCGCGTTTGCCGCATCGTTCAAATTAAAGACGGTTCAATTAGTGGGTCAGCAAACCTTAGTTTTTTTTTCGTTTTCTATTCAAAATTCAGAGGGTGGCCGGTCAAGTCTGCAAATGCATCCATTCAAGAAATATCTTGGAATCCTGACCCGAAACGCAATGATTTCGTTTGTCTTTCGTTTTTCGGCCAACAAAATTAGGTAGACTTCAGATTTTTGTGCACGACTACAACGTATACTACCAAGAGAATCCTGAAGATCCGTCTACGGCCGTTCAGTTGACCACTGATGCCGAGCCAAACTTTCGATATGGGACTGCAAATTGGCTCTACGAAGGTACGACATATATTTCAATTAGACTTATATCGGTCATTTTTTTCAAATTTATGTCCCACTGGATTTTTGTACGTTTTTTTCTCCCATTCTCTCATTTTTTTCGTTTGAATTCCAGTGCTTGACATTAATGTGAATAGTAAAAAAAGACTGTTCAAAAATCTTTCAAGACGCGATGAAACGAAAAAAATTATATTTTCAGAAGAAATTCTGGAAAAAATACTGCCTCGATCTGGTGGTCCAATTCAGGTAGATATGTCTCCTATTTAAGGTGAATTAGTTATTTCTCAAAAAAATTGGAATTCAAATATTTCTTTTTAGGTACGATGACCGCCTAGTCAACCGAATTTTCATTCCAACATATTCTAATTCTGATCAATACGTTCAGTGAGCTGCTTCTTTCAAACAGTTAATTATCCATATCGACAGATATTCTGAAATTCCATACCCGAAAGCCGGTGTTGAAGAAAATACCAAAGTCTCGCAGTTTATTTGGGACCGACAAAAAAACAAAATTGTGGAAGCCGTGGCGCCTGACGAGCTGAGGACGGATGGCCAGTGAGTCTTGACAAAAGAAATATTCATCAAAATCTTTGTCAGGAGCTACTACATTGTGAGCAATCAATGGATGGATATTCCTTCGGAACTTCCGACTCTCGGCAAAGAACGATTAATAACGGTTTGGATGAACCGCGAGCAGAATCGTGTATTCTACACTATCTGCAATGAGCTCGATTGTTTGCAGGTTTCCTTGCATTGTTGCCACGAATGAAAAAAACAGTCATTTTCAGGCTTTCACCCAAACTTATACAATAGGCTCCCGCAATATGTGGGCAGAGCCACGAGAAGTAGGAACCGTTTTTCCCACAAAAACTGGATTTTTCACCATTTTGCCGCGACCGGCAAGTGATGGAAATGTGTACAATCATGTTGCTCACATTGAGCTCGAGGTTAATTTTCGATTCAGATAGTTTCTTAAGGGATTTTTAGACTACTGGGACAGGAAAAGTGACAAAGTGGATAGGAGAAAACTTCGACGTGATGAGCATTTTGAGCTATTCGCAAGAAAAAGATATCCTGACCTACACTGCGTATACTAATGATATTGGATACAATAACCTCTACAGAGTTCCCAAGGCCGCAAATCAAAAGTTATTGGTAAGTATCGGATTCCTACTGATTTTTCAAACTCGAAAGAAATCTGTAGGAGAAGTCTACCGCAATGAATTTGTTGCTTCCGAACTGCGAGTACGGGACTTACACCGTCGATCGAGAAGGCAACAGAGCAGTGATTTTGTGTTACACCCCTTATGAAAACACGCGATTTTACCTGATGGATGTTGAAAAGCCACGAAAATGTATGTTGATCTGAAATTGATTGTGATTTATGTTTTTTTAAGATCGGATAATTGATGGAGGGGAAGAAGCAGTTTTGCCTTTTGACCGGCTCAATGTCACTTATGGAACAGCTGTTCTGCCTTCTGGAATAGGTGAGGATTGCCGAGTTGACAAAGATGGTGATCTCAGTGAAACTTCTGAACTTTCGGACAGTCGATTTAGGAGAAAACAAAAAGTGAAAAAAAATTTTTAGACTTTCTGTCAAATGCAGGCTTTGAAAATTTATATTTTAGCCGGATAGCAACAAGTATTTTTGTCAAAACCATAGGAGAATTTTCGGCGAACACTGATAGATTTAACCTTTCATTTAAGAGGTGATCAGCTCTGTTTCAAGAAACTGTAAGAAGTTTTCAAAATTTTTCTTTGCCACCCTTTTAAATTTTTTTTTTCTAACTTTTCTGTATGGAAAACGTGTGGTCCACGCTGAACAACATCTCGCGGAGATGGACCATCAAATTATCAAAGTAAGTAAGTAACTTTTCTGTTTCAGAAGCTCACTACGCCTTGACTCTACCTCCAAAAATAGCTCCAGACGAGAAATACCCTCTTCTAGTTGATATGTGGGCTATTTTTTCGATCAAATCATTATCATCCTATTTGAGATATGCTGGACCCAACTACAAAAAAGTGATAAGGCAAACACCTCAGCCACAACTTATTCAAATTTGCTCGCAATATGGAGTTCCATTTGTGATGTTGGATGTTAGAGGATCAGCAGGACGCGGTTTTTTTCTATTTGATTCTCCATAATTAAAAAAATTAACAGGTTGGAATATAAAGGGACCGGTTTACAAGAAACTGGGGCAACCTGAGACAGAAGACACAGTCGATGCAATAAAGTGAGAAAGAGCCAAATATTCTGACTTTTTTTTTAGAATCCTGTTGAAGAGGTATAGCTTCTTGGACGCAGAAAACGTTGCAGCATATGGATGGGTAGAATTTATTTTTATTTGAACGTTTCAAAAATAAATTTTTTAGTCTTACGGAGGATTTATGACGTCCCAAATTGCGGTTCATGACCAAGGAGCAACAGTCAAATGCGCAGTGGCTATAGCCCCCGTCACTGATTTTTCGCTTTACGGTTTAAAACCAATTTACAAGGGTCTCTTAAGAATTTTTTTTCAGATACCGCCTACACCGAAAGATATATGGGACTACCTCTAGAAAACCCGTCTGGATACAATGTTAGTCATTTCAATTTATAGCAATGGAAAGGTTTTTAAAGCTGTTTTTCATCACGAATTTTACAAAAAAAAGGTCGAACACAAGCAAGAATAGGGGCGCGCCGTAGCGCAACAGGTTGTGTGCCTGGCTACGGTCCACAGGGTCACAAGTTCGAACCCCGCCCCGACCCAACCAAGGGGTTTAAGAAATGTTGGTAGTGGGAGACCACAACTTCGAAATCCCCAGCCGTCACACACAAGGGCGGATATGTCACTGGAGCCAGTCCACTGATATCAGGATAGGACCTCGGATAATCGACTTGGGGCGCCGACACCGCTCAAGCGGTACAAAGGCGTAAGAAGAAGAAGACAAGCAAGAATAGATCAGTCAATATGAGTCATAGATTTTCCCAGGCAATAATGGCTCAGAAAGTCAATAATTCGAAAAAAATTTTTTTTTGAGCCTGAGCTTTTATAGTATGAAAACCAATTACTTTTCTTTCAGCATACGAAACTGGTACCACAAGCCAAAAACATGACCAACGTCAAATACTTGTTGGTTCACGGTCTCAGCGATGGTAAGCGTCCATTTCACAATAAAAAAATCTATTTTTTCCAGATAATGTCCACTATCAAAATAGTGCAATGTGGTCAGAAGCTCTACAGTACGCCAACATTCATTTCCGACAATTGGTAACTTAGTGAAGAATCTCACTCTTCAACTTATCTTTAAGGTTTACTCAAATGAAGCTCATGCTCTCTCCGGGAAATTACACCATCTGTTCAAAGAAGTCCAGCAGTTTCTGATAGAAGAATGCTTCGAATGGCCAATTTTGAAAGGAACTGAAGAATGATTATTCCACTATATCGACACAGAAATACATATTAAGAGCAAAAATCTTGCCTCCGCGGCTTCAAAAGTTGCACTATTTATATTTTTTTCTTATTTTTCTTACAAAGAGTTGAACATTTTTTTATTCGGACCAAAAACTTTTTTTGACACCTAGTTTTTTTATTTTTTTATCCCTATCAAACTGTTCATTCCTGAATGTTCTATTTTGCTGTTCTCCATAAGTGACTGCAATATGAAATAAATTTATAGAAAATCATTTAGTAAGTGTGATATGTTAAGCTTTGCACGAGTACGGTCAAAAGTTCAGTCAGTCCATGGCATGCATGTGTTCTTGAACTCCAGTTTTCACAAGATTGTACATTAAATGTGTTAGAACTCATTCAATAAACCTCTTAATTTATACATACGAGAAATCTTGAAACATAAAGAGGCAAGAAAATGTTGAAAATAAGTTTACAGCATAATTCTGACGCTGCCATCAAACAACTTGAAACTTTCAGCATAGGTCTGAGGAACATTTTATTTTACTTGAACATGAGAGAATCGCCAAGGAGAAAAAAATCTGCATGAAATCTCCGTCGCGGAAAAAAAGCTTGATACCATAAATACAATATAAAAAAATTCAAAGGGCGTACTTTTGCCCTGTTTTCCATTTTTCAAAAAAATGAATATTTGTTCACCCTGCTATCCCTTTTAATCCGTGAATCGAGACAGATTTCGAAAAAAAGCTGAAAATGCTCTGGAAAATAGAGAAAAACTTATTCAACAACCGAGTTACAAGTAGGTAAAAAATAATGAGAAAAAAAAAATGATGATGGGAAAAGTGAAGTTTCGTAACTTTTTGCAGTGTACCGTAGATTCAGAAAAAAGCGGATTTATTATCAACACAAAGATTCGAATTTTGCAACCGATTCCAACATCTCATTCAAAAACCTACCAAACCTCTGAGATTCTGGAACTCATTTACGTTTTTTGAAAGTTTTCTTGCTCAACGGATCTTATGTTTTTGCAAAATTTCTAAGTCCTTTCACCGGTCTTTCCATTTTAAATAGATTTCCGCATCAAAACAGAAATAAAAGAGAGCCTCTTAAAAAAGGCTCAGCGTTGTCGGAAAGACCTACGAATCCTATTTTCGGAAAACATTACATATGTTTTCACTCAAAACTGTACTAAACATGAGGAAGTGTTAAGTAATTATAAGAATGATGAGTTTGTCATGGGAACATCAATGAGTAGCGCTGATTATTATTAAAAAATTTGAGGGAGAAAAAAAGTGAAAATATCAGGCGCAAATTAGTAGCTAATTGAGAACGTTTTCGTGCAATAGTGTTGAAAGTTTTTATCTTTTCAATCAGAATACATTTCCTTGAGTTTATTCATTCGTTTGGTCCTTCGTCTTTCGAAACGAGCTGAAAGGACCTTTCTCGGCCATTAGTTTCCACTATCATCTACCCTCGTGATTTGATTCTCTCATCATTTTCATAGGCAGAAAAATAAGCCATTTCTTCATTCATTCAGATCCAACGTCGCTTCTCACGCGGAAACTTTTTACACCATCTTTATTTCTTAAAATTTGATGAGCAATCGTTTTGGAAATCTCCAGGCAAGCGTGAAAATTGAGCTTGTTCTAGGAAATTTTTTTGCTGAACAAGATTTTGAAATCAACAAAAAGAGCTTGTTTTTCCCCCTGCATCTCAGTTTTTTATTTTTTTTCATCGTAAACTCTTTGTAAATTAATAGAACCTTCGATCTTGAATCCTTTGTCATTTCGTCGTGGAAAAAAATTTCCAGGTGAGCCGAGCATGTACGAAGATGATCTATTCTGCCAGTTACGCATAGAAATCCCTCCGGAGATCAACAACTTCCACAGGCCGCCAACAGGTGATATCTCGAATTTTCAGTTGCAAGCAAATCACTACTGTGGCGATCACTTGCAACTACAGTCAAATAGTCGAGAAATCTGACAAAACTCTGTCTGCTCTAAAAAAGATTTGCTTTTGATTGAAACAGTTAAAATAAGGAAACTGTTGCGAAATCAGAGCTCCTCATATCTCCAGCCGTCACATACAACACAGATCTATAAGTAACGGCAGTCCTCTGAATATTACAGACGTCTAGGTAGGACATTATCTCAACGACTTGAGGCGCCTCGTTTTTATTTTCTGATTCAAAACAAAAATAACTCTCTGTTTCGTGTAAAGTCTTCCCTCAAAGTATTCGCTCTCATTCCAAGGTTTCCACCTAGAGCACGATTTCCGGGCTCCAGTACAACATCCGCTACATTATGAGGCGATTTTTCGCTAAAGCTTCAAAAATCCTTGTTTACAGCCTAGTTGGTTACATCTGATTGAAACAATAAAATAAATGATTTAAATAAAGAACTCACTGTAAGAGCTCAACTATTATAAAATTTGTACAAAAAGCTCGATGAGCCAATAAAAACTTTTCAAAATCCTTCCAGTGATCCATCTGTAAATCCTTCGATCAATATGTAATCAAAAAAATCAGAATCCGCATCGATGTTGCACTATGTTTATTTATCAAGGAATTTTGACCCGTCATTTTAAAATTTGGTTTTTCAGAACTTTTCGAAAAAAACTACCAAGCGTTGATTTTCACAAATAAAAATAAGTGGTTCGAGTGCTATTTTTTGATTTTGTGATTTTTCCATGGGAAAAAGTCAGAAGGTCGTAATAATAGAATTAACTTTTTGTTGTTAACATATTTCACTTTCCATTCGTTACGATTTGGCACGTATCGAAAGTCTGGGCTCTTTTTTTTCATAATACGATTTTTTATTGTCTACATAGACACCGGTAGTCAAAAAATAATAATAAAAGACCAAGATTTTCGGGAATTAATATTTTTAATGTTTTGCACAGTTTCTAAGGAATCTTTTGAAATGCATAGAGAATGCAGAAACGGCGTTTTGGTCACAACTTTCTTGTAAAGAATTCAGTTTTTCTGAAACTTTCTATAGTTGCGATGACTGCTCTTTTTAACACTATGATAAAGTTTCAGTAAAAAAAAAAAGGAAATGCAGCTTCAGAAACTTTGAGGATGATCGAATCCCTCTTAAGAAAATTGTGAAAATCCAATTTTTTCGTGTTTTTCCTAACGGTATTGTATACGATTTTTAAAGAACGGATGCAAAGATGGATATTTAGAAGGAATGAAATAAAATGGAACTTCCAAGAATATGACAAATCTTGGCGCAAAAACCACTTTCGATCTTGGAATTAGACGACTCTGAAAGCCAGAAATCTCCAAAATTATTTCGTTTAGCGTAAGTAAATTTTAATAAGTTTTCGTTGGGGCTTCAAATTTCCCGAAACCAAGTGGCATATTGAAAAATAGGAGTTTTCGAAATTTTTTTTTTGCGACACTTTGCAGAAACTTTTTTAAAAGCTTTTACACAAAAGAAAAACATAAGAGCAAAAGCTTTCAATGTTTCAATCTTTGCAGCGGCTCTGAAAACAATCCTTTCATTTCTCTTTTCTTGAAACGAAAGAGTTTTAAGAGCTTTTCCAATGAAAATGGCAAGTTTTTTGTAACATATGTGATGAAAATTTCGTAGAATGTCTTTAGATATTTGTTCAAATCTTCTGAAGACCCGCGGCATCTTCCAGATTTTCTCAAAGTTTTCAAGTTATTCAAGGTTTTGCTTGTTGCGGAATCGAAAACAAAAGGATATTTAGTGTAAAGATTTTCACGAGCTCATGTTACTATTCCACATTTGCTTTACACTCTTTCGATGCGATCAGATGATTCAACGCCGTTTTTTTTTTCTTTTCTCAAATATTGTCGTTTATACTATTTTTGGATGTTTTTCAAACTCTTCCGACAGTTCAGTGAACACATTCATATGGAAGTATTCAACTCCTTTCAAACAAGGAAATGTTTCTTTCCAATGAAATCTTGCACTTGTCTTGTCATTCTTTTTTATTTTCTGAGAAAAGCTCGAGTTTATAAGAACGCAATTGACTAAAAAAAGCAAAGTGTTCTTCGAATCGCTACAAATCTCATTAAATTGAAGCTACAAAACTAAAATTTTTTTACAATTTATACGTTTTTTTATGAGAGTGCGAAAAAAAGTAGATAAATCAAAAAGAAGGTTTGCTTTAATCGGGAAGACTTAGAATTTTCGTTTTACTTCCTGAAAGGGCTGAGAGGCTTCCCACGACTTCATAATCAGAGATTTTCAAAAAACCAAAAAAATTAATTATGTAAACCAAAAAAACATGTTGTAAGAGACTTTTTGAACTGAGAAACTGGTTTCGTGCTTGAGATTCGAGACGCAATCATAACCCTGCCGCCATCATCGAATGGTTCTCCACCTGAGGACGAGAAAGAAATGACCGCAGTGGTTTCGGTTCAATTGTTGTTCATGCAAATTTTGCCTCGTTGGCGTCCGCGAAATTGCCGTTTCTCTATCTTTTTTTTACAGCAGGCGATCTTTTTCTTCTTTTTTTCGTGCTCGTGTGATTTTTAATCTTTGTTGGCGTTTTGGAACCCACGTAGTTTCTATTTCATGCAAGTAAGTTTTTTTTTTCGAAGTACATTCAAAACCGTACGTCTTTATTTTTGTCTCTAGCGATAGTTAATATGTGTAAAAAAAAAAGCTTGCCAGGTTTTCAGAAGCTTTATGTCTGAAAGCCTATGGTTTTTGATCAAACAACAGAAATTTTGTAATTTTCGAATTTCGGTGCTATTATCTACTCAACGATATTTTTTTTAAACTGGATGAAGTTTATAAATATTTTCGAAGTCGGTCTGAAAGTTTTTTTTCCGACCTTGTGAGCTCTTTTTTTTCAAAGCCGTGCCATAAAAGTTAAAACCGGCAAATAATATCATTTCAAAAGATCTGGGAATGAAAATTTTGGCAGGAAGCAAAAAAATTCGTCAGCTAAGTAACATTGACCTTTGATTGGACTCCCAACAATTTTCTTGAAACAAGGTTTAAGACGGCAAAGAAGCAATAAAATCAAAAATGAGAGACTATTGCCACTTTTGCTCGACGGTTTCAAATTACGTGGGCGTTTCGTGGCAGAGAGGGTTGGAGAAGGCAAAAACCGAGGGTCTCGATGTTTGAGTTGTGATGTCACCGGCTGCAATGTCTCCACGGCAAACCATACAGTCTTGAAATACTTTTCTTTACTTTCAAGAACTTTTAAGATGGGCTCAAAGATTGCTGCAGAATTCGGAGTTTCTTTGAACTGATCCACAATTCTTTTTTTTCGATTGCTTTTCTTTTTTTCAGAGTTCTTCAAAGAGAGGAGAGGTGCAAAAGCTTGGAAGCATTGTTTTGAAAAATTTGATACCTTTGTCATAACAGACTAAAAATTCCGATAAACATTCTGTGGTTTTCTGAATGGTAGGCTAATTGTCCTAATGACTGAAAATACTCCATTTCGAATTCAAAAAAAGTTTGTCCAATTCCTATCCCTCTTCTTTGGATAAGCGTGTTTCCTCAAGGAAAGAGTGACAGCGAAACGAACTTTATTTGCATCTGCGCCGCAGTTTCCTTTTCTCTTTTTTTTTGTTGTCGCCATGTAACCGAGTTCATCGATAAGAGCCGACAAAACCGTTCTTCCGTGACTCATATCACGATAGCGACCTGTAATTATCATTCAGGTGTTTCCGGCAAGGTGTTTCTTCAAGCTCTACAAATTTCTTTACTTTTGACATTTTTATTTCTCTCGTTTCAATCGATCCACAAAAGAAGAAAAGTATTTCCCACTTTTTCATGATGTAAATGAATCAACCCAAGCTTATCTACCATATTTATTATGAATATCGCGATGACTCATTCCCAGTTTTAATTTCCTCTTATATGCATATATTGCTAATCCAACCGTTTTTTTTAATCATGCAATAACTGATGCCTATCTGGTTTGTTTTTCATTTTTTCTTAACGATCCGATTTATTTCGCACTTATCTTCTAAAAAGTCCGCGTGAACTTATTCTGTTTCTCTCACACGCGGAAGTTGTATTTCCAAAAAAGTTCTACCTGCTTTATAATCACTTTCAATGGCTGTTTTTTTGTCACTTTTTCTGTTGATCTCGTTCTTCTTTTCATTCCGTGGCAACATCGAAAATCGAAAATTTATCTCAAACCCCAAAAAAAAAGCGTTTTTGAGTTTATCGTTCATCACTTGACCGGAATACTCTTCGAAAATTTCAATCAAAATATTTTATACACATTTAACATGAACGTTGTAAAAATTAAAATCTTAAAGATTGTATCATACGGGGTTGAAAAGATACTCATTAATCATGATCAGAACTAAAAATTCGTTCACCAAACAAAATAAAGCTTTGAAGAGTTCTTATTCAAGCTCAGCCAAGCTTTTGAAAAGATACATAGAAATTTCATAATTTCTCATCACATTGACCTCTTTTGTAAAAATCGAGTTTCGTCCAAAAATGGCATGGGTTATTTTTTTTAATAATTTTTTTCGAATTCTTGAAAAAATTGACATACACACTCTGACCAATTAATAATGTCAAAGCAGCAACAAAGTCACTTTTATCAACTAAAATCAGCGGCTATAGAAATGACAAATATTGACAGGAGACGCCAAAAACGGCGCCTTTTCGGTAACGCAAACAATTTTAACACACTTTCCTTAACAAGCTCATTTTGTTGAGTCAGAGATATAAATGGTAAAAGCCGGAAATGGGCTTTCCCGAGAACAAAAATTCAATCAAAAAGTGTAGGAGAACATGTTGAAAAAATTTGCGAGTCTGATTCGATTGCATAAATTAATAAAGAAGGCGGAAGAATATTTTTGGGAGAATGTTTCGTTCATTTCGGTCTCTATTTCACGACCAAAACCATAATTTCTTTCATAATGTGGAAATTTTGGAGGATCTTTGCTATCGGCTTGTTTTTCTTGTGCTCAAATGTATAATCCTTAATAGCCCACGCTCACGTAAGCTTTAAAAAGCTATTAACTTATTAATTTTGCAATTTTTTAGCCCACTTGTGGGATTCAAAAAGGATTTCTCTATAGCAGATTTTCAGGATCAAGAAATGCGTGGTAAATTCATTATACTACAGAGAGCTCACATATTTTTTGCGAAAGAGCAATATTTAAGGAATCTCCGCATCGAAGAGCATTGAGCTTCGCGTCTTTTCCGGCCAGAAATTGGTCTTTTTGCGTTCGATCAACTAGAACTCGATAGGAGTATCTATCCAGTTTTCTCTGCAATAATTTTTTAAATTCAGGAAAAATAGTTTCAAAACGGGTTTACACAAGTTTCCATGTAATTTCTTATTGTTGGTGTAGATATTCCAAACTTTTCTCAATTTTTTGAAAATTCGAAAATTTGTGGAGCAAACTTTCTTGTTAATAATGTTTCCAGTTTCTTGAATAAATAAACTTGATAAATCCTGGCCACTTAAATATTCGTTTTTTTCTCAATGTGGTTTTGTTTGAAAACGGATAGACACACTTTAATTAAAGGGTTTCAAAAGTTCGATCGCGTTTCTCACGCCATCCAAATGTTATTGAAAATTTGTCTTTGAGAAACAAAGGCGCTCGTTTCTTGGTTTTTTTATTTTCGTCTTAGTTTTGCGTGGGCAAGGATTTGATTCTAATCTTTCGGCGTTTTATATCAATCACATCAGACATTTCGTCTGAAATCTTTAACATCATTTCATTTTTCTTTTCAGAAGTTTGGCTTTTTTCTCCTCCTTTCCAATTAAATCTTAAAAAGTTAAAAAAAAAGCTAAATTATATTTTTCTTTTTGCATCTAAAAATTTAAAAAAAGTTCGGCCACCTGTAGAATTGAAAAAAATTATTGAATATGCGAATATTTTGAGTTATTCAAATAATGGTTAAACTGAATAATTTCCGGTCGAAATAAGCATAAAATTTTTCCAAGTAAATCTTTTGGCCCATTTTTTTCAAGACCTGGAGTGGGAATATATTGATTTTTTTACCTTTTTCGATGGTTTTTGAGTAATCCGAACTTGTTCCCTGTTAGTTTTGAAGCGCATGGGCGGGCGGATTCCCTCGCATAACTTTATGACAAAAATCAAGCCCTTATGAATTTAGCGGTACGAAAAAGTTTGAATAATTGAAGAAATGTCCTTTCCAACAACCTGAAGCTGTCCGGATCTGGACTATTTTTGAAGTTCTCATTCTTCGATCTTGAATGATTTCTGTTCTTTCAATTGTCTTATGTAACGTTTTTTCAAATTTTTTGAAATTTTTTCAATTTTTCCAGCTCTCACAAGATTAATGGATTCGTTTCAGAAACGGAAACTGCAAGATCAATGTCCCTACAAGTGCCTGGCATGAAGTCTCGTGCAGGCCCCGGATTGCTCAAACCCAACTCAAAGCCTTTTCTTTCCCTCTCGGATCATGGATGCCTGAAAACTCCAACGATGAGCGACTTGCTCAAAACGCCCACGGTTCTCACGTCACCCAAAAAAGCTCCATTGACTATCGATGGGACTCCGAGGATCCATCACTTCAGTGGATTCACCCCTCACACCCACCAAGCTTTCTTCGGAGATCATGAGCCGCTTCTTTCAGGTTTTCTAAACCGTTTGATATTCAAAAATTTCAATATTATAGGCAACATCGAGATCCAGTCTATCTCTCATTCTTCCGGCGTGAGTAGTACAGATGGTGAGAACATTCTCAATAAGTTGTTGACATTTATGAAAAAAAGAAAGAAAAAAATTTATTATTTTTTTAGAGTCTATTCTCTTTGAACGTAATGGGTTGAATCTCAAGTGTTAATAAAACAGAAAAATTTACAGCTCTTCCTAATCCTCTCGAGAGGATAAATTTACAAAATGCTGAATGATATCTATGGTGAAATCCGGAAAACTCGTTTTTTGTAAAAATTTATTTGATTCTCTGTCCTAAAAATTCGTTTTCTAATATAGCTCGTTTTTCTTGACTTTAAAATGCGGACTTTTCTGCGCCCTCCTTGTCTCTCGGCGGCTCTCTCATCTTGAAGTTCTTATTTCGCGCTTCTCTGACCTCACCGCTGAGGGAACAGGGAAACGCAGACAGTCGAAATTTTCAACTTCTGTTGGGCAAACCATCTCAAATTTATACTATTCACCTTGACGAACTTGAACTAAATTCTCATAAAAAAATTATCATTTTGACGTCAGTTTCCTCAGAATTCTGAACGAAAAAAATTTGATTCTCTGCAATGTAATTCACACGCATTCGACTTTTTAAGGTTTCTAAGTTTGTAAAATAGAAAAAGAAAAATGCTCGATAGTCCTCTTTATTACTCATTTTTCATGTTTTCTAGGCTCTATCAAAACATATTCGAATTATCTTTTCAGGCTCATTAAGTACAAATGGCTCGGAAAACGGCGGCAAGTCAGATACGACGACCATCCAATTCAAAGGAACAATAACTGCCAGCATGCCGGTCAACCTCACGACTTCTTCAAACTCACCTGGTATGATTTTACATATAATCTCTTCTTGAATTTCCCATAAACTCTTCAAAAAATACATTCAGACAAATCTCCTGGTCTGACGGCTACGATGTTCCAATTCTCACCAATGGTTGAACATTTTCTCCAGTCCTTGACTAAGGTTTCAGTGGAGGGAATTAGATGAATTTATTTTTTTTTCAGGGAAATGGTCTGCCGGAACTCACCGTTGTTGATGCCAAAACTCCTGGAGGCAGAAACGAGTCGAATGATTTGATGAAGGTTTTGTGATTGAGATTGGAACTCGAGAAATTATCCTTTTAGGCAATGCGCATCCCCGCTGAAATAAGGGTTGAAGACACTTCTGCTCAAGAGCGGAAGCCTCAAGTGGCGCCTCAAGTGACGGTAATTTATAAAATTTGTAAGATAAATACGAATTTTGAAGAATCAAAAATAAAACTTATTCAAGCGCTATTGATAATAAATCTCTTTGGACAAAGTAAAAAGAGATTTTTATCCTGCCAAACTGATTTTTCAAGAGCTGTCCCACATTTTTTTCATCCATTTACAATGGAAGATTCTAGGGTTTTCTGAACAACGACAGTCCTCCAAGTCTAGAACCTCACTATGGCCAACTTCTTCCTTCTTACAATGATATCAATTACAAGTGAGGATTGAAGAAGTGTTTGAAAATTTGTATTTTTTCTAGCGATCCCGGCATTTTTGAGACAAAGTCGGAACCTATCGATGACTACACTTACAATCCTCAGCAGCCCATTTTCCCTCATCAAACCTCAGGTCTGTGAATATTGAATTATCAGTTCTAGAATGGGATTTAGAAGAAAACGACTACGTCTTATTCGATTTGCAATCAACTTCCGCGGAAGCCAGAACCAGAGCTCCACGTGGTCACTACGCTAATCTCAAAGCCACGAAGAACAATACACAAAGCTGCAATGAAGTTAGTCGCTCTGAATTTCATTAAATGATTTATTAAATCAAAAGAGTGTTCCCAACGGAAGTTTAAATTTTTTAGCTCTTCAATGAAAAAGCATAATTACTTTTCCAAACTACAGTTTATGAGAACATTTTGAATTCGAAACCAACGCTTTCTTTATCTATGAAAATAAAAATGTTTCAGTCGCCGAATCCAGATCGTCCTTACAAATGCCCCCGGACCGGTTGTGAGAAGAAATTTTCTCGAAGTGATGAACTCACGCGTCATCTGCGAATCCACACCGGTCATAAACCATTCCAGGTTTACAGTTTCGCATTTTTTTGCGAACTAGAAGCTTTTCAGAATATGAAACATCTTAACCAAAAATTATTTATTTTTGCTTATTAGTCATAGATAATTGAATAGCGGTGAACAAAAATTCTCCGAGCTATAACTAAAAAAAGAACAGCCGTCTTCGGCGAACTAGACGTCTAAAGGCGAAGTTGATCAAGTTGAAAACATGGTCGAACAGTCCTTAGCCTTTTTTTGGTCCGTGGTTCATCCAGTTGTGCCTTGATGAACTCAGAAACTAACGAATCTTGTGCTGGAGTCCTTCGAAATAAGAGCAGCCAATTCAAATTAAAACTTCAAACCTTTCAAGAAGAAGTTGAATGAGATTATTGATCAATATTTCAGTGTCGCATTTGTATGAGAGCCTTCTCTCGGTCGGATCATCTGACGACCCACGTAAGGACTCATACGGGTGAGAAGCCGTTCACCTGCGATGTTTGCGGCCGCAGATTCGCCCGTAGCGACGAACGCAAGCGTCACACCAAAGTTCACAAAGTTAGTTTCATTTCGGATAGAATTATTTGTATCATATGCCGTATAATTCCGCCTTCAGTTTTAGAAACACGAAGGCAGGTCGAAGATTGCTCAGTCCAGCTCTGCCTTAAACTAATTTTGCATAACTGATATTTATTTGTATTTTTGCTGTGATTATTTGCCTCCTTTCATGATATCAAATTCATCAGTTTATCGCTTCCGCTCTATGGGATTAGTCTTCTTATTAGAACAAGAACGGTTAACTACTCGGTATCTTGGATCCTTTTGATGTGCTTCTGCAATAACTTTGCCACTTTTTTTGTATCTTCTTTTTTCACGATTGTCCAATTTGGTCCTTCAAGCATATATCAACGGCATATTTATTTTATAATGCATTTTTTTTTGTATAAATGAACTTCAAAGAACGATGAAAACGAAGGTTAACTGAGGTTTTTAAGAAAATTCCGTGTAAAATCTTCACTCGAAATGGTCGCTCTCATTCTGAGGCTTCCACCTAGAGCACGGTTTCCGGGCTCCAGCTACACCATCCACTACATTCTGAGCTCGTCAAGGCGCAACTGAACGGACTACGCGCCGAAGATCGAGGCGAAGGACCGTACGACTATGCTTTCAACTTGATCAACTACACGTTTGGACTTCTATTTTGCCAAAGGCGGTTGTCCGCTATAGCTTTTGAAGTTCTTGTTCACCGCCTAGTCGATTACATCAGACTGAAACAACAAAATAAATGATTTGATTTGAAAAGAACGAAAATATTAGAATAAACTTGACTACCTCGGCCAAAAGCGCAGGAATCGGTTTTTGTAGAATTTCGACTGAAAAGAGTGTTCGAGAGAAGTTTCAGGCCAAGTCAACATTCAAAGAATCCAGAAGACACTTTTTACAACAAAAAATTAACAGGGAAGATCAGCTATCACAAAGAAAAAGAGACCAACGAATGACTTCTTTATCACATTTTCTTATCATCGATGAGAATTGGATATTGATTGCACGTCTTTGATAGCTCAAATGTCTTTTGATTCCGAGAGCAGCATTTATTCTGAAGATGAATCCAATCTCCAACGCATTGTTCTCCATGTTTATGATGATGAATCTAAGGAATTCGCTTCTCTTACTACTTATCATGGCATGGTTCGTTGCAAGGGAGATAATCATGATTTCCAGCTGGTTTCTGCAAATTTCAGATTCGAATATATACTTCTCAAACCTGGCCTTCGCGAATTTTTTGGTGTTTTGTTGTTGTCACATGTTTGACACTGTTCATGGTGCAGGTACGATTTTTTTCAGAAAAATAAATTTAGAATGAAAAGTTGAACTTTGCACTCACCTCGATTTGAACCATGGCTTGTAACTTTTTTTTTCTACACCGTCTATGTCTTGGTAAAATGAAAAGAGCACGTATTTAAGAGAGATCATGTGGAAAAAATGTCAAATAGCGGCAAATCGAGAATCACAAGTGAAAACGAGTTGAAAAGGCTTATCAAAGTTAATCAAAAATTTTTGGAATTTCTAATTGAACTCCTTTCAGACGGGTACACTCTTACAGTTCTACAGATCACATCCGACAACTTTAGAAAGAAAAGAGATTGATGTTTCTGGAAAATACATTCCTGCTGTTACTATTTGTCCTTTGAGTTTCAAAGCAGATGATAATATACATGGTAAGAAGAAAAATTTTTCTATAAGCTTTCAATAAAAGACAGCCGATTCTTGAACGAGTTGCACTCGGCATTGTTCAGCTCTTGGTACGAAAAAGATGATTTTTTAAATGGAATTCTAACAAATGTCACTGCTTTGTCCACGCGAGAGTTAATCAACACTTATAGGTTTATTTTTTTTTTTTTTTAAATCAAGAAAAACCTTTTTTTATACTTTTTAAAGTTCAAAAAGCTGAAAAAAATTTAGATAAATTTTAACTGTTCTGTTTCAGCTACACTTGCTCAGATTTTTATCACTCGGACGTCTGTAGGAGGCCACTTGTTCAAAAAAACCCGTGCAAAAATTTTTTTAAAAACCGTCGTCAACGAAAACGGCGTTTGTTTCAAAACGAAAGCTTGGGAAAAGTCCCCAACAAAGCCGTTAAAGATTTATTTCAACTCGAAGTTCTCAGGTATTTATGATATTTTTTCAAAATTAAAGCAGTTATTCAGGAAATGGATTGATTAGCGTTCATGGGAAATTCGACGTCCCTGTGAAAAGTTCGAAAACGTTCTGGTTCAAGGCATCAAGATCCACTTTTGCACAAGTTTCTATTAGTGAGGTAGCTCCTTATTTTTTAGAATTAGCTGAACTTGTTTTCCAGCTCACTCAAAATGATTGGGGAACATGTGAGATGGACAATCTGGCAAGAACATTTTATGAACAGGAAATTTGTCAGTTGAGGTGTTTAGTTAGCGCGTATCGTGAGAGGTTAGTCAATTTTCCCCCCTAATCATGCAGACGTTTCTTAAAAATCATTCCATGCAACAACATCTTTTCAGCTGTGGTTGTGTTCCTTCTTTTGCACTTTTTTCTACTCCTTATTGCACATTGAAGGATTTTGTTTCTTGCAAACCAGGTTCAAAACTTTTAATTTTTTTTTCTCGACTTTTTTTTAAAATTCCACACACTTGCGTCTTACAGCAAAAACGAAAAACTGCACTTGTCCCACGGAATGTTATTCCATGATCTACAAAATCACAACTCAATCTTCTCTATTGGCCGTTCAAAAGTATGAATTCAAAGAAATTTCAACATGATTTTGTTTTTGAGCACGACATCTGTTATAATATCACTAGATTTGCCCAAAGTGCGAAGCTACCATCTACTGAAACGCATGAAACAGGTTGACTTAATGAGTTCGTTTTTTGCGGATTTTCTTCAAACGGCGACGGCTTTTTCAGGTTACGTTGGAGGCGTGATGGGACTATTCCTTGGAATGAGTTGCGTAACGCTTCTAGAAGTCTTCATTTATTTGTTCAAAAGTGTTTGGGGGACCTTGAATGATGAAGTATAGAATGGAGTGATCAGAAATTGTCAAATAGGGAATTTTCAGAGGCACAAAACATTTGTCGACGGTCTCATTCCCAATGAACCAGGCGACTTCCGCGCATCACATGAAGAGATCATCATTACTCAGAAAATTCAGCAGTATGTCTTCTACTATTTTCTCACGATGGTGGGATTACTACTGAAATATTGCTCTATTTATGAAAAAAAAAAATTTAAAGACGGGTTTCAAAAAATTTTTCACGCGAAACCTAAAACTTTATTTTCAGAGACCACAAAACAGAACCGACTTCGAATAAGTGAGCTTCTAGAAGTTATTCAATGTAAAATTGAGTTTTTCAGTGATAAAGAACTACCTTCGGAGCACCAGTACGATCATAACAATGAATTAAAGGTTTTTTTCCTTCTTTCAACTTCTTTTCATTTTTTTAGATACTCATAAAACCTTCAATGCCAAGCGGTCGTCGGCAATCAACATACCTCGGCGCTTGTGATTTTTGAAATTTAAATAACACATTCTTGTATAAAACTTTCATTATTAAACAAAAAATATTACAGCTGAAAACTATGTACAGCAAAACAAAAGAAAAAATATACATACAGGCGGGAAAAAAAAAAACAAATCAGAAAATGGGAACTATTGCCTAAAGCGTTTCCTGGGAGGGGAGGAGCTACTATCTCTTGAGTAGGATCGAGATCTTAAATGGCTAGGGAGAGCTATTTTACAACCGTATAAACTCCTTTTGAAAAAAAAATCGATTCCTTGATAACAAAAAAGGATAGAAGCGTTGCATTCATCAATAACTTCGACGCCCGGAATATTTTTGAAGTGATTCATCATTTCGAGCTGGGAGGGGTCGTGGTCTTCTCCTATCGAGAAGCTGATCATCTCGTCGATGTTCAAGTTCCGAGTTTGCCGGCGGGAATTTCGAAGACCAGGATGGGGATGGCTGGCCAACTTCTGCAGAGAAAAAAAAATATTTGCAACTTTTCACAATCCAACCTCTATAAATTTCTGGGAGTTTACTCGGGTGACGTCCCGAAGTTCACATCCGTGGCTGAACACAAGCTGTTTGACTTTGTTCATCGATACGAAGGCGATGATTTCTTTGAAGCTCAATGTTGGAATGACAGCACACCTGAAAAACGGGAGATGATTGAAAAATACAAAAAAAAGATCTCACGTAAGTTTTTGGGCCCGCAAGTTCTCCAGAAAACAGCTGAACGCTCTCGTGAAACCCTTGGTTGCCCTTGGCCCAGCTCTGTCCAAGGTGATGTTGACGGATCCATCGCTGGCCACGAAACTGTAGAAGTGCTGCCAGATACATCGCTGATCAGCGTTAAAGGAGAGCTGCAATCACAAATAAGGACTTTGGCTAATTAAATTATCAATCAAACCTTCTTAACGTAGTTGAACAGGAAGTTACCCGGGATGAACTTCATCATCCGAATGCACGCGGACTGCGAATCGAGCACAAGGTGCCTAGCGTTGTAGTTCGAAATTACATCGTACAGCTTCTCTGCGTTTTCGCGCATATCCAATCGATGCATAGAAATCTAAATAGAAGGGTGGGATTCCACTAGTGTTCTAAAATTTGACCGTTCGACCAATTAGACCGTTCAACTGATTTGACTGTTCAGTTTTCGAACGGTTATAACATGTCATTTTTCTGACCGTTCGTTTGACCGACCGACCATTTTTGAAGTGACATTGCGAACGATCAAAACCAAAACTTCACTCTGAAGTGAGATCTTGAAATGTTGAAAATCCAACCGTTCGACCAATGACCATTTATTATGACATGTTGAAAAAGTATTGGTCGAACGGTCAATTTTTGAAACTATAGTTTTCACCTCATATTTTTCACCATAGGACTTTATCATAAAAGACTTTCACATAGAACTCCAGAATTTTTGTCTTCACTTCAAAATTTTTATTTTTTTCATTATGATATCCGATTTCAAGAAAGTAACCAAAATTTCGATTTTCTGATTTTTTTTTGCTCAGTCCATAAGAAAAAATCTTAAGTGCCCTTACAAATTCACTTCAAAAGCTCTGTTGAAAGAATGATTCATCTAACAATCTATCTCTCAACCGTTATTCAGAATCAAACATTTGAAAACTCTATGAAAAAAAGGAGGGCTGACGATGAAAAAGTTTGTAAATTCAAAGTTTTGGGCAAGAGAAAATGATCGAAAAAATTTGATTCTTGAAATTGCATTTGCTATAGGTTTAAGCAAACCTTTGATGAAAACGAAAAGACTCACTTCATGAAGTTGGTACGAAGTTTCGAAAGGTTGTGGTTGAAAATCCATGTCAATTTCATGGTACTGAGGAGCTCTCAGCCAGACTTTAACCTTGACGCTCCGCTCCAGAAAGTTCCCTCCGAGAAACGTGATCTTCATCGTTTCGACACGAATAACTCTGAACGTAAACATTTAATCGTGAAGAAGAAATTTTTCGAACTTTTTCTTCGAGCACTGTCCAACCAACTGCTTCAATTGGTAGCAGGTGTTCGACAGGTTCCGGGTCGAAGTCGCGTCCAAGTGCTGGCAAACCTTCTCCATGGCGAGGGATGGCAAGTTAAGCATCTTGAAATCTGCAAAAATGAAAAAATCAATAATAACACTGGTCTTGTTTAAAATCGAAATGAAAAGCGTATTCGACATTTTTTGGTTTAATATTTGTTCAGTTATCGGGTTATCAACGTTTTAGGAAAGAGCTCAGAAAAAAAAAAACCAAATTCACTGATAATGAGAATAGCGAGTAGGGAAACCTGGAATTATCAGGAAAATGTTATTTCAAGGAAACAAGTCGGCAATTGTTACGAAATCACGAAAATATCCCTTTCTCGGAAAAAGAAGTTCAGACCAATTTACTAACGATTTTTTCGAGAAACATTGTTCTGTAAAGTTGTCCAGTTTCTTAACTTTTAAAAAAGCTAAAAAATCGATAATTGTAGAAGTTTTAGACTTGCACAAAAAGCAACAGGAGCCTTTTCTCCAATCAAAAAACACTTTTTGATAAAAAGCTGAACAAAAAATGAGCAGTTATATAAACTATAATTCAAAACAAGTATTAAATTAAAAAGGAAGTTTGTATCAATTCAAACATTAGGCGTCCTAAAAAATTTCAAATATTGCGCGTGAAGTACGCAACCACTGCCATGCTCTGCAGAAACATATAAACAAGTTTATTTTTCTGTTTCAGAGCATTGTGTTTATTTTTTCGTTTTATAAGTTTTCTTTTACTTTCGTATCTTTGATTTTCAGAACGATGCGTAAAGACTTCGCTGTGATTGTGCAGCTTGGTTTAGCGTTTGCTTTCATTTTCTCCGCATTCAACTCTCAAGGACTTATTGAGGTCGGTTTTCCTAATTTCTTCGAAGAGGTTCTGATAAAAAATTATGATACCTTTTCAATTTTTGTTCTTTTTCAAAGGTCTTCAATAAATTATGCATATTTCAGCAATTTTTTTCAGATTTCTGTGCTTCGCGGGATTTCGAAAGCCGCGCCTGAAAGTGGAATTACAGAAAAAAGTGGATATTACAGGTATGGAGCATTTTTAAATAAAGACGTTTCAATTCGATTTTAGTTTATCGATAATTTATTTTGTCTTCACCATCTCCAACCTTTTTGTTCCTCCGATCGTACAAGCGCTTGGATCGAAATGGTCACAGGCTAGTTTTTTTTTTCCTTTTTTGAATTTTAAATGAGCGTCAGTTTCAGGTAACCGGAGCCCTTTGTTACCTAGTTTTTATGCTGGCCTTCTTACGTCTTAACGCATTATTGCTTTACGCTGGATCAGCTCTCCTGGGATTTGGCGCCGCTTGTTAGTTAATTTGAATTTTATCGTTTTCTCACCTATCGTGTTTAGTACTGTGGACTGGTAACGGAATGTTCCTCGTTCAATTCTCTCGAAATGGAAAACTGGCCCGGAACTGTGGAGTAATGTGGGCGATGATCCAGTCGTCGTTGATCATTGGCGCCATTTTTCTCATTTTCGTTTTGCGAACTGGGTCAGTTACAGAGTTTAATAGAAGTTCAGGGAAGAACTATAGAACATTCAATGTGAAAAACGAGTTTTTGTAGATTGAAACTTTCGAAGTAAGAGAAATGTTAGAGATCATTTTGATTAAAATCTGAGAAAAGTATTTGGTTGTCTCTATCTTAATATTATCTATTACAGCGACTTAAATTCCGTATATCAATTGATATACACTGCTTTCGCTGTTATAAGCTCTGTCGGGATTCTCGTATTGGCTTGTCTTCCATCCTATCCGCCGGTCTACGGTATGTCCTAACTATTTGATTTTTTTTTTCATCAAATAGCACCTATATAGAGCTGGAAGAAGTGACTTCTGGATCTCAAGAAAATCTGATAGAAGCTGCTGAGAACAGAGAAGACGATGTCTTCATTCGTCGTCAAACTTCCTCTCTTCTCAACGACTTCCGTGAGTTTTGAGATCACAAGGGACCTTTGAAATTCAATTTATTTTATTAAAAAAATGAACGATGATTTTCAGAGAAAAACGTTCCGACTACTTTTTCACAGCTGATATGCTCGTACTTTCTATCACCTTCATGTATACCGGAATCGAAATGACCTTCTACACGGGTATTTTTCTATTTTTAAACACGACTTGAAGCGCCATGAACTTGCAATTTTGCAAATTGGGCTTCTTTTAGAAGTTTGGAGCTGAAATCGAGTTATTTGAATTGAAATATATAATTTATATTTGAACTACGCCGTGACCAACAGTTTGTTTCTTCACGGCTTTGCTTAGTAAGAGTCCAGAGAAAAATAAGGGAATTTAAAAGTTTCGGGACAGCTCAAAGTTGAGCCAAGTTCCTTGCAAAATGGCAAAATTTAAGATGAAATAATTTTTTAGGTGTTTTCACGGCCTGCATCTCGGCCACGACGGCCTTGAGCGGTTACTCGGATTTGATCATCCCTTACAGTGCTTTGGCTATTGGCAGTGGACAGATCATAGGTAAATTATCATTTGAGCTGTTTTAAATGAAAATCTTGACAGGTGGAATGTTGACCGGAACGATCACAAAAACACATAGTATCAGTAAATCTCAGTTCGTTATCTTCGGAATGATCGCTCACATCGTCAGCTTTTTCCTCTGCTTCATCAGCATTCCTTTCGATTCCCCACTTCACAAAAGTAACTCGATGACCTACATCGAGCCAAGGTTTTTCTTTGAGATTTTGATCATTTTATTCGTAAAATTCAGCTTGGCCGTCATCTTGCTGACTGGTTTCCTTCTTGGCTTGGCAGACGCTTTCTGGCAAACGCAAGTGTACGCCGTCATCGGATTGGTCTATGGAGATCATTCTGCCTCCGCTTTTGCCCTCTTCAAGTTCTTCCAGGTTACAAAAATACTTTCTTAACACGCCTCGCAAGAAATTTACGTTTATAGTAAGCATCGCTGAAAGTGAAAAATTGGCGAAAATGAACTTGAATGAAATTAAAAAGTGTATAGCTTTTCAAATCTTAGGAATTTCAGAGCGGTCCCTATAGGGGTTAGGGAGGAAAACAAGCGCTATAAGGGTCGAAAAAGTGGTCTCTATAGAGTTTCAGGGTCTGATCCCTTTGTCCCTAAAGCTCAAGTGGAACCTATAGAAGTCTTCCAATTTAATTCAAAAAAACGCTTATTCATTCATTTTTCCCTTGAAAATGTTTCTTTGTTATAGCTCATAACACTGATCGATTAGCATGTCCTATAGAGAACACTAACTAAAACCCTCATAGGGCCACTTTTGTAAGCTTTAGCGGCCCCTATAGGGGTTGGGGAAGTCTCCAAGGCCCATAAGGTTGCCCTTATAAGGATCAATCTGGAGTTTCTAAGTTCTTTTTCAAAAATTCGTTGAACCTTTTTTCTAGTCTGTTCAGTTTTTAAATGTCAAGTACAATGACGTCATTCAAAAACACTCTATGGATGGCTCGCTCTCTAATTGGTTTATCGCTCCAATAGGGGCGGAGCTTGAGCGACGACTTGACATTCAAAATCTGAACAAACTATAACCACTTTTCAAAATATTTGATTCTGTATCTATGATTTACTCTCCTTTCTTTCTGAACCGATCTTTTTAGCTTTTTGTTTAACATTCCATTTCAGTCCTTTGCGGCTTGCGTATCGTTCTACTACGGATCCCTGCTCTTCCTTCATTGGCAACTTCTGATTCTCGTTGTCACGTGTTTCTGCGCTTCGCTGGCTTTTGTCCAAATCGACCTCAAAACTCGCAGCATTGTGAACAATGAATGAAGTAACCTCAAAGTTTCAAAGTTGAAACTTCGAACATGAATATGTAATAACAGTTTTAATTGTCTATTATTGCATCTGTGAATATTTTTGCCTTTCTATGGGTTAGTTCAACACGGCATAGTTATTTCCGAAGCCTTTTTTTTGATCTGTTGTATTTATTTCTTTTTTTACTGGTTTTCATGGTATCCACTTCTGTTTCATTTATGTTTTTTTCTTATTTTACTTTTTATGGTTTTTTTGAAAATAAGTTAATCATCTTTATTATGATGGATTTTTCATAAAAAAATGGATCATCTTTTTCTGAAGATCAAGTTGAAAGGCAACGTTGTTGATGGAGCTTGAAGCTGTAGAAAAAGTCCAGCCTTTTTTTATTATTCTAGTTTTGAAAACTGGGCATGAATTGAAAATTATGGAGGACTCTCATCACTGAAACAGAAATGTTTTAGACTCCCTTTTTTTAGTTGACAACTTGAACGGTCACGGTTTTTGTTTCAAGTTTCTTTGAGAGTGTAGACTTTTTGATTGAATTTTTTTGAGAACAATAATCAAAAAATCTAAGCTTGCCCACACTTCTGGTTTTTTTGAGGTATAAAAAAACTCAAATTTTTCAAAAAAACCCTTTTTTTCATGAATTTTTGATAGTTTTCATCAACTTTAATACCCCCTTCTCCCCCACTAACTAGGGAGCTGCGCAGAAATTATCAGGATATCCATCGGTTACAACAATGAATTCATGTCCAAAATCGAGCAAACTCCTAATAGCTGTAAAATCAAATGTCTTCCTCATCAGCAGGTTGAGATTTTCCAGAACTCGGGGAAAATTTGCATGCCATCTGAGTAAACGGTCGCGTAACGTGAATGACGACTGTCAGCTCCAAGATGGAATGTTTACACGCGAGCCAAGTGACGGACGCAATCGGGTCATTGAGGTACGTGTTCCAATCGTTGCACAATGCCCAGATCAGGTTGCCTTGTCGCTTTGGTGCTTGATAGGTTCTTTCTTTCGGAAAAAGTGTTTCACTTCCCTTAGATAATCGATTACTATTCGAAAAAGGTATGTTTCATTTGGACCACAAAATATTTGGATGAAAAAATGTTCCATTCACGAACGCTCTCGTTCTTGATCAAAACTGAAGGCTTGAGCACACCGGAAATATGGTAGAGTTCCTAGAAAATACAGTGCTTTCTGAAACACACCAGAACTGATTTTGGCAAAACTTGGGGAGTTCTGAGCACAAAACTTGTTTTAGATGATTTTTTTCATTTCAATACCTTTTTCTCTCAAGCGGTGCCCAAATTGACAACAATCAAAGCTATTTTCAAATTGTCGCAGTTGGGGGCCTATGTTTCATCGCTTCTGAAGAAAAAAAACTTCAAAACCCACTCGAACTAGATTCTTTCAAGAAGTCTCCGAAAACTTGGATATGACGAATGCAATATTATCCGATTGGTTTCTTCATCTTTTGCATTCAAACGCCATATGGACCGGAAACGAGTCGCTCAAAATGTAAACAGTTGAATTCCGCAAGCAATCAAAATCGAGAGCCACTTTTAACAAGTTTATTCATCCTCAAGCCGAAAATTCATGGCGAATAATTTATTTGTGCAAGTTTGATACAGTAACGAATGAATGACGTTTGGCATAGATTTGAAACAGTGAATCTGACTAAGTTCGCATGTTTCAGGAAGAGCATTCAAACCAAAACAGATCTGGAACCTATGAACATGACACATGCTTAGGTTCTGATGAATCAGTCAATGGAAGCGTTCGGGGAAAATGAGTTGGTACTGTTGGAATCGCTCGATTTGCTCAAATCCAAAGCGTTGGGTATCGGGAATTGCAACATCCATGGAAACATTCCCATCGGAGGTCGCTGAAAATGTTTATGTTTATTATTGCCGCTCTATTCGAACAGTACCTGCAACAGCGTTTCCATGGAGAATGATGGTTTGGGAGTTTGAATTTCTGTTGGCTGAAGATGCTCAGGGAGAATCATTGCGTTTTCTTTTTTGATTGGAAAAATCTAAAAAAAATAATTGTGAGTTCAGAAAGTTTCCCACCTTGTAAGCAGCTTGATTTTTGACTTTTCTCATGCTGGCCAAATGTTCAATCGCTTGTAACACGTTGCCATTGCATGCTAAAATTTGCCCCTCATTTCTTTGAACCTATTTTTTGATGAAACCTTCTAAAATGATGGACAGTACGTGTTTGTCTTGCTCTTCAAAAAGTATTGTGAGCAATTCGATGGGACTGAAGTTTCCAAGACGGCAATCCTCAAATTGATTTTTCCGTTTGTAACATTTTTTGAAGTTGATGATACCTCGTCGTCTTTCTTTTTCTTGGTTGGAACTGCCTCTTCTGACGTGGGAGTTATTGACTTCTCTTCTTAATTTGAATAGAGCTTTCAAATGGAAGGAAAACAGAAGTTTACCTTCTTCTTCGTCATCTTCCTCTTCTTCTCCGGTATTCCAAACTGGCCCTTGAGGCAATCTGTCCAAGGTCTGTCCGGCAACAACTCTGAACATTAATTCTTAATCGAGAGAAAGAGATTTTCCTTACCTGAGCCCTAGAGCAATAGCATCTTCCGTGGCTTGTTTCCTTTTGAGAGCCACTTGCGCAGCCATAACTCGTTGTCTTTCGGCGATCAGATTGCACTTCTCGCAGGCGCATTCCCTTAATAAGCTGCCCTCTATTTCCGGTCTTCGCTCGCTTTTCCAAGGATACAATTCACTTCTATCGAGTTTCAGAATGTGCCCACTCTCGAGAGATTTTCCCGGCGGCGCTCTCACAAGTTGGCGGTATCACGACAAGGACATTTTTGTGTTAGGCTTGTTTGGGCTTCACACTGCGGTCTCAGCCTTGAGGGCTTCAAGTGTGTTTGCCGCTTGGATTACCGTAATCCTCGCGACGATCGTGCTGCGTGCAACACTATCTGCCTGTTGAAGGACTGCGATAATCCGCGAGTTTTGTACACATTACCCAAGAGAAGGCAGCATCAAATAGGATTAGGACAATAAGTTTTTGATTCGTTGCGTAACTTTTGACTTTTGAAAGAATTTTCGGTCGGTTTTGCTTAGAATAGAGAGCTGTTATAAAAAAGGCTGAGATGAAAGAAATCAAAATGCTGCTGTGAAAAATTTAAAAGAACGTCAAATATGAATAACTTGAACTTGAAGGTTTGAAAAATTTCAGAACTTTATTCAGAAAACAGTTACAATATATCGAGACGGATTCATTTTTGATATCCGTCGGTGTAATTGATTTTTTTTTTGAGGTTTTTTTCCGAAAGTGTAAATCAGGCTTGAAGGAAAGTTTACATCACACCAGTCATTCATCGAACCGACTTTTAGTTTTTTACCTATAATGAAAATTCCCTCACCTGAATTTGCAGTGACGTTTGTGACCCTTCAACCAACTAACGATACCATGATTACGGCATCTGTAATAGAGAATCAAATCAAAATAATAAATAAATCTGGCAAATACCTGGCACACTTTGGTTTTCTCTCGCGTTCCATGCGACCTCCGGAAAACATTGGAAAAGTACTGAGCATCATAATAACCTGAAAATGGGGCGAGGGTTCAAAAAAAGATTTTGAATTGAATGGATAGGTTAGACTTGGACAATGATGGTCAGTACAAACGTAATATGAGAAATTGTAGGTTTATCGTTTTCATAACAGTAACGAAACTTGAGGCTTTTTCATTATTCATAAAATAATTGTGAAAAAAAGAAAAAAAAAAGCAAATCTTTCACGGAAACGATTGAAATTAGAATTTTTCTGGTTTCGAGACTCAGAAAACCGTTGTTATGACTTCATTACAGAAAAAAACTTTTTTCTCGCTCCCAGTTTAAACTAACGAATCTCTCCGTGAATAGAGACAATTATCAGTTATTAACTAGAAGTGAAACAAAACAAATGAGCTACAGTGAAAACGGGAAGGGCGGAGCTGGCGGCGGCGATTCGAGCAAGACAAGTGGGCGGTCCGGGACTCGCATATCTTTTCCGGCGATTGTATAGAGTTGCACTCCTTTCTTTGTTTATTCTACGAATTTCACCGGAAATCAGCAATTACTGCAAATGTGGCTCGAGACACTTTCCACATGTCGATGTTTATAACAAAAAAAGACATCTTATGACTTTTTTTATGAGAAGAAAAAAACTTCACGGTTTCAATTGAAAGGCAAAAAATCATTCAAATCTTGCTCACGTAGATTAAGGTTCATATGGTTTCCTGTAGTCTAAACGAATGATTTTCGAACAAAAAAAACAGTTTCTGATCGGAACTAAATAGTAAAATTCCGGGAAGTTTTCAAAAATGGGCCATCCTTGGATGTACTACAAATGATTCCCAAAATCTTATCAACAGAAAAATTTTTAATGGTTTGGTCAATAAGCACTTGATAATTGATTGTGACAGTTCGCTTTTTCTTCAAAACGTAGGAAGTCCTGCAAATTGAAAAAGTCTCTCTTTTGCACTTCAATAAGGTTCCTGATTGTTTTCTGCAAGCTCAAATGGAAGGAAAATGTAATAAACCATTTCGAATGAAGACAATAAATCCTGATAGAAAATAAAAGAAGAAAGACATCGATTGATAGCATTAAATTACCCATTTGAAACATTCACGCCTGAGATGTTTTATTACAGAAGGTTAAGAGCGTTTACGGCTTTGTTTTTGGAGTGATACTTCAAAACCTTAATGTAAAAGTTTACTGGTTGCAAAAATAGGCTTTGTTCGCGGTGGGATATTCGATGAACGGTTTTGATTTCAAAAAATTCAAATCCTTGCAATATTCCGGGCAGTCTTCCTGAAGCTATTTTGGAAGCTTTCAACCGGATTCTATGTGTCAATGAATTTATAAAACGTCAAAAAAGGCTTGGGTCAAAGAAAATTTCGTATTTCAAATATTATCCTTGCTTGACTTTTGAACGTTCTGATCGATGAAAAATGTTCCGGCTGGATGATTGCCAAAAATTATATTTGTAATTCGGAAATTTCGTTTCCGTCTTTTTTTTCTAACATTAGTGAACTTCATTCTTGTGGAACAAAGATCTTCGAAAAGAAAAAAAATTATCGAAAAAATGCTTTTATGGAGTAATTCTATCAGAACTAGAAGACATGAAAAAAAGATTATCAAGAAGTTTAGACCTTCAAGCTTGGCTCATCGCCTAAATCAAGCCAGGAGAACTACCATACAAAGACGGAGAAGCTGAGGACGAGTGTGGCCAGCCGAAGTTGGCGGCAAGGAGAGAGAGTCGGTCGACTACTGTAGCTTGTGTGCTTTCCCATGCATCTCGAAGCCTCATTCTCATGCCAGCCGATACAAACAAAGGTGTCTAAATAAAGAATATGCTTTCGCACCTCGATTTCCTTCTTGAGCTTTCCGCAAGAGAAAATTTGCCGTTTTCGGTATGTTTGTGTTTGATAAAACTCCAGTCGTACCTGGGAGCCGCATGATTGAGGGAGCTGAAGCTTCATAATCGAATAAGTACACGATAAAAGGAAAATGTTAGTGCATGGTTTCTTTCAATTTATTGATATTTTCTGAAATTCGGGAAGCTGAAAAGCCTAAATCGTTTACAATGCAGTAAAAATGTCAAGCCTCGTTTATTCCACTTCTATCATAAACGGTTTTTTTCAGGAGGCTCTACATTTTTAACCTGTTATGAATAAATGGAGCACAACTTCTATACGGCTTTATAACGGCTTCATGAGAAAACCGTTTGAAAAAAAAGCTAAAGAGAAAATGGCGGCATGGCTCCTGAAATCAACGAAGTTTCCCATGAACAAGGAAAGTATCTTGATCATCGCTGTTGACAACGATAAAAAGATCTCCCGTTTTGAGTTTTCACAGACCGTAAAAAGCATAGATGTTGCGCCAAATATTGCGTCTCCTTTTTGAAACCCCGCGGCGACAGGAAATCGCAATTGTTCTCTTTCTGATCAAGGATGTACTGCAGAAACCGCTTCTTTTCAAAAAATCTGGAGGAAGCAGAGAAAACTGCGCGGGTCACCTAGATTCGAATGAAAAACCTCAATCCTTAAATACAAAATCTCCACAGTAAGAATCGATTCCATTCAGACAGCTCTGAAAACATATTGTTTTTATTCTGTTTTTATGAAATTTTGAACAACCAAGCTGATAAAATTGACATTATTCGAATAACAATGACAAAATTTGATGGAACTTGGCTTTTTTTTTCACTGCAGCCCAACGGTGTTCACGAGTAAATATTCCGAAAGTCACTAATCTACTCTCGTAATTTCTTATTCAACAATTTTAGCCTCACTCATTAAGGAAAGCAAATTTGTTTCTCACACGGTTTTTTTTTTCAATTAAGACAGCATAGGATCCAGGATATTGCTACAAATCGAGAAGATCGGCTGAAAATTTTATAATTTTCAGAGTGTAGTCTTAAAAAAAGTTTTTTTAATCTTTTAAGTTTAAAAGGGCTCAGAAAAAGCTGATGTCTTATTAAACTTTGATTTTTCATTTCGAATGTCGTTTTTTTCAATAGTCTCGCATTATTAAACTACAAAAAATTTGACTTAAAAAAACTTTTATGTTTCCTTTTTTTGTTCCTTTGAATGAATGGTTTCCGAATAAGACAGTTATTGATTTATTAGTTTTACCTGTACTCCCTAAGTGTTCAAATCAACTTTTACTGTAATCTGCATTCGGTGATCCGCTCGTGGATAAAATATAGTCAAAAGTTTTTCACAACAATTTTAGAAAGTCTTGAACTGTAGAATATTCTTCAGTTTAGTTCACTCAGAAACTCAGAAAGAAATTTAGAGTTCTGTTCAAATTAAGAAACTTAATTTTCTGTGGATTCAATAAAAATTAGTTCAAGATAGCAAATCCAGAAAAAAATTCTTGTTGAAAAATTTAATAAAAAAATTTCAGATCTATGACCTGAAATTTTTGGTTTTCGAAAGCTGGACTACTGGTTTTTTTTTGAGTTTTTTCAATTTCAGAGAGCCAAGTCTTCTTCCTTTCCTTCCTATTTTTTGCAACTGTGTAAGACGACCGTCAAAAAAAGTCAAAACAACCATGTTTTGATGCGCGACACTGTCATTAGAAAGTTCCCGTTTGACAGTTTCTGAGCAATATTTATTCTTGAAAACAGGTCAAGAACCAGTTTATTGCCAGCGGGATGAAATTAACCCCAACGGTGCCAAGTTGTTCGACGGTTTGCCTTTGTTGAAGTGCAGTCGGGACTCAATTAGCCGCCACTTGACGTAATTGGAGCCCGTTGCAGTTCAATCAACCTTGAATAAAGAGGGTCTTCACGCCTTCACCGTACTCTTATCCGAGCGCTCCTTTTCCGCCTTATTTCCCATATTGTTCTTACCGCGTCTTATTATTTCTTTGTCATAAAATAACAAAGTCCTTTCTTGATGTGCGTTCATTTTTGGCAGTTACATCTCTCCCTTAAAGCTTTTGGATTTTTCTTCGCTAGTAGTGTTTGAATTTCAAACGAAAAATAAAAACGAAAAATAAAAATCAAAAATTATCTTTTTCTGTCATAAAAAATCCGAAATCTCGCCTACAATGTACCTTATCGCAAGCAAAAAATAAGAAAAAATGCATACAATAAAAGATAAAAATACCGTACCGTAGCATTATCAAATTTTTTCGAATTCAAAAAACTTGTCTGACCAAAAATTAAAGATTTCGACGGAAATCCAATTCACTGTTTCAACCCTTAAAAAAGCTGTAAGGCTCTTATGATTGTAGATTCACTCACTGAATTTCACTAAAAGCCTTTCAAAATGTTACAAAAATCGTTTTAGGGTGAATAACAAGGAAAATCAGTACATTAGAACTTCGAATAATCAGTCCCAAAAAAAATTTTGTGTGAGCTGACTTTTTCATATTTATTATGTCATAGGCAATGTCGGAAGGACCCTTTTACGGGCCCTTCAAGCGTCCGTTACAGGTGTAAAAGGCTAACATTAATAATTCCTGTAGCAGCCTTTTTCTTTTTAACAACCTTCATCCACTCTTTTTGGGCCTTTTTGTGTTAAACAGAATTTTTTAAATTGAGAATTTACCAGTGACTGTGTAAGCACCAAAAAAAAAAGCTACAGTGATAAAATCGGAAGTTATGACCGATACTTTTAGCACCCTTTTTGCACCCTCCCTCTTTCTTCATCTTCTTTGCGGCTTCTCCCTTTTTTCATCCTTTTTTTTAGCCCACTAAGAACGAGAGGCTTAATAAAGGTTGCAAAAGGTTATCTTTTTAGCGGTCTTTTCACAGTAACTCTGTTTTTGCACCCGTTTTCTGCACTTCCGACTTTGGCAGAGGTGTGTCAAGAGCACCGTTAACACGGAAGAAGTGAGCATATTCACTTAAATCAAGCTGTTTCCTGCGTTCTATATCTTTCTTTGATTCAATGAAAAGCCATCATCTTTTCCAGTGAACACCCGCGAAGTTCAGCTTAATCCGAGTGATCGGCTTCAATTTTCCGCGAGCCTTTTTGGTGCGCAACTCGTTCGACGCATTGTGTCCAGTCTCCTCTATTTTTTGTTTGCTGTAGTAAACCTACTTTCCGCTAAAAACCTGCATCTTTTTCTTGTCCCTATTTGCTCGGATTTTCTCTTCGCTTTCAAATAAATAATGAGTCTTGCAATTTTGAGTCAAAAGCACATCGGAGAGCAATTATCTTTGAGCTGAGACTCTGAGACGTTCGTAAAAAACTCGTTCTTTACATAAAACTTTTTGAAATGCATAACTCCTGTTTTTTTTCAATTGTAGTTGTTGCAAATAAGTACTCTGAAGGTCGTAATATTGAACACAGCGAAAACTTTCCGATAAACTATATGCGTAACTTTTCTCCAACTTTTTCTTTCTATGTCAAGAAAGATTTTTTTTTTCTCAACGAAAAATCAGCGAAGTTCACACTGATCGAGGTTCCATCCAGACCTTTGACTTTTTTTTACAATAGGTTTTAAAATTTTCGAAGTTGTGAATTTTCTGAAAATTGGCCAGAAAACTATTTGATGTACCAGATTTCTAGATTCTGCAAGGCTTAACTTGCACAACTTTATGATTTTCAAGAGATAAGGGCCTAAAGTCTCAAAAATATGGAATTTGAGGAGTTTCTTTAACTTTGAGACGTCGTTTCTTGAAAAAGAGAAAGTTTTTCAGGTTGAGACTTTCAGAATCTTAGTCTGGTACATCAAGGAGCGTTCTGGTCAATTTTCAGAAAAAAATTCAACCGCAAAGTAAAAGGACCTCCCTTGTAGATGCCATGAATTATCAAATTCCAATTGCAGTCGGAATAGCTTCCTTTTTAAACAAAAATGGTTCATTTCATAATTGACTGCTCCGGGAGATCAAGTTCTGTGTAACCCCTTGAACAAGGACCTGTGAAGAAGCTCCTTGTTATCGGCTGGCAGGTGGGCAGTTTCACTCGGTCGGTGTTGATATATCAATGGAAAGAGTGGCGAGAGGTCGCTCTCGAGAAGGAGCCGCTGTGTTGACACTAACCGCTGACCGTTCGGCTGTCATCCGTCCCCACAGACGTCTTTATTCTTGGCGAAGCGCTTCTTGATCCGGCTAGGTCGCTGTTCGCTTTTTCTTGTTTTGATGCTCTTTTCTTTTTCTTTCGAGGTTTCGCGGCTAAGATGTGTTTTTTCTTGGTTTCAAAAGAGCGTTGTGGACTTTCACAAAGGTCTTAGATGTTGAAAGATCCATTTGCCTCTTATGATGCAGGTCATTTTTTGGCTCAAGTCTATTTTATTGATTCGTTGTAAAGGTAAAGTGAGCGAAACTGAAAACTTCTTCGAGTTCACTAACGAAAAAGTCTTTTCTGCGGGTTTATTTCAGGTCGAACCTATTTGCTGCGCCTTTAATGACCCTAGCGGTCTTTTCTTAACAGTCTATTCAGACAACTTGTCCTCTTCGTAAGACTTTTTGAATCTTGATTGTTTCATCTAGTAACTTCTTCTCTGCCTCTCTGTCATCGGCCTTTGGAAAGCCGGCACCGTACTTCTTCCTACGACCTCTCTTGTACCTGATGTTCTACGAGCCAAAACTTACAACTTCTTTGCCTAAGCCATAGCTCCTGCCGCCGTTTAAACACAGTTAAATCAATGAAAGTCGATTGCACATGTACTCTTACATTGAAGATGCAATTAACAGTTTTTTTTTAAACAGTAACTTCTTACACTAAATTTTCAAAGTCTATTATTGACTCATCAAACCCTACGGATAGAATTTTCAAACAAATCAAATATATTTTATATAAAACTTTATTGCTTCTCATACAAGTTGACTACTTAATGAACATGTTTTATGACGAACTTTCCTTATTTTCATTTTGAAATTCTTTCTTACGTTTTCTTACGTTTTTTTAATTCAAAAAGACCTTTATGTTCGCAAAATTTACAGATTGACATTGCTTCTCGCTGAATTCTCGAGTGATTTTCAAAACTTCCTATGCGGCTGGTCATTTTTGTGACGTCACTCTTCTCTTTTGTTGGTACGTCAAGTAACGGACATTTTTTGGGCTACGCCGAACATACTCACAAGTGTTTACACTGTCCTAACTCAACTTAGACCCCAAGATCTTGTTGAGTAGCACTTGTTAAGTTTTTTTCTTTTCTTTTTGTAAAAAGTTTCATATTTCAAAATGGCTTTTCTGTACAGCAGAGCCACTTGAAGTAGGTCGAGTGAGCGAAATAGTGGGATGAGTTAGAAATATCAAAAACAAGAAAAACTTTAAAAAAAAAGTTGAGAGCCAAATCCAAGAAATTTTTGAGCTCTAAATGCACATTTTTGTAATTATTCAAGTTGGATGGCTTTCCTTCTTTCCTGATCATTTTTGGCTAGCAAAAAATGAAAGTAAAAGATTTAATGAAAACAAAGTAAATAAAAATAAAGTTTAAAAAAAAAATTTACAGGCACCCAATCTACCGATATTCGTTGCTACGCCTGTACAACAATCGACGCCAACGCAATGCTCAGTGAAATTTCGGATCCTAATTGGCTCCGTTGGCTTGAAAACGTTCGATATGTCCCCTTCAGCCAACAGTGTACTGATTATTTCCAGGTTTCATTTTTTTGTTTAAAACAAAACAAATGCTCAAGATTAGGTTGATATGGCGCTACGAGACGGTGTGAAAAGTACCGAATGTACCAACGGAGTTTGTATGAAGATGATATTCCAAGAGAAGAATGGTGACTTCATTTTTCTTGAAAGAACTATACAAAAATCTTACAGGCGTGAGCCATGTATGGCGCAACTGTATTCCTCAAGCCAAAGAGCAAATTCGGTCGGATTGCACGCGGATCACAAGTGGAGAAGGTTCACTTTTTATTTTTATAGTCGACTCAAAATGCTGAGATTGATGTGAAACTTGTTATTTTCTTATAACTTCGACCTTCTGAAAATTTTCTTAGGTTTTTGGGCCGCCGAAACAAAGTCAATGTTATTAATCTATCAAAACGTCTTTTCTGTTTCAAGTTTCTCACAAACATTGAAAAAAAAGCTGTTTTTGTCGGAAAAAAAACGTGAAACGGTTGTTTGCTGAACGTGTAAATCCTCTCAGCGTCGAAAAGACGTCTAAAACCACAACTTCGACTTTTTCAGGAAATCTTGAAGTTTGCACTTGCGACGGCAACCTGTGTAATTCCGTCAGGACTACAAGCTTCATACTGAGTGTGCTCGCTGCAGTGATACTGGTTTTATAGAATAATTTTCTTGCAAATTTCATCCTTCGCTTCTCAAGCTGGCAATTCGAGAAAAATTCCCGTGATGTAGATTTTTCATTTTTTTTTTTCTCCTCGTTCGCCTAATTAGTACATCAAAAAACACCTTCATTCCTTTTCTCTTTCATACTTCTTTCCGTTTTTCATGCCAAAGGCGCTTCATTTTTTTTCAAAATCCTTACTACATTTTACTACATGGACCTCAGGTAATTGAAATTTTAACGCGAAGCATCTGATTTTGTGTTTTCCATTGAAAATGTTCCGCCAAGGGGCTCTTGCAGCCTTTTACGTGTAACCGATGATTTCAAAGTTTTCACGATAAAGCTTTTTATTGAATTTTTTTTTGTAATGAGGTGATGAAAAAAGGCAATAAAATATTGAGAACACAAGGCAAATGAGATACGGCAACGCTTTGGAGGGAGATTATGACTATTGCGCTAATGAGGTCGCGAGTTTCATCGGAGGAAGACGCTGGAGAACTCGGGCGCCGGACAAAAATCGACGCATTGGCACTTTCGAATGATGTTGACAATTGAGATCCGACTGAATTGGTTGCGATTCTTCATGCTGATGAGTTAGAGGAAACTGACCTGGTTCCATCTTTGCAATGCATTTTGACTCTTCTCTTCTTGGTTTTGACAGCATAACAGCATTCCTTAACAGAAAGTCGGTAATATAAAGCATGGATACGGACAAAATTAAAATCCAGAAAAGCGTAAAAATCACCCCAACCGAAATTTGAATTTAAATGAAAAACCTGCTCACCTCTCCATCCCCACAATATCCACTACATTCAGCATTTTTGATCTCCTCGATTGATCTGCAGTCATTCTCGATGTGAACTTTGCGGAATTTTTCTTTATTGCAAGTTATTTCTCCTAAACAATCTTTTTCTTCAGCATTTGAAAATGAAAAACTAACTCTCTTGACAGGTCTGACCACTGTATCCTTGTTGACATCGACATACGTAGCCGTTTGGTCTTGTAGAATTGTTTTCACAAGATCCGTGGCCGCAGTGAACTCCTTCAAAAAAGATTTGGTATGAAAAAGTCTTATTCAACCTACCAGCGCACAAATCGACTACTCCGGAGCAACCCTCTTCTGTTTTTTCTTTCTCGATGGCGTTTTGAACTTCAATCAGATCGCCGTTTACGTGGATTTGACCGATGCAGCCTGAAAAATGAGGAAATCGGTTTACAGCACTAAATAGACATGCTCAGAAATTTAGTTTCAAAATGATCTGATATCAAAAAAATTTTGATAGAGTTTTTTCAAAAAGGCATCACCATAACTAAAGTTTTAAAAGAATATCGAGACTTCTAGCCTTTTTTTTTGTTTGAGTGAATTCTCAGCGCTACAAAACCCATTGAATCTCACAAACAGATTAAACTAGTCCAACATACCTTTCAGACTATCGTGTTCCTTGATGTGAAAAACTGATTTGGCCCGATTTGCCTGATGTTCAGGAAGGCCTCCCAAGTACAAATACTGTTTAGAATCGATGACCATCTTTTCTTTTTTCCCTCCGTTTTCGACAGTTTGCACAGTCTGATCGTCGATTCTCAGGTGACATTTCTTGCCCTCAAGAAGTAAAGATATGCGATGAGGCATCCCGTCGTTGACTGAAAAAAAGCAATAAGGCTGACGATTTGTAACTCAAAACCCGTAATGTAGCTGTACATGTGGCTTGGAGGGTAATTTCCAATGTAATACGCAATTTTGATGCGGCCGTCGTAAAGTTCAGCCGAAATGAAGTTCTCGTCACCGTAATATGCAATCAAGCCAGATCTAGGAAAATATGTGAGAATTAGTATGTTTGTAGCCTACCTATTTGTGGTCCGGAGGGTGAAGCTGAGATTTCCATTGGCCACGTTCCACGGTTCCAAGGCAATATAAGCGCCTGGCCGATTGAAGCCCACAGAAACTTGCCGGTCACATTTGCTCCCAGCAAAGCCTTCATGGCATTTGCATTCATATTCGTTAGTTTCCTCGTTGTGAACACAAGCTCCCTGTAAATATGAAGAACGAATAAGATTTCCAAGATGGAAAAAACATGGCCGCAGGAGCTAGATTGACATTGAGCCGTGTTAGGGTAAAGAGCGTTGCTTGTAGGCGGAATATCGCAGAACTGTCCAGTGAATCCCATGATGCATTGGCAGGAATATGTCGTGATTCCATCCTATTTTTCGCTGAGTTTTCCGACTCCAAGTGATAAAACAACTCACGATACAGATTCCTCCATTCTTACACATGTGACCGGTGCAATCGTCAATATTGACAGAACAGTTTTGACCTGTGAACCCAGGTAAGCAAGTGCAGCTGGAAGTAATACATATCAGATGTTTTCCGAGAATCCTAACTTGTAGCTATTTTCGGTTTTCTGACATTTTGCCCCGTTTTCACAAGGATTCAGGCCTTTGCTGCAGAGTTCCAGTCTGTTTTCGCAATATTTCCCGCTAAATTCTCTTGGACAATCGCAGCGATATGAGTTTACCTGAAAATATGATCAAATTGTGAAAAATGAGACTTTTACCATATCGATGCATTTGGCTCCGTTTTGGCATTTATTATTGACACAATCATCAATGTTTTCCTCACAGTGATCACCCTTGAAGCCTTTTTGACAGACGCACATGAATCGACCGGCTTGTACAACCTAAAAAAAAGGAGAGAAGCTTGAAAAAAAAAACTTTCTCTTTCTGTTGACTCGAACGCATCGCTATTTTTCTTAGGGGAAAAAAACCATGATGTCATCTTTTTTTAATACTAGTCACTCATTTTTGAAAAAAAACCCATCCTTAAATTCTCACAATAACCAGTAGAGAATGAGTTAATATTCAAAAATAGGTCCCACTAGAAAAAAATAACTGATTGTGGATTATCTTCAAAATTTTCATATCCGAACTGACAAAATTACCTTGCAAGTAGCGTTGTTCATACACGGATGTCCATAACAGGCATCAATTTCTTTCTCGCAGTTTCTTCCGTGGAAGCCAGCAGGACAAGTACATTTGTAACCATTCCCACCGACCCGCTCACAAGTCGCCTTGTTTTTACAGGGTGATTCTACACAAGCGTCACATTTCGCAGTGACATGCTTTGGCACAATGAAATCACATCTGAAAATCAGATCTTATTCGGAATTTTCCGTTTTCTCGTACACGAAAGTTTGAGGATGGGAAGTTAGCAGAAGCTGATTTGCAAGATTGGATGGAGAATCACAACGGGCAATTCCAGCTTCGACGAACTTCAGCTTGATCCAACGAGAGAACCAGGCCATGCGGCAATCGCAGTACAGAGAATTGCTTCCAACCGCACTGTAAACATTTATTATATTTCTAAAACAAAAGAGGAAAGTTACATGTGGGTAATGTTGACCAAACTGCTGAAGGCGGTTTCAGGTAGAACGGAGATGTCATTGCCGTGAAGAGAAAGGATCCGCAAAGACCCTAATCCAGAAAACGCGAAAGGTTGGATGCACTAAACATTTATGCTCAAGTTTTTCGTAACAAATAATCATTTTACTTGGAGCTTGTTATAAGAGATAATCAAAGTTGAAAGCCGGGTCAAATTGGCAAACGAGTTGTTCTCGATTGAAACGATTTGGTTGTGGGACAGATCTCTGAAACGTTTTCCGTAGTTTTTTTTTTTTGAATGAAATTTTATGATTCTTATTAGTGGTTGAAGTTCTTGACGACAGAAACAACTTTGCGTATGAGATACTTCAAATGCAAAAGCTTTTTTTGAAGTTTTTGTCAAGGTTTTTTCGAGTTCTTGACATTTCGGTTCCATTAAAAAAGTTCATGTGGAGTTAATAGTTACCTTAGTCGTTTTGTAGGCTTAGTTTGAGAGTATAACCGATTCACGGGTAACTTGAGACGCTGAGAAAGCCTGGGGTGTCTGCGCTCTCCACCAACCACGCAATATCTCTTTTATCATCGTGTCAGGACCCTTTTTTGATGGTTCAAGTCAGCCGTGAATCAGTTATAGAACTACTTCTTGTATACGTTAAAATGGGAAAAAAATCAACTGCGTGGTTGCAAAAAAAAGTTCAAAATTTCCTATGCTACTCACAGCTTGGTCAAGTTGCTTAACCGATTGATTTGGTCCACTGGAATTTCAGTGATCCGATTAGAATCCAAAAACAACTCGACAGTGTCAAGAGGGATGCCAGCTGGGAACTCAGTCAAATCCTGCAAATTGTCAGGATATGGAGACACATAAAGACAGATTACTTTGTTAGAGCAACGGACGATGTTATCTTGGCACGTGCACCCATGGGGACAATACCCACCGCTGTCTGTGCAAATTGCGTTTGCAGCATCTGCAAAGTTACAATGCCCAAAAAAGCGCCTTTATTCACTTACCTGAACATTGGAGCTCATTCAGAGCCAGGTTAGAAATCAACATTCCTCGAGTTGCTTCGGGGTGATTGCAGGTCGTCACATCCACAGTATTCGAAGCATTTTTCTGCAGCCACGCTGCCAATGGCGCGATTCGGCAATCACAGGCGATATCATTGCCTGATATTTGACTGAAAATCAAAAAATCAAATGAAGATAGAAATTAAACTTTAGGCTTTTTGTTCGGCTTAAGCGATTATTTTTTTCATGAAAAAAAGCTTTAGAGCAAAAATAAGAAAACGCAAATTTTTTTTTCTGATCAAAAAAACTTACACATTTTTCAAACTCGAGAGACCTTCGAAAGCGGTTGAAGTCAGGCATTGAATCTTATTGTTTGCGAGATTTCTGAAATCTATTCAAATCCAAATACTTTGAAAACTCAAATACATACACAAAACTGAGGTTGAAAAGGTTAGTAAACATTTGGGGAGTCACACATTGCAGCTGGTTGTTATTAAGCGAACTGAAAAGGAAACACTTCAAGAACAAATTGCGAGCTCACAGTGTTTCCACAGGCGTGAACTTTCCAAGAGCGGAGCTTGAGAAGTGTCGCAGTTTATTGTTTGAGAAGTTTCTGAGAGAAAAAGTTATTTTTCTCATTTTTTTTTTCACTTACATGTCTTTCAGGCTTCTCATATTGCTCAAGCTCTCATCTTCTATGTTTGAAATCTCATTATGAGAAAGGTCTCTGAAATTTACTTGTTTGTGGGAAAAAAAAAAGGATAATTTACAGTTTTATTAAGTTGTTGAGTAGACGGAGATTTCCTTTTGTGTTGACCTCCGAAATCCTGTTTTTGCTCAGAATCAAGTGTGTAGCGTACGTTGGTGTTTCTGCTGGTATGGCTTCCAAATCTTTTCCGCTGAAAAAAAGTTGCAGAATGGATCGCTGAGTGATAGTTTAAAGTTTTCTTAACCCCTTCATCAAGTGTGGTGAATAAAAAGAGAGAGCTGCGCTCACGAGTCTCAGGTCCTTCCCAACGCAAACTCCATTAATCAAGCCCTTTGGCGATGGAGCCGCCGGTCGTTTTATATCAACTGTGGGGGCCATTAGCCAGGTAAACTACGCTAGAGAACGCACCAGGCGCGTTGTTTCGAGAACATGTGTCATTGTGTTTGTGCTCGTTTCGTTCAAAATCACTTTTCATTTGATAGGAGTTTTTTTGAAAAAAAATTACTAGGCAACAAAAACTTTAACTTTTTCCAGTTATTCCGAAATCAAAATTTCTGTACTATGGTGACGTTTTTTCTTGACTTTGAAAGAGCTCAAAAATTGGTTCCGAAGCAAAAAACCTACTCCAATTTTGAGCAGTAGTCTTACCTGCACTCCACAACGGTCCCGTGACAGGAACATTGAGTTGGACATTCGAAGTCGATGAAACATTCATCGGCCCGTTGAGTGATGAACATTTCGGAACCTGAAATACATAGTTACATAAGAAACTTAGACCTCCGTGACCTTTGCAGCGGAATTTGTTGAGGGTCAAACTTGCGATTCTTTTTCTTGCTATCCTTTTAGGCTGTTCACATCTGGCTCCTGTGGTTTCATAGCTTTTTTCAGCCTGCATCCGAGCCAGCCATTCCTGAGAAGAGTTATCATATAACCATGTAAGTTTTTTCATTCACCAGGTTGCAATCGCAAATTAATGGATTTCTTCCCAGATGCAGAGTTTGCAACTTTGTCAGATTTTTGAAAGTTGCTTCACTGATGGACTTGATCTGGTTGTCATACAGTGACAGAAGATTCAGGTTATACAAAGCATCGAAAGTTCCTCGACGGATGCAATGAAGCTGGTTGGCATTCATCAAGAGGATACGCAGGTTGGGTAGTCCCACGAACGCGTCAACTGGCAGTTCTGTCAAGTTGTTGCCATAGAGCGCACTAAAAGATGAGTTAGTGCATCGGGCAGATTGTAAGAGCCTAACAGTATGTTCAGATTGTGTAATCCTTCGAAAGCCTTTGGAGATATTTCATTAATGCTGTTTTTGCTCAGCTCTCTGAAATGACAAGATTCTGGAGAAGATGAAATAAATGAACTCACAGTCTTCGGAGGTTTTTCAAGTTATGAAACGCTTTTGGGGGAACGTAAGTGATGAAGTTCTCCTCCAGGCGTCTGAAATGCAGAAGTTTTCTTTTCAAAAATGAAAAAAAAACTTCTTTGTTAACTCATCTTTTGGAGAACGAAAGATAGTTCAGTTTTTTTTTGAACTTAGAGCAAAAAAATGGTAATATGAAGCTTATGCTTCAAAGCTAGGAACATGTTAAAATTGACAACTATGAAACATTATTCAGCACGCAAGCTGTAGCGATTGAAAAATTAGGAAATTTCGAAGTTTAAATAAGCTCGAGTTCTTGTGAATAAGCTCGAGTTCTTCTTTTCTCGATCCCCGAGCACTTCCGTGAGAAATCCGTGAGCTTCTCTTTTACAGCATGAAACTGAAGAAGACCTTATTTTATTAGTGTATGTAGAAAACTATCAATGCTGTTTTGTTCGATTGAAGTAGTTTAAGATCTCACAACTCAGTAGTATGTGGAGGCAAGTTCGCAGGAATGTGCATTAAGCCTCTGTCACGACAGTCCACCGTAGTCTCAGTGCAGGTGCACACAGCTGGACAGACCCTGGCTTCTTTGCATGAAGCCGTCGCCCTTTTCTCGATCCCCGAGCACTTCATCATCTGGAACGGAACCGTGAGCAGTCGGGTGCAACCGGCAACAAACGCTTTCGTCGACGCTATTAATGGATGATCCCTGCAAAGTAGCGGGTTTCGCGCATTTGGCGTGAGTTGCGGCTTGGCCTGTCGTCGACCGCTTCATCCACTTCAGACGGCAGTCACACAGCCAGGGGTTCTCCGAGAGCCGGCTGTTAAAACAGAATTCGAGGATTGATAATAAAAGTTCAGAATAAAAGTTAAGAGTGTGTTTTTCTTTATATGAAATTCCTTGAATATGTTAGAAGTTTTTATTTTTGAAGAAAAAATTTCAACCAAGTCAGATACTCATTCATAAAAACACGACCTTTCTTTGTCACTTTCTGAAAAAAAAAAGTTCGTAAGCTTCAAATCGTTTCCTGTAGTTACAATACTTTTCATTGGTTTTATATCCTGTCTGAACGATGAGCAAAACATTTTTCTTGTAAATTGACTCACAGAACTTTTTTTTAGGATTAAACCATATCCATCTGAGTTTTGCTGGGTTCTAGAGCTTTCAAATTTTCAGGACAAAGTTCTCTAAATGCTTTCGCGACCAGAAATGTGTTTCATTTTTTCACGAATAATAATTTTAAACTCTCACAACAATCTCAAATTCGGCATCATGTCGATCTCTCCCAGCGTCGTCAAGTTATTATTGTTGACTGTAAGCACTTCCAAAGAGTTCCACGACGAAATGACATTTGTTTCCAAGCTGAATTGAGATTTTTCATTCAGTCCCAAAGTTCTTAGTCAAGTTGCTTCAAAGTACGAAAAGCCATAGTCTCTTTTTTCCACTAAAATGCGAAAGGTGTTGAGTTTCTCGCAGTTGTTTGCACAGTGTTAATTTCAAAAGCGGTGCTCTTTTTCTCTCTTTTTTTGCTTTTTGAAATTGCCAGACAAAATGGATGCGCTGGTCAACTCAGAAAAACGAGAATTTTCCCACCTTCGTACCTGAAAATTGTTTTATAAAAGGGAAATATTACCAGACGAGGTTATTTTTGTCCATTTGTAAGTTCCGCATGTTCTTGGGCCCCCGCAGTTGATCATCGGTAACAGCCGTGAGGAAATTCTCGCTGAGGTCTCTGAAACACTCCAATCTATTAACCGGGCCGACATATCCGCTTGATAAATGCGTGATTGTCTCACGATAAATGCAAATCCGCCGTGTTTAGGCTCATCTCCCTTGCACATCTTAGCTCCAGATGGAATAATGAGCTATTCGGAAGAGTCCGCAACTCTCAAATGTTCAAGTGGCTCGTTTTAGTTGTTTTCCTTGCGGAGTTTGCCGCTCAAGTGTCTTTCGTCTTGAGGTTTCGACAAAAGTTCCCAGAAAAGTGATTGATTAGGTGGCAAGCTAATGCCGCCATGCATCACCGTCAATGTGCATGGCCTGGGGCAGCTCTTGATGGTATCTGTAGATTCAGACCTTGTTGAGAAAGCTGACGATTTTCGAGGTGGGAAGGCAGTTCAAACTATAAAAAAAGATATCCAAAAATCACAAGGAAAAATATTTTTTCACTAGCTTTTTCTTTATCACTGACCATGTTAATTAAGCAAATCCTTCTGTACCTTTAGATTTTTTCAGAAATTTCCCCTATCAATTATTTCAACAAACTTCCGATAATTCTCAAATCTCGCGTATGGAATGCTCACTTGAAAATTAAGTTTTTTTTTTGAAATTATTCTCTACAGCCCTATTTTGTATCTTCGAAAACTTGTTTTCTGGGAAAACTCATGAAATTTGAATCTTTTTTTTTCTTTTTTTTTAGTTCACTGCTGTCGGGTAAGCGTTTTCTGCAGAGAATGAGGTCGGCTAGACCGTAAAGGGCCACCGATTTATGTCTGCGCTTTTTCCGCATATCATTTTACTGCGTCCCATTCTGTTTCAGAGCGTGGGATCAGAGCTTACTTCAAAGGAATGCCGTGAAAAAACAAAAAAATGTTTTTCGAAAAAAAGAATATATTTCGATGAACCGTAATTTCTATCAGAAAATGCAAAAAAAAAATTGAAAAAAAAAAGAAAAATTTTTCGATTGCAGCTCACAAGGAAGATCGTTTTATTTTGCAAATCTCCTGAAATTTGACCAGAAAGTTCCTTGATGTACCAAAGAAAGATTCTGAAAGCCTCAACCTGCACAACATCTTCGTTCTTGAGAAAAGACACCTTGAAGACCAAGGAAATCCTCAAAATTCATTAAAATGGACTATTTTTAGGCATTAGGCCTTATTTCTCGAAAACTAAGAATCTGTGCAGGTTGAGACTCTCAGGATCTCCATCCGGTTCATCAAGGAGCCTCCTGGCCAGTTCTTAAAAAAAAAAGAAAACCGCAAAGTAAAATGACCTCCACTGGCAGATTCTACCCATAGTTCTACTTCTTCTATACCGTATTATTGCTCCGGACAGATTTGGGTTTACGATATACAGTACAGGAACCAGACGCGAACATTGCGAGTTCATCCGAGCGAACAAAACAGTTGTTACTTCCTAATTACAAGCAACTCCCTAAGTTCTCAAGGGTCACTTAGTGCGAACAAGCGATAAGTCAAATCGCCGTTGTTATGCAGACGAAGAAGTTGTCGTGGCCTTCACTCACTTTTGTCTCTCTCATCATTGCAATTGAGTGACATTTGCATACTCACAAATATCGAGGCGGGACACCTGCAAGGTGGAATCCGTTCGGCCCTCGGCTGGCAGTGAATCAGCGTCGCCTTGGCGGCTCCTTATGAAGTGCCGAAAAACGGCAAATGTTTCAGATGAAATGGCAGATTTTGGGGTCAGCCGTACACTCAACCGCCGGAAGTCAGTTTAAAAAAGGTTCTCGTTCTAAAAACTTTGAAGGTACCACTTCATTTATTTGGAAGGTTAAGAAAAAACTAACGTGCAAGATAAAAAAATGTGCGCTTGTAGGGAAAAAGGAGGTTTTTTGAATTCTTTTTCTATCGCGTATTGATTTTTTTTTTCTCTGGGAGAAAATGTCTCTTGGAAAAAAGGTTTCCTGGCAGTACAGTCTTAGCGAAAAGTGTTTATTTTAATTAGATATTTTTTTGATTTTCTCGAGTTCATAGAAAAGCTGAAGAAAAATCGCTTTGTTCTTTTTTATCGATTTGAAAAGGACTTGAGCAAAAAAATTAAGTACATAAAAAAATTCTCACAGTCATTCCAATTTCAAACTCTCACTGACATACTCAACAAAGAGTCCGTCAAAGATTTTTTTGACCACTATAGTAAGAAAAAACACTTAAAATTCTTAAATTCAACTTTTTTTAACTGAAATTTCAATTTTATAGATTTTTTTCTTAAGACGATTTCGAACTGCATAAAAAAATCTGTCGCGTGGTCATAAAGTTCAATGAGATACAGAAAAAAACTATATTTTACTTTTTTTAAAAATTTTTTTATTGGAAAAATTGGCGCACGTGACCGCCATGTTAATTGAAACATGCTCGAAAAAAAGTGACGACTAGATGGATCGCTGGATTTCCTGATGGATTATGTGCCAAAGGAAGCCAACAATGCGACTTCCAGTTGCCAGCCCCGTGAACCCACCGCCGTGCCGCCGCTACAAACACGAGACAAATTTACGACTTTTCGTAAAGGAACCAACTGCCCTCTACTTAGCTCCCCACATCCAGCTCTCGTCATTAGAAAAACTTTGAGATAACAGCCGGTGCCTCTACAAAAACTTCGAAACACTTGTTGGATGATGTAAAGACTGGGAGAAAAAATCTAAGGAAGTGGCGATTTTTTCTTCTGACAAAACCGCACAAAGAAAATAATTTGCATGTGGGGAATTTTCAAAGGGAAAAACCTTACTTTTCTTGACCATCCACGCAGAAAATTGAGAAAACCTCACAAAAACTACTCCAGCTTCAAAAAAAAATAACGCTTTGTTAAAAAACAGCTGCTTTTCGGCGCAGGAAGATTGCCGGAAATATTGAAAAACACTAGAAATTCGGGTAGATAAAAATGAAGAAAAACCTAAATAATGTTAGCAAAAAAGCGTCTACAAAATTTAAAGTCGTATTCTGAGGACCATAACTAATTCTTCCGAAAATCATACGAACCATTCGCATTTTCAGTAGCTTTTGACAATGAACTACTTTTTTATCCAAACGTCTCAACATTAACACATAAAACATCAACTTTTGTCTCTTTTCCGTTTGGTTTCCGGCTCTCAACAGCCGTTTTGCGGACGATGGGGCGCACAAAGACCGGATGATCGCATTACTCCATTGAGGAAGACCACTCATTAAGTTACTGTACGCAACACGAGGCAACAATGGATCTGAAAGCGAAAAATGCGGAAAACGACGGCTGACGCGTCGCTCCAGCCGTGAGAATTCGGCAGAATACTGGGGTCACAAATGTCAACATGACACGATTCGCGCCGTTTCAGTCGGCCTTTGTCAACCGTTTTCCGGTTGCAAGTTTGAGTAGAATTCATGTACACGCAACGCAATTTTTTTTCGAAAAGTGTTGTTTAATTTTTTTTTAAATCAAGAATCGCTTATTTATAAGTCTTGCACAATATCAGAAAGCTGTTTTGACCTTTTTTTGAAATCATTGAAAAGACGATGAAATATAATAAGATTAGATTTTCATTTAAAAAAACCCCCGCTCACTTTAACAAAATAACAATATTTTGTAGAGAATTTGTGGCAAGTTTACAGAAAAAAGAATAAAAAAGTTGCTTTTTTGTGACGGGAAAGTTCTCATAAAAAAAGAAATGTTGAGAATTTTCACCGTCTAAAAGTTTTCTCAGATCTTGAGAAATCAAACGAATCGATGAAAAAACTCACAGACGATGAAGATTTTTGTTGTTCGCGAAGATTTCATCCGGGAGGGACCGCAATCGGTTTTTGTTCAACCTCCTGCAAAAAAAGTATTTTTCATTTTGCCTCAAGTCAGGGTAATAGGACGACATTGGCAACGTACAGTCTCTCGAGCGATTCAAGCGCATCGAATGCGTGGTCCTCAATCGAGTGGATGTGGTTGTCCATCAATTGTCTGCAACTCAGCTACGCATCATGAACTTTAGAAATTTTTTCATGAGCTATTTCAGTTTGTGCAAGGATCTGAGAAACAGGAAACAACTTTAACTGTTTCTGGAAAAAGGGTTTAGTTCCGAACTTTTTTTTGACTTATAATCTTTGAAAATGTGATCCAAAGCTGAAATAAGATTATTTTAAAGGATTTTTCTAACTTCACCGAGAACTTGAAATCATGTTTTAACTATATTCACCTTGAAAGGCTTCTCCATAACATTAGAAAATTTGATTTTGTAATAATAAAAAATACGAAAATGAAAAAAATATACAATATCTTGAGCTGCTTCAAATGATCCAGATCGCCCTTGCGGATAACGACAATCCGATTTTTCTTGAAGATCTCTGAAAAATATAAATAATATGGAGAATCTTTCAAACTCACAATCTGTGAGTGTCCGCAGGAATGTCTTTTTGGTATCCGAACAAGCCCTTTTCCAGTGCAGATCACTGTGTTAGAAGAGCAGGCGCATAGTTGAGGACAGGCGTTAATTCTGTCCACAAGTACTGCCAGCAGTACTGCTAGCAGAATGCGTAGCATTTTTTGCTCGGGCGTTTGCGATAGGATGCACTTTCTGGTTTTTTTTTTGCGTAGACTGAAACTTTATCTCGTGGTATCAGATTTCTTAACAGGTTACAAAAAAGAAAAGGTGAAAATTTCGAACGGAGAACAGACTTTTTGATAATAATGAAGACGAGCAAAATTTTCTCATAGGTCTGATAATTTCAACAGACACAGTTCGATCAATTTATGATAGCTGCTGTAATATGAAACATAGACCCCGCAAATTTCAAGTTATTAAAATTTAGCATGAGGAAAACGTAGTTTGCTGTGAAATTAGTGAAAAAAAAAACATAGATGCATTAGAATTTATTAACGACAGAGTATCGCTTGTAAGGCCAGAAAATAAAAAATCATTTCTAAAAAAAGAATAATGTGACTTCTCAATGGAAAATGAACGATTTTGTTGAGTAGAACTATGTTGAAATTGATGAAATGATGACATTTTTTTCAATCTGGCACTTTGAAAGAATAAACGGCAATTCAATAAAAAAATAGATAAACAAAAAAAGATTGTCAGGGATTTCTAGAAAATTCTGTAAGCTATTGTCATAATTTCTAACAAAAAAAATGCGAAAATAAAAAACAGAACAACCATTAATAAAAAATCAAAGCCGTGAAAATCGTGGATTTTAGAGGACGCGCGAAACGAGATGGCCGAAGGGGCGGCGCACGAGAAAATGCTTATGACTCCGCCTCTCTTCTCGTGCAGTGGCGCGCTCGCTGTTGTACTCGGAAACGGCTTTTTGGGATAACTTTATTATCAGAAAACTTTTTTTCTTTCTCGATAGGTCTAAGTGAAGTTTGAAGCAATGACAAAAAAAGAAAAAGAATGAAACAGAAGAAAAAAAACTACTGATTTTTTCTGCAATCTCTCCTGACAGATTCTGTTTGATTTTAAGGTTAGAACATTTGACAAAAAGACCTACCGTAACATAGTGAGGGGCGGCGCCTCATCATAGCTAGTCTGAAAGTTTACACACTATATTTAGTAACTGTGACATCACTTTCTACTCTCAAAACTTGTTTGATTGCAGTTTGTCGACTTTCTCGGAGAACATGCGTTAACTCTTTAATGGAATGGAAACATGTAAGACCGAATGCTTGAAACTTTGACACGGTTTTTAAATCCGGCTTCACCTTAAGCTTTCGTTGGTGTCACTTGAAGAAGCTGTTTCCTTCACCTAGTTGATCGAATCTTTCATAAGATAAATCTTTGCTCTGCATTCGAAGAGAATGTTTCATATTGGTCAATAATATATTTTCCTTGATTTTTTCAGTGTGGAAATACTCCTGTAAAAATCTATCGGTATGAAACTGTACAACATGCGGCATCATCTTCAAACTAAAAAACCTCTCTAATGTTGAAAGCAATTTTTACCTTCAAATCCCAAGACTATTTTCCGAGTTGAACTGTTTTTTTTTTCTTCTCTTTCCACGTTTATTTGTCAACAACGGTTTTGCGTGAACATGCATGAAATAGACTGGAGCAGGTTGAAATTAAAATTCAGTTGGCGGACCCTCGTCTACATATGGCAAGTGATCACTCAACGCTTGTAATTGATTGCAGCATAAATCAAGACTTATTTGACAAATTTCCCTTTTTTCAGTAGCACATTTGAAGTGATCTCTCTTTCGATATTAATAATAGACATGCATTTTCTAATATTTGTGAAAAAAACTTTTTTTGAAATGCTGAGAAGTTAGCCAGGATGTCTTTATTGTGATGTGAAAAAACATAAAATTGTTCATTTTATGCAGTACTTTCAAAAAGATCCGGAAGCGAGTTTCTTCGCCTTCTCGGCTTTTTTCTTTTTGTACAACGAGTAGTTGTGCTCCGCACTCATGTAAGCTGTCTCCAAAAATAGAAACACGAATTCGCAACAAGTTAGGAAAGATATTCCACACCAAAGACCGAGCTGTCCACCGAAATCGGCAAGAAGATTTACAAACTGGAAATAATAGTTTTTTGAAATATTAAAAAAAAATCGAAAAACATACCCCATAAGCTTCAGATTCGGTTAACATTTCGAAGTTGAGCTGCTCGTAAAACACTTCCACCATTGCTCCGTTCTCCCTGAAACTCTCTTCATAATTTTGTAAAAATGAAATACCTTACTTATAGTGTTTATTACACTCCACAGCGGTTCCATTGCAAGATCCGAGCTGAATTTGAAGAGACAAAGACGGCCACTTGGCAGGAGAGTAGGTGACCGTGTAAGTTGACTGTCTGCAGGGTTGCTGACATCTGAGAATGAATTTGGCTTTTGGTGAACCTCTTTAGAATGGAAACCTGCATCTGAATGAGCCATGCAAGCCGCCCAATTCATTCATCCGAGCGTCTAGGCATTTCCCTGAAATTTTTAACTTTTTTGTTAGGCACGAAGTTTTAGAATATACTCGCTGCAGGGTCTGCGGCATCACAGTGTTTCGATTTTTCAGGGACTGGGAAACGTGGATCCCCACATCGACATTCTTTCAGCACCAATTGTTGGAAACAAGATCGATAACAGCCCTGTTAACGATGAACTACTCGTTTCAATAAAAATTTCCCTTATCTGACCTCTACGGAATACTCATAATTGGAATAGATGTAGTCCGAAGTTTTCCCATCCGGGACACAGTCACCATAGGGAGCTGGTAAACGTGTCATTTTCCTCTCAAAAAAGTTTTTATCAAAAATAAGAATTATGTGAGATTTACCAATCTGAGACCAAAAGAGGACACATATCCTGTGGGAGCTGAGTATCCGAAAGTGTCAGGAAAAGGAAATTCTTCCTTGTCGTGGATTGTGAGACGGACTCCCGTAGCTTCAGTTGTTGGCATATAATCAGATGCGTTGACGTAGACTAGCATTCGAAGACCATACATGGGCCCTAAGAGTGTGATTTGAGTTAGAAGCTGGAAATTTAAGGTCGTCTTGGAACTTATATCATGAAAAATTAACGGTTTTATAGTTTCAAAATCCATTTTACATGATTTATTGTATTCAAAACGATATCATCAGTTATAAAGCTTTTTATATTCTATTTTAAAGCAATCAACAGAAAAAATTAACCTGCGCGAATACTTGTGAGGTTGACGGTCCTGTTATGGTTGAAAGTGAAACAAGATCCAAAGACTGGATCAATATGAGTCAAAAAGTCTCTGAAACGTACATATTCCGTAATGGATCAATATTTGAGAGACTAACGATTCAATATCGCAAGCCTTTCCATTGAAAGAACATTTGTGGACAAGTTCTCTTTTTGTAGTTGATAGCCTTTCTCGATCTGTCATTGATAGAGTAGCCATAGCAAACATGATGTTTTCCTTCGCTTTTGTCACAATCGCCACTTCGTCAGTCATGCCCTTAAAAAACTCCCTTCTAGCATTTCAGAAAATATACTGAACTTGAAAGCCCATAGCTTCAAGGAAGTTCGGATCTTCTGTCGGGGTTCCTCCTTGAAGGTAAGTCCAGATTTCAATTGGAGGGGTTTTTCCATTGTAGGCGACGCAGAACTTTGACGGAGCACAGATGCAAGGGGATCGATGTCCTTTGACTGAAAGGGACGAGAAGTTCAGATATTTTTAGAAGTAGCTTTACAAGCTTTGCTGTCTTTGGTACAGAAGGCTTGCGCGTCGCAAGTATCGCACTCCGTTGGTTCCCAAGTTCCATTCAAGAAACAAGGCCACGCATCGTGGGTTTTCCTGTCGAAGGCACAAATGCACCGATCGTCATATCCAGTTGGTTCTTCGTATTTTGTCCTGGAAACTGTTGATTAACCAACTGAAAAAGTCTGTAGAGCGACCTCTCAGCCTGGCACTCCTCCATAACACTGAAAGAAGTCGTTGACTCCAGGTTGTCCTCGTCGTATTCGTACTCTCTCCCGTCGCCGTCTTCGTCAGCATCTTAGAAAAATTTTGAGAGTAAACTTTGAAGTATAGACTTCTTGAAACAGATCATCTCAGGATTTATAAAAACCAATTTTTTTCGGTTTATTGAAAAAAATCCAATTCTGACAGAAGAAGTTTATTCAGAGTGAATTTTTGAAAACTTTTTAATTTTTTTAGATTCTGTTCAAGTTTTCTGTGAACTCTTAGAAAGTTTTGAAAGCAGAAGCACCATAAAGGCTGAAAGTCTTTGGAGTAGTTGGTCCAGCGTCTTCAGGTTTCTTCTCTTCGTCGTCAATCTCACTGGAAGTACTATGGCCGCAAAGGCACCGCGCATATCCCTAAATCAAATATAGGATTTGAAAAAAAAGAAGCCCAACAGGCTCAAAGAATGCTCCATGCATATCGCGTTTTCCGCGAGTTCGTCCTTTTGCCGGAGGTGGCGTTGTGGCTGGAATTTTTGTCGTTGGCGCTTCTTCTTCTTCTCCTCCTTCATTGGGCTTCACTCCAGCTTGAACCATTGCTCCATCAAAAGCGGAAAGCTGAGAAGAGCTCATTTATTTTTCCAAAATCTCTTTCTTTGCTAAGAAAAAAAACTCACTGTTCTTTTGACTAAATCAACCTCGCCAGCCAAACTGGCTTTGTACGGATTCAAATTACAAAGGGTGATCGCAGGAAAAGGTGCAGTATCTCAAAATGAAAAAATCATTGGATTTTTCCAAATCTACTACCAAATTTGAGCTGAATATCGACGATTTTCTCATTTCGATTGTACTTGTGCAGCACTGACTGAGCGTTCAAATACAACATTCCCATGCAGCCCAAAAACAAGCAGACCCATACACTTCTGTAATAATTTTTGTATCTCAGTTCTTAAGAACTTATTTACCTGTAATAAACATTTGGCGCTTCCCCGATCATTGGAATTCCATGAGCAGATGTTTTATAACAAAACTCTTTGAAATGCCATGCCAATCTTTTGTCATATGGTAGAAGCTTTGGATCAAAACTGCCGGTTATCAATTCACACTGGAAAAAAAAAATTAATCAAAAAAGTTAATTGAACTATTTTCACCTGAACTTCTGAGTCAGTTGAATTGAAGCATTCTCCGTAACCGAAATCGTCATAATATTCTCTTTCCGTAACGAATTTCGTATCTTCTTTTAGGTAAGCCAATGGATCGCCGTAAACCTGAAAACTTTAAAATTCCGAGGAGAAATATTTCTCACAGATAACCTGTTTCATATACTCAGCCGGGTCTCGCAAGTGCTGATAGTTCTTCAAATTCTGCATCCACGCCATGATGACAAGCTGATAAAGAAAAGAAACAAAGTCAAAAAAACAATCGATAGAAGAAGCTTCCGTTGAAAGAAGAGCAAAAAGGAGATGAACCACCGAAACAGACGAAACCTTTTTGAAAATGCATGGAACGTCTTACGCAACAACTCCCTCGCATTGTTAGGACTCTTCTATTGGCTGAAATACTGAATAAGATGTTTTATAACTTGAATTTCTCTCGAAATTTTCAAAGTACTTTTTTCACGAGTGATTTTTTTTGGTTCGCAAAAAAAAACGAAAAATTTTCAAGATTTATTTTCAAGAAAAATATACAAATATGCTTTCGGGGGATATGCAGATGGGGATAGTCCCTGACTATTTTTTGTTTCGTGTTCGAAATTCTATTTTTGATGACCTTGAAATGAAACCAAACTAAAATTCATTTGTACTTGATTCAACATTAGGGAGCAAGAATATAAAAAATTGAATGACTTTTGAGAATCGGCAGGAAAAATCAACTTTTGTGAATTGGAAAGAACAATGGTTTTATGTTTTTGAGATCACAGGCGAGACAATAATTAAGAAGTTTTTCAAGCGCTTGGTCGTTCAAAAGCGACGTTGTTTGCATGACTTGGCACGGTGTATTGGGCAAAATGTCGACCCATCCATTTAATGAACTAAAAAATTCTGAAAATCTAGAAAGAAATAGGATCAATACTCACCAATCTTGGTTTATCTGTTTTCACGAGGCAAACAACAAAAGCTGTCATGAAAAAAAGGAAGGTGGTAAAAAGAATCACTGTTTTAATCGCAAGGGAGAACTTCAACTCGGCTTCCGTAGGAGTTTCTATACTGCTTATCGTCTGCGAAAAAAAGACAAGTTCCATCAAATTTATGGAAACTCACTGGATATTCGAAATATTCGTTCAAAACTCCTGAATCTATTTCATGTAGAGCTTCTTCCAAATCTTTTTGGGAAATTTCGTAGTCAACCAATGAAAAAACGATATCAGTTTCATTGTTGTTGATTTTGAATATTTCATTGATCTGAAAAAAATTGATTTGATTTTTCAGAATAGTTATACCAGAACAGATGAACTATCCGAGGCTTCAGCATCTCTTCGATGCCTCCTTCGCAACTTCCGATTCGTGTCCCTCACCAAACGCTTCAAGCTCAAGCTGATGTTTTTGGCGAAATCTGGAGAATGTATGTCAACTCCATCAGGAACTCGCATTTTCAGAATCAACATCCTTCCACTTCTAAAATCATCATATTTAGAAATAAAAGTCATAGAAGTTACGAAGAAGGAAACGTTGGTTGCTGAGTTGTTGTGTTCACTTCTAAAGGTCCAGGAGTGGGCAGCGACTCGACAGTGCCTAGAAAAAGCCATTCTCTGTCAATGTAATTTAATAGAAAAGTACCTGTGTTCCCCAGACTACCAGGTGTAGGAATTTCTGAAGGATTACTAGGAGGATACGTGACCAAGTCAATATTACCAATATTAGCCGTGATGCCGATCATTGAACCTTGCGTGGACGTCACTGAAAAAGGTTTCTCTTTCGAAATTTTCTTGGCCTTACTCTCTGAGGACTCTTCTGTAGAATAGTAGTGCCCAAAAACAAATTGATCGGAAGTCGTCGACTGGAACTCGGAAGATGCCGTGCTTTCTGGCATCGGAAGAGTAGGCTCTGCCGGGAGCGTCGGCGGGGTGGGCATGGTTTCAGAAGTGAAGCTCTCTTTAGTACTCTCTGTTATTTGGGGAAGTTCTGACGGTGTGGGAAACTCCGGAGAGGTCGTCGTAGTATCTAAACTGTGGTTGGCAGGTTGATCTGTTCCTAACGTCTCAGGAGTTGGCATCGCTTCAGTTGAATAGAGGGTTTCTGATCCGCCTTCCCATTCGCCATTCGTTTGAGTCACCACGTTTTCCTCTCCAGAAGACACTGTTGAGGATTCAGAAAATGCTGTATACGACGTCGTTGGAGGCTCGGTAGTTGAATACGTCGTAGGCTTTTCTATCTCAACATTTGCGGTCGTGGTGACTTCAACCGTTTCTTGAGTCGAAAATTCTTCTTTAGGAGTCGTAGTAGCTTCTTCAATCTCAGAGCTAGTTGATTGGGTATTGTTAGAACTTTGAGGGGGTGTTAATGTTGAAGTGTCAAAGGAAAACTCCGTCGTCGTTGGTTTTTCTGTGGTAACTGGTGTTTCTGTGACTCTTTGAGTAGGATAAGTAATTGGTTCCAGCGTCGAAGAGCCTGGTGTCCAGTAATCAACTTCAGGAGAAGGATTCGAAGGTGGATAGTAAGTTTGGGATGTAACTTCTGTACTAGTTTGTTCAGCGCTAGGAGTAGGAGTCGCGGTATTTTGAGGATTAGTAACATTGCCCAAAGTCAGATTGTTGGTATTGCAGTTTTCAAGAGGTGATTGCGTCACGTTCAACCCTCCAGGATATGGAAACTTGACGGGCAAGGCTGTAGAGTTGCCTGAAAGTTTTTGAATTTTAACTGCTTTTCTTTCATTGTGCCAAATATTGTTTGAAGACAACAACAAAATAAATTCATTGCAGATGGATAGAAAAAAGGACATAAAACTAAAGAGTTAGAACATGCGGAAAAGGTGGTGGGGGTGCACTTTGTGGAGGCATAGGAGGCGCTTCCAAGCCATTGGAAGTTCGATCATTCTTGAGAATATTTTGCATTAAAGCCGGGGGGATTGTTATTGAGGGCTTTTTCGTGCTTGTCGAAGTGGAAGCTGAAAAAGTTGATCCTTGTTGGGAAGTTGGCGCAACGGTAGTGAGAATATTGCGAGGGATAGGAGCCGCCAAAGTTGAAGGGAGAGTTGTCACAGCCAATGTTGAAGAAGGTGTTGTGACTGTCGATGTTGAAGTGTGTGTTCTATTACGTCGATGCACTGGATTTGGGACTACAGTGCCATTGACGCGTGTGATAACCGTTCTTGTACCGTTCACTGGAGCAGGTTTGTCATCATCCTGTTCTTCTCTGTGCTTGTGAACTATTTTTGTCGTGATTTTTCTCTTAATATTTATCAGTCGGGTGACTGTAGTACCGTTCGGGTACGTGAAAGTTTCAGTTTTCTGATCTCCATCGTGGTCATTGGAGATCTCTTCTGAAGTCCACTCTCGTATTTTTTTCAACTTTTGGATTTTTTCCTGTAGACGTCGCAGCTCTTCCATATCAGCGTCAGGTGTCGTGGTCGTGGTGGTAGTAGTTGTAGTAGTTGTTGTTGTCGTGGTGCTAGTAGTAGTAGGCGTGGTTGTAGTCGTGGTAGTTGTCGTTGTCGACGATGTCGTCGTTGGTTTTGGAGTTGTGGTTGTGGTTGAGGTTGAGGTAGTCGTATTTTGCGGTACAACCACATCGCCTGCAAAGCCAGGAGGAAGTGCCATCAAATTTTTGAGAGAAACAGGAGGTGATAGTTCTGGTGGAACTGGTGCATTTGCAATAACGGGTGCACCGTGCTGATGTGATGGGTGATAGAAAGACGTGGCCATGCTCGCATCCAAGGCACTCGTGTAGTACGTCGCCATGTAGGCTTTGCCGTCTTTACCTTGGAACGGTCCGTAGGTCAAGAACTTGTCTTCTGGAACAACGAACGGAGGCAGAAGAGTAACTCCTCCAGGCAATCCGTTGCTTGCTGTCACTTCTACGCACGCTTGGCCGGCCTCCACAATCAGATGAGGAACTCCGCCGTTCACGCGGAGATCGTGGTGAGCTGCCGTTAAGCCCACCTAAATGAGAAAATCGTCTATCTTGAAATAATTGAATATGCCTGAGTTTGAAGAACTTTTTTTCAAATAATTTTCAGAATATTAGCTAAAAACTCTTTTCAGTCTCTGAATGCTCAAGCTTTTAGTTTTTGGGATGATATTATTAAAAGTTGCAAAATTTTTTTTTCGGTCAATTTCCACAAGATTATATTACAATGCAAAAGATCGGGGTAGCGTTTAGAAATTAAAGAAAAAATTGAGTTCTTGCAGAAAAAAAAAAAAAATATTTATTCAAAAAAATATTCAAGCAAGCCGATTTTCATATAATCTACTTTTTCATTTTCTGTAGACTTTAAAGGAAAAAAAAATATTCGAAATCAAATAAAATTGATTTTATCTCTTTTGACTTTTCGCGATATTCAAATAAGGACCTCACTCACGTTTATGACAGGAGTTTGCATTTCGATGTGTGATTTTGTCGTGTCAGCTCGTACGTGCCCGTCATTCGCTAAATCTAACATGGTCGACAAAGAAACAACCTGAAAACCGCAATAATTTTGGAAAAGAAATTTTTTTCTCACTCTGACAGTATCGGCGTTCAAAGGTTTCTCACCAAGAGTCATTACACCACCTCCTCGATCGACTTGCATTCTTGATCAAAGAAACATGAAAAACCGTCAAAACTTCACTCACTTTGCAAACTCTTCGACTTGGACGTTGACACCTAATGGCTTCACATGAACATGTGTATTTTCCTGAGGACATCGGACGACAATTTGATCTCTTGACAGATTCACCTAAAATGATTTCAAAAGAGAAATCCTCATTTGTCACTCACGTCGTAAGGTGTCTTCAAGTCCAGCGTGCGAAAGTTAACAACATACTTATCTGTGAATATGTTAACATTGGAGAAATCAGCGTCGATCTCCACGATTTTGTCAGCAAACTCTATATAGATATTAGAACCAACAAAACAGACATCCAGTTTGTATTGAGGCGCAATAACTGAAATCTGATTTTTTCCATGGATGATATTCAAAAACAAACTGTTCAGCATCAGCTCTCTTTCTCCTGTAATGGGATTGTTAACGGCGGCCATCGTCATGGTCTTTTCGAGGTACTTTTCCCATGTAGTCGCTTCGATGCCCACTCTTTTTCCATTCACTGCCTGAAATTTCATAGCTTTTTTTTTACTAGAAGGACTTAGAACATATTTTGTATGATTACAAAAAACTCACCTGTACCCGCACTCCTTCGTCGTTTACTGTAACATTAGCCCGATCGTACATCTGGTGATTCACGAAAGTATGACCATCGGATGTCCTGTTGGTTCTCATATAAATCTGAATCGAATCTTCAAAAACAATCAGTTTATTCCCGTATCACCTCGCTGTTTCCTGACTTTCCATGGATTAAAGCACAGTTTTGTATGTTCATAATGGACTCGGCTAGTTGAGCTGACGCATTTACATAGGTGTCGTAAGTGTCAAAGTTAACCCGTGATTTCCCTGACCAAATTGTCCCGTTTACATTTCTTAACAGAAAATATTTGATCAGTTTTTGAAGCAGTCAAACTTTTCATTTAGTTGGATTCTTGAATCTCCAGAGTCCACTGTGATGGAATCATCAAGATTGACGACTGAGTCATCTGAATCGACCTGAAAATATTTTATTAGATGAAGAGGGCTGTCGAAAAAACTTTTAAGACTAGAAAAAGCTTTGACGAGTTTTTCCGCTTAAAATGAAGAATAACGGCAGATTTTTAAATAAGTCGAGGCTATTTTTCGTTAAAGAACACTCACTTGAATATGTTGCGACGGCAAAACTTGTCTTCTGAATCGTTTATGAGACACGCACGACGACAAGGCGCAAACTGCTCCAAAAAGCACGAGACATCGCGAAATTCGCGACATTTTGATTCAAGGCTGTGAAGCTATCTGGAAATACAATAACTTCCATAGATAGAAACAAAAACTGTTAAGGCAGGCATTTCAAATAGATCCTTCCACATATGTTTTCCCGAAAAATTTTAGGTGATTTCAAAAGTTAACGTAGTATTCACAGGAATTTCTAGAGATTTTACACAAAATTTTTTTTTATTCACGAGGTTATAAAATGAAAAATTATTATTAAATAGTATCATGGAGGAACCTTTTAGTTTGGCCATTTGGGAGCCACTAGCTGGAGCCCCTATAGGGACCACTAGCCTGTTTTCTATCAAAGCAACTAACTGAAATCCTTCTAAGGGCACCATTTGCAAGCTTTGAACGCGCTTATAGGGCTGGTAGAGTGGTCCCTAAAGGGCCCTTCTAAGATTTCTCTTATAGGGACCACTTTGAAGCTTCCAAGTCAACGAGCTTTCCAAAAAAACCTTTTTGCAAGCTTGAAGCTTCATTGTTCTAAACTAAAAAGACGCGCAGGTCATTCACCTCAGAAAAGTGCCCATCAGAAGCCCACCAAGATTAGTCTCGGACAAATCGCGAAGAGGAATCAACTAACTAAAAACTAAAGGCCAAAAGAGAAAGATACAAATGGGATGAACGCATACTTGCGCTACCATGGATACATCATCAGGCGCACTCATTTTTCAGGATTAATGTCGAAACGTAACGCTGGTGCAACATGTGAGGTCGTGAGAGCGCTAATTGAAATGAGCTATCAACCTCAGCTCATCAGGTAGGACACTCGAACAATGGAAAGAGACTGCGCGCGTCAACTGGAGAATTCAGTCTCATTCAGAATTCTCTAGAGATTTTAGATCATCATTAACAATTTTTTGCCGTGACCAGAAAGTCTGAAGACCTCTATGTTGCAAAAAAAAATACACACTGCGCAAAAAAATCTCAGAAATCTACAAAAATCAATCAATCAGCCGATTGATTTTGATCTAGAAAATTTGAACAATTTAGTTGAAAGCTGGGATTCGAATAAAGATCCAAAAACTCAGAAAAATTGTCTTTTTTTTTTCCTATTTCTTAGCAAACATAATATATTTAATTTTTTTCAACTTTTTGTGATTCAAAATTTTTTGGGCTTGTGGAAAAGTGGCGGAAAATTTGAAGAACTGCCTTTATTCAAAAAAATTTTAATGTATCTTGATTTTTTTCGTAAAAATAGTTTTATCGTTTTAAAGTTATTCTAAAAAAATATGAATTCCTCCTTACTGTTCAATTGTGCGTTTTTGTAAATCGCAACTTTTTTTTTTTGAAAAAAACTGAAAATTTTTCTCGGAAATCAAACTATCCATTTCAGGTTGATAAAATCGTAAAGCTGAACAAAATCTTCAAACCAACTAAGCGACAAAGCTTCTGAGTAAAAACTAAAACAAGCATGTGAAACCGCTTTGGTGGGAGAGTGGACAAGCGTTTTGCCCACGGGGCAAGGTGATTATTAACAGCAGGCGAACAACGGAATTTGCTCCACTCGTAATGTACTAAAACTAATTTTGAAATGACCGCCTTTGCATTCGCGCAAGTTTCGCGCAATTACGAATCCAGCCGCTAGGAATCAAATCAGTGTTTCTGAAGTTTGTTAACACTAGTGTTCGTATGTTTATTATCAGAAGAAGAATAAAGTAAAAGATGGAAACTTATTATAACTTATTGAAGAAAAAGTGATCGTGATGAAATCAGAAATAAAGAAGAAACCGATTCAACTCATGATGTAATGATTGGAATGGAACTTCCCAGTTCACTTCCACGAATTGTAACATTTTCCATCAATTTCCTCGAAAAAAGTTGTCGATTCGACCAATTCGACCCACCATTCCGTCTATTGTCTTTTTTTCCTGTTCATTTCTCGATGAGTTGAACGAATGACGTTTATAAAAATCTGTAATACTTTTCAATTGAGCAAAGATTGTAACAATGAAAACATTTCAAAGAGCGATCAATACGATTTCAGCACCGTTAACAAAAATATGGTTCTTTAAAGATGAAAATCGAAGATAATTTTAAAAGTGATGACTCTTTGGAGCAAATGAAGAAGTGGGAATCTAACAAATACAAGTAAATAGAGAATATTTCAAGTTTATTAGAAACAGAAATAAGTTGGAAGCGCGCCATGACACAATTGCGCGTTTTGGGAGACCTGCACGCCAAGTTTCGATCCGGAAACTGGCCGCAGACCGAATATATCACAGTTAAATGGAGGCGCAACTAGATATACAGGGGGAGCCGTTTTAATTTGGTCTGAATTGCAGCAATCATGTTTGTTTCAACAAAACGATGTAAAAGGATAATGACAACAATTTAACTGAGAGGAAAAATGCAGGCTTTAGGAAATCATCAACAAAAATTTCAATAAAAACTATTTCAAAGCACCGGTTGAAAAAAGACGCGCGAGATTTGGTGTGCATGTGACAAATGATTGTGGTAAGAAGGACCCGATATTTAACACTATTTCAGTTTGAAACGGCTCTAAAGACGATGGCGGTGAAAAAGAAGGTTTTTATTGGCTTCAGTAGAAAACAACTACTTTTTAGGGCTTTCCGTAAATGGCTCTCAATTTTTCATCATTCAACTTAAAGGTTTTTTTTTACGAAAACGAAAATTCAGAATTTTTTTCATAGTGAATCGATAAAATGAGCTGGAACAATTATTACTAAGTCTTAAAAAATTTCTTTTTTTGAGAAGTTTTTACCCTCGCCTCTAACCAATCTTCAAAAAATACCGAACAAATCTTTTCACCGCCATTATCGTTAACAAAGCTGAAGCTTCAAACAAGATCGCCGTCAAGTTGGGAATAGTGGATGGGACCTGCGCGAACGCCTGAAGGGTGTATGAAAGTGCTGAGATGATGCTGCGGACTGTTGTTGTTGTTGGGAGTGCCGAGTTGTCGGCGAGTCAACGATCGGTCTGGGTAGATTGACGTGTCTCGCGGCGGTTCCTGCAAAACCGATCTAATTACTCCGAGTTTCTGAATTGCTCATTTTGGCTACTCTGGTAGAACTTCGTTTCCTATTGACCGAGCATAATGTCTTCCGAGCCATTTCAAAACGGAGACGTTATTCTGAGAGACAAAAATTTCGGAAGTATAGTGCTCACAGATGATCATAAAATAGTATTTTTTATTTGAAATTACAGTACCGTCATAAAAGATACATAAAAACGGGTTTTCTTGTAAGGAATTTAATCTTTCTGAACTTTTCTGGAGTTGTGATGACTGTTAAGTTCAACACTCTGATAATGTTCAGCTCACAGAAAAAGAACGCAGCTTCTGAAACTATCCGGAAGATAGAATCCTTACGAGAAAGTTGTGACCGGAACCGATTCTTTCGCATCTTTTCTGACGATACTGTATCTGGTCCAATTTATCATCTGCTTACTTTCTTCTAGTAAATCTTCAACTTGCACCATTCTCCGATATCTTCATTTTCCGGATATAACTTACAGGATAAGGCATATTTGTGTAGGTGCTGTTCGAAGACCTCCCAATTGTGCCATGTCTGTTGTTGGAGTAGTGAGCTGAAAAAAATTACTTTTTTTACATAATTTTATTGCTTTTCTCACGATCGAATTCGTATTCTACCAAGCAGCTTCTTTCATAGATACAAGGATCTATCGGCTGCATGTAGCCATTTGGACTGACTTCCTGGAAAAAAAATCATAGATTATCTATCAAAAAAAAAGTCACTCACAATCATAGTTCTTACAGAATGATCGTCTTCACTAACATCTGGCACATCGTCTGTTTCAAGCCTTGTATGACCTGGGCCATCGCTCTAAAAATGATAAAATTTTGGAATTTTATATGAAAGGAGTTTTGAACCTGCATCATAGTACCGTACATTTGAACAGGTCTTACTCCGCCACCATTGATGGCCGTTCTCACCATCTCAGTCTTTTCTGGAAGTTTCCGATGGAAAATTTCTTTAAAATCAGAAATCTAACCTCTCAGCTTCTTCTTTCTTTGTCGACTGCACACATAAAGCCCAAGGCAGACATTGAGGAGAACGAGAAGAACAACGAATCCTGCGATTGGAGGAAGCCACTGTCCCCAATTAGCTTTCTTAAGTTTCCATTTTTCTTTTTATGAGCTTTCGATTTTTACTTTTGCTTGAACCATCGCAACGTCCACACCGTCTTCATTCAACGTTGCCAAGGTGAGAGGTGGTCGCGTCCAATCCGAGGAAAATCCACGGGCGTTGATTGCTCTCACTTGGAATTCGTACACTTTGGCAGGTGATAACCCAGACAATCGCAAGTTCTGAAAATCAAGATTTCAGTAACCATGAAACTCGGGAGTGTTACCGTGTGCGTTGTGTTAACCAAATGAACCAAATCTTCGTTATATTTTTGATATTTGATTTCAAATATCTGGTCTGAGCCTCCATCGAATCCAGGCTCCCACACGATCGAAATGGTGTTTGATGTTGAGTTTGTCATTTTAACAGTGACAGGAGTGTCTGGTGGAGATAAAGGTCCAATCTGAAACAAAGAGATGAGAAAAATTTTACGAAGCTTCGGAAAACCGGTATCTTGTTGAAATCCATGCCAAAGTTGTTTTTTGCCGTGCATCGGATTTCTTTGTGATAGTCTTCGGGCACCAGATTCTTGATCCATAGAGTGCTCTGAGAAAGTTCTGTTTTTCAATTTTTCAGAAAAAGCTTTACCTCAAAAGTGAAATAGTCAAGTTGAGAGGTGATCATGGAGTACTTAGAGCTGTTTCCTTTGATGACTTGACCTCCACGGTCCCAGACGAAGTCCGCTACAGGGACCGCCTGAGCACGACAACGAGCTCGAGCAACGCCTCCTGAAACAGAGTATCAACCTCTGAGCAAATCAAATTTGAGCCTCACCTAGTGATCCAGCAGCTTTTGCCAGAGCTGGTAGAATGAGAACTCGAGGAGCTGAGTTAACTAAAACATAGGCTTTTCCTTCTGCAGGCGCTGCTATTCCATTGTTGGCACGGCAGATATATTCTCCTGAGGCTTTCTGAGTAGCGTTCAATCGCAACACAGCTCTTGTGTCTCCTCGGTGTATGGACTCCATCTGAAATTTTAATAATTGAGAATGGGAGGTTTTGAAGGCTTGAAATAGCGCTTATGCCATAATTAGAGTATTTTGCGGACTTTGAAGCTTCACAACTCGAAAACGAGATCTATTGGAGAAATTTTTTTTATGTTTTGTAATCAGGGGGTCCGAAGGTCACTTTTATCAAAAGCTCAACCGGGGGCTAAAAATTGTTTGCTAGTAAGACACATTTTTGTGTCTGCATCAATTTTGCATTTAAGTGGGATAGCATGAAGTCAAGTTCAAAATATATAAACCTTATTCTCATTCATATAAGTTTTTGCAGTTTGAAGCTTTTTTTTTTGATTATCCTGCTTATTCGGGCTTTTTTGGCTGATGCGAAAAATGAAACGCCAAAAATTCAAACTTTTTCGAGTTATGTCGAGGAATTTACGGATTTTTTGGGCTGAAATCGAAAATTTTTTGATTATTAGCAAGGTTGCAAAAGAAATTTCCCAAGCCTTCACCGCTAGAAATCTGGCAGAAGTGCCGTTTATGGGAGCCATGAATTGATGGGTTCGAGCTCTGGCGTTGTGCAACAAACGATACCTGTGCGCCGTTGCGCCACCACTGGACCATGTCCGCTCTCTTGGGCTCGCCATCTGCCTCGCATTCCAGCAGCACAGTGTCCCCGTCTGACGCGATAATCGGGGAAGAAATGCTCGTGATCTGTGAATCGGACGCTATTATTTTTCTCTTCCCGATTATCCTACTCTTGCGCCATACTCGACGGTCAGCTTGATTGAAATGTTTGTGTTGCCGACGCTGTTCGTTGCCACCATTGTGTAGATTCCAGCATCCGTACTCTGTTAAAATCAAATTATTCAATATTGATAAGTTAAGTCTAAGAAAATAAACTAAAACGTGCCGAATACTCAAACCTGATGAATGAATTGTTTCTCGATAGACTCAAACAAAATATGATAGACGATTAAAAAGTGAATGGATGGTAGTTAATAATGAAGCTCAACAAAAAAGTATAACTGCGTCCAGAAACTTATATAAAATTCTTCTCCCGCCCTTCCCCAGGAAAATGGAATCTCTTTATTGGGAAATTTTGAAAAAAACTGATTTATCCCTCGAAACAACTTTTTTATTGGTTTTTATGGGCGACAAACGACGAACCCAATAGATAATTAATCTAAAAGTTATGAAAATTTGAGAAAACCAAAAAAGTGCAAAGGCAAAATTTTTATTGACGTTCAACTCACTTTCAAATTTTTGCCAGAAAGAGCTGCTCCTCTGGCGAAAACTTTTCCAATTGTGTGATCAAAAGGAACTCCATTTTTGCGCCACTGCCATGCGGAAACTGCAGGATTTCCCTTCACTGTCAAATTCTCCCGGAAAGATTCTCCCTCAGCCACCACAATGCTGACTGGATTGTCTACCAACATTCGAGGTGGGTCTGAAAATTTCAAAATAAGCGACTGCTAGCTCAACGTTTTTGACTCACAAAGAACGTTGAGAGGGTAGGTGGAATTGATAGAATGCTTCCAGTCTGAATGACTCGCCACGCATCTCACGATTGTACCGTCGTGAGCTTCAGTCGGGACAAAAGTCACAACGTTTTCAACAGTGTAGCCTGCTTCTCGGGTGCTGAAATTCTACATGAACTGGAGGTTATCAAAATAAACTGACGTTTCATTGAGAATGGTTTCGCCGTTGTAAATTAGAGGATTGGAGTCTCCATTCGGGTAGAAATACCAGTTGATTTGAGGCGCTGGATTTGAAGCTGGAGCGGCACAAAGAAGTCTGGCTTGTTTTCCGACGAGAAGATGGTGTCCGCTTCCGTCAGGTGGGCGGATGACTAATCTTCTTGGTGCGTCTAAAATAAATCAAAAACTAGTGAACTAACAGTTTTTTCAAAATTTTTTTTCAGCGCCCTGAAACAAGAAAAAAAATTAAAATTTTGAAAACTAACAAAATACATTCAGTTGCTTCGAATCGACCAAAGGATCGTCCAAGGCGGCATTCATGGCTTCACACTTCAATCTCTGCGTATTCATAGTACGGTCCAACCGTAAAGAAAGCGTAGAGACTGAAGAATCTCCGGCAACTGCGTTTCGAGCTCCTCCAATCTGAAAGTTTATGAAAATTGACATCAAAAATGTTTCAACTAGCGTGGATCACTCCATTCGTACAGAGAGAAGAAGGTATATGAATCACAACATCGAAAGCGAAACATTGAAAAGCGCTTCAAAATTTACCTTTGCCCATTTTGGCTTCCTCTTTCCCTTCATTGTAGTCTTAACAGAAAATGGGTTAGTAAGTGTGTTAGTGAGAATTAATGAATTTGATGACTCACCTTTTCGTAACCGCGGTACCAGGAAAGCTCAGCGAGCGGATTTCCCCCGTGAGCCTCGCAGGTGACGTTAACAGTGTCTCCTTCGAAGTAGTAGAGTTCATCGAGTCCTGTGATACGAGGAGCCAGAGGAGGAGCTTCAAATTGTCTATTGAAAGAAAAATAAAGAGAGCTATGACATACCTAAAATCTTTATGATATGCTGTTTCGAACTGGAGCCTTCAATATTTCTTGCGGTGCACTCGACACTGATTTGATGTTTTCCAACGTTGATTTCGTTAGAGTTGATGGTCAAGTTGGAGATTGAAGTTTTTCCGTGGTCCTACAATTTTTTTTTACGGTTTTTCTAAGCTATTTCTGTAAAGTATAAAAACGATCTTCCAATGTTCATAAAAAATCACCTTTGAGTACTCATTTTGAACTGTCGTAGCCACCGGATGTCCATTGACAAGCCAGGAAATTTGGGAAGCTGGATTTGATGGTCTGAAAAAATTCCATTTTTCGGTATTCGATATTTTCATCTTTTCATAGTCTATGCAAACTCGAAGCCCTATCCTAGTCATTTATGACAGAAAGAAGAAAAAGAGTAAGATAAATTGAAGTCGGAGTGACATTTGGTCAAATCCGGCGCGCGATTGTCCGCTTATGCAACTCCTGGGGCCATCGCATCAATTAGTCATTGCTGTCTCCTGACGCAATTAACAACAGTCCCGTCGAAAGTGTTTGTTCTCGAATTCAACGGCCATTTATGAACACAATCACTGCAGCCGGCAACCATTTATGAATTGAATTATGCATGTGTTAACAAATATCGCGCGTGTCGCGTGTTTGCCGACGTTCTGTTTCAAATCTCCCAAACATCGACTTACAGTGATCTGCATTGGACATTCGCAACGGCGCCCTGTCGAATATTCACTTCACCGAACATTTCAACGCCTGGTGGAGCATCTGTAAACTCAAATATTTACCAAACCGTTAAGCGTGTGATTTTCACGGGGGAGCGTTCAAATTAATTTGAACGCGTTACCGTGAGAACACAGTTTCTCGGAAACTATTAAAGCTGAGAAAGTCTACAGCTCGGTTTGAAACTATTTGGTCAACTTGGATTTTTTACGAGTATTGCCATACGTCAACGTAATAAAAGATGGTATAGACAAAACAGAGTTTCGTTTAAAAAAACTATCGTTGAAAATTGTCATTTTTCCGGTTCAAAAGTTGCGGCTTATTCATCTCTAAGAAGAGGAAGAACTTGAAATGGGAAATTTAAGTCAAAATGAAAGAAGAGCGAATCCATACCCTTTATACCTCAAATGATAGAATCTTTACCAGTGATTCTGAATCAAAATTACTTTTAAAAGAAATGTTTTATGTTTTTTTCGCGAAAATTGTTCCCAAGGTTTCATTGGAAAATTAAATTCATCGATGAACTCTTAGATTTTAGGCAGAAAAACACTCACAAGCAACTTCTATCCGGACCGATTTCCTGATTGGCTCCATGCCAATACGGTTGTATGTTCTGCATTCATAGTTGGCCAAGTTGTCGTTAGGACCAGCAATCAGTGAGTAGATATTGCGGCTTTCCTGAAATCATTTCTTTCTGAATTGAATTCAGCTAATTAATTCAATTGTCGGCTTGTCTATAGATCTCGGCGATTTGTCATGGTAGGCTGGCGGCAGATGCATCACGCAATACCACACAGATTATGCAATGTACATCTGTCGGTCCGTAAGGATCGGCTGGCCTTTCAGTTTTGCTTCATTAGAAAAGCATTGCCTACAGATACATGGATTTTGATAATTTTGAGAAGTTTCCCTCAAGAAAACAAAAATGCAATTCTTAGGGAAGAACCCACACGATGGCGTTCTGAACAGCCCTCAGTTTGAATCCTCGCGACTGCTATTTAATTCCGTTCACAAATAGGGAAACATACGCTGAAAAAGCGGCCGCAGATACATCAATCATCTGCGAGTCGGTTTTTGCGCTTATTCTCACCGCTTTTTTTCAGCAGAAGTTGTTCGGGTATCGCTCCCTGGAGGACCGCACAGAGGCGTGGGCACGCTTCAGTTGTACTCGCGGAAAATCAACTGATTTTTTTTGCTCCCTACTCGCAGTACAAACCAAGAAAGCTCCAAAATGGCTGTTTTCTAATATTGTCTTGATTATTTCGAAGTTTGGTTGGTTTTCTGAAGTTGTGAGTTCATCGCAGTATTCGTGAAGGTGTGGAGTATCACGAATTGATATCAAACATCATTTACAATGAAAGTCTAAAAATTATAAAACAAGCTCATTCAAGAGTATAAAAAATAAATAATTTTTACTAAAAGACAAATGAAAATTGACTTGAGATAGAGAAATCGTTCAGGAATGAATATTACTGAATTTTTTTTAAAAAATAAGAATTTTTTTGGCCTTTTTCTTCGTCACAATTCTGTAGACTTCTCTGTATCCAAATAAGACAAGAAGCGGGGCGACAGGATCATTGACCCGGTTGAAACACGTACCCACGAGAGTCAAAGGCGACGCCGGCTGCCATCTGTTGGTCCCCAGAGAACCCTTACAAAATCCGACAGGTCACCTTTTTTCAGCACTTGACCATTTATCAACGTCTCGCGCGTTTCGGCAACACATGTTTTGAAGGGGAAATATTCCGTGTGAAAATCTTCGCCTCAGTTTGAATTTGTTAGAAAAAACGGAAATAACTAATTCTGAGGAATATTTCATCAGGATCGCATTTCGGGAGCTAAACTCCATGCTTCGGCTAATGCGATTGACAAGTTGCCATAAATATATACACTTTGTTTACTCACCTGGGTGGTGGCATCGAAAACAAATCGAGAGTCGATTAGCTTGTCGCCGAGGAACCAGGAGACGTTGGGCGTCGGGTTACCGCCGGTCACCGTGCACGACATCGTCACGTTGTCGCCAGCTCGGACGAACATGTCGCCGTTCAGAACTTTGACCTGAGGTTCATCCGGAGGATCTGCAAGTTAGAAAAATTGAAAAACCCGAGGGATTTGAGAAAAAATCATGAATTTACAGTGAGCGATAGAGAAAAAAAGTTTTTTTTACTGAATTTCGAAACTTTCGTATTCTTCTCACTTCCTACATGAAGTTACTCCTCAATTAAAAACTAAATTAAAATTCGAGAAGCCATTTTTTTTCTCAATTTCTTGTCATCACAGAGCAATATTCCCAAGCATCCTCGATCCCAATTAATCTTCTCCCTCCAAAAACTCCGACGCCGTTCCAGTTTCTCGGTAGCTTCGTAAATCGGAGCAAATGTCACTTTTTGAAGAGATTATCGAGAAGAGCGCAATATGCCGTGCATCCGGAGTGTAATGCTCAACGGTGGGCCGTTCTCCATTGATGAGCTATTGCCAATTGTTATTGGTGGCCATAAAAGCTGAGCGAGAACTGAGTGGTCGCGATGCAAAGCGATTCATATCGCAGGTACGACTACCCATACGAGTTGACCGAGTCTTTTGCTTTCGAGTTTCAGTTTGCTTTTGAAAGGAGAGTTTTCCGAACTTGGTTTAGTACTCTAATTGAGATTATTTTTTCAACTTTTCAGAGTTTGCTGTAATCAGATCACGGCCTGAAAAAATAAGCTACAAAGGCCTTTGAAAGTCTTCAATGGCAGTACGATTGATTTCTCTTCGGCCTAGAAATGTTTCACAGAACCTTTTTTCAAATTTTAAACATTCAGAAAGTTTCGGAAAAATTTAAAATTCTGCTTTTTTTTTTCGAAATTTCCAATCTTCAGGCTACTCTAGATTTGCACCAAAGGTAGATAATATAATTTCTTGCTTTCTAATTGCTTCTAGAACAGTTTTTGAGCTTTTAACAGTGAAAATTTCAAACCAACAAATTCAGGAAAAAAAAAAATGTTTTCCAAAATATCAAACAATTACTGAAATCATACTCAAAAACTGTGAAATGAGTCCCAAAAGCAAAAAAAAAAAGCCAAATTTCTTTACTTTGAGTTTTGAATATATTCTAAGAAATTCCTTTCTGATTTAAGACCTTTAGACCTCTCAATCCAAGACAAAGGTGTCGTAAACTACTTTGGCAAGTCTGTTGCCGTTGGCCGACGCCATTTTACATCTCGAAGCGCAAGAGGTGCGCGGCTCGGATCTTGGCTCACTCAAAGGCTTGCCGCCCTGTGTTTGTGTGTGTTGGCGGGTGGACACGACGGAATCCGCCAGCTGTACTGGACTCCGTTCTGGGATTACAATCCGCAACATCTTACGCAAAACACAGAGTTTTTTTTTTCGGTAAAAGAAAGGTTTAGGTCTTATCGAAAATGATGAACTCACAGAAAACGTTGAGAGTCATGTTGGTTCGAAGTCTCGTGTTGCTTTCCTCGTGGAAAACTTCACAGGTCAAGATTTTGTGATGATCTCCGCGTCTGAAAATGTTGGATAACTTTCTAGAAAGTTAATTCAATGACCGACCTTGGATGGATTTCTAAGTTGGCATAACTGTTTGCAGTTTTGTTCAAGTTGTAGTTGACGCTGTTTTTGATGCCATCTTCGATTCTTTTCCCGTTCATGTACCTGAATCATTTGATTATGCAGAGTGCGAAACGACTCGACTAAATAAGATGTCGATTGGCAAGTTTTTTTGGGTTCATGGAATAGTTGGCTGCTTTATTATAAGAAAAACTCACAAAAATCATTCATCCTAATAAAAAAATTCATACGGAAACCTTAACTCTTTATTTTTTTCTATCTTGATTCATGGAGTTGCTGGATCAATATTTTTTCGATTTCTTCAAAACTTCTCTCATAAGTCAAGAAAAATTACCATGTAATTTTAGGCTCTGGCTTGACATTTGGAGCCACGCAGGAAATATTCAAAGATGTGTTCTCATTCACATCAATTGAACTCCCGGACTGGTAGTTGCTAAAGAAGATCGACGTCGGCGGCACTGAAACCACCATAAACCATTGTTTGTATTAATGCGAGACGGTCATTAGGCGGGAAAAGTCTCCTTAAAGACCAAAAGACACTGGAAACCCACCTATTACGTTGAGGTGTGCACTGGCGCGGATAGGACCTTCTTCGGGTCGCAACATTTGGCACTCAAATTGTCCGTCGTCTTCCAGCTGCACCTTTTCTATCCTTAGATGCAGCTCTTCCGGAAGTTCCTGCATTGAAAAAGTTGTTTATATTCGTTTACGCTGGAAAGATCTCACTTTGATGTAGCTGTAGCGACCTTGATGGCCAGGAAGCTGACCTCCTTGGTGGAATCCAAGCAGCGAGCCCGTGTTGCTTTTCCATTGGCTATATCTGTAATCCAAAAATTTGATTTAGACTTCAAGAAATTTTTTGAAAAAAATTTTTCTTAAATTGAAAAAAACAGTTGTAACGTGAAAAATTGGTTATTCCTCAAGGAACTCACATAAGTGAATCGGTGGTCTTTTCCGCTGAACATCTAAATGTGACGTCATCTCCTAGTAGGACGGAGTGATTTTTCGGAGCTTCGTAGAACGCCGCTCCGACGGAGGAGGTTAAAAAGATGAGGTAAAATGCGACGTTCATCGCATGCTAGCGGGAGGGCTCTGCAAGCAAAATATTGATAAAATAAATGGTTTGGTTACTATTCAAATCACGATGGATGCGATTCACAAAATCAGAGGAAATACGCGAAGGTTTCAATAAATAAATGAATAACTGCTTCAGTCGAGGAAACGATTTCGAAGTGATCAATATAAAATTGAAGATTAAGGAAACATGAACTGAACTAAACGGGAGTATGACGCAAAAAACATATTGAAAAGTCCCAATTGTGAATGTGAAAGAAATGACGAATCGAAAAAAAAAACTTTCATAGACTTGAAAAAGCTCGAAAAAAAAAACTTTCTGGTGAGTCCATGAAATTCCCAAGTGGGAGAAGGTTGAAATAGATAGGTTTATAATTTCAAATAAGAAAAAAATTACTCAAACTTCAGTTAAAGCACAAAAAGGATTAACACGACAATAGTGACAAGCGGAAATACAAAAGCTCGCGCGGATTATGACACTTTAAGGGGTGGCGGCAGAACAGAGTGTGAGTGTAACCTAATCCGCTGCTTCTTGCGGTATGATTGATCAGCCTGTTTGTTGTTCCGGCTCCCGGGAGACTGCAACCCGACGGTAGGGCAACAAATGGTTAAAAAGCTGTATTTCATGCGCCAACGACGACAGAAGGACGCCGACAATGAATACGGCAGATGCATTTCACGCCGCGCGCCCCTTATTGTCTGAGAATTGAGAGCTTTTGTGGATCTTTTGAGGGGAGGCAGCTGCGGATTGTCCTGGGAACTGTTTGGAACAAATGAATGAGCTGGGAAAAATGGCTCAAAAACAATATTTGGTCCTTTTTTTATTGGAAAAAAAATAGACTACTTAACAAACATTTAATGACTTTTTCAAGACGTCAATATTCAGCTTCAGTTTTCGCGAAATAATTAAAAAAATTCATCATTTTTCCAGACAAATTTTGAGAAGAAAAAAATATACCATTTTTTTGTGAAAAAAACTTTGAAGTTATATCACGCCTTTAAAAGTGCTGGAAAAATAAGAACTGGGAAAAAAAGTTGGTTGCTTCTTAAATTGATCTCTTAATTTTTTTCTACATTTTCAGAAAAATGGAAGAAAAAAAGCTGCACGGTTACTCCAGAATAGAGCTCGTCCAAACTAAATACAAAATTCTATCAAAGTTTGAGGATTTCAGTACTTCCAAAGTTGTAAAGAAAAATCACCGCATCTTACTCAAAAATCCGAAAAATATTCTAAGAATTTTTTCCCTCAGAAAAAAAAAAAGAAAGAACCAGTGTACAAAAATCCACAAGGCTTCTTATTTCCAACTTCAGAAAATCGATAACTGATAAGAAAAATTGGGCTCACCCACGTTGAAAACCTCCAGAATCCACTTCTTTTAAAGCCGCGTTATTAAAGGATCTGTGTTCCGGAGGCAAATTTGATTCGTGTTTGCTCAACGTAACGAGATGGATAATTGAAATCGTTGGAAGATGAGGAAAAAAATGCGGAAAAACGTGGTGTCCAGGCTGCGCAGATGACACAAGGGTTAAATAAAGAAAGAGGCGGAGCCAGGAAGGCTGACCGGCCCTGCGCATTCATCAGCACGGGGCACGTTAATTGAAAAACTGTGCAGATCTCGTCCATCTCCACAATAATCATCCAGCCGCACGTAGTCAGGCGTGAAAAATCTCATCGATAGTGTCAATAAGTTCAAATCTTAATGGTGTTACAGAAGATCTCATCTAGGATAAGCCTATTTCCATTATACCATTATTCGAATGCTGGGTTTTTGAATTTATCCGTAGGGATGCGACAAGCTGATATAAAAAAATAAATTTTTTTGACTCGAAATTTTGATATCATATGGGTAATTTTACCATTGAATAGAAACTTTAAGGTTATTTTTTTGTGTTTTCCATCTAAGTCTGTAGCTCTGAAATGAATCGTTAATCTAAAAAAATATTATTAAAGGGAAAAAAATTTAATTTTTCAGAAGTCGAAAAAAATCGTAAAAACCAAGATTAAAAAAAGGTATTTTTCTCGATAAGGATTATACAATTTCTCATTAAATTAAGCAAAAATTTGGAGAAGGTCCAGTAGTTTCAATTTTCGGGAAGTGTCCTTAGATTTAGTTAAGTTTAAAATTTTTTTTCCATAAAGCAGCACGTTTCTTGGGTTTGAATGAACTCATCATTTATAAAATCTCATTTATCGCTTTGACGCTGTAAAATAAAGTTTATCAGGAGGCACGAAATGAAAAGTGGAAAGTCTAGCAACATTGAAAAGTCTAGAATAAACTTTTTTCCATCAGACCTCGCAAAAAATATTAATTTCCAAACTTTTCAATAGGCTTTGTTGCGTTGGACCTCAGCCGAAGGTCATTAATTAACAAAGCAAACAAAAAGGTAGAAGAACGGCGCAGAAGGTTAATGCATTTCAGCGCGATACGATTTGAAATACGGGTGCCAACTGCTACGAAATGTTTTGAGAAACGAGTAGAGCAAAATATTCTGTAGAAAACATGCATAGGCAAAAATATTTTTTGAAGGAACTTTTGCCTGAGAAAAATATGCGAATTCTTCAGAATTCAATGTCTGCGCGCTATCAAAGAAATATTGAAAACAGGAAATTGTGAAAAAGCCAACCAGAACATATTTAAGATATATAACTTGTAGACAGATAAATCTATCAACTTGAAGGAATCTCCCTAAGTTTTTCTGATAAAAAAAGGAAGATGACATTTCATTTTCTACTCTTGAAGCTGACTTTCAAATAAGAATGAAACAATGATGAATTTAAAGAAGAATTTGATTCGGAAAAATTACAAGACAGCCTATATATCCATGGAAAGTGCGCTTCAAGAAAAAATGGGTGTTCAAAAGGCCCATAAATAAAATATTTTCAGAAGAGGTCTTCAAAAAACATCTCTGAACAAGGAGAAAGCTGCGTTTTTTTTGAAACAGCAATTAAAATTAAAATATTCAATGGACTACACAAAAGATCATCCTTTGAATCCCAGATAAGAATTTGTCTTCCTTTAAGAAGCCTTTAAAAAAAGAACCGAAGCAAGTTGCAACAGAGTTTCTTTCCGAGGTTTTCGGAAAGAAAACGAGCAAGTAGACCAACGTTTGGCGAGAATCCCAAGGTAAGGGTCAGCAGCTGACTACGCCAACTGCTCGTGGGCAGTGTCCCTCTCCTGCTCGCCAAACTTTGAACGGACTCTCTCTGACACCAGATGAATGGCCTCGTTCGGCTTCTGATCGACGATAAGAAGTTCCTCCTTTCAGCGCATTTCAGAGCACTGTTAAATAATTCAGTTGAAGTTAACATTTTAATTTTGTTTTTTTGAAATCTGAGGAAATGGTAGCGAATCACAATGTCGTGAAAATTTCTGATATTTATGGAAATTTCGGGATCAAGAAAACCTTTCAAATCGAATAAAATTATTTTAGAGAATGGAATAGTCACATGCTCCTTAAAAATAATTATTTGTCCTCAAGTCCTGAGGTCCACAAAAAACCTTTGAAAATGTATTAATAAAAAGTTTGTTTTGAAAACTCAAAAATTGGTGTTTTAAAGCGACGCAAAACTTTAAAGCTTTCAAAAAATTTGGCTTCAAAAATAATTTTTAAATGAACTGAAGCTTTTATTTGCACCAGTGATGCTGTTTTGAGGATTCAACAAAATTTCTTGGTTTACCCGGGTTTTTTTTTCGAGATGAGCACGGTTTCAAAAACGAAATCATGAAGAAAAGTTTAAACTAAGAAAGTCATTCTGAATTTCTATTCAATCATACATTTTTCGCAGAAGACATATTCCATAGTTTAGTGTTAAAAGGAAAAGCGAACAAGATCACTTAAGCAAAACACTATCGGAAGCTTCATTTTGACCAACGAGTCGTAAAGTCTGAAAAACACTCATAAGATCTACCAAGCCTTTTAGTCTTCAACGACAGCAGACAATTGTTTTTCTTCTAGGAAAGTCATAAATGTTCCGTTGATCGAGTGGGGGAACCCTAATAAAAATCGGAACGATCTCAGTCAATCGAGCAGATATAAGAAAGGTTTCAGCCTTCATGCGGCGAAAGGTTAGGCCAACCGGCTCGTAAGCCGGGATAATGAACACAGAGGGCCTAAATTAGCTGGTCGACCGACCGCAAAGATTTGTTGCAACTAATGAGTGGCGCTTGATTTCTCCGGCCCTCCGGCGGCCCCAAACATGACAAGCTTACACCGTGATGGGCTTAGCGGCCAATCATTGTCCGTAATATCGATGGGATTGCAGATGAAGAAATATTGGGTGAATCACATCGTTTTGGGGAAATGTTTTTGAAAAATTTCGGAATCGTCTAAAAGAGCAATTGGAAGAAATCCAAACACGATCTATAGGGAAAAATAACTAAAAGTTAGTCTCGCTATGTTTAAATTCCTTCAGTTGAGTGAAAATTCAAATAGCGTTTCCGTGAGAGGCTTTCATCAGAGGAGCTGTGCTACGTTCTTTTGAATAAAGTACCTCGAACTTTTTCAGGTTATGGGTTCTCACATTATTCACAACATTATCCACTGAAAAAAACCAACGTTAGCGTGTAAAGTAACATTCGGCATAATGAGAACAAAAAATGTAATAGTTTGACATAACAAATGTCCTTAATGCCGCCAAAAGCACGCGCGCATAAAATATGAAGCTCCGGGGAAGCTGCCGAGCCAAGAAACGTCGTTAAAGACAATGCCGTCGCATCTGATTGGGGCGTGGCAAGAAGACAAGCAAATAATAAAAAAAACACGCGAATGGATACACTGGAGATGCCTTTCTGGGTATTATGCCTCAATGGCTTGATTAAATTTTTTTTTTGAAAATAAGAAAGGCAGGAATCTCAAAAAACTTGAATCAGTGAGGAAAAATAGCGATTAAGATTTGTAAGAGCTCGTTCTCTTCCAAAACCTTGTATGGTTTTGTCAGTCTCACTGATTCTCCTGAAGACTCGAACAAAAAACAGGTTCTTTAGAATAAACTTTGCA